TTACTTCTTTAAAAAGTAAATAAAGTAATAGATATTTACTAATATAAAGATATTTATAGTTAATACTAACTATAAATATATAAGGGGTATATACTATTATAAAATTATTTAGGCGTAATATAGTTATAAATTAAAAAAAAGTAAAAATATAAAGATAATTTAATTAAGAAACGTTTCTAACACCTTCTAGTACTCCTACTTACTTAATACTTTACTAATTTAAAAATAGTAAATATATATTACTATATATTTTATATAGTTTTTAATATACTTAAGTAAAAATATATAGTTAAGGTTAAGTAGAAGTATATCTATAGTAAGGGACTTCTTAAGGTAACACTAGACTAAGGCCTTAGTGTAATCTAGGGCTTTAAATAATACCTATAAGGTAAGTTCTGCTTATAGGAAACCTAGGAAATATAAGTCTAAAACACTATTTAACTTTACTACGTTTATTTTTAATATAGTGTAAAGACTCTCTTAAGTAAAATTTATTTATAAGGAGAGGATTTTACTTATAATCTTCTAATATTACTACTATACTATTAGTTACCTAGAGATTATAATAAGCTTTATAATTTAATTATATATAAGGTGTTCTAAAAACCTTTATAGATTATTTTTTTATTACTTACTATACTTATAGATAAATAGCTATAATATAGTAACTAAGTAAAATATAAAAAAGGTTTTATTATTATAATAGGATTTTATTAAGTAATCTTAAATATTTCTATTAAAGACTAGAATTTAATACCTAACTATATAAATACTATTAAAATCCTTTATATAATTTTATACTTTTAAAGTAGACGTTTTCTTTTAATTATAGAAGTAATAGAAAAGTAAGTGCTATAGTATAATTATTATAGTGCTTTAGTTTAGTAGTTTTACTTTTTATAAATACTATAATATAGATTAGAATTTAGTTTTATAAGATTTTATAATATATAAGCTTTAGATCCTAACTATATATAAGGACACTAGATTTTTAAGGCATATTAATATAATAATATAATAGTAAAGTAAGCTTTATTTAATATCCTTTTATTTTTTACTAATTAAAATAATAAAGTAGAAGTAAAGTATATAAAAGAGGGGGTATTAAAGTAATTAAATAGAACACTTTTCTAGTTAGCCTAAGGCTTATAAATCTTTAATTAGTAGTCTACTTAGTAGCCCTCTAGGTAACTTTAAGAACTTTAGCTTTTATAATACTAAAGATAATAAGTAATATAGTAAAAAAAATTCTATATTATCTTTAGGTGTTCTATAATAGTAATTAAGAGGGAGAAGTAAATAAAGCTTTTAAAATTAGTATTTAAATATAAGTTAAAGCTCCCCTTATCCTTAGATAAGTCTTTAATAATAAGCAACTAAAACATAAGTATAAGTTAACTAAAGTGTATTACACTTTAAGGAGTAGCAGCTTTAGAATAAGGAGTAATAGCTTTAGAATAAAGAACGTTAAAAGAAAATTAAGAGGGAAAAAAAAAAGATAAAATTACACTATAAAGAGAGGAAATATAGCTATAAAGAGATAAGCTACTACTTAAGAGGGAAATAATAAAGCTATAAAGATTAAGATAAAGGTAAAAAAGGAAAAGTTTTTTTTATAGTGTAGCCTAATAGGCTGTATTTACTTACTACCTATAAAGTAGACTTATTAGATTTCTAGGGAATTCTTCTTTTTATTAGTATTAGATTATAAGTTTAAATTAATATATATAAGGAATAAACCTAAGATTTTATTACTATTATTAAGATTAAGATAGTAATAAGACTACTAAATAGTATATACTAGATTATATTTATTAGGAGGTAAATAGCCTAATTTCTTAGCGTTAGCTACTAATTACTAGTAGTATATATCTTACTTACTTTAGCTAACTTTATTTTATAACTTATAGGTATTATAATATTTATTTTACTATAGACTATAGGTAGTTCTTATTTACTATAAATCTAGCTAAGGTATATTAAGGATTTACTTAAGATATATTTTAGAAATATTTCTACTTATATCTTTATTTATAAGGCGTAGTATATTAAGAAAATAGTTATTAGCTTAAATAGCCTTTACCTTTTAAGAGGTTTTTAATATAATATTATTTCTTATTACTAGCTTATATATATTAATATAGAAATCTATATATATAAGACCTTACCTATAATCTATTAGTAAAAAACTTACTAGTAGTATACTTATTATTATAACTCTTTAAACTACTAGTAAAAGAGGGAGTAGTATTATAACTATAAGTTATTTTAATATACTTCTTAAGAGCACCTAGTAAAGACTACTTATATTTTTATAAGATATTAGCTTTTATTTTTTACTATACCTTTATAGCTTACTATAAAATATAATATCTATTTATTATTATTTAAGAAGTAATAAAATAGCTTACTAGCTATAATAATAATACGTCTTTACTACTTTTATTAAAGTGTCCTTATTTATAAAGAAAAACTATACCTAATTATACTTAAATAGTAAGAGATAAGGCTAGTATAAACTACTAGTATTTTTACTAATATACTAGTAAAAAGCTAGTGTATTATAGTACTTTAATAGTATAAAGAATATATTTAAAGTATATAATAAAAAGAAATTACTATTATATAGCTAAAAAGTTATACTTATATTTTTAAAAAGTTACTATATATAGTTTATTAAAGCACTAAAAGATAAAGTAAAACTAATATTTAATTAATTATTATATAACGCTTTTTTTACTTAATATATAATTAATATATAACTAGAAATATAAGGAATATTATATAAAATTAGGTAGTTATAAGACATAAGTTATATAATATTAAAATAAAATAAAAATTAGAAACGTTTCTTATTTAATTAGGTAACGTTTTTTATTTAATTAAGTAATATTTTTTAAACGTTACGTCTTCTTTAGCTTATTCTTCCTTAATTATTTAAGAAATGTTTTTAGAATATTTCTTATCTCTCTTATATTAACTTTAACCTCTAAGAATTCTAAGACACTAGATGCTTATTTAGGTAAGAAATATTTTAGAAATGTTTTTAGATCTTTTATCTTTTATAGCTTAGGGGTATAAGTATAAGCGTAGGTAACCTTATAGGTATATCTTAGCTTAGTAAAAGTAAGAGGTATTTTTATTTATTATTAGTAAGTAAAATAATCTAAAAACGTTTCTAATATATACTAAAGAGATTATACTTTAGGTTATAGTTAAGATAATAATAGTAGCACTAAACGTTATAAGTAGAATTATAACCTTTAGTAAGAAAGTAATTTATATAATAAGAAATAAATTAGTAATATTCTAGAAATATTTTTAAAAGTAAACTTACTATAACTAACCTTATTTTAAGAGGTATAAGTATTATAATATATAGTAGCTTTTATACTAAGGTCTTACTTTATTATAATATAGTTAATTTAGATAATATTAATTAGTAAAATATTCCTAAAACGTTTTTAAGTTAACTTATATTACTATAGGTATTAGTTAGGAGAGGTAATAAAGCTAGGTCTTTAATAACTATTTTTACCTTATAAGGGGTTATAAGCTTAGTGTTAATACTATATACTAACTTATATATATTAATATAGTACTTTATAAAAAAAAATAATTAATTAGTTTAAAAACGTTTTATAATTATTTTTATAGTTACTTACTAATAGTGTTCTAATTATTATAAGCCTTTAGGCTACTAGCTATAAATAAAGCTACCTTAAGAAAATAAGTATTCTTTAGATACTTCTTAATAGCGCTAAGAGAGGACTATTTATATTTTTAAAAAAAATTAGGATTAATTAAGAAACGTTTCTAAAATAAACTTATATTATAGTAAAAAGTCTCCTTAATAACCTTTTTACTATTTAGGCTATTAACCTTATAAGTAGAATTAATAGTATAGCACTAAACTTTACTTATAGTAATAATAATATAACCTTACTTAGAGATTATTAGCCTTAGAAATATTTTAAAAACGTTTTTATATTACTTATAGTATTAGTCTTATAAGAAGAAAGGCTACTAAGGTAGCTATTATTATTAGTATACTACTTATAGGCCTCTATATTATAAAAAGTAAAAAGTATTATAAAGAAATAATTTAAAAATATTTCTAGGTTATTATTATAAATATAAAGATAAAGGCGTAATTATAAAATAAATTATTATATAAAGAAGAAAAAAAAAAGAAAAAATTTTCTTAGTTAAGGGAATAAATAAACCTTAAAGACCTAGTAGCTAATTATAGACCCTTAGTATATACTTTACTAATTAACTTAGAAACGTTTTCTTTATTTTTACTTAGACCTATTTATATTTTTTTACACTTTAGTACCTAATTAGTTAGGAAACGTTTCCTATTTTTACTTAAACCTATTTATATTTTTTTATAAGTTAGTTTCTAATTAGTCTAGAAACGTTTCTACTATATATACTTTAGAAATTTTTTTTTTTTTAGAAATATAAATCTATATAAGCCTATTAGCTAAATCCTTATCTAGCTGTATCTATTATATGCAGACCTTTGCACAGGCCATCGTGCACGGTACTCTGAGGTTACCGGGGGGGGGACATTGTGAGCTTGTGTGTATACTCCTCTTCCGACCCAGTCTGCGCACTGACGACACTCGCTAAATAGTGGACGGGTGGCGACGATCACAGACCTTGTGCGACTGACTGTATTTGGCGTACCCTTCAGGACTCTACCTATAGTCCATGTGTAGCTCGCTAGAACCTGACCGGCTGCCTTGTAATCCACTAACCAAACCGTCCGAGCGACGAATACTAGACGACCCCTGGTCGTTCGGGAAATGAGCAGCAACCTTTAAAGGGGGGAAGGAAACCTCGGTCTCAGACGATGGTTTTCTTCACACCCTCTCCCAATGACATGGATATCTTCAAAACGGGGACGGAAGGCATAGTTTGTCAGAATACGTGTTCCGGTTCACGAATCACCACAGACCAGGATTGGACCCATGCCCAAACCCTCAGACACCATGCCATTCCAGGAACATGAGCAAGTAATAGAGGGAAAAGTTTTCGACGGCAGAACAACAACGCCACCGGGGCGTGCCAGCGGCGCTGCCAATGAAGGCGATGTTGAACATGGCGAACCCGAGCCCCCTGTTGGCCTCCGCGAGAAGCAGCCCGCGGATCGACTTAGTGGCCGCCAGATCTTCTACATCTTTGGACTCGACGGAATTGGCGCTGCTGTTCTTTCCGGCGGGATAAACTTTGCCATCGCCTACGGTAAGCTTTCCCAGACGCCTCCCCCCAAGGAGGAAGCCTCCTGGTGAATGGAGCGTGCAAAGCTTAAACCGGCTGACACGAACCAACCAGGCATGTACTCGACCCAGAACGTGGACCTGCATCCCATTCGCTTGTTCCAGCTCCCCAATACATTAGCCGGAGATGCGGTAGTCACCATCCTCATCCAAACCACAATTACATGGTTCATCGAGCTTGTATTGGTCGAGAATGACATGAAGAACGGCGTCGTTCGGCCAATAGGCTTTATCAGAGAGCCCTCGCGCCCGCTGTTGCGATGGCTGATGCTGCTGGGTCGGAAACAAGCAACGAACCCAAAGAGTCGCGCTGGGTCACTTACCGGCCATGCCGTTCGGATTGGTCTGATGTTTATTCTCTCTTTCATCCTTCTCTGGCCTGCCTCGATCGGCATATTGTCTACCATTGGGGAGCGCAGAGCGGGCGGTGATTGGGACTGGTACTTCCAACGGGAATGGGCACCTCAAGCTTTCAAGGCAGTTTTTGGGGGTCTATTGGCGCTTTTGACAACCCCTGTTATGGCTTCCTTCTGGCTAGTCAGGGAGGGATGGCGGTTAAAAGGGGGAGAGTCATTGGTGAGCTGATAAATAGATCCTGTTGGTGATGAGATACTGCAGGGTTAGCCCAATGTCCAAGCGCGTCATGATGCCACGCACTGCTATTCATGAACTCGTCACGCGGCGTTCATAATAGAAGGCTTTGACAGGCTGTGTCAGTATGTGGTGTAAAAGGACAAATTATTTCACCTCATTTGCTGGGCTGTCCCCTTCATAACTACGAACTGAGCTCCGATTTGCAAATCGGAGGGACTAGAACTTGCAAGTTACCGAGTATCAAACTTTCAGTGATCTTTGATCGACTACGTAGAGGATTGTTCTGCAGCAGGGATATTTCCATGACAAGTGTAGATCATGACTTGTATACTTGCCAGCAAAGTTAAGTTCCGCATATGAAAGCCCGTTCTCGAAACTTTTGAAGGTGGGGGCTCGGGCAGTTCAACCACTCCACTCTGACCACCAGTCGCGGTGCGAACAGTGCAAATTACAGTGTAGACTTGGAATTGCGATTCCTGTGCAATGCGCTGTGCGGACGGGACACTTGTTCTAATCATATGCAATGGTGGTACATGAGCTTTGCCTGCTGCACTGAGCATGTGTGCGTCGAGAATCGCGTCAAGTTCTGCATCATAGCAGAACTTACTGCATGTCTACTCGTATGATCTAGTTCTCTTCCAAGATTGATTCCTCGAAGAAAGCCTAACTAAATGACAAATATACGTCAAGATCACCAACCGTGCTCTGTTGTCGTTTGAACACCCTCACGCAAGCGCTACGTATATCATAGTGACGTGTATGCATACATCGATAGGAAAGCTTGAACAACTTCTGTCTATGTTAAGATGCTGCCGGTGACTGCATAACATAAAATCTCGCTCTTTTTTGGTCCATGATCTACTAATCATCGGTTGAGTCCGTCACCCAGCACCCGGCTGTTTTCCATGGGAGTACAACTTACAAGAACGGCATTCTAAGACAAAACGGACTGTTCACCTATGTAGTGTTATTGAAAATGGGCGTGTTGATTCAGCAGGGCTCACACACGTCCTCTCGAAAGTAAGGTTATACTGAGCGAGTGCGCCGCCGCTGTTCTACGAAGCCGAAAAGAAATTGGCTGGATGCTATCTTTCTTGTCCTTAACTACCTTACATTCCACTAGTGTGCGCATTATCACTCTTGAGAATGCAAGGTTGGTGCCAGAGCTTCCACCAATCTCAATCTGGACAGTATTTCCCTATGGATATATACATGGAGAGGACAGCCCATTTGTGGGTTGTCACTCTAGTTAATTAGGAGAGACCCTGCTTTTAGTACACAGCAGAAGAGCCGTGAAATCCGCAATCGCATATTACCTTTTACGAGTGCGGTCAATCGCTTCTGATGCCAGGGATAACCATGTGTTTTTACGTCTGAATCTCCCACACGTTAAGGATGCCAGAGTCGGTTCGGCCGTGGTGGCCATTCATGCACCTACCGACGACGAGGTACTTGCCATTGCCCGAAAACGCCGCCGAAACTGCGAAACCCGATTCTAGTCTTGCCGAGTAGACCACTTTTCCCGTCGCCAGATCAGTGACATCCGCCCCGTCGTCCGATCGATACGCAACCCACCGCAAATCAGGCGAGATGGCCAACGGGACGCCCTCGCTGCCCCGGGCAATCTCGAGGTTGTAGCTGTTCATGGCGCCGGTCTCGTAGTCCCAGATCGTCACCGCTCTGCCCCAGATCGTTGCAATCACACCCGTCGGGGACACTGCTAGCTGAAGAGGGTTCCGCCAGTGTTCCATCTCGATTTTGGCGATATTACGTCCGGACTCGACGCTTGACACCCTCAGAGTGCCGTCTCGCGACATGGTTACGAGCCTGGCGCCGTCCACCGTGAACTCGGCGTGTGTCACCTCGTCGGTGTGGCTGCGGAGGACGCTGTACCCTTGGCCCCTCGCGCTGGTGACAATCTCAACCCGGTTCCGCACGCCCTTGATCGCCAAGAGTTGGCCATCGGGGCTGAATGAATAGGGTCGGATGCCATGCCATTGTAACATGAATCGCCTCGCGCCCGGACTGCTGTCGTTGACCCAGTCAACGACATACAAGACCGGTTTGTCAAAATGCACCATGTCATGCGTTGTAGGTATCATTTTCGAAATGCGATGCGTTCCGTCGTCCAAGTGTTCCGTTGTGACAGCCACCGAGTTCCTCATTGGCGAAAACACCATATGAACACCTTTGACTTTGATTGACCTTCTTCGCTGGCCCGTCGAGGCGTCGAAAATACCAATGTCCTTGAAGAAACTGGACACTGCGAAAGACGTCGGGTCGCTGGCCGAGGTGAATCTGATATCGACGGGCTCCTTTTCCAGGTTCATGACGATCTTTCCAATGTGCCGGAAGGTGACTGGGTGCGGTGCCACCGGAAGAAGCATCGGAGCCGCGTACTGGTCGCCGTTTACGCTCGGCGAGCCGGACATGGAATATGTGGATGCGCCGGCGTTGCTGGCAGTGACGCTCAGTCTTGCCATGTCTGAAACCGGGACCGTTGTCGACTGGTTGTCAACGTAGGTCTTTAGAAAGTCGAGGAATGTGCCGATGCAGCGCAATGATGCAGCCTGCTCTTGCGGAGACGGGCGATTGAGGGTCTCTCTGATGGCATTGATCTCCTGCAAGATGGCGCTGGTGGCATATGGAGGTGAGTCCCCGGCTTCCTCTGCTCTCCGCAGGTGTGTAGCTCTGATACTGAGTTAGTTCCCGGTTCACTGGCCCACGATATCAACGTTGCCGCTGAAAACGACACTCACAGACCCACGGCATCCACAGCCAGACTCATTGTCCTTCTACCCGTCCCGAGACATATACCCAGAGCGGCTGCTCGGTCCGCCGCGTTCCTCCAGCCATTGTCACCTCGTCGGATCCATCCGCCCCCCTCGGAGAATGCGCCCTCAATCTGCCGGACAATGTCGGCACAGAACACAGGCACCTCTCGTGCCTCTAGCAAAAGCTGTTGATCCCCTTCACAGCTCCCCGCATCGCGGAGAAGTGCGACAACAACGTCAGGCAGGCGAAGTAGCTCTTCCAGCAAGGGAGATAGTTGGAGTTGTGTATCGGGATGGGCGGAGATGAAACTCCGTGCCGCCGCAGTCGCTGGTGCCAGGCTGGATTGCAGCTTTTGACATTCTAGCCCGAGGCCGTTGTTATGAGGTTCGTTCATTGGTGAGAATCGCCTGACGGTAAAATGGAACTTCTTGCCCGCTGCCTTCAACCGTGCATATGATGAGTGAAGCCTTCAAATGCCTGTGTTGTAAGTTGCGGTTAGGCAGCCGGAATTCAAGTGCAATGCGGCTATGCTCCAGATGAGGATGCCAAATGATGTCAGATTCAGTTCACAGTACAACAGCGTAGCTTATTTATTTATGGCGGGGTCGTCAGCCGTGCCAAGATTGATTCGCTGTCTGTCTGCTTACCGACATGCCGCTGCCGGTGATTAGGGCTCGAAAATTCGCCAAGTTGGTGAAACCAAGGCTGGGAATGCGCTGGCTTCTCATTCCTTGATCTTGCCTTTGTTGTACATCTCATGACAGCAGATTTCGGAAATTCCGGATCCTTCACCATGTGTGCCGTTATCCAATTCCTACTTGAAGCCAAGTATCCGGTATGTACGTCCATCCACTGATAACCACCTAAGACATAACAGACATGTGCTTGTCAAGCCACACACAGAGGTGTGCATATACACCTTTATTAGAATGTATTAGTTCAAACTCTCCAAGAAGAAATGGATTCGTGATACATGCATATGTCGCTAATGTTTTGACAAGTCTGTTGTGGTGTCGACTAAGAGCAAGGGGAAGGAGACTTGTTGAAAGCTAGGTACATGGAGCTCTTTGGAGACTATATAGAGCTCAGAGAGAGGAGTTCCCAACCATCTATCATTGGGTGCGCACACCCACTATTCCCCGATAGTCTAGTGGTGAGGATATCTGCTTGTCATTCAAACGATTCGCAGGGGACCGGGGTTCAATTCCCCGTCGAGGAGGTTTGTTTTTTGCCTTTTGTCACCCAGACATACGATGTAGTTGTAGTACCCGAGCAGGTTGTCGTCAATCCCGTGATGCTATAAGATAACCGGAGCCTATGAACCATTACATACAACCATACCTACTGGAGAACTCGGGATCCCGTCTGCTCTTCCATAAATAAGCCACTGAGGGGAGGCTCATCTGGGGGATCAGGATCCCTTACTAGCTTAGCAGGTAAAACGGTACCTGCTTTAAGGTTCGCTGTCGGGGGCTAAAGGCTTCTGAGGCTCGCAGCAATACTCCCTGGCGCTCCCAAAGCAGCCGTTTTCGGCGTACATGCCACCGCAACACTTCTTGACCTAATAGCACTTGGAAAAGACTGTCGGCTTGGCTTCCTGGCAGCAGTATTGCTTGGTACGGAATATACGGGGCTGCTCACTCCCCGCGGCCATGTCTAACGAGACTATCTTATTTAAGTAGTCGCTGGGTCAGTCCCAGTCACATGGCGGCGCCTCGCCCACCCACTTGCACGAAGTGTAGGCCGAAATAGACGTCACGCTGGTGTAGCACGCCGCTTAGTGAGATTTTACTCCCTTAATTTATTACTTATATAACATTAACTAGACTGTGTGATTAGATACAATTATAGCCCTATAGGCCTATAATAATACTGTGTTATTTATAGAAACCTCTTGAGCTTTTATATAATAATAGTTAGTGACTCTTTACTAATAGTAAAGTCTGCTATGTCTTGGTGTTTCTAGTACTTGGAGATATAGTCATCAGCTTTTGAGGAAATTGGTTACAGGATAATACTCTTGTCTCCTTTAGGCACGTTCTATGCTGTCAGCATTATTAGTGTCCAGGAATTACTATCCGAGGACCATAAGCATCGTTACATAAGACTAGAATCTATGTCCGGCGCAATGTGGTTCTGAAATATGTCTGGACAAATACTAACACATAACAGTCAGTAGTCAGTAGTCAGTATAGCCCATAGATCAGACATTAGGCCTTGTGTAGCTGCCCATGGTTTGGAATCACCAGTCATGTTTGCTCAATATTTAGGAAGAGAAAAGACTGGAAGAGTCATCAGTCACCTCATTTAGTTTTTGAACTTACTCTATCAACTTACGTCTGTCTGGCAACGATCCTTAACCTCATTTATTCATCACATTCGCCACATTTTTGACTCTTTATTCGCCCTTTCCCTCAAGGTCTAAAATGCTTGTTTCTATATAAGTGAAGGAATAGAAAACGACGACCTATATATAGTCGAAGGAAGTTGAAACGCCACGTGATACAGCACATGAAAGTGTTGTTACATAAGGCGGAAAGTATGTGAAGCTATCGTGACAATATGTATGTGCTGTGACGATATTATGCAGGATAGTGTAATGTCAGTAGGCCAAGTGTGTAAAGTCGGCTCTACCTAGGCTATCTCTCACATAAGTCCGATCCACAATCATCGGAGCAGATTGTTGCTTCCACCATGAACTGTTTCTGTTTCGCGGCTTGTTTGATCTCAATAGATCATATTTTGACGGCCTAAAAACAAACAACCCGGAAAAATGGAAAGACTTGACAAGCACTGTTTTTATTGCATGTTCCATCAAAACAGGGGACTCGTTACTTGTTGAAGCAGGAGTTTCTCAAAAAACACTGCGGCAATTCATCAAACGCAGGCCTTTGTCTGTCGCTACAGCCAACATCTTACGCACCTAGGAGTTTTGTTACGCACGGGGATAACAAGGATTCTGCATGAACGATCGAGTTTGCAAACTACAGGAAATCTACATTTACATCATCGATGCCCTGCCTAATGGCGTCACCTGCCATCTCAATCTCATACTCAATGTCCGGCTGAGCCTCTACGTACAACCAATTCCTTTCGCCTGCCATTGAGAAGTTGAGGCGAGCGAGCTCATCGGGAATGATGTTTTTCTGCAACATTGGATTACCACATTTGGCTGCTTCCACCCGTAGTTGGATGTCGCAGCTGCGGTCGAGCAGTCCGAACAAAAATGACGCCTCGTCCACTGTGGAACCAACCGTGAGTAGCCCGTGGTTGAGGAGCAGAGCGGCCTTGCCCCTTGGGCCAAGCCAGCGCGCAATCTCCTGTCCTTCCCCCTCCGCAGTGACGATGCCACTGTACTCATTCATGGTGGCAATGACCCCGTAAAGATCGCACACATCCTGTGTGATCATCTCCAGTGGTTTTCCAAACACTGTCCACGCGCGACCTGCTATGGTGTGCGCATGGCGGATTGAATGCACATCGTGCCGGGCCTTGTGTATCTCCGAGTGGATGAAGAACCCGGGAGAGTTGACGGGACGGTTCTGGAACCCGCAATCAGTGGTGTTAGGCTGCGATAGTGGCGTAAAGTGATGCAGTGTGAAGGTGAAGTGTAACAGCAAAGCGGTGAAGCAAAACAAGTGATGACAAGGAGCTGGACAATTGACACAAGACAAGATAGGTAGCAGTAGTGATAGTGTATTAAGGTTGACATCCTATTAAGAGGAGGCCTGGTGGCAGTGGTCTATACACTTACTTGGTAGGCATGTGGATGAACACGTGCTGGTGGAGTATTTGACCCTTGCCTCACTATCTACTGTCTACTAGCTCTTTGGCACCTTGTCCTGTGATAATAATCTCTATAAAATACTAGATTAACTAACTTCTAAGTAGAAAATATTTCCAGCCTATGTTAGTAATTAACTATAAATACTATAGCCTAACTTACTATGTGTAGTGAGACTAATAGTATTATATTTTAAAGAAACAAGTTAGGGCCTGTAGGGTGTCTTGTTTGTAGGACAACTAGGTGTCCCTTGAGATGTAGGCCACACCTTATATGCAACTATTCCACTCAGTCTTACCACATACGACCATACCCACTGGAAAACTCGGGATCCCGTCCGCTCTCCCATAGATAAGCCAGTGAGGGCCGGATTAGTAGTTGGGTCGGTGACGACCAGCGAATACCTGGTGTTGTATGTTTTTTGTAGTTCCTATACTACCATACTAGTATTCTATTCCTAACAATATCTTTTCTCTCTCTCTGTTTGTGTCATGTTTAACCAAGTTAAAATCTCCCTTTAATATTAGGACTCCATTGTAATAGTCTTACATAAGTGTGCAACTGAATCCCTAGACAAAGTGTTTTTCTTTTCCTCCACAGTGCCTCAAACGAATCTTGATGGCGTTGGTCAAAGCAATGCCGATTTGATCCTACAGCACAGTCTTCCACGGGTCCTCGAAGAGATGAACAATCCTTTGGCCATTTCAGGAAGGTAAACTTGCGCGCGGACTGATCACTCCGGCCAGGGGTGCGGGCATTTCATCCATCCTGGCTCGCTACCTCCGCACCGGCAAACTCCCACTTATCGGTCTCGCTTGGAATTCCAGCTCTCAACCCTCTACCAACACCATCAACGAACGGGGTTTCCTTCAATTTCCCCTCTGCGTCAGTCCACTCACTTCTTCTCTGGAATACTTCAAAGTTCTTTCAAGTGGCTAGTCAATTGATCATAAGACTATGACGGTCCGCCGAGCTCCCGCCTTCGACGGCCCCGCCGCCAATCTCCCACAGTGCGGTCCCCCGCGGCGAGGGGCCGATCCCGCGGGTGCGATCCCGGAGAAGCTTATCAAGCCATGGAGGCTACCCAAGCAGAACACATACCTGTTCGTCAATGCCAACGTCGTGGACACTGCCAAGGGAGCCGTCATTGAAAACACGTCCATCAAGATCTCGAACGGGCTGATTGAGAGCGTCGGGGAGCCTGCCGGCACTTTAGGCGATGCCATTGTCGTTGATTTGCATGGTCGATACATCTCTCCAGGTCTCATTGATTGTCATGTGCACGTCAGCTCCGTCCCCGGAGAGGCTGGCCTCAACGGCGGCATGGGCATGGATGCCACTGTTTCCCATCTGAGACAATCCTTCGTCTGCGGCCGGATCCTGAGCAAAGGCTTCACGACCGTACGCGACACAGGAGGCGCCACCCTTGCCTTGAAGGAAGCGATCCAGGATGGCGTCTTCCCCGGCCCGCGCCTTTTTATCGCCAACCAGGCTCTGTCGCAGACAGGTGGCCATGGCGACCGGCGAGGCGCACACGACCATTCGAGTCTGTGCTGCGGAGGGGTTGCCGGGCTTTCCAGCGTGGTAGACGGCGTGCCGGAGTGCATCAGGGCGGCCAGAGAGCAGCTCAGGACGGGAGCAGACTTCATCAAGATCATGGTGGGCGGGGGTGTCGCGTCCCCGACCGACAAGATCGAGAACACGCAGTTCACCGCGGACGAGATCAAGGCCATCAGCGAGGTCGCGCGGAGCTATAACACATGGGTCACCGCCCACGCCTACACGCCCCGTGCAATCCGTCATGCTGTCGACAACGGCGTTACCGGTATCGAGCACGGAAACTTCATTGATAAAGAGACCGCTGAGCTCATGGCCGAGAAAGGCGTCTGGTTGACTCCGACATTGGTCACGTACGACGCCATGGCGTCAGACAAGTATGCCGGGTTTCTGCCTCCCGAAAACCAGCGCAAGAACCAGGAAGTGCTGGAAAGAGGGCTACAATCGCTGCGGATCGCCGCCGATGCTGGGGTCACAATCTGTCACGGTTCCGACCTGCTCGGTCCTCTGCAGGCGGAGCAGAGCAGAGAGTTTGGGATTCGTCAACAGGCGCTCAGCAGCAAGCATGTTCTGCAATCTGCGACGGTGAACGCGGCCAGAATGCTTCGCCAGGATGGGTTTCTCGGACAGGTAAAGGAAGGCTTCGCCGCCGACCTCATCATTTTGAACGAGAACCCCCTAGAAAATGTGTCGATCTTGGACGAGCCGGAGAAGAACGTCCTGGCGGTGATCAAGGATGGAAGAGTCTACACTAGTCGATGGAGCAAGTTGCCGGAGGATGTGACGGAACCGCCCACGCTCATCGAATGAGACCTCCGACCCCTCTTTAACTACGCATCTTCGGTTACGCAATAAGAGGTTCTGCCTATACCGGATGGGTTTCGAGATCCTGTCAGCACTGGCCAAGCATGGATGTCATAGCTGCTCACTTTCACGTCAGTTTATCGTACAATGTTGGCTCGTTGCATCACTATTAATAGACATCAAGTGAACATAATATTTTGACGCCGTGTTTATGTTATGATAGCCGTTAAGCGCTACTACCCCTGCTGTACGAAAGATTGCCAGGGATCTCCGGCATTTGGCTTTTTTGATCGTACTCCTGGAGCGGGTATTGAGACGAGCTGCTACTGACGATAACGAATCCGTTCGTTTCTCGGTCGCCCAAGCCCAGTCTCGCAGTATGTCCATTGGAGCTGCAGTAGTTCGCAGTGCCCTTGGCCGAGTACGCGGACCGGCCCAACAAAGGCCGAAGAAACGGAATGCAGGCCAGTGTGATGCCGACGCCAGGCTCAAGGGCACTGAAGATGAGGGCGCTGGGGATGTTGAGTATGATGTCGTAGTACTCAAGGTTGGCAAGGTAGTACAGTCGCAAAGCTGATACGACGCATGTACTGTGGTCAAAAAAACCCCAACGGTCAGCTTTCGTTACCTGATGGCAGCTCATCAAGGATGACTTACAAGACCCCCAGAGAAAACGTCACGATGAGAGCGACTTTTTTGTACGTCTCAAGGCGCAGCTTCCACAGGTGTGAAATGGGCATGATGAGAACAATGATATCGGTAATCATGTTCAAGACCCCCATTGTCCCGTCAGCCGCCGGCTGGTTTCCGCAGTTGCGGTTCATGATGTCAAGCAGCCAGTTGTCTGATAGAGGGCGGCAGATTAAGATCGCCACGAGAATGGTGACCACGGTCCATACAGCGGTGAAGCCAACCATGATCCTTGCCGCCATGGCCATCGCATGTGTGCTGAAGATCTTGGAATAGAGGAGAAGGATGGCGATCTTGCAGAGACTGAGACTAATCGCCCAAAGAATCTGCTGGGCGAGAAGGACCTGATTGTCGATTTTGGCCAGGTCAGTTGGGGATTTGGACTCGAGGTATTGACCGGTCGCATGGCCAAGAAAGGTCACTAACCTTGAGAAATTTGATGATCGGCCCGGAGCCGTACTTGGGGACGACGTCGGCGTTGCTTAAACCAACGCCGCATTGCACCACGCTGACAATCGAGACGGCTTGGAGAGCGTTGGAGAAGACCTGGACAGAAACAGTAGACTCAGTAATCGGTGTCCTCTTTGCAGACGCCCCGTTGTCCCGAGTAGCGAGGCCACGAAACTCACACATGCTGCGATGATACACCAGTCGCTCCCATCCATAGCCCGATTCGCTATGCGCCTTGAGATGAGGCGCAGAGTGACCATGACAGTCGGTATGATGATGAAGGCGATGGAGACCGCCACCACTGAGACCTGAGACTGCCTCTCAAGCGGGAACATCACGACTTTTTCGCCTGCCGCAGACATCGTAGGAGGTCGTGCCGCCATATCACGGCCCCGATGACTGTGATGGAGGGGTGGCAGTCCTTGTCGTCCACAACTGGACTGTGCGGGAGGTGGGAGAGACGAGCTTCGAGATGTCCCCAGTGCTTACATGGAAACGGAGCACGGCCACTCCATTTTGAATCTTGTGAGGATTTCCATGACCATCCCCCCGCTGAGCAGGGGCATTTTCTTTTTCTTGCGGGACACCACCTCAGGCCGTTCAATAGACCGATGCGGTTGTCTTGGTTGCTTTTTTTATGCGTCTTGGACTGCGTATCGAACCCCATCTGTCGACGCAGTCTAGGGAGAACAGGGATCCTGCAGCCGAGTTGGACTTCCGAAAGAAGACGGGCAGGGGTTCACGCCGCGCAAACAGTCAAAAGTCGAGCGGTCAGCCGCAGGCTACATGGGAAGACTCGGAGATGTGATGACTCGGCTGCTCGTTAACTCAGTCAAGGGGGGTAAACGAAATGTCGGAGATTCAACGGTGTGGCAGCACGTATCAGATCCAGAAATCCCCCATGACGCAAGCTTGACAGCACTGGCTATTCGGTTGGGTTTGCAGCGTTATGAAGAACTACGCGAACAGTGAAATGAGCCCGGGCGGTCACAATGAAACCCATCTTGGCTTGCCCGAAGGAGCCGTTTTGTTACACAGGCTCGAGACCTATCCGGCAACACGCGTATTGGTTACGTTTCTCGGAACCGCGGAGACTAACAGACGGTGCAATCAGAGGTATTGCTGACATGAGTCGATGAGCCGAGGCGGCGAGCCCTTGGTTGCCAGAAACACAGGGGAAACCTGACATGGGCTGCACCTCTCCGCCTACCGTGGGGCTTTTTTGCTTTTTTCTGTCTTCATACCGTGATACCTACTCCAGTCACCCGCATTCCCCGTTTCCATACGCCTGTATGATGATGCTAGCCAATCATAACCATAGCTTCTCCCCATCGCCTGCAGTCTTGCATTTCCAGCTACTTTAGACCGGCGCTATCGTCAACCGTCCTGCATCCCTTTTCCAATGCCCGCCCCTCAGCCAGCCCCTCTCGCGAACCCAGACTTTGAACGAAACAGCGCGGGAACGCGTGGATGACATTCCCCTGCTGCGCGGCACCACACGTTGAGCCCTTGCCAACGTTGTATCGCGTGTGGTACACCATCATGGTCCTTCCGAAAAGGGCTTGTCGTCCGGGCACGGGGCAACCTAATTCTGACGTCTGCCTCGCCTAGGAGGGAGGCGGCATTAGTTTCGACAGAGTTTTTCACGCCACTTGTCTATCTGTCACTGTTTGAGTACTGGGCGGCATGACGCCTGAGCAGGAACATGCAGCGCGGAACTAAAGACCGGGCCGGCAATTCGCGCAAGGTGGTGATAGAGCTTACGGATCCCGAGGTTGGTAAGTCAGTAACAATATGCTAGCAGTTCTTGGTTTGCACAAGCCCTAAAAGCGGTCTGTTGCCAGCAGCTTGAAAGTGGGAAGATCCTCTGCTATGATGTCAGACTCAGACGGACAAGATTACCACCCTAGTCCACATTGAAAGATAAATCATTGTAGGCTTCAGCTTGTCATGTGGCTGCTTTGTCAGGCATTTACTGATCAGATGAGCTTATGGTTGTTTTAGAAGAGGTATTTGAACCACTATGCAAGCCGAGAGATGTAATAGCGAGAAGACATTCCCTACACAGAAAAGCCATCTAAATTATCTCGAAGATTCATTGGCGGGTTTCATCATATGTGTGACCTGAGTCTGGCGGCAACGGAAGTTGGTGCGCTTGGGGAAATGTTAAATCCACTAGCGAGACAGGGGTTTGTTCGACCTGATTGGGTGGTTCCATAGGATTTGGGCCCTCAGCGCTCCTACAAGCCAAGATAAACCCTCCAAGTCTTATGCAATGTCTGTCTGCTGTGTTACAGGTATATGTGTGACTGTTCCTCGTCAGTCCGTCATCCAAGCAGTATGTAACTCGAGGTAATATCCTCTCAGAGCCGTTATTTCAAGCCCTAAATACCATACCGCTGCCTCTGGCCAGTTCCACTGCTTTCTCCGCCGCCTTGCCGAAATCAGCCTCCGTGTGCAGTCCTAAATCGGCTTCCTCCAGCTTCGCAGCTTTGTTAGCAAAGGGTCGGCTGACAAGTAAACAAGACGACCTACGATCTTCAGTCCCAGCTCGGAGTTGGTCCCCTGGAGTCGAACGACCATAGGCACCTTCAGCGGACCTAGTTGTTTTGCTGCTCCAACGATGGACTCTGCAATCATATCGCATCGAATGATCCCTGTTCGTTACGCCGCCATTAGTTGACTATACATCTATTGCACCATGCGCGATCAGACTTGCCGCCATAAATGTTGACAAGGATGGTCTTCACCCTCTCATCCCTCAGGATGATCTCGAAGGCTTTCACCATGGTATGTTTTGTCGCTTGCCCACCAGCATCTAGGAAGTTGGCACTGGAACCCCCATAAAGCGCAATGGCATCGTTCGTGGCCATCGCAAGCCCAGCACCATTCACTACGTTGCCGATGTTGCCGTCCATTTTGACATATACCAATCCGTACTTCTCTGCTTCGACCTCTTCGGAGATCTCGTGCATTACGTCTCTCAATGAGAACACATCTACCTGCCTCTTGCTCGCAGCATCATCGAAGACGACTCTGACGTCCAAACATGTCAATGTCCCGTCATGCGACCTTGCTAGTGATCCGATCTCGAGAAGCGTGGCGTCTTTGGCCGTGAACACTTTGTACAGACGCCCCAGTATTCTCTGTAGGCTATCCCTCTCCTTTGCAGAAGCGTCCAGGAATTTCGAGATACTCTCGACAATCTCTCGAGTGATTCCTCTGGTATACCCAAGCGTAAAGGTGCGGAACTGTTCCGGATATTGCTGTATCATCGTTTCCATATCGATCCCGCCTCTTTTGGACGCAATTATTATTGGACAGCTGTTCTCTCGATCAAACGTGATGGCCAGAAACCATGCGATTTCATGGTTGATCATCTCTGTAATGAATAGTTTTTTGGTAAGTATTTCGCCGCCTGAGCTTTTGCTTGCCTCCGGTTTGTGACTGGGCATTGCTTTGGCAACATTTCCGGCTGCTTTAGCGTTGTTGACCTGTATGAATCTGTCTTCGAAACCTGCACCGATCGTTTCCGCTTTTACACTGCTTCCTAGGATCTGCGGCTTAATTATGCACGTGTTTTCTGTTAGTATTTAGTCAGTATTAGTTATGCAGCTGGTGCTGAGGGGCATACTAAATCCCTTGATGATTGCTTCGGCTTCAGCCACTGTTGTAGCAACCTTTCCCAGTGGAACTGGTATGCCAAACTGGATGTACACTGTGAGATATTCCGTTTTATTATATCAGTCGTAAATTTTGCACAGTACCTCTCTGAGAATACCATGAGACTGATATTCGTGCAACGTAAGCCGTCGTACTTGAAAACGGTGTACCAGCTGAGAACTTGGTCAGTGACAGGGTCAAAGTGACTGAAAGTTCTGGTGCTCGCCTGGTTGTGACCCCTCCAGAACTTCGTCAAAATGCTTCTAGACGCCATATTGCACAATAGTAGTGACGTGGCATCAACCAAAACCAACACTGTAACGAAAAGTAGATTCCCAGTAAGGATCCTCATTCATCAGCGGCAAGTTATTTCATGAAGTCACAACCGAAGGAAACACGTGCAAGTGGTTACGTCATCAAAGCATCCGTGAACTAGTCCTGGTTTGATCGGCTCTCTAGAGCTCGACATAGCCGAACCTTGAACGCGGGGAATGCCCGGTTATATCATCGGTTATAACATCGCTGTCAAGATAGCTTGCGTACAGCACATACTCTGTCGGGATATCGGAGTTGATGATAATTCAGGCGGCACTTGTAAGGCATTTCGATCTGGCCTTTTCTTTTCAACGAGCAGAAATGGTCCAGTAATGAGATGAAGTTGATGGTTTTATGTGATATTAATATTTGGCAGCAACTGCGGGTTCAAAGGTTTGAAAAGAACCAAGTCTTGGATGAAGACAACCAACTCATACAATGGTAAGGGCAAGTATTAACATCTTCTTCCTGATAATATTCCGAATCACGGAGGGGTGTTGCCGTGAGGTTCCAGCCAAAATACCCGGGGGTGGTCAAATAGCTCTGCCACCATCGACCTCCAGATTAATGCCGGTAATGAATTTGCTTTCATCAGATGCTAAGAAAAGGCAAGTGTCCGCCACATCAGATATCTCACATAGCCGTTTGAGAGGAACATTGTCGGTGAACTTGAGCCTGTTCTCTGGGGTATCGGCATGTCCAGCAAAGGATTCGAATCTGTACCTAAGTCAGAAGACAAGTGTAAGCTTGACGAAAGGGTAGCTTACAGTCCAGTGCCACTCAAAAGAGGGCACACAGAATTGACGCGAATTTGGTGGGCACCGTACTCGGCGGCGAGCCCCTTCGTCGCCTATACAGCTTTTAGCCAAGTTCAACTGCTACTATCCAATCGACGAAGCGCACCGTGCATACCGCCCCCTTGGAGGCATTGTACCAAACGAGACCGGGTCTCGGTCGCACCGCTCCAATTGAAGCAATATTCAGCATCACACCGCCCTCGCCCTGCTTGATGACCCTGGGCATGAATGCCGCAGTCCCCAGGAATATTCCTTTGACATTGACGTTGAAAACCCTATCAAACTCGGCCTCCGTCACCTCCAGTGTGGGCTATGTCTACCGTTAGTGTCTTCTGCTACTAGTACCCGACTGATGTAGAGAGGTCGACGACCTATACCTTGTTCCTATAAGTTGTGCCAGCGTTGTTGATCAGGCAGTCTATACGCCCATAACGTGCCTGCGCCGCATCCATCAATTTATCCCAGTCCTCCGCACTGGTCGCATCCGCTTTGAAGAATGAGATGGATTCGGGCACCTCTTGGGCGACTCTTTGTCCGTCGGTCTCGTTGATATCTGTGATCAAGACTTTGGCGCCCTCTTGAGCAAACCTTCGAGCAATACCTTCGCCAAAACCATGGCCACCGCCTGATGTTTCTCAGAAAAGGCATGAGGTCCCATGGGGGATACTAACCTGTAATTATGGCGACCTTGCCTGCAAGTCTTGATCCAATGCTTTTGTCGCTCATTTCTCTTGATCCTCTGACTTTGGACGGGAGGGTTGAGATAAGTGGTTGGAATTTCGTTCCACCCGAGAACTTAGCAAGAGTGTCGGATCAAGATGGATTCAATCCCTCTCTCTGAAAAAACCATAAAATATAACGTTGTACAACTAGAACTGTGTCTCGGTTTGGTCAGAGCCATTGCATCATAAGGAGGGGGGAGTGCGGGGGTTAGCAAGCCGGGCAACGACTTCCGTCTGGTGTCACGGGACAGTATAGCTGCACGCCTAGATGTGCTAGCCCCTCTTGAACACTTCTTATACTTTGGCAGAGTGGCTAATGCAACACTAATCAGATTATCAGCAACTTGGTTGGTTTGACATGGGCCGCTTTTGTGGCCTTAAACGCTTGGTAGTTGCTCCGTGTCTCGCTATGGATGCACCTAAAATGTTCGTGTGGCTACGTGTGGATTTCCAGCGAGCCCTAAAGGCTACTTGTACCATTTGTGGCTTGAAACACAGACAGTAGATGGCGGTGTCAATACCACTATCATTTCAATGCTTTTCAAACTTCGAGGATTGAACCCATTCAAAAAGCTGTTAACATCGTGTGGAGTGTCATGCTTCCATGTTGGTCTCATACGTACATGAGTATTGACTGTTTCAAATGCCGTGGACAATTTATTCTTGCATTTGAATCCAGGTGAGAGCTCTGGACTTTGACTTGCGGCGTCGACATCTACGCCTTTCGGCAGGTGCTAGATACAATATTCCATACCGAACCTGAATCTTAGGATACGAAAACGACCTTAATCATCATGTGCTGCTTATTGTTGAACCCCAGAGTCTTGAAAGCATTACAAACAGTAGAAACACCCTACACTAAGCTTGCCCATTTTTTTCGCGTCAAAGTTGCCTCCAGGATACACCATATCCTGACTCTGGTGTCTAGTTCGGCACTCGGTTCCACTATGAAGTATGAGCGTCAGAGAATTGCCTATGCACTGGACCGCGGGTTCTATAACATACAAGAAGAATTTGCATTTGGTGTCGTGGTCGGGACGCACCGACTTGATCTTGGAAGCCCACTCGGTCTCTAGTTGTACCTCCAAGCCCCTCCGATAACAGGCCCAGTAGCAGTCGCCTGTCCAGTCTTTTTCGGTACAGAGATAGACGCTGATACAGTTCCTTTCGTCCCGCTTCTGCGGTGGGTGAATACCGGGAACTTGAACTGCGGATGTCAGACTAGTAAAAGCGTCAGCGGGAGGCTCACCACGCTCAGAGATACACAGCTATTCTGCCTACCTCTGGTGCTCAGGCTTGACAGTATCATCAACCAGGTGTAGAATGTGGGTCGGGACAGACGCGGTCATCTTCGTCAATGAAAAGAGGGTCAGAACGGACGTGATAAGACTGGCAGTGAGGGGATGAAGGCCGGGAATCCTCATTCTGGCCGACTGTTGGGGTCTCTGAATGCTGTTAAGCTATCATGAAACAAAAGGAAAGTAAAAGTGCACAGATTTGGATTGTCAGTCTTGGACGCTTTACTTATAATTCTCAATCATACGCTTCGGACCCCAGAGAAATACGTAGCTTCGCAGCAAACAACAGGGTATGTCTCGAGAACATACAAAGAGGTTTGACATTTAAGGTTGCTACACCGCCATAATAGTAGCATCCCATGACTTTGACCCTTGCTCCCCGTCTTTGTCGTCCTGTAGGCATATGTTATACAGAACTGGAAAACCTGCAAGGGATGATGTTGTCCTCTCACATTCGGTGCACACATATCATCAGCTTGTTGACAACATGTCCTGGGATTGGCGTAATAATGCCTCCTTTTCGATTCCATAATTGTCTCTTGGAAAAGTACCAGTATGAGAGTGCGGACAGCTTCAATCTGATGGTCGATGCAGGATGCGGTTATTTGACTTGGCCAAACACGTTAATGAAATCAAAAGCCAGAGGGGAAGGGATCGGTACGCCATTGCCTAGGTTGCCTTATAACTTTTGAACCAAAGGACGATTACAGTGCCAGATTAGACATGTCTACTGGAGGAGGGGGGCCGTAATCAACAAACGGAGTCCCTGGGTAAAGCCACGGCCGGAGTCTTGTTTTCTGATTGCCTTCACCTCGGAGCATCGAATTCAGGATAGTTATTCGGGGTTGCAATGAAAAATTAATAATGTCTGTTTGCCAAAGAACAAGCTAATGAGTGAGACAACTGCACTGTCATCACAACATCTCAGCTTCGCTTAAATTGCCCTCAACAGCTGATCAGCCCACCAACCCGTCATCATCAACTCCAAACGCTTCATTTTGAACCCCCCCCCCCCGGATCTTAAACTTCGTAATATGTCAATACGAGCTCAAGATATCGCCAATGTTTTCATTCTCTCAACCAGATGACCCCCCCCCTTGGGATGAACACCTCCCCGCGTCCATGCCTCATGCAAACAACTCGTATATATTACGACGTGTGCACCATCCACCCTGGCACACTCTTGACTTTCCCATTAAAGCAAGCCAATCTCACCAACGACCATCAAAAACGCCCCGTCAGGCCACGCGACGATACAGCCCACAGTTCCCCACTAGGGCGTCGCCCGTCAGTCACCAGCCCCCCCCCCCCCCCCCCCCTCCTCCCAAGCCTGCGCCCTAATTGGCTCTAAGTGTTCAGCCCTCTGCAGAAGACAAGAGAGCTGAGCCTCCTCCGCGCGAGCTCGTCATCCCCCAGCCCGCATCATGTGACGGGGCGCGTCGCAGACATACGAACGATGCCTCGTGTGGTGTGGTGGGCAAACAAGCTGTCCAGAGCCCGTTTTCATCATCAGCTAGTCTGTGTGGTACGTCGTCATTCGCAAGGCCAAGCTCGTGCGAGCTAGCTCCCGCCAGGATGATTTACCGGGGCCCCGGTGGTAGGGGAGGGGATAGGGAAGCAGATCGCAAGGCTGATCAGGTTTAGCTCGACGGCTGGGGATCGGGAAAGGCCCGGTCGGGGCTGTGTCAGTTTGACGGGGTGCGGCGTGAGTGAGGGCGGGTGCTATTTTGAGAGATCCAAGTGACGAGCTGTCAGGTTGCGTACGAGAGCGTCTAGGCCGGGTGAGGCTCGACACTCGAGCCATGGCATCTTGGGAGGGAGCCTATGAGGCTCGCGATGCCGGAGACGTTCGCCTGATTCTATACATCATGGAGAAATACAAATATGTGTCGAACGTCCGTCTTCATCGCAGTCTCTCATCGCCCTCCTAAGCTCGCCAGCAACAAAAACGCAAAACACCAAACAAAGCAACAACCTTAGGTCCTCTACCCACCTCTTCAGCACAAAGACTCCCATCAAAATGTTTTCCAAGACCCTCGTCACCCTCGTCCTCGCCGCGGCCTCCGCCCTCGCGACCCCACTCTCGGCCCGCCAGTCCGCCCCGCCGCCGACCTCCTTCGCCCCCTCGGCGACCTTCGTCTACAACACCCGCAACGGCGCCATCTACCCCTCCAACTACGGCGGCGTCGTCTCCAAGTACACCTAGAACGAGGGCAACGACCTCACGTCCCTCCCGACCTTCACCTACCCGCAGGCCGCCGCTGGCAAGAAGTGCCAGCTCTGGTTCCTCCTCGACGGGCCCACCTCGGGCGTCTCGGACAGCCGCAAGCTCGACGTCTTCACCTCGACCAAGCCGGCTCCCGCCGGCGGCCCCGGCAACCAGCGCGACGCGAACCTCGGGCGCTGGTCCCTCCCCGCCGCCGCCGCTGGAGGCTGGGCGACCTGGGACGCGACGTACGGCGCCTACCTGACGGCGCCGACGGACTGCAAGGCGCCCGGAACCGTCGAGGGCTTCGAGCTCGTGGGCGTCTACGACAACGACTACGTCTCGTGGGACGCGCAGCTCTCGGGCGCGAGGATCGCCTACTTTTGAGCTCCCCCTCGTCAGGTCATGCGGGGTAGGGTTAGCCTCGCGAGGATGCGGGCACCGGGGAGGGGGCTATGATTCTTCTTCGCTCCTTTGGAAAATCTTTTGTCGGCAGTTTACTTTCATCATTAGCGATATGGGCTGGATCAATCATTGGGTTGGCGTTGGATGGCGGGGTTCGGGTTTTGGTTCACAGCCACGGTCCTTTCACACCTTCAGAAGCAATTCGAGTATGCGTTACACTTGTCGAAATTTGTTCTTTTACTTTGTCAGCTACATTATCACTCAACAAGTTTGAAGATTTGTTGTAACCAAAGCGACTCATGGATACCTCATCTGCTCGAGACGTGACGCGGATATATATCCATATGCTCGAGAACTTGACTAGTCGACCAATCTTGCTTTCTGCCTCGGAATCCTTGGTCTGGACGCAGGCAAGTTGTGTTTAGTATGGTGATAATAGGGTGGCCAGCAAGTTGGCCCCCCTCCCTTGCGAACTCGGTTAGCCGGCGTTGACCGACATACCCTCTTTCGTGATCCGAGCCTCATTCGTCATATCCCCCACGCGTTCACTATACCCTTCAGCACTTTACAGTCGCTCTTGTGCGTTTTCCAGTCCTCCTTCTGGCATTCCTAAACCGGTGACGTCAGCATTCCGATCCGCAACCAATAGCCCCCTTGGCCTGCTCGTATTCACACAAACACGGCTGGTCATTAATCGGAATCACGAAGAACTCACCTTGCCACAGTACCGCGCAACTCCGCACGCAGTACAGCTCTTGAGAGCGCCCCCGTCCGCCCCCTCCCCCTTCCCGCAGCCCGCGCACCGGCCCTGGAGCCCCTTTGCCCCGTCCTCGCCCCCTCTGGCCCTCGCCCCGACCTCCCCGATCTTCTCCAGCCCACCGGGGACATACTTGACTCCCGTACCCCGCCCCTCCGGCACCCTCACGAACCCCCTCTTGCCTCCCTTGGGCGCCGTCCGCACCGCCCTCGGCACAACGATCGTCCACCCCTGCCGCACCGGCCGGGAGGTCGATGCCGCGGTCTTCAAAGGTCACGGCGAACTCGGTCCCGCCGCGGTCCACCACCACCAGCGTCGGCTTCGTGATAGTCATGTTTTGCTTCACCTCGGCGACGAGGAACCATTCCTCCAGCACGTCATGGGACGACGGCTTGGGCGTTACGGCGGAAGACGTGGCGGACGTGTCCGTTAGGGTGAGTGACGTCGCGGCGGCGGACCCGGAGCCGGACTGCGAGTCCGAGTATGACGGCGGATCCGGCGGCGGGGGCGGCACGTAAGACGGGGGCGCGGAGGACGCGGCGTACGAGGGCGGCTCGGCGGCGCCGGCATCCTCGATGGGGAGGCCGTCGAAGGCCGGGAATATGGCCTCGTTGGCAAAGTCCGGGATCGGCATTGTTGCGCCCCGAAATCCTTCCCGCAAATGATAGTTAGTTTTGCGATGGACGAGAGGGCAGTGGTGTGTGTATGTGTGTGTGAGAGAGAGAGTGTGTGTGTAGCCAATTAAAATGACACTATCTGGAGGGCTAATTATGTAACTTGGCCGACAAGGTTTTGGCGTCTCAAGATGGGAGCGTGGTGTGGTGCGTTGGGTTTGAACCTAGTCCTTTCCCTTAAGATGAACGAGTGTTGGAGTGAGTGGATGAGAGAGGGTGTCCTATGGTGTGAGGTTGATTATTGATTGAGAGTGAGGGATCGGCCATGGGCCCTTTCAGCGCTTTGATTGGCAGAGAGGCGTCATGTGGAGTTGCCGGGCTTGGGGTTAGAGAACAACCAAGAGAAAAGAAATAACGACAGCGCCGACCAGCGGGCCGGCAGGTGGACGCGCGCCCAGAGAAATGCGCGGAGAAAGATCGGCCAGAACAGAAAAGACTTGGCACTTGTTTCCAAAACTCCCTCGACCCGACATGACCAATGGTCCTCCATGAACGCGTCTGCTGAAACGGCTGCCGCCACAGGACAAGACGACATGCAACAGCCGGGAAACAGCCCGATATTGCCTGCAGCTTGTGATCCGGTCGCTGCGCGCAGACGTCCGAGAGATTTGGGACTTGCGTATGACAGGTCCGGCATCTGTGCTCTCTGCCCGTCGTTGATGTCGGGATGAAATGCGCGCCATGACGTTGCCAACTTTCCACCTATCCCGTCCCACAATATTCCAAAAGACGGCATCCTCTCAGATCCGAATGAAATGCAGGGTATCGTCGTCCTAACGAGAGGACGCGTCTATTCAAGACTATGTGGACAGCAGCATTGCTACATTATAGACTACAGGGTTCCCTCGCACAGTCGTGACTTATGCCGACATCCACGACCGCCGCATAGGGGGAGGAGAAGGGAACAGGACTCAAGGACCGCATTGCCCACTGTCCTTTGGGGTGCATACACAAGAAAAGCCAACGCCAAAGTAACCAAACAACACCCCTGGGCCTTCCTCGGCCTTGACGCCTGTACATCCCTATTACGAGAACAACTCGTCAGCAGAGCTGTGGCGCTGCTGTGTATATGAACAAATGGTAAGAAAATCAAGTCGTTAAATGCTTGTCGTCCAGTTTTTCAGGCCCCGAAACTCATCCAACCAAAGGTGCCGGCGGCAGATGCGAGCACCAAAAAGGTGAGAATGCCGGCGCCGGCCTTATCTGCCGTTGTTATTGGGGTCTCCTCTCCTAGCAGGTTGTCCGAGTGGCTTCCGGCGTTGGGATCTCCCTTGGAGATACCGCCCGTGGTATTCGTCAATGGGGGCTTGGCCTGGCTGATGAGGAGGGAGGATACCGCAGCTAGGACGTCCATCTGCTGGCCGACTCCAATAGTGCCATCGTAGACGCCTGAACTCCATTTGAAGCCACACGTTCGCTGGTTGGCCTGCCCTGTACACTGCTTGGCAGCAGCTTCCGCCGAGGTCCTGAGGATCGGTAGCACCGTCGGGGCGGTATAGGGTGCGACCTGGGTCACGATTGACACCCACCGAGCAACGTAGCCTTTGAAACTCAACATGTCAGTGGTGCAAGTGTTGTGCTCCTCGCAAGCAACCTCAACAGCAATGTTGTTCGGAAAGAACAAGCTGAAGGTGGCCTTGAGAAGCCCGTCAAGGCGTGTCTTCCATTTATCAGAGCCGTCCGTCTGTCACCGAGTTAGATTAACTCCCCATACGAGTTCGGGCACCGAGCGACCACTTACGTAGTTGTACATCATGGCGGCGCCGAGGAGGAAAACACCGTTGTTGTAAGAGAACTGGGCCTTGTTGATGTCGGTGCAGTTCTGCTCGACATGACCACCGTCGTAGATGTTATAGTCGGCGTCCATGAATCCCACACTCGTCATCCAGTCCCAAGTCTTCTCGGCCCAGTCAGCATAGGTCTGGTTCTTGGTGTAGCGAGCGAGTCTGGCGCCAATATTGAAGAAGCAGCCGTTTGCAATGCCTGGGCTTTGGTCAGTCACAACTTTACAGGTCAAGGCGGGCGTCAGTCAGACTTACTGTTCTTGTAGTTGTATCCGTTATTGGAAAAGGGAATCTGCCAACGGAGACCGCCTCCACACGTATTGTCATGTCTATCCGGGCTGGCCATGGTGTTGAAGACGGCTTGGGCCAGGGCAAGCCATTGGGCCTGGTCTTCAGGCGGGTTCGGGAAGCCGTCCTCGGCGGCGGTCATGGCGGACATGCCCCAGAAACCTTGGTCATCGTTACCCAGCGAGGCCGTGTAGTTGGGCGGCATGTAATCGCGGTTGGGCCCGACCTGATGCAGCATGGCTTGCATGACGACGTCGTTATAGGTGGAATCGCCGGTCAAGTGCCAGTAATCAATCATGGTTCCCCACATGGCACCGGCCTCCCACCAGTAGTAATCACCAGCGGGCGGAGGGCCAGGCAAGATACCGGGCGTGTGGCCCGTCAGGTTGCCATCGTAGAACTTCATGAGATCGTACGCGAGGTCCTTGCCTGCTGACCTGATGTCATCTGGAGGCGGTGTTAGTAAAGTCGGTATCAGGGGGCCGAGTACGGTGCCGGGGCGTGGGAGGAAGTACCATCGGAGGCGATGGAGTAGACGGCGTTGGCGAAACCGCTGGAGGCAAGAACTGCTGTCGCAACACGGGCGATGAAGGAGTGCCTCATGGTGGTGGTGGTCGGATGACGTTTTGTTTGGAACGAACGATTGGGTGAGACGGAGGAAAGGAAAGGGGACCGGGCAGGAAAGTCAATTCCCTCGAAGATTCGGTGCGATCGTTCTCGGTCGGCGTATCATGCGAGTATTTCGACTGCGCTGGGCGAGGAGAATCGACGACAATGGAGAGTGAGTGCCAGCCGTCGGGCGTCGCTGGATACTGTGTTTTGTGGGTTCGGAACAGACAAACGAGTGGGTGAAGGAGAGAAAGGAAAGGAGATGAGCAGGGAACGTGGAGGGAAATCGAGGAGAAAGAAGAGGGTCGGGGGAGGAATGAGTGACAGCGAAGGGGTGTGCTAATGTCAGGTAGGTAGTTGGACATCGGGCGGATGCAAGTGGGAAGATCGAGAGGGGAGGGATCCCGGGACGGTACAGAGTATCGGTACGGGAATGAACGGAGCAAGGGTGGGAAGGGGCCAGGAAAAACAGCCTATGTCGGGTAACAGTACATTCTTCACATAGGTAGGCCACGCAAGCCAGCAGCTAACGGTGGCACCTACCCACCTACCCAAGGTACCCTACCTACCTACCGAGGCGTACCTACATCGTAGGTAATCAAAGCCGGGTAACGGGCCATGGCACAATACGAACAGGCAGGCTAATTAAGGCGTTCCTTCCGAGTCGGCGCCCTGGGCGGCAGCGAGCCAGGCCAGCAGATGTCTCTCGTATCCTGTGTGTGTGTGTCAGGTATGTGTGCGTATGTGTCTGCCAGCGGGGAACGCGGATGGAAACAATAGCTCGCGCACATGCCCCTACGGACGTTGAATAACTGTGACCTCAGTGGTGTGTGTGTGTGTGTTCGGGCGGTGGCGGCCGCCCTTTGCCTGTTCCTGGTGCTTCCGCAACGGCAGTTCCGATATGGCACGCAGCGCCCAGGCGCGCCAAGTCGCCAGCGTGGAAAACAAGCAAATTCCAAGTTTTTCCACGTCTTGTCCCGTGGTCTTGGCGATCCATGGCAGGGTCCGACATGCCAAGCGCCCGGGGTGAAGGCGGACAGCTGTCATAAACCGTCGTGAACTAGTGGTGTAGGTAAGCAATGCCATGTGCCATCTTTCTCTTGGCCTTTTTCTTTCCATCTTCTCGATGTTGGTCATGTCGTTTTCTTCTGATCAATCTTGCAGTGTCGAGAGCAATGGATATGCGATCGAGGTACCGGTACCTCCTGAGACGCCGGCCAGGGAGCCATGGTGGCGCACCGCCGCCCATGGCACGACAACAAGATCAAAGGCCAAAGGGGGAGGGAAACCCCCTGAGTTGGGTTCGCGAGCGTGGTCACATGACTGGCCTTTCAACCACTGAGATTCCTTTTCCGGCCTTCCCATGGCGCAGCCATCCCTGACTCAATCCCACTTTTTTCGCTATGATGAAATGCGGGTCTCGGTTGGTCAGAAACAGCTGCAAATACGGAGTAGCGTAAATAGAGTGGCCTCCGTCATGCAATTAATTGAGTCGCATTCGCCCTCGCCTCAGCTGGTCAAACTTGGTGTAGCATGTGTAGTTAAGGTACTGACTGACTGGTCTGCCCTCAACCGATAGCCGCTTGTCCTCCCCAGCTCTTGAACGAGTGGCTGTGAGGCTTCGCTCTTGTGAGACAAGCCAAGCAACGCTCCAGGACTGAGATGCAAGAACAAGCTTTTCCCTTCATCGACGCGATCGCCTGCTCTCTCCTTGGGTCCTTGGTTCTTGGCTCTGCTAGCTCCCTTGGTTGTGTCCGCCCATGTTCCAAATCTCTGCCCTCCCGCGATCTACGCGCCTGGGCGTTCCCTTGGCGCTCAAGGCGCTGGAACTATCCACTGGGCGCGCGCATGTCTGGCCTAGGGAAAGTGTGCTTGCTCGTCGGCTGCTGTTCCGTCTAGCTTACACTAATACGGCCCGCGCTTCGACCATTTGTGGAAAGCTTGGGTGAGATAATCTCGTCGTCGTTACGCGCCGACGACGTGGCCTTGCACAGCCCCTTTGCCCTGCGATGAATGAAAAGGGGGTTACTGACATACTTGACGCACAATTCCATCTCACGCCTCGATGCTTCCGCCTCGACAATCCACTGACAGGTATCTTGCCAAGCCAAAGGAATGACCATCGTCATGCCCTGTAAGGCTGAACCTGCTGCCTCTGCCGATTAGAGCACCTGCCACGTGCCAAGAATGCGCATATGCTTACTCGTCTCTACCGCTGCCTTGTCTGCCAGTCATAACGCGCTTCGTACTATGTAAATTAACAGCTCAACACAGAGCTTTCGAGGATTCGATATGCATCAACTACCCTGTCCAATTCCGACCCGCCGTAAATTTTCTTGCACAGCCCCAGAATGGCTTCTCCACCACGCCCGTCGCTGGCGATCCGACCCAAGTGGCCCTGACTACTTAGAGCTCCGCACGCAGTCTGGCTAGATCGGCACAAGAATTCCGGAGGGTCGCTTGCTGTCGTTCTGGGCCCTGTAGTCGCAGGCAATCATCAGCGGAGGAACCGCTGCTGAGCTTACCGTCGTCTATGCGAATCTCCGACCACGCGGGAAAGAACTGGACCGTTTTTGAGAGTACCACGAGTGTCCAATGGTATGGTGAACAACAGGAGACAGAGATGTGGATCCAAGCTAGGGGTCTCGTCGGCATGTTGTGGTTATGTACAAACTGTCTGACGCAATCCTTCATCCAATGAGAGGCCTTGTTGGCTAAGTGGTATAGCGTCTCACTAGTACTCTAGTGTCATGAGAAGATCGGCGGTTCGATTCCGCCACGAGGCATTTCTTTTGCTTTTTGCACAACATGTTTGTTTGTTTGCATATTGGATGAATCGTCGTCCTTTTTTGTCAATTCGATCTTAATTCGGTCGGGATCGATCTGTAAAAATAAGCTTAATATCTGCCCTTGTACTCCCTTTGTGCCTTATCCATTGACGACAAATAAGTCGCAAACACAATCAAAACCAACTAAAAGACGACACTCGGGGCGCTCGCCACGTCTGAAATTCCCTAGGCCCAAATTTACCCGCTCCCAGACTGGCCGTCGCCCTCTGCAACCTCGCTGGTCTTAATCTTCGCCATTACGAGGCGGTACAAGATGTCCGTCCGCATGGCGTACTTGGTCCCCTGAACGACGTCGTCGCCGCAGTGATACAGCCGGCTGTGCTGGAAGATGAGCACCCTGCCGGCCCTCGGGTCGACGTCAACCCTCCTCTTCTCGTCGCCCGACAGGAACGACGTTGCGCCGCCCACGAGGTCCGCCGCGCCCTCGCCCCCGCCCGCCCCGGCTACTGAGTCGTTGAGGTAGAGCTGGACGGTATAATGCGTCCGGTAGACGGTTCCGTCCTCGCCCTTTTCGCTGTAGGAACCGTCGCAGTGCGCTGTCGTCTCCCGCGTCAGTCATCAGATCAGTGTCTCTCTATCTCTATACCTATCTCTTGGGTTGGAAACCCACCCCATATCGGGCGAGGGGTGAAGAAGGAATAGATAGGGTAAAGAAGAGTACAAAAAGGGAAAGTAAAACTTACGTCTGAAAAACTGCCCTTTTTGGTACTTCAAGAACCTCATCCGCTTGTTGAACTTATCAAACACCCACCTCTTCTCTTCCCCCTTGGCCGGGTTGCGCGACCCGTCTACCTCCGCCAGCTGCGCATCCAGCCCTGGCGCGAGCCGGCACCGTTGCCACAACCGTTCGACGATCTCCTGCTGATCCCAGATGATGCGGTCACTGTTCCGGTACTCGGGCTCGAGGATCTCCCATCCTTGCCCGATGTTCACCATCGCCGGCCGCCACGCCTCCTCGTCGTCCTCGCCCCGGCCTGCCGCGCTGTCCTCCGCCATGCGGATCAGCTGCGCACACTCCCCCGGCGTGAGGACGTTGTCGAGGACCACGGCGTACAAGTTCTCGTTCTCTGGGAGTGGGGACGCAGACCAGTCGATCTTCTCGAGGGTCACGGGGGGCGCGTCTGCGGGCGGAGGGCCAGAGAGGAAGTCTTCGGGGATGGGGACATGGTTGGAGGAGTACGACGTCTTTTGCGGGTTTTTTGAGACCTGTGTGCGCGGCTTGGCCTTGGGCTTGGACTTAGGGTCCGCGGGGGGGAGGTTGGAGGAGGACATCGTAAGACTAGAGTGCGTAAGCCGCTGGGCACGCTGGTCCTAGATACGACAGCGTGCTATTTTACTACGTCGTTGACGCTCTAGGATGTTACGGAGTGAGGACTGAAGAAAGCAAAGAGAGAGATCTAGTTCTTAAGGAGAATTGGTATGGGTGTTCGCAGGAAGAGAATATCGCTGCCTGGACACCAGACGAAAGGCGCAGCCTGCTTGGCTTGGATTGTCGTTGGATCACGGCCGTGCCCGCTTGAGGTGGCGGTGTAGATTTGGCCTCAGGGCGGAGCTGTCGGCTACTTGTGCTCTCAAACGAAGAAAAGCCATTATTACTATTCATTCTCGCCACTGGAGGATCGGAAATGTCCTCAGGCGCCAGAAGGAACGCTGGAAACCTTTGGTTGTGAGTCCCACCATCGTAAGGGGACGAGCGTAAGATTCAATGTTTTTCATGGTTGCCTGCTGGGATGCCTATTCTAATAGGAGTCACGGCAAGGATCGGCGACTTTACAGCACGCTTATCGGTTTACCCCAGATAGTGTCAGCCACTAATACGGAAGCGCCTGACCTCACCTTACATCACCTCATCGCATCACCTACCTCCCGCCGGATTCGGGTTCCTTGACCTTGGTAGGTGACCTGACAGCAACTTCATCCTGCATTCTCCAATACTAAGTAGAAGGAGCCATCTCAGCTTCTAGCCTAGTCAATAATGGCTGGCGTCATTAACGTTCGGGATGTACTCCCGGGCAGGCAAAGACAGCACGAAGCATTGTGTATACCAGCTGCGAGAGCTTGTTTTCCTTGCCCGCATATTGTGACGGCCAGCTCGATCAAGCTCGAGAAAGCAATCTACAGAGTCCTTGCCAAAACTGCCTATGTTTTTATACACAATCGATCGTATAGTTACAGAAAGCAGCCTTCATTTCACCTAGGCCTGGACTTATTTACTCTTCGTCCTAGGAACTAGACTTACTCTTCTTGTTTGGGCCCCATGACCTGCGGAGCAGTCACTCATCAGCACCTCCTTCGGTGCATCGTCTCTAACATCAAGAAACTCCTAAAACGCCGGGTTTTGAGGGGCTTCGATACGACTTACTGTGCATGTATCAGGCATTGGTAGATATGGCTTTGCGGCACATAAGCTGGAGCCAAGTGGTCAGTCCTGGTTGCTGCAAGTTGATGTTCTACACTCCTTTCCTGGTTGGATTCCTTACGGAACTATCGTGAGGGCCGCTACGAGAACGCACAAACTCATCTCTGCCATTCTGTCTTGGCTACGTCCAGCCCGGTTCGAGGCGATGTTCCAACGCTTCGTAAGAAGGCCCACAACTGCACGTCTAATAGTCGCGATTTTGCAGACGGCCGGCATCGAGACCGTGGAGCAGCGGCCAGGACGAGTCTCCGATGCCTTTGTTGCTGTTGTAGACGACAACTGCGCCTTGCGGAACGGTTTCGCAGGGTATGCAGGTGCATGCCGCACCGTCTTGGGTTGAAAGTGTATGGCCAGGGGATAGTTGCCTGGCGGCAAAACTGGGGCGAGCGTGAACTCGTCAACTTTACCCCCCTTAAGCATGTCCCCCGGACGTCATTCTCGGGTCAAAGACAACGATTCATTTACATGAACCTTGTGTTCATATTCAGAGCTTGCCTGTTTCAACGCGCTAGGCATCAAGATGCGCCAGCGCCGAGGGCGAGGTGAGCCTTGTCGACGACGACGAGGTCTATCTGATACCGCTGTCCGAGCTGGCTTACGAACGCCGTCCAGAACGAGCGACTGAGCCTCTCGGGGCCCGTGATGATGGCTGTCGTGGCGTTGAGGAACGAGTCAGGCCGCCTGTACTCCTAGATCCGGGTCCTGGCCCTTACCTGGCGGAACCTCTTGAGGATCCCTGTAGTAGGGCCTTCAGCGGTATGGCGATAGTCATGATCGCTGGGGATAGCTTCAGCGGGAGGATGAACGCGATGCTCTTCCCGCTGCTGGTGTTAGCGACGTAGATGCCGCCCCCTGAAGCACACTAAAGCGTCTCGGAGGCTGCCCGCTGGAGCTCCCGCAACACAGGCTTTTTGAGCGCCACGACAAAATGGACGAGGTCGTCGGCGATCGGGCCCGACATGTTCTCAAGGCGGAGGACCTAGTTCCGTCGTGCTTCGCTGTCTCGTATGATGTGCCTTTGTTAAGAGTGTCACGTCTGTCCAGGCGCGAGAGAGCCTTGTGGAGTCGTGTCCTACCGGTGGTATTCTAAACAAGACGAGCCTTGAATCTCGCCTTGTTTCAAATGGCTAAGGATTTGAATGAGGGGAAACAGGGCTCAAATTTCGACTATGAGAGACCGTCCAGCCAGTTGCCCCTCCCACTGCATGCGGCCACCAGGCTAGAAAGCTGGTGAGCCGTTAGGTAACATCGTATACCGAAGTCTAATTCGCAAGGCGCGCCCACGAGGCAAGACTAACGATAGCGTAGTAGCATTGTCGCTGTCGTTGCCTCGGTTCAACACGCAGTCCCAGCGATGGCGTAGCAGCACTTTCGCGGTCGAGTGGCGAATATCTCGAACAACAGCGTATCCAAACACGAATGGGTATCATCAAAATGCAAAACAGAAACGCAAAACTCCTCCGCCACCAACATCTCTGCTTGTTTCCAAGTCACCTCACATCATTCCTTTTTGTCCCCCCCTCCTCCCTCTCCCCATGAGGCGGGCGATCTGCGATAGCGCAAGGGCATTGTCGCTGGCCGCCACTTCTAGTCAAATACGCCGTTTCTCAGCAATGGCGTAGAAGCACTGTCGCGGTCGAGGTATCCAGTCTTGTTTGTCTGCCGCTCTTCGCCTGGCGGCGGCGTAAACGCGAGCCTTTCCTCGGACGAAACGCATATTCAAACCTTGAATGGGTATTTGCAGTAAGTTTTTATGATATTGTCAAAAAGATAAAAGGAGAAAAAAGGGGGAAAGAAAAAAAGAAAAAAAGAAAGAAAAAAGGGAAAAAAAGAAGAAAAAAAAGAAAGAAAAAAGAAGATATGCCAGGCAATGAATGGCATGGAGAAGATAATCGGCAGGTTGAACTGCTCATGAGTAGGACGTCGGATTAACTGTCGACTGGCTGTTGGATCCCCTGAAGTGTTGCTTTGCTTCAGTTGGTGGTCGGCCTAACGTCCGTTTGGAAGCTTTTCAGGCTTCCTGGCGTTGACGGTTCCGAGGGAGTAGCTTTCCGAAACCCCGTTCTCGGGCCTCACGTCTGGCGGCACCATCCTCAATCTCGGAGGACGAGTACGTGTCTGAGATCTTGTTCACGGGCTCGTTACCCAGGATTTTCAGCAAGAAGAACATGACGAAGCTGCTGAGAATGCTCAAGCAGAGGATGCCGATCATTGCGTAGTTGCTGCGACGGTACTGGTAACGGCCCTTGACAGCATCCTCTGGCCATCCCGTGTAAAGGGCGTAGGTAGTGACGATACTTCCGAGATTTCCAAGACCGGACACCAAGGCAGTAGCAGCCGCAACTCCAACCTCGCCATGGCGACGTTGAAAGATCTCATTCGTCCAAGTCATACAGTTGGGGACAGTTGGGCCCAGGCCAAATCCAACCATCAAAAGCCCGCCATATCGGGCCCATCCGTTGTCGAGGGCAAAAGTTACAACGAGCAGGCCAGTGATCTGGATGCACACAGCGGCCGAGAAGATGAAAGGTCGGTGACGGTGGAAGCGATCGGAAACTGGCATCACTAGTAGAATCGCAATCAGATCCATCTAGACCCGGTTAGCTGGCGCAAAAAGGAAGGGGCACGGGACGGACTCACGATCCAGATAGGGGCAAAGAGCAAGCTAATTTCAATGCTTGATGCCGTGGGAACTATGGAGCGAATGATGACGGACCCGTAAAGTTGAGTTCCGATACCGACGCCAACGACTCCGAAATACATAAAGGTTAGAGGCCAAAGACGCCAATCGATGAGAACCCTGACCAGATCTCCAAGGGTCCAGGGTCTAGGGTGGTAGACCCTACGAAGATCATGGTAGTGAATGACAGCGTCCTGGCCGGAGAGCGCTTCTGGAGTGTGTGGAAGCCATTTCAGCCAGATCGACCGTTGACGCTTCTGGCCAGGGGGGAGGGGACGGTCAGGAAGCCACCAAAGCAAAGAGAAACCAAGCACAACGGCGACCAGTCCGTAGATGAGGAACATCCAGCGGAAACCAACTAGGCCTCCAAGGCCATCCATGAGCTGAAAGCCTGCAGACACGAGACCAACGACGGCAGCCGAGAGCTGGGCAGCTGTAAAGTACATGCCGATTCTCTTGCCCGTCCGAGAGGGCGGGTAGAACAAGGTCAGGTAATAAGACATTCCCGGCCACATGCCTGCAATGACTACACCCAGCAAGAACCGAAGTAGCCTCAAACAGTCAGTTTCAGTCAATAATTGGCGTGCAAGAGACATACTTGACACTCCAGGCACTCTGAACGGCAGCGAAGCAGGTGCCAATGATGCCAGTCGCGATAACAATGCGAGCCATCCAGATTCGGGGGCTTAACTTGGCCATGACAAGATTTGAAGGACAGTCAAAGATGACATATGCCACGTAGAAGAGAGCCAACGCGGTTGAAGTATCCCGAGCCGTCAGACCGAGAACTGTCATCAAGTCATGGCCCTGTGCTGCGTTCATGGTCTGCGCGATACCGATGTTGGATCTGATAGCCGAGCAGACGAAGTAAAGACACCAAAAGGCTGCAACAACGTTAGAAGCTGAATTGCTTGATGAGTTGGATGATATCGTCACCTGGAATGATGCGAAGGTCGAGCTTCCTAAACATCGGTTAGCACTGGTGTGCCCGACAGCAGCCGCAGTAGCGATAGAAGACGGAAATTTGCGTAGAAGGCATACCTGTAGACCTTCTCGACCGTCTCGGCATCATATTCTTCCTCTTCCTGATGCGATGGACCAGCTGGAGTGGCAACACCCGATGAGGCAGCCGCAATGCTGAACTCATTGGGTTGCTTAGCATCGGCGACATGCGCCTCTCCATGTAGGGGGGTCATACTTGACTACGAAGCAATGGGGGTGCGTGCTACAAGTCTTTTTCTGGCCACTCTCACAGGAGGATGGGGAGATAAACGTCACTAATGGATATTGTTCCAGTGGGCTCGAACTTGAGTGTGCAGAGGAAGTAGCAACAGGCGTGAGATGTGCGTTGAGATGGACGATCAAGTGTGATGGGGGACCAATGTTCTGGACGAGTGGTAGATAAATCACGCGATGGGTTTAGTTTTATTTTGTAAAAAGCGTCACTTCGCACGCTTGGCTTCCTTGCTGATAGCGGGGCACCTCACGAATAGCGGCTAGAGGGCTTTTCCCAGGTCGTTCTTGCCTAGGTAGGTCGTGTCATTCCTCCGAGGGAGAGAGCGATGCACACTAGGGAGCTCCTGCCCAACAGAAAATGGCGCTCCACCCTCCCGTCTGTCGCTGTCATTTGTCCATGGCCGTGATGAAGCCCACATTTCCGCCTTTTAGCGACTCCGGACTCGGTCACTAGAGCGAGTCCACTTGTCACGCCGTCATATAATTATGTACCTACTTACGCACCAGTCCAAGGTCGAGAGGCACGCTCGACTAGTATGTATGTATGGCGAGTGGCTGGCGGGATGCTCAAAGACCACAAACGGCGCTCCAAGGAGTAAAGGTACACAACAGACATAGAGCCGGCTATATCCCTGAGCGATGATCAAACATCAAACAGAGCATGTCGCTTTCGGTGAGAATACAGCTTAGGTATTTGAGATATTTTATTGTCATGTTGTGGTGAGCCATGACGGAATTGACTACCTAGAGTTTTGGACCTTGTGGTAGTGGGGTATGTTTCTTAATAGTCGACGTCGCTTCAACCTCACAACCTCTTGCTTGTGATAATGGCTTAAGATCACACAGTATTGCCATTGCATTCTCATTCGTGAGCCGCAGCGCGTTCTTTATGCTTGTTTCTAACTTGCATCCATATGGTTGAGTGCCTGGCGGATGCCCTCAGCCGCCGTCAACTTAAGGCATCAAAAAGTCTGCCTCAGAACTGAGGGCAGAGGCTGATCTCCTTCCCCTTCTCCTCACCGCGACCCCACTCACAGTCTCATATCCTGTCACCAGCTCGAGCTTCTCTCCTTGTTTCTTGTTTATCGTGTGCCAATTGTACATGCTATTCAGACTTCATTACACTGGGCTTTCCCTGGCTCTGCCGTTGGCCCCCGAGCTCTTGTCTTCAACCTGTTGTATCACTTTGTGCATCATTGTCAGGCCAGCTGCCTGTTCGACCCCCCTCTCGAGCTGCCTTGCTGTTATGCCGTCAGATACCACTGCGGTGCACAATTGCCTCGATGCGGACTCCCGTATCCAGCAGCCATCCCCGTAGCCAACTACCTCCCCGAAAGAGCTCTAGACGATCCACCTTGAAGGAGTCCGGACCCCCGTCAGCGCGGGGTTGCCCTACACACTGCCCTCCTCGCAGCTCCATCACGATACCCAACTCAGTCACCGGCCAAGGTAACGAATAGGCACCCATCTTCTCGGCTAGTGGCCGACCAACAGCAACAGCTTCTGGCAACCCAACCCAGTGGTACGCGAACTGCGAGAGGGTGACAACCTGGGTCCCAAAGAGGGAGGTGGTGTGAACCGCTTCCTATCCTTCACGTCACATGCAGGGCCAAGACGCGCAAGTGCGAAAGGATATCATCGTACGGTTAGTGAATCACTGTAGGTAAGCTCACGATGAGATCCAATAGCAAGTGCCAGCCGTCTGGCTGTGTAGGTCCTCACGAAACCTGCTTCCTTGCGTGGATTACATTACCACTTGTAACACGCCTCATATCTGAAGGCCTGCCGATGCCTATGGAGGATTTGCATATTCCGCTTGGAATTTCGAAGGAAACCACTTACACCAGTCAAAACGCCCGCCGGGTCCTTGGTTGTCACCGAGAGCCATCAGTACGCCTACCATCATCGGCGCAGCCAACAGCTGGTGAGGCTCCCATGACTGACCCCGTCAGACAGCATCATTGCAGCTGTGAACATCTACATTGGCCCGCGCCATGCTCGATTGCGACTGCATATCTCTAGAGATTACCAATCATAGGAATCAGGAATGTCCATATCTATAAGAGACTCCCGTAAGCAGGTGAGTCCCTCTCCAACGCCTTCTTGCAGACTTGGGCTAAACCACGAAGCCATTGCTCATCAGAATACACATACCTATCACGGGACTAACCCAGCTCCGGGAAGCCAGGCGCAGACCCCTGTAATGACATGGCAGCCTTGAGGCCAACCGTGTTGCCGCTGTGACTCAGCGATACTAGGCATCGCCATCACCATCGCTGAAGAACCAAGTCATACGCCGTCTGCCGCCTAAAATCCAAAGGGGCCCACAACCGTATAATTATCCACCTGCCGCTCGAGGTAAGAGTTACCTACCAAATCGCCTTTATTTGCAGTGCATCAATGTTGATTCATCAGCAGCTGATAGTTGTTCTTTGAGAGTGAGTGGGTTCCCTCACATGATTCCAGCCTCTGCCTTCTGCTGTCCTGCGCCACAACGAGTACGAGAAGTGGGCCTATGTGGCAGAGTGGCGAGTAAGGATCACGTGGCAAGTTTTGGAGCTGATTAATTATTCTGTGGCTGAAGCCACCCGTAGCTTCCACAACTTCCGCTCAAATTTTCCAGCCGGAATTTTCAGGCCAAATCGACTTTTTGTGCCTTTGTAGCAGCATCAGAAGCTCATCGCAAGTCGCAAGCTTGACAAGTACGCGTTCTCGAGTACGAAGAGGTGCAACCGCAATTGCAGCACACCCAAACTGCAACTTTCCCACCCCCCCTTCCTTCTCTTTATCCATCGTCATCTTCGGTCTTGATTGCGGATTCCCGCGGAAGACGTGGAAGACGCGACTTTTCTTTCTCCCCGCCGGTCACGACATCCTCCGGCCATCATTTCTCATCCGTAGCAAGCTTCATCTGGTATCCACTACGTCGCATCCATGATGAGCGTCGTCTACGAACCCCGGAACTTCATGCACGATGGGTCCTACCCTCCGATCGGTGACCCGGATCACGACCACAATGTCGACCCGACAGGGCAGTACCAAGCAACCGACGTTCCCGACCTGGCTTCCTACAACCCGACAGCTTCCATGCTCGGAGACGACCGGTCTCTGATGCCGGAGGGTCTTGACGATGGTTCTGTAGGCGTCCCTGATGCAACGCGACTCGATCTCTCCGCTCCCCCGACACTTGCGTCTCTTCCCTCGCAACTTCCTCCTGCGCTACCCGAGCCTCTGCCGTCAAACAATAAGGACGACGGCGAAGCCTCGACTCCTTCTTCGAGGGTCAAGTGCATACCCAAACCTGAGCGCGAGGTTACGAAACAGGCGGACGGAAAGTTTTACTGCACCTTTCCGGGATGCACAGAAGAGACGCAGGTCTTCACACGGAAGTGCGAATGGAGGTGAGTTCTGCGCACCTGAAACCTTACCACTCCAGGATTATGCTAATCATTCTCTCCTTGCCAGCAAGCACATGGACAAGCATGAGCGACCCTACCGATGCGCTGCCGAAGGCTGTGAAAAGCTCCCAGGCTTCACCTACTCTGGCGGTCTCCTCCGCCACGAGCGCGAGGTACACGGCAAGCACGGCGGTCCTAAGAACACAGTGAACTGCCCGCATCCGAACTGCAAGCGCCACACAGGCAAGGGCTTTTCGCGCCAGGAGAACCTCAACGAGCACCTACGGCGAGTACATACGAGTGATGGATCTAGCACGGTTCAGGAGGACATCCAGACAGGCAGCGACGGCGACAGCGAGAAGGCCGGCATCTTCGGCGCAGGGAACAAGCGGAAGCGCTCGAGAAAGAGCTCCGACGCCGGGCTGGACGAGCTGCGCGAGGAGATCAAGCGTGTGCGTCAGGAGAATGAGGAGCTTCGCCAACAGCTTGACAGACAGGGTCAGCACAGCTTTGCCATGATGACGCAGATTGCGGAGCTGCAAGATGCGTTACGCACGAATCTCGACGGCACCGGCCTGGGCGCTCCCACCGCCACGATGTTGTGACAATCAGAATCAACGCCTGCGCCTCTGCCCGAAAGCGACAGCTTTCTACCGAACTTCCCGTTAAGGCGCTACAATAACATCTCACCCTAGACTTCTGGCGGCCGCGACGACTCGCTCCAGGCTGCCACATTCCTCCGTGCGCCTCTGGCACACACATGCACCCGCACCCCCCCCCCGACACACACACACACACACACACACCCGATACCACCCATCACACCACGTACACAACATCCTTACGAAACACGCATCAATGAGGCGTTCCCGGGGCCAGAAGTGCTTTTCATGATCCATACCTCCTCTTTATTTCTCTTTTCTGGGCGAATGGTCACATGCCCGTGTACAGTCTGGCGATGTGGGTAAATCTACGAGAGAGGGAACAGGCGTTTACCACGGCATTATTCGAGGTTCATTTTCATTTCCACAGTGGCGAAGCAGAGAACGATGACGACTGTTTTCTTGATATCCCCCTCCTCATGCTCGCTCCCCTTTTCTCAATGGTCCCTTCTTCTTTTTGCGAAGCAACAAGCAAAATCAAATTGGGGATATGAAAAAAGAGGGAGGAAAAAGAGAAATACCACACTTTCTCCAGTTTCTTTTTATGGCAACAGCGGCAAACGGTAGATTGTACATTTTCATTTCCCCTCCCCCTTATCACCTCAACTCATGGCCCCTTTGCCGTAAACACAAATTTGTAATTCTATTGCCAATGTATTCTGTCCGGCCTTTTATTGTAGTAACATAGAATCGGAGACAAACTTTATTTTTTTCATGAAGATGAAGAAAAAAAAAAGATGATTCTCCACCCCATAGATCAATGACACTCCTCTTCTCATTACACTCTAAACAGCAAACGTGCTTTCCCACATTCGTCATGCAACGTTCAAGACAGAAACCAGTGCTTCAATTTCTTCTTCCATTTTTTTGGTACTGAACAACCTTGTTCCAATACTTCGTGCTTCGCTGAGGCTTTCCCCCCCCCCCCCCCCCCAAACCTTTGGGGTGAGGCGAAGGGAGTGACGTACCCCCTTCCGGGTGCTTTACGCGTCCCTGTGTACGCGTCGTCACATGTGGCCTTTTCTTTTTTGCCTGAGGCAAGAGGCTTCCGCTCTCTTGTGACCAGGGGGGGTGGATAGCGATGCACAACTGAAGATCAGTACCAGCGGCAAAACGGGGCGAGCGGCCTGTTCGACTTTCTGGGTGTGAATGGGTGGGCCGTGGTGTCTCATGGGTAAGAGGCAATGCAGCAGGGCATCGCGCTCATCAGCTAGGAATCTCGACGTTTTTCTGTCTGGATATCGGCCTCGGTCTACCTGTATTGTACATGGTTTTGCTAGAAACCCGCGGGTGTAGATATGCTTCGTTTAGAAAGCTCCGGTCTATCGGTCAGTCACATGTCGCGTTGCTAGTCTCCAGTTTCTAGAGACGCATCCATACGTCTAGACCTCAAACACCTCGCCGATGCCTTCGGAGCCGCCCCGCCGGCTCTCGACAAGGTCCAGCCTCCATCCTTCCCAGTTCTTGAGCGTGCGCTTGATTTCCTTGATGCGCTCGAGGCGCTTCTTGGCATCCTCCTCCTGTGCGCGGCGGAACGCGTCCTCGTCAAAGTCCATGTCGTCGTCCTCGAGCAGATCGTCGTCGGCGGTGCCGGTGAGAGCGTTGATGCCGCTTTGGAAGAGGTCGCCAATGCCTCCGGCTTGCTTCCTCTGCGCGGACGGCGAGTTTCCGCGGCTGCCGCCGAGGTCGACGTTCTCAAAACTGGGGCTGTTGAGCTCGCGGCGCTTCTCCTGCCAGTGTCCATGGCGGAGCTCGTAGACTTCGGCCTCTAGTTCGCGGACCTTCTTCTCGAGGCGTAGGCGCTCCTCGTTCTCGAGCTCATCAACACCGTCGTCATCTAGGCCGCCACCCCCTTCAGTGGACTTGCGGCTCCGTAGTCTCGTGTTCTCGCTCTCTAGGCTCTCAACCCGCGCCTTGAGCTCACTAACTTCCTTCTCGGCGCGTTCCTTCTCCTTGCGTAGTGTCTGCGTCCGCGAGTCTTGCTCTTTGTGTAGCGTCGTCAACGTCGCGACCTTCTTCTCTAGGCCATCGGCCTTCTTCTCCGCTTCTAGCCTCGCATCGATGGATGCTGCGAGTTCGTGCTCCAGACTGCGAAGCTTAGTCTCTGCACTTGTGCGCTCGCTGCCCTCACGAACGGCCTTTTCTACCGTCCGGTCGAGATTCTTCCGTAGGTCGGTGAGTTCTTGCTGTGCCTTGGTGGCTGCCTTCTCAGACCGTGCAAGCTTCTCTTCCAAAGCCGCAATTTGTTCGCGCTCGGAGGATGTGCCGCTGGCTTGGCGCTCGACCTGGGCGCGAAGTTTTGAGATCTCGGTTTCCATTGATTCAATCGTCGCCGTTTTCGAAGCCAGTTGGGCCTCCAGCTCGGCTGGGGGTGATGACATCGAGACCGATGGTGAAGAGCCATGGCGAGCGCCTGAGCGGGAGGCTTGTTGCTGAAGCTGAGAGTTCTGGCGCTGGAGAGCCTCGATTTCAGATTTCTGTTATCGACTTGTTAGCGACTTGGTCAGGCACTCTTGGGTGGTCAGAATCATAGTAATGCTCACCAGCTTTTCAACTTGGCCGTCTGACCCGCCCTTGCCTTCGCCCTCTGCCTCGCGCAAATCGGCAAGCTCCTCTTCGGCCTTCTTCCATCTCTTCTCTGAGTCTGTAGATTCCTTGGCGAGGCGCTTGTTCTCCTTCTCGAGCTCTTCTATGCGAGCGACATGCTTGCGGTAGATGTCGGTGGCAGTCTCTCCCTCCGGGCCTTGGGCTCCGGGTGAAAGGGGACCACTGCCCGCGGATACGGACCCTTGCCTGAAGGAGGCAGATCGAAGCTTAGACTGTTCGGCCCGAGATGGCTGCTCTGCGACTGTCTCCGTCGCATTTTTCTCGTCCTCCTTCGTCTCTTCGTTAGTTGCCTCGGGCTCGGGTTCGGCCGGAGTTGCTGGCCCAAATTCGGATTCTTTTTCTTTGGGAGTGCTGGGTTCCGCGGCCGTCGCTTCGGCCTTCTCCTTCTTGGATGATTCGCCTGCTTTCTTTGTCTTCTTCTTCTTCATCTCTTCCACCTGACGGGCTGTGAGCGATGTAAAAGCAATCGCATGCTACCAAGGGAGGCTCACTCTCTTCCTAGCCGCGGCCAGCTTCTCGGCTTTGGCTTTGTCCTCGGCGTCGGCCATTGTGGATGTCTGAATGTAGTTGGTTCTCGACTTGCTGATGGGTCAATTTGAGGTTAGGTCGTGGTAGTAGCTGCGATGGGGTGGATGTCGTCGCCGTCGTCGTTAGGGGTTTCGTGGTGGAATTTCAAGAGGTCGCGAATTGAATGTTCCGGATATGACCTGCAGGAGCTTGCTTCAGCTTAGCTGTCCACTCGCGAGGAACAAGCCACATTCCACTGCCTGTGAAAGCGTGGTGTCTCTGGTGGGCAGGGGGGGGGGGGCTTCCCCCAATGATGAACGCAGGCGCACGCCTTACTCGGCATCGGGGACGCTCGGCTTACAGGGAACAACCCCCTCTTATCTGACGAACACCCTCACTATGTACACCTACACACGACAACTCCATCACAAATAACGCTGTATGATAGGGAGGCTGGCCCTTCAAAGTCTCATCACTGATGTGCTACCAACGTATTTTTAGTGTGGTTAACCGACGATTTGACAGCTCGGATATTGACCTTGGGTACATTTATTGCTCTACCTGGGACTTCTTGCCGCCATTCTGTGCGTAGATACCTTGGCTGACAACTCCAATACAACGATCTGATCACGACACTCGTCGAATGAGACCAGGTTGTTGTCTGTGACGATGAGTGTGAAGACCTCTACAGCACGCGCGGGCTTGCTGACGGCCGGCTGGATCGCGCCCTCCCCTGCACTTCCTCAGGCCCACTTGACCATCTCCTATGCGTTGGCGCCTTACGTCCTATCCCCAGCGTTCTAAACCCCCCAACCGCTCCAACCGCTCCAACCTTCTTCTTGGGCACAAGGGCACAAGGTGATTGGCAACTTCGCTGTTGTTTTATCTGTGTCGATGCCCAGTTGGCGCCAGTCCCGCGCTCGAACTGAATGCGGCACGCGCATCCGGGCCTCCAATGACAAGGGGACCTCTCTATCTACCTGCCTGCGCGGGATGCAATAGACTAGGGGAGGGGGAAGGGGACTTTGCTCCGTCGTTTGTCAGGACGCCCGCCCTGCCGCCCTCGGGGGGTCGTCTTACCTCATTTAGGATGATAGGGGAGCTGCCGCAGCAACAAATAAACAGTGGCACCTTTTTATGCGACTCGGGCATCAGACTCTAGGAAGCCGACTCAGTCGTTTGAGAGATGCTCTCCTTTAACACCACCCAATCTCCCGGCGCGCGCTGGAGGAGGAAACGAGGACGGTGGTAGGCGTCATGGGGCAGTGCGTCTCGAGCGGCTCCGCCAGCGCCAACAGCAGCGGCACTCTCGATAAACCAAACTCCCGCTGCCAGGCCCCCGGTTGCCAGAAGGCTTGCGATCCGGGGTCCAGGTCGCGATACTGCGCTCAGCACGCTGTGTGTAGGCGGCAGGGATGTGCGAGGCCGCGACACCGCAAGGGCCCATATTGTCAAGAACATTTACGTGAGTGTCCCGCTGGCCGTCTCCATCCGAGGACGTACGTTTTTCTCTGACCCCAGGACCAGATACGTGTCGGGTATCCAAGTGTTCCAACGAGCAGGTCAGGGTTCACGATGCCCGCTTCACCAATCGTCTCTGCTGGGACCACCAGCCCGCTGAGGTCCGCGAAGCTTGGTTCAACGGTACCCTATTCCCAGAATGTGGAACCGCTGGGGCGGACGCGACCGATTACCAGCAGCAACGCACTCGGCGGCGTCGTTCGCGCCAGAAACCCAATCCCACAGTGGCGGAAGTCGCTCCAGTACCGGTATATGAACCGCCGGTGTACGTTTCCCGAGCCTCCTCGCACGACTCAGATAATGATGACGCCGCCCGTGACGTTGGCCACCAACTATCTACGATAGGAGAAGAAGCCGAGGTTGCGTCCCCGCCAACAAGGGAACCACGAGCTCCTCGCCCGGAAACAGCGCCAGGGACGCCGACCGCGCGTCGCAGTCAAAAGACGGTCCATTTCGCCGAGCCTCCTCCTCGGGCCTCCTCTCCAGAGAAGCACCAGGTTGTGGCGGTGGACGTCTGGACGGCCGCTGACCCCGCCCCCTCTACTTCGGAAACCCGTCTTCGGTCTTCCCGCCACTTGCGCAGCATTGACGGCCGGCACGGAACCCGCTCGTCGCCCAAGACCTCGGGCAGCGCTGTCGGCCCTGTCACGCGTAACCGCGAGAAGCGTAGGAGCACCGGCAGCGTCCCCAACAAGCCAGCCGACGCCAAGCGGGCGCCGAGATCAAGGTCCAGGCCTTGAAGATAACACTGTAAACATTGCCATAGGACTAAGCTCCGACATTGCGTTACGTGAGCACCTGACCCGTGTCCGGCCCGATTGCTCAACTTTTGTCCATCGTCATTCGCCTTTCCGACCCATTCTATCGCGCAGTTATGCAGAAAGCCCTGTACCTCTCTGCGTGTGGGGGTCACGGACGCAGGAGCACACGCCGCAAGAGAGTGTCTTAGAGGTGGTAGGTCCATTGTGGTATCCCTCAACAGCGGTATAGAGGGCTCCACCCTTCGTAGTCGGCTACGGTATTTGGCGGGGTAATGGCGGGGTACGGGCACAAACTAAGCGCTACAACATACCTACCTATGTACGCTACCTCTTGGATGAACCTCCACGGATGTAGCCCGTACCTAACCGCACCTCTCTCACAAGAGCCTCCCCCAAATCCTTTCCTTTCCTCCTTAGACATCGATCTCGTAACAATCTGCTTGCCAGTATATCATCCCTTGTCGTCAATATTCTCTTGGCAATTGTCGCAATCGTCTGCCCTTCACGCAGGAAACCTTCAAGATCAGCAAATCCACGCACCAAACCCACAGCAACCCCGCGCCAGCCGTCGCAGACTCCTGCCCAACAGACAACACACACAAAATGGCCTCCCTCCCCTCCCAGCACCCGTCGCTGGCCCTTCACCTGACGGACCGCGCCCTCAACCCGATTTTGACATCGGCGCGCTCCCAGCCCCAGCTCGAGGCCCTCAGCTCCCTGACCACAACCGCCCTGACCGCCCACGCCGCCGCGAACCGCTTCTCCCTCGGCCCCGCCCAGCGCATCATTGTCGAACACGGCCCCGGCAGCCCCGTCGTCCTGGCCTCCTTCCTGAACGGCGCCGACGCCCTGCCGAACGGCGGAGAGGCTTCCGCCGCCGCCGCCACTGCCAACAACCGTGCCTCCTCCTCGGCCCCCTCGAGGCTCGTGTCGTCGGGCGTCGCGGCCGGTACCACCTCGACAGCGGTGTCGTCCGCCGCGGCGTCGGCAAGGATGGGCGCGATACCCGACCTAGGAAAGTCGGGCGAGGACTCGGGGAGCGCGGCGCCCATGCTGGTCGGCGTCGTGGCCGCAGCGACCGGCGAGGAGGCCATGGAAGCGCGCCGCGCTGCCGGCAGGCTTGAGAGGGTGGGCAGGGAATTTCAGTACGAATGGGCCGCTGAAGAAGGCGCAGGCGACGCGCTCGGTGATGGCCAGTGATAATACGCATGGAGATACAGGGCGCCTAGGTTCGAAATGTGCTACCTCGGTCCGCAGCCAAAAGTAGCTTCGGATCGCAAGAGAGCAGGCACAACGCGTCAGTAGATGGGCAGTTTACGATGGGGAAAATTTGGCGAGACCGTTACTTGGAAGAGTAGACGGCCAGCGTTCTGATTTTTTTTCTTTCATGACACGAGCTATGAGATTATGGCCATGGCAGGATTCATCATGAAAGCCACCAGGCTGCAGGATAGGCGTACAGGCAAGCGCATTTGCGTTAATCATAATCTTTTGAATTTAACGGTCCTCTATATACCGAGTTCATTTTCTCCCGTAAACGTCCGTCATCGCGTTAAAAAAAGAACAGTCGCCAATTAAACAAATTCTATCCATGGATATAGCCGCTTTAAATGATCTGCTGGAAAGCACGGTTGATAGGAGAGCGGACGTTGGGGACGTCCTTCCAGAAGTCGACAGTGGCGACCGCGCGCTTGGCAATGCCCTCGGGGGTGAACTCGAACTTCTGTGAAAGTTGTTAGTAAATATTGTTGCATAGTACGTGCGAAACTGTGTAAAACTTGCCTTGTAGACGTCCTTGTAAGCACCAGAGGCACCGAAGCGGTTGATACCGAATTGTTCGTGAGAGTATCTCTCCCAGCCGAGAGTGCTCATGACCTCAACGGACATGATGGGCTTGCCGTCGGGAAGTACGGACAGCTTGTAGTCCTTGGGCTGAGAGTCGAAGACCTCCGTGCAGGGCATGGAGACAACACGGGCAGTGATGTTGTGCTTCTCCTTGAGGTACTTGACAGCGTCGATGCAGATGCAGACCTCAGAACCAGTCGAGACGAGGGTGATGTCGGCGTTGTCGGCCTCGTGCAAGACGTAGCCACCCTTGATGGCCTTCTCGATGACGGAGCCCTCAAGCTGGGGCAAGTTCTGGCGAGAGAGGGCAATGATGCTAGGGGTGTGCTTGGAGGTCAGGGCAACGTAGTAAGCGGCGCTGGTCTCGTTACCGTCGGCAGGGCGCCAGACCATGTTGTTGGGGAGAGCACGGAAGTGGGCGAGAGTCTCGATAGGCTGGTGGGTGGGGCCGTCCTCACCAAGACCGATGGAGTCGTGGGTGGCAACCCAGAGGGTGCGGACCTGAGACAGGGCAGAGAGACGGACGGAACCGGCAGCGTAAGAGACGAAGTTGAGGAAGGTACCGCCGTAGGGCAGAATGGTTCCGTAGGCGGCGAGACCGTTCATGATGGCACCCATACCGTGCTCACGGACACCGTAGCGGATATAGCGGCCAGAGTAGTCACCGAGGCCAGTGGCGGGGGCCTGGAAGTCGACGGCCTCCTTCCAGCGGGTCAGGTTGGAGCCCGTCAAGTCAGCAGAACCACCGACCAGTTCGGGGACGACCTGGTGGATCTTCTGGAGGACAGTCTCGGAAAGCTTGCGGGAAGCAATGGCGGGGTCGTTGGGGGTATAGACGGGGAGAGACTTCTCCCAGCCCTCGGGGAGGTCGCCCTTGAGACGGCGGGAGAGGTCCTTGGCCTCATCGGGGTACTTCTCGGAGTACTTGGCGAAGAGCTTGTTCCACTCCTGCTCAGCAGCAGCACCCTCAGCGGCGTGCTTGTTGTACAAGTCGTAGACCTCCTGGGGAACAACGAAAGACTGCTCAGGGTTGAAGCCAAACTTCTCCTTGAGCTGCTTAATGTCGTCGGCCTTGAGGGGAGAGCCGTGGACACCGTGGGTGCCCTGCTGGAGGGAGCCGAAACCGATGGTGGTTCTCAGCTTGATGAGAGTGGGCTTGTCCTTGGACTTCTGGGCCTGGGCGATAGCCTTCTCGATGGAGTCGAGGTCGTTGTCACCGTCATCAACGACGAGAACCTCCCAGCCGAAAGATTCGTATCTCTTGACAACATCCTCAGTGAAGGCCACGTTGGTGTCACCGTCGATGGAGATGTGGTTGTCGTCGTAGATGGCAATCAAGTTGCCGAGCTGGAGGTGACCAGCCAGGGAAGAGGCCTCGCCGGAGACACCCTCCATCAAGCAACCGTCACCGAGGAAGCAGTAGGTGTAGTTGTCGGACAGGTTAAAGCCGTCCTTGTTGAAGACGGCAGCGGTGTGAGCCTGGGCAATGGCCAGACCAACAGCGTTGGAGATACCCTGGCCAAGCGGGCCGGTGGTGACCTCAATACCAGGGGTGTCGTGAGCCTCGGGGTGACCGGGGGTAATGCTGTCGACCGTCTTTCGGTGATGTCAGCAATTGGTGGTTTGGTCGACTCATCGAAAGAAGAAAAACTTACGCGGAACTTTTTCAGGTCGTCGATGGTGACGCCGTAACCGAAGAGGTGGAGGAGAGCATACTGAAGCATGCAGCCGTGGCCGTTGCTAAGGAGAATATGTCAGCTTCTGACTGGGGGGGAGTAGTTGGATGCTCTTTGGACGAGGATATGCTTAAACATACGAGAGGACGAAGCGGTCACGGTTCAACCACTTGGGGTTCTTGGGGTTGAACTTCATGAACTTGTCGAACAGAACGTGGGCGACCGGCGCCATACCCCTGTAAGATCGATTGGTGAGCGTTGTGATCCAAATTTCTCACGAATCGCGCGGGAATACGTACATGGGCGCACCGGGGTGGCCGGAATTGCTGTTGAAGGTGGCATCGACCTAGAAAGCAAGGTCGTCAGCGAGCTGCAAATCTTGGGGTGTTTGAACGCCCGCGTTGACGAAAGCTCGTCGACGAAGCTTATGACGAGCTGTTTTCGCCCTCCCACGCGGTTGGCAGTGATGCCAGTGGCGGGGTAGCCAACAATGGCCTCAACGAACGTAGGCGGGGTAAAAAATCTGGCGGAGTGGTGAAACTCACAGCGAGCAGGCGGATCGTGTTGATCGCCTTCCAGTCTTGTTCGGTGTAACCCATGATGTCTGATTTTCTTCCAAGTTTTTTATGTAAGTGAAGAACTCGGTCAAGAGGAAGAAGGGAAATGGAATGGTGGGAGGAGGGGAGGTTTTAAAAGAGCAATCGGTTGGGAAAAGCGTAGATCAAATAGGAAGGGACGGGGACTAGTGGTGGTAATCGTGTGTGCGTAGCGTGCCAGGAGGTAATTATTGAGCATCTGGTGGGGACCTGACGTGGGAGAGGACAGGGACCTGAGGGACATGGAGGGGGACGTGGGGTGGAGGGGTGGCGGGGCAGCCAGCACGCCCAGCAACGACCATGACCGACCAGACCAGACCGACGCCCGTCGCCGCTGCCGCTGGATTCACTCACAAAACCCATCGACCGCAACACACAATTCACAATTCACAATGCATCACCCAGCGAGGCAAGGTATGGTCCAATGCTGCACCAGGAGGGGTGCGGGGCGTTGTCATGGAACAACTCATGGTGAACTTTGGACCAAGACGCCATCCACAAGGCTCTTTCCTCCACTCCTACACGGTGGCAGTACGGAGTACTGTAGACATGAATTGGGGCCAGCCGCGAACTGTTACTGATGGGGATGTAGCATGTACCCCGATGTAGCTTCGTGGTCTCTGGGCCGTAGCATTGCCAACGGGCAATAGCCGCCTTGACAGGGAATTGATTCCATAGCAAGAGCATGCTTCGAGGCCAAGACGGAATAAACAGCTACGAAAAAAAAAAAAAAAAAAGGAGAAAAAGATCAAGTCACGCAAAGTCACCCTTTCTTTCAAGAACCTGATCCATCTTCACATGAAGTGGGGAGAGGAGGGCCTTCTTCTTCTGGTCGCCGCATCTCCAGTTTTCGGCTTCGGCAAAATAGGACAAGAGGGACCAAACCTCCAGCTAGTCTCAACAACCTCGTCGTCTCGGCAGAAACAACACTGTGGGCTGATTTGCGTCGGCTTGTCCCCTTTGGCCCCTCCCGCTACCCAGTTGCTTGTCCTCCTCATCCTACTTCCGTCCGCAGCCTATTTTTCTCCTCGGAAGGCAAGGAAAAGTTAAAAAAAAAAAAGAAGAAAAAAAAAAGGGAAAAGTCCATCCGGGACCTTCAACTCCCACTGCTTTCTCTCTGCTTCTGTACCGCCACGTACCGTCTTCGGGGCGATAGACAAACCGGACGCGGCCAGGTTCAACCGTCAGTCTATCCACCCACCACCGCAACATCTCAGTCAGCACCCAGTTGGCACTATCAGTACCTATCATAGGTAGGTGGTCTGGGTTCCGTCTGTGACGTATGTATTCCTCATCATGAACAGAGTCTTGACATATTCGAGAAGTCTTTTCCGAGCCCGTTCTTGACTCGTGCGAACGACGGCATCGATGGAGACTGGAGACGGTCTGTCGTCATGATGCCCACAACTCTTCACCAGCGGCCCTCTCTTTCTTCTGGATCCGCTTAGGTATCTTGCTGGCAACATCGGCTGCTGCTTGACTAATCCTGTCGAGATGGCTGCATTCTTTTGGGTATCTTCGGTCCACCCGATCGCCCCTCTTGGTCCCCCATGGCCCAGTAGCCTCGCTCTTTTTATTCACTCATGATGCCTGGATGGAGGGACGGCTGTTGCTGCGACCTCCGTCGGCTATAGGTCTTTAAAGCCTCGCCCAACCAGCGTAAGCCCACCTTAGGGACAGCCCAGCGCCGAATATACCCCGCGCACATCAAGTCTCAGTCCTTGCTCGCGTCGTTTCAAGCCGGCGACGCGAATAAGCTCTGGGTCCTCATCTGCCACCTGGATCCCCTGGTCGAATCCCTTAGTGGCGTGCTCACTGCTGAGCGTCTCAGTCAGGTCCAGTCGTGTCAGTGGACCCTGATTGCATAATGGCACCCTTCCCGTCTGCTACGAGTTTTTTTTCTTTCTTTTCTTTGTCCCACTTTACCCTTCCGTCGCAGGGCCGACTCGCAGCCTTCTGCACGGCGTAAGGATGCCCCTCTAACCCCTCTATTACGTCGTTGAGCCTTGCATTGAGATGCGCGACACCCGTCAATAATAATAACACACGGACAGCGCGGAAGCTCCAGCAAGAGGTGCATGGCCTTGCTACGGATACACATGCATATGTACTTGAAGCAGGTAGGTAACCCATAACAGAAGGGGATGCCAACGACGCACCCCACCCTCCACCCCTCTTTACATGCTGCTCCCTTTCGATGGACTTTTGACTCCAAGAAGAAGATTATTGTTGTCTGTTCATAGAAGCGCGGCGGCACTCGGGACCGGTAAAATACACGCCGGTAGACCCTCAATGTCGCATAACGTTTTGGGATTTTGCCGCCCTTCAATCCACCGCTCTGCGCTCGTTTTGCAGCGTCCTTCTCGAAATCCGCTGTGCACGGACCATGTACATCGGGAATCGGTCAGTTTCGTATTTATCCGCACAAATCAAGGCGGCCCCAAGGCCCAAGCTCCCTCCTTCCCTGCGGATGACATCAAGCCACTCCACCCTGCATATCCTCCACCTGTTAGCGGCTTGTACACTCTACCTAGAGTACCCGTTGTTGGTTAAGATTGAGCGGAAGAAGATGCGAATAGAAGAGAAGCGAATAAGATTTCATCTCGGTTTAGGGACAAGGAATTTGAGAGCGTGCTCTACCTCTTTTCATCAAAATGGAGATTAGCCTCACCGTTACAGGTTGGAAACCTGCTACCAATCGGGCCGGGCCTCTTATGGCGAGTTGACCATGCCTCTGATAGGCCTGTCCGAAACCGTGCCGTGAGCTGTCGATACAGATCTTGGCGGCGCAACTCGTGCTTTGTGGGATTCAATGAGTCCAGCAACCCGAGTTTTCGATTTGCGTGACAAACCGCTCAGTTTCGGAGTCGTGATATGTAGATGGTATCAAAACAAGACTCGAAGCGTGGCGATGGCTCTCACGAGCCCGCTCTTGAGGCCGACCACGAGTTAGAACGCGGGCGGTGTGGATCCTGCCGGATCGAGTTTTCGCCTCACCCACGTTCAACCGCAGTCCGTATACCAACTTCGTGAGAGCTTACAAACGTCAAGTCCAACAACGAAATAGCGGGGAAAAAATCATCAGGTTGATCTGGATCTGAAGCCTCACGTGGAAAAGCCCATTCGGCCACCCTTACTCAACTCAAAGTTCAAAGGAGTCTCTGCCGTCCAGGAAGAGAAAAGGAAAAGAAAAAGGGAAAAAAAAAACCCAAAAAAAAAAAAAAAAACTGCCCCTCCATTACCCCTCCATCAAATTCTCACTTTTGAGTATCGGGTTTCCGTGAACACCAGCAGCAACCAAAAGAAAAAGGAGGAAAGTCTACACAAGTGGAAGCCCAATCCAGGCATCCCCTCCGAATACCGTAAAGATGGGCAAGAAAATGAAGGTCGAGCACAACATCCGCGACACAAACCACCAGTCCGGAAGGAGGCCCAGCAAGAAGCCCGCCGCCGCCGCCAAGTCTAAGCCCTCCAAGGCCAAGGAGGAGGTATCAGTCCCGACCCCGACGGCCGAGTCTAACGGCGCCGGCGCTCTTCTCCCCGTGCCCCTCCAGCAGCGCGTGCTGTCCACCTTCAACGCCGCCTACAACCCCATCCTCACCTCGCGCGCCCTCGGCGAGGTCCTGCAGGAGGTCAAGGCTGCGCTGTACGCCCGCGACTTCGACGCCGCCTTCGCCCGGGCGCGGCCCGAGGCCCTGGACGCCTACGCCGCGCGGTGGAGCCCCACGCGCGCGCTGGGCTACGCCGCCGTGTTCCTGAGCATCGAGGAACACCTGCGGAAGCTCGAGGCAGCGGCCGAGGTGAAGCCTGAAGCTGGAGCGGAGGCCGAGGCCGAGGCGATAGGGGATGCTCGCCGGGGTGATGTCCCATCCTCCGAAGACGAGACGTCTGGTGCGACTGAATCCCTTGGAGCGGACGGTCCCTCTACCGACGCGGATGCTGCTTCTGCTGCCGCTACCGCTGTCGCCGATGATGGGGTCGTTCCAGCCGCTCCCGCCGCGCAGGGCGAGCACGCAAACCCCCCTCCACCCTCGGAGACGGAGGGCGTTGGCCCTACCTCACCCCCGGACCCCGCCGCCGTCGACACGCCTGAGCCGAGCACGCAGCTCACACAGTCAATCAGGGCGCTCTCCATAGGGGGCGGGGCCGCAGAGATCGCTGCCTTCGCGACCTACCTCTCCCAGCAACCCTCCCGCTTCCTCAGGGGCGCCATGACCCTCCTCGACTCGGCGCCGTGGGCCGACGCCGTCGCCAAGCTCCACGACGCCCTCACGATACCGCCGCCACTGTCGCAGTACGCCAACGCCGCCGCCAGGGCCGCCAACGTAGCCATCATCGAGCCCGGCCGCCTGACATCCTCGTTCACGCAGCAGAACATCCTCACCATGACGCGGAACCAGCTCTCGCGGAAGCTGGGGGACGGGCCATTACTTGTTACATTACTATTCACGCTCAACGAGCTGTACACGACCGCCGGCATCGGCAAGACTACGGCCTTCCTCCTTGACCTTACCGCCACCGTGCCCCTGGGCTCTCTGCTCCTCGTCGTCGACAGCCCCGGCAGCTACTCGGAGGCCTCCGTCGGCAAGGAGAGCAAGAAGTACCCCATGCAGTGGCTCATGGACCACACTCTTGTCACTAAGCCGGAGAAAGAGGGCATCGCCGAGGGCTGTCGGTGGGAGAAACTTGAGTCCCACGACTCTGTCTGGTTTCGCCTGGCTGACTCCCTAAACTACCCCATCCCGCTCGAAAACATGCGCTATCAGATGCAACTGTACCGGGCCATCAAGCCCTAAACGCCAGAATAAGAAAAGGATGATGGGGCCGACCTTGGGCGCGAGTCCCATTATGCCCAGACGAGTCTCTTCAAAGAGTAGCTGATATGGTCCAGCAAACCTGTGCTCTGCCTCGCCTCCTCCACCGAGATTATGTCGCCCTTTTCTATGATGCTTTTTGTTTCTGGCTTTTCCTTGCCGGGCTGGCTCAGGAACGCCAGTCGTTCTATTTCCGCGCAAATGCTGACAACCTGCTGGATCTCGCTGAGCTTCGGCTCCTCGCCCGTCACGGCGGCAGACGACTGCGAGTAGGGGGCCTTGAAAGCGATCTTGCGAATAGGCGGGGCTTGGGGACGGCCGCCACCCAACAAGCTGCTTAGGGCAGATTGGGGTTGTTGTTGTTCCGAGAGGTTTGAGCGGTCCGTTTTGGCTTTCGACGTACCCAAGTTCGAAAATGTTCTGGTGTTCGTTCTTGTGACGTCCGTCTTGCCTGGCTGGTACGAAACAACGAATCCAACATTCTTCATCTCGTCTGTCTGGCCGGGTGAAACCGTCGAGATGATGTACGTGCCAAACTTGATACTGACGACGTGGGCAAGATCGATCCGTTCAAAGGATGAAACTTTGTCCATGTTCCAATCAAATCGGCAAAGGTAGATGGCAGCATCAGTCAACAGCAGCACCACTTCCTCAAAGGGCATAGCTCGCAAGGTGTCTGATTGATGGGGGCTGAAGAGAACCCATCCGCCCATGAACTCCTCGCTTTCATCGGAGATGACGCGCTTCTGTGACAGTTCGATAGCCTGCTCCCGCATTTTCTGCATTGAAACCGCGGGGTCTTTCGTCATCATCTCAGCCTCAAACTCTTGGAAGACCATTGCGTTGACGTTGCCTAGGAGGAAGTCAATGGCTGCCTGACTGAAGTAGTCATTGACCATGCTGTGTAATGCGTTAGCAAAATAGCAATTAGAAATAATCGAAAGAATGACTCACCCGTTATAATAGCGAGTCAAGGAAAGACCAAGGTCGTTCAACGTGCCGCCGAGATTCCTCTTCCTTGTTCTCGTGTAATCGCCTTTCATGGCTGCCGTCGACGCATATTGCTTGGACACGGCGTCGCCGTTGTCTGCCCACAGCGTGTTGAACCACTGCGTTTGCTGGTCTACCTGGGCAGCAAGGTCATAACCTTCCGCCTTCAGTTGGGCTTCAAGCATGAATTTACCAAAAGAGCTCTGGCATACGTTGGTTCTGTCAAGGCAGTCCATGCAGTTGGTACGCAAAACGCCTTGCTGCTTCGTTTTGATTTGGCCCTCTTCTTCGACGGTGCTTCCAAATCCCTCCAACTTGTCGCGAAGAGTTTCGAGAAGTTGGCTGACATTCTCAAACTTCATTCCTCGGCAGGCCGAATGGAAATCGAACCACTCGAATGCTACAGCCTCATCTTGGCCCTTGAACTCTTCCTCATTCAACTGTTGCACAGTCTTCTGATACTGGCTACCGACCGTTGCCTCTACACCATGTTTTTCGACAAGATTGACAATCTGCAAGGCGCCATATTCTGTTCTCAAACGTTCCAGATGCTTCCTTGTCGCGTTGTAGTTTGCTTCTGGAGAGTGCTGGATCACTGGCACGGGCTTTAAGGAGACGGGCGACTGTGTAAAGAAGAGCGGGATACTGCCTCGAACCTGAAGGAAGGAGTAGATCTTGGAGGACTTGTCCCAGGTGGTGCTCGAGAGAATCTGTTCTGTTTCGACGGCGTTCGCAACGTAACCTTGCTCGTCGATACCTCGTCTCAAGTACCTCAAACCGGCTCTTTGCGTTGAACGACGGGAGATGATGGTCAAGAAAAACTTCTTCTCGGTAGAACGGAGATCAACCGAGTCGCGGACCTTCTCTGACGGCGGGAAAGGTATCTCACTATTAGGATGCTTCAAGGTGGACAATTCCACAGAATCTCCCGGCCCATAGTCATGTTGGGGAGGGCTACTGTCTACCACGAAGCTCTTCTGGCCGACAAAACCCTGCATGAGAGGGAGTAGCAAGGCATCTTGTCCAGCTTCTACAAAAGGCTTCAGGGTATTCCTGTTCCAGAAGAAGGTTGGGTCTACGCGCTCATGCAAGGGCACCTCATCGGACTGCGACGTTGCGCGACTCGCCCATCTCCGCGTGATATCAAAATCGTACGAGAAGAAAAAGCTTCGCGACGAGCCAAAGAGGATTTGTGTTGTCCGGAGAAGCTTCGGAAGCAGTGTAGGAGCCGGTGCCGGTTCCTTAGTTTCTTCTGCCGTCGTCTGAGAAGGGGCGGCCTTGGAAGGACTATGATCGACGGAACGACGAACTTGGTGCGCGGCACCACTCCAACCAGTCGAGCTCTTCTGGTCTTGCGTCCATCCACTCTTACTGAACCATGTCTGCGCGAACCTGCCATGACTGCCCCTTCTGCCAATAACATCCTTGGCAACGGTGCTCTTCACGGCTTCGGGTCCCTTGTCGTTGTCCGCCTTGGCTTCTTGCGCCGGGTCTTCCACCTCGTCACCGCTCGCGGGAAGCTCAACGTAGTCATCGCTTTCACTGTCATCGGCATTTTTATCCGTGTTGCGGTCCTGCAGCTCCCGGGCCGTCTTCCCGATAGCTTCTCTGGCTTCTCGCTGCGAAGTGCATGGGGTCACGGCGACTTCGGTGACGACGTAGATCGGAAACCCGCAGATTTGAGCCACTTGCTGGCGTCGGGTGATTGTGATGAGGTAGCTCAGACGCGAGACCGTGATTAGGCCTGCAGTTTGCCGCGGTTAGAATTGGACGCGTAACAACAAGAGCTAGGAGTACACACCAATAACGCCGAAGGCCTCGAAGGAAGAGTCCGGCTGAGAAACGTCGGGAACCTGCTCTCGAGATGCGGGGGTGATAGAAGCATCGCCATATCTGATCCTGACTGGTTGCGCGGGGCGCTGTCCTTTGGTCACAAGTGGTTGTATGAAAAGGCCGTCAATCGCCGCGCAGATTACGATCTTGCGAGCGATACCGGGCATCTTGTGAGCTGGGATTATTACTCTTTGCGCGGAGTACAATGGAGGCGGGGTAAACAGACAAGACAGTCTAAGAATTATGCGAATGAGGCAGTGAATGGGGGTATCAGTGATATCCAAAGCCGAAGTATTAACATTAGCAGTGTTGGTGAAGATGCGCAGGGGAGAATGGGACGTTGTACGCAACACGAACTGCTGATTCACCCAGCAATGTCGGCCAAAAATGGTACTGTAGCTATGACATGGGTGGTGGGCCGCGGGGTATTAACGTCAGGGTGCAGTTCCCACGCACTGATATGACTTGCCGCGAGTCCATTTCAGGTCACGCCTCAGACAGTACACTAAAACTATTGGCTCGGTCTAGACGCCAGGTCCTCATTCGTCCACTGCGTCTCGTCTTGGCCACACCACCCAGTTTTAAGCTCTCGCCTTGCTCTTCAGCTATTGGACTGATGTGCCTTTGGAAAGACCCATCTGCACTACTAATACTGCAGTAGCTCATCCCGACTCAGACGCCCGCTTAATACAAAACTTGGGAATATTGCATATTCAACATTTTATTTATTTTCGACAACATTTATTGACGGTTATCTAGGAACTGCTGCCCTAAAGCAGTCTACTGCGAGATCAGCAGCATAGTCATTTTCATGATCATGGCGCCGTCGCGGCAGAAGGGAAAAAAGCCGTTGGGCAGGTAGCCTTAGCCCAAGAACAACAAGTCGGTACTTGTGAACAATTCAGATTTTTCCATTCCAAACCGTTTTATAGCACCTCCAAGTTACTGCATAAACGCCACCCGGGATCCTAAATCGTGGGGTATCTTAGATGGCCAGTCTCTCAACCTTGTCGCGGAGAGCGCGGATGGGTCCGGCGAGCTCGCTGCCCTCGTTGGAGGTGATGCTGGCAGCAATGACGGCGCGGGAAACACCGCAGGCGCGCCCAAGGGCGGTCTTGGACTTGACGTAAACGTATGGGACGTTCTTGTCCTCAGCAAGAAGGGGCAGGTGAAGAACAATCGAGAGTGGGTTTGTATCTGCGGCCAAGATGATGAGCTCGGAGACACCACGGTTGAGGGTCTTGGTGGCCTCGTTGGCTGTATCACAAACGTTAGTGACGGAACAGAGATCGAGAGTAGGAATGCGACGCACCGCCCTTCTTCAGCTGACGGTAGTGCTGGCACTGCTGGACCAAGTCCAGGATCTCCTGCTGGAGAGCATCGTCGGCCAGGGGCCAGGCAGCGGATTGATCAGCCATTGTTGGGATTGGGTCGAGAAGATGTCTGCAAATAATGATTAGATCATGACATTCACCGATCCAAAAGAAAGGCAGCATACCGGAGTTTTCAATTGCAGGGTTCCTTGCGTTGGCTCGCCCTGATGGTGAGGTAGAAGGTCGGTGGATGTGGGTGGTGGACGTGAAGATCCAAAAGTCTCGGTGTAAAGCCAGAGAAAAAAAAATATCCCACCTTCCCCAAATTTCGACGGTGGCTCCGCTTGGAAGTGGAAATGCCCCACACAGGAAAGCCACCCTCGGAATGGACCTTTGGCCGACTTCCGCAGCACCGCCTCCTCCTCGTCTTACGTAAGGACACGGAGCTGTCAACGCGCCGCAAAACCTTGCAACCAACCAGAAGGCCAACCTGGAAACGAGATCTTAACAAGCACACCTCCCTCATCTCGAGCAGTCGCCGACGCAGCATCGAACCTCGCCGCCCCAACACTCATCACCGCCATCCTCCTCAGCCCAGCTGTTGCCGCATATCTCTTCATTTCCGACTTCCTCGCGCCTTTTCTTCGAATTTACTCCGTCCGAAACCGACAAACCGCCAAAATGCCTACCGAACTTTGGTACGTCAACGTCGACATGCGTGTTGTGCCCGTTTCCAAGCTCCCTATCCATCAGTCGAAGCTGTCAACCCCATCCATTTCGACGCCCAATGTGCCTAACGAGTTTGCTTTCATGTTTTTAAAGCTCATTTACTAACGCGATACTGCCACAGCCCCGTCTATGCGGTTCGTCACCCCCATGCGTCCCGACTCACCGATCCATGACGTCGCCCCCTTCTAATTACCCCAATTGAGCCATTTGGCCATCGACTCGACGTCGCGTCCACAAAATCGCTAACACGCAATAGCCCTTTTTCGGTGCCATGGGTTGCACTGTGGCTATCGTCTTCACCTGCTTTGGTGCCTCTTACGGTACCGCGAAGTCCGGTGTCGGTATCTCGGCTATGGGTGTCCTGCGCCCTGACTTGATCGTCAAGAGTACGAAACAATCATTACCACCATCAAAGGCCTCACACAAGTGGCCGGTGTCCATCAGAATACGCTAACGAAGCAAACAGACATTGTTCCCGTTATTATGGCTGGTATCATTGCTATTTACGGTCTCGTCGTGTCCGTGCTCATCTCCGATGGTCTTGCCCAGCAGATGTCCCTCTACACTGGTTTCATCCAGTTCGGTGCTGGTCTGTCTGTCGGTCTCGCTGGTCTCGCTGCGGGTTTCGCCATCGGTATCGTCGGTGACGCCGGTGTCCGTGGAACTGCTCAACAGCCCCGTCTCTTCGTCGGCATGATTCTGATTCTCATTTTCGCCGAAGTCTTGGGTACGTTTTCTGGCTATCTTGTTGTACACAAGTTCGCTAATGTTCCATTCCCAGGTCTTTATGGCTTGATTGTTGCCCTTCTTATGAACTCCAAGGCCACCCAGGACGTCGTCTGCCAGTAAAGACACCTCAGCGACGAATGCTCGGTTGAACGGTTGACAAGATGTACTTACGCCACAACTCGCACGGGCATCACTGCCACAGAGCAGACAAATAACATCAGCAGGCGTGTCGGAAATTCAATGAAGGGCTTTAACGGCATGGCCGTGTAAACGGCCAGAGGTCACGAAATGCCAATGTTTGGGACGGTCGGGAATTGCTTCGACCAGGAATCAAACGTACATGTACTATTGTGCCAACAAGGTATGCTATTCATTTAGGGGGGGCAGTTGCTCAGCATAGACAACACAACGGTGATGGGGATCGGAATTGTAGTGTAGGTTGCGATAATGCTTTTTTGCGTCTCTACTAAGGCTCTAATCACTGTCTCCGCACGTGATATTTTGACAAGAACGTACCTGTGTGAGGCATGACGATCGGGCTTAAAACGCGCTACTTGCTGGAACGACTGCATATGATGAGCGCCCATTGTATCGAATTCTTTCAGATCTCCAACCAGTCTCCTGCGCAGGAGCAACGGAATGGGCCTCACATTGTTGGGAAAGCCCAGCTACAGGTATCTGGTGACATGCTCTTGAGGGATGGCACCTGCGGAGAGGAGCCACGCTACGCCAGTGTAGAGGAGCCATCCAGCTCTCTTCCATGATAGAAGGCTAGCAACAGAAATCAGCACGATCTCACGTTTCGCTATAAAACATTACAGACTAAAGGGTTCTGGCGGTATCAACCATGGATTCCGCTTGAGGCACAGGCTTTATGTGGTGCATTCTTCCTTCTTCCATTTGGCTCCTTTCTTCAGATCTTTTACTCACAACCAGCACACCGTGATAATATATATTTACAAACGAAGCCACGGTAATGCCAATAGAGGAACACACCGCTTGTGATGCATGATTACAAGGCTTTTATACAGGCATCGTTCTCATATCTGACTCCGACAATTCGTTTATTTTTCTTCTTTGTATCCCATGCCTTCCCGGCCAGACTCCGTTACTTCCAGTATTAGAGCAGATACACTGGCTCCCAGATGAATGAAGCATATATGTGCAGAAAAGAATGGCCCGATAGCCATGGCATAAGACGCCGCGCATTAGGGAACGGTTTATTGGGTAGGGGGGTTGCATCGTATTTAGATGACATACTGCGATCATGGTCAGTTGAGGAATATCCTTCGCCTGGCTCTGCATTTCGAAACTTACGGGGATGAAGAGGTAGGGGACCTCGCGCTCGTACTGGGCCCAGGCATCACCGTACTTTTGACGGCAGCGGTGAATGTCACGGGCGGCGCGGTGGGCAATCATGCCGCAGAAGAAGACGGGGTAGAACCAGGGGAAGGGACTATTGAAGCCAGTGATGAGGCCCCAGCAGATGGCGAAGAAGGCATCGCAGGTGTAGTGAATCTTGCGAGCGTAGCCGTACCAGCCGTCAGCAAGGATGACGTCGCCCTTGGCCGAGGTAATTGTCTTCGGGTTCTTGACCGTCTGCCAGGGCAGCTGGGGGAAGGTACGACGCGGGGTGAGCTGACCGCGCTCCTGCGCGCGGAAGGAGTTCTTCTGGCTGTTGGTTGTGTCCCAAACCCAGTATGCGAAGAGGTAGGAGACGAAGAGGAGTGTGAGCGCGTAAGGGTTCCACTTGTACTCAGAGGGGTGACGGTTGGCAAGGTAGATTGTGCAGTGGCAGTACGAGAGGGGAACGCCGGCAAGGTTCCAGAAGATGAGCATAAAGCCCCATTTCTCGTAGTACATGTCCCTGAATGGCGTTAGTAGCGGTTCTTATTTTTGCCTGAAGAAACACTTACCAGGTGGGAACAATGAGCTGCTCGCCCTTAGCGCAGGCGTTGGCATACAGGTAGTGAGCCATGACCAGGAAGAGCACCTCGCCCGAGACGTAGCCGTACTGTTCATACTGACGGGCGGCAGCACCACAGCTGAGGCCGAAGAGGATGAACCAGGGGATGCGGACCTCAAAGAACATCTTGAAGTCCAGAATGCCAAACATACGGGGGTTAAGCTCGGCTCCCAGGAAGAAGTCGTAGATCGGGTAGCCGGTCATGCGATGCTGAGCACCCCTCCACAGAGCAGAGAAGTATGCGATGAAGGAAACAATGAATCCGCTCAGAATAGCTACGGACATCAGGGGTCCGAACTCATCAATGAAGGTATAGACGGGGAAGAGGCCACTAAAGTGGAGGACGGCCATGACCGAGATGGTGAAGTAGAAGCTGATGTAGGCGTTGCAGAAGTACTTGAGCTGCTTGCCGTTCTCGTGAGGAAGAGGCTTGCCCCAGGCCCAGACACCGGGCAGGACGCAGTAGCAGATACCCTCGAATATGAAGAAGGTCCAATAGATGCGCCAGGCACGGAGAGTGGGGAACGCGCCAGTGTAGACAAGGTCCACGAGGTGCCTGCCGAATTCGCCCCAGGTCTGGCCATCCTCACGCATGGGCAGCTTGCCGTCGTAGTATGTGGCTCCAATCCACATGTACCACATGAGCAGAGGGAAACCGATCATCAGCGAGAGCGCGCCGAGGCTGCCACCAAACTCGAACTCGCCAGAGGCGTCAATCTTGGGATCCGTGCCGACCTCCCAGCCATCAATGATTTCGCCCTTCTTGTAGGCAGGCAGAACCTCCTTGGTCTCGGAGTGAACATGGCCGTTGGCCTCTGCCGTCTTCTCCGTTTTCGTCTCGAGGTGGCCGTTGATGGCGTGACCGTCACTGTTCACGGCATGCTCCTTCTCTTCCTTCACGTGTCCATTGGCATGTCCGTTTGCGTAGCCATTTGTGTGACCGTTGGTAAGAGGCTCCTCGGCCTCGTCGTGTAAGATCTCCTCCCGGAACTTGCCAGTAGTGCGCCGTCTCGGGGCTGCGCGGGATTCGGGCTTTGACTCGGTGACCTCTGCGCCGGTGGCAGTCTCAGGGGACTTGCGCCTGGAAGAGACGCGGCGAGGGGTCTCGACCATGCCGTCAAAGAGCTCCTTCTTCCTGGTGAATGAGTTAGCCAGATTGCTGGAAAAGTTGTTGCGTAGGGTATTGACCCATTGGGGGGTTGAACGAGGGCAGCCATGACTCTAGTCGGTGGCAACTATCACTGCGGGATACGGGTGCTCTGTGGCCGCCCACGTGTGCTTCGGGCAAGAGCTTTCTAAGGATCGCAGGGAGAAAAGAGGGAAAGAACACTGCTTGACGAACCTAGGAGTCTGGCGCAAGGAGTACCGATTCGAAGACATATTGACTGCTTTTTTTATACAAATGTAAGGCAGATAGATAACAGAAAACCTCAACGTGGGGTTATGCACCTCTCGTCTAATCGAAAGCCAAGTCCGTGTAAGGGTCCTGGACCTGGCAACAGCGCGATCCGGCGGTGGGGGTTCGGAGATGGGATTGTTCAGCAGACGCCGAAGAGAAGGTCCGTCCAAGGCATAAGATGAGGTAGAAGGGGGGAGGCGGTCTGGCGCAGGGAATCCGAGTACGACCAGACGAAGGCGTCAGGGCGGGCGTGCGGTGGGAAAGGACTGGAAGAATGAGACTCGGGATGGCGTCAAGTCAAAATGTTCGCCGTGTGGCCACGGGGTTCGATTGGACCCCCTCTCTAGGGATAGCTTGCCTCTCTGCCTGCCACCCAAATTTTTGTTGACATTTGTGTTGTGTTTGCCCCTTTCTGCCGGTAGTCCGGGTCACCACCAACAACGGCTGGAAATTTGAAATTGGATGTACGGATACAAGGGCAACATATGGCTTCCGCTGCAAAATCGAGGTACCCGTCTGCAACCTTCGCGGGAGGAGCGTCCCGCATATGCACCTTTCGTCTAGACAGCTGCCAATGAGAAGCTTGATTTTGCTTGGATCGGGATCGTACTTTTTAGGCGGTGTGGACACCCCTCCCCCTCCCAAGAGTGCTGGGCGAATGGAAGCTCGCTGCAGAAACTGCACCCTGCACCGGCAACAGCACCGGAAATGAATGGCCCACACGGCGCGGGTGGATACTTCATTGACTTTACATAGTAGGTGCCCTAAGTTCCGAGACTATGGGATCGGACCTACCATCTTCCCTCTGCCCGCTGCTAGACGAAAGCTGCATGACTTGCATTGCTCGCCGGTATCTTGACCAGGATTTTGAAGGCTGTGTGTCTCTATCCGTACACTAGTGTAGGACGGCCAGTCCCTTGAGCCGCCCCGGATTTCCGTCATGCAAATGGAGCGCAATGTCGACAGGGTTCGCCCCGAATCGGCCGTGAACTCGCGTCACATGGGCATGGCATCCTGATACGCAGCCTTGGGAGTGGCCTACTGCTTTGGCCAGCTGCCACTGAGGCTGGACTCACAAGTGATGAATCATTATCTTGGTACGCATTACGCTGACGGCCCCTAAGAGAGAGTTGATGTGTATCGTGATACCCTCTGTAGTGTTGAACAATCAGCTAGTTGCCTTCGCACAAAACCCACTACATCGAAATTAAATAACTTTGTTAAAGTTTCAAGGTTATCACGGTTGGAAGTTGATCCATTCTTTACACGTGACTTTGAGGTTAAGTCGCCTGCATCACTTCGGCGCCAACGGCATATACTCGCCAACCACAATGGACGGATGGGGCAATAATAGACTCATGAAGCCCCAGTCAGCCAGTCTTGCCGCTCAAGGAGCAACGATGACTAAAGTAGCATCATCCGCGTGATCAGATACATGACAAAGAGCAGGCAGTGCCCCTGAGCCCCGGACCTTGGTGATGCTACCTCAGTATCTGACTGCAGTGGAAACACCTCTAAGAAACGTAACAGCTGGGCAACTAACAGCTGGGGCCTTTTAAGTGCGTTTTCTGCACTTATACAGCACGTGAACCTTGGCCTCCTATTGCAGGCAGAAATAGACGTTATCCTCGGCATCGTGATACCACGTAGTTGTCGGGGCACAGGTATGAGGTACGTACCTATACGTACCTACCAGCACGTACCGTCCTTCACATTTTGGCCTCAGCTTCCTCTGCGGTACGTACTTCGGGCTGATCGCGTGTGGTGCACAGACCACTTCTCTAAGCTATATAATCCCTCCTCCCACCCGCGGTTCTTAGAATCTTCTTTCCTTTTCTCCTTAGCTCTCTTTGCCTTTTGGCTTAGATCAAGTGTAGTATCTGTTCTTTTCAGTTTAATCTCTGAAAGATGCCTACTGGCATCAATCTTGATTATTCCTATTTTTGATACCAGGAGATGACCTCTGTGGCTTGCCATATGTTATCTCCAACGTGTCCCTGGTATAACACTGTTTCCAGGAGACGCAAACCCGCGATTTTCATTGCAATTGTCTGGCTTGCCCAGGCTTGTGAAGAAGGTTGTCTGCCCGTCTTGTATTCGAAATGCGTCTTTATTGATCGTCTCGGCGACAAGTTAATGTGCCGATGCAAGATAATGCCCCAGCTGGGCTGATCATGCCGAACCAATGCCCTCTTCCACTTGCCAATTGTGACTGCCTTCCCATGTGCATGGTGTTCCTCGACCCTTGGATCATCAAATATATCACGACGGTGCTGTAACTAGCAAATATCCTGATAATTTCGTGTGGTTGTGACTGTGCTGTTCCAACTGTCATTCCAACGAGTAGCTGCTTGTAAGTAAAACTCTGATTTTCGGTGACTGCTTCTCCAGTGACGTCGCCCTAATACGCGGGGCTCGCCTTCGACCACCAGATTTGAACATCACCACCAAGTCTCGCTCGGCCATCTTTGGAGGGAAGTATCAAACCTATCCAAGGCACCTGCGATATTGTCTGATTTATTTAATTTTATTTCTTCCCACATGTTTTGTTAACGGAGCCAACATCTCATCAGCCACACGCTCACATTCTCTCCAGAATCAACTCCTATCGCTCGGTCGCATCATCGCCAGCCATGGACAGCGATACCAACATGGGCGAGGTCCCTGCATCCCGTCTGCTGGATCCCCAAATTTTTGAGCACCTCAAGAACAAGATCGACGAGGATCAGCAGGTTCGTGACCAGATGAGCCAGACCGTCCAGAAGCTCGACAGGACCATCTCCTACGTCCAGGGTCTGCTGTCCCGCATTCACGCAACCCCGCGTGAGCAGTGTGAGTCCTCACCCCGTCAACGCTCAGCGTCATCCGTCTTTCCGGCGTCAACTTCCAATTCAGTTTCGAAAGGATCTGACAGTATTGTGTACCTACAGACGGCCCCCTGCTGTCAGACGTGCAGGCGGGAATCCAGAAGGAGATCGAGGTCATTGGGGAACTCCAGGAAATCGCGTCCAAGCACCCTTACTACAAGTAGGCATCCATCGCATGTCCTTGCAGCAGCAACCACTCTGTGACTCACAATCCTCAGGTACAACCAGAAGTGGAATCGTCAAGTCCAGAATGCCATCGCCACCGTTCTCCTTTGCGGCTGGCTGGGTGGCTTCACTTCCGACGGCAAGCCTGGCCCCGTTGCCCGTCTTCTATCACTCGAGGAGGTCGGCGAGATCTTCAAGGGCACGTAAATCCTAGCTTTCCCCCACAGGCAGCCAAGACGATCAACTCCCGCCGTCTCGTCTTCCTTTGGAAGCCAAGAGCTAACAATATGGCAGTCCCCGTCAACCTCAAGGACCGCGACGCTTTCCACCTCACTATTGAGGAGTACCTCCTCGCCCTGGTGGACCTGACGCAGGAGCTCTCCCGTCTGGCTACCAACTCTGTGACTCTCAGCGACTTTGCCATGCCCGTCGAGATCAGTAGCTTCGTCAAGGACCTCTTTGCCGGTTTCCAGCTGCTCAACCTCAAGAATGACATCCTCCGTAAGCGCATCGACGCGGTCAAGTACGACGTCAAGCGTGTTGAAGATGTTGTCTACGACCTGTCCCTTCGCAACCTGATTCCACAGAAGGAGAAGGAGGTTGCCACCGACGCGTCAACTTCAGTTGCGAAGGCGTGAATGGGACCAGGTGGATATTCGTCTTCGAGAGGGCTCATTGTCTAGGGTTCATGTCGGTTACACCTACCCTGTCCGATTGAAGTATGAAATCCCGCATTCTATCTATTACTTTTGTGTTTCGGGAAGGACTTTCAAACACTCTTGTTACAAATGTATTGATGCCTAGGGAACTTTCGCTATGTGCCTCATGCTGCTCAGTGTCATGATGTTTATGAACCAGTTCACCCGCAGCTGTGCCGAAAAACTCAACAAGTTCCACATAGTTTGTCCCGTATTATTGAGCAGTGTGCACTTAAGTTTAGAATTGTGATGGGAGAGCAAAGGGGAACAAGTGAGGTAACAGCCATTTTCAATTCATTTCAATGCGTGACATAGGAACACTGGGATTTGCGCACTGACTCTAGCCTATATATAATACTCTGCAGTATTCTCCGTCAACCAACTATCACTGGATGATCACATCCACAATTCCCCGATAGTCTAGTGGTGAGGATATCTGCTTGTCACTGCAATAGCAGCAGCTCGCAGGGGACCGGGGTTCAATTCCCCGTCGAGGAGACATTTTTGCTTCTTGCCACACTTTCTCTCACGATCCCACTCTCAATCAATGGCTCTAAAACGGGTTCCTGTTTCCTTTTGTTGTATTCCTGTGGCGCATCAAGGTGGAGAGTGGTCGGATGGGGTCGGAACCAATACTACCTACCCCTCACTCCGCACAATCCTTCCCCCGGAAAGATTTAGATCGATGAAAACACAACAAGATGAGTGAAAGGTGTTGCATTTGCAGCTGGAAAGATCATGTAACCTACGGGTTTATTTATCTATAGTTACTCTACGTCTGATCAGTTCGAATCCAACCAATGTCTAAATCGCACGCTATGCTTCAAAATCAAATCTACCCGCCCAGTGCCTTTTGGACAGCTATCAAGAGTAGTACAAAACATTGCCCTCGAAAAGCCGTCGGGCTGTCCTGGTGACGATGCACCGGTCTACTGCTACTCCATCTTCACTCTCACGTGTCTTGACTTCCACATCCATAACACCGCTGCCATGCTTGATTCGAACAGTCCGGCCTTGGTTGTGTTCGTCGGCAGGCGGCGGCGTTCTTCTCGGCGTCGGTAGGCCCTCCGCCGATAAAGCCGACTCGCTGCCGCCCGCGATGCGATGCGCTACCGTTCCCTCCGAAGTCACCGCGCTTGCCAGAGTGACGCCGCCCGTGAGTTGGAAACTGGGGTGAGGCTTGCCCATGCTGTATGCTAGTACTTGGATGTCCGCCGCCTCCTTGCCTGTCTCGCCGTTGGATGGCCGCGAAAGGTATGCAAGCTTCGGCGTTCCCCTAACCAAGCCCGCCGCCTCGACGGAGCTAGCGAGTCCCATTCGAACGGCGCCCTGTCTACGAATAGCCTCGGCGACCTCGAGAGCCAGCGGGGAATCGGCAGGCTGCTCCCTAACCGAGGCGGGTAGACTCTCGGCGTCAACAAAGACAAAGGGGTTTGCCGAGTCGATCAGTGTAACGTCCACCACAAAGTCCCCGGAAGCAAGCACCCCTTCCACAACGATCTTCTCGGACCGTTGTCCGCTCGGGAACAGTTTGCCCGTCATGCTCCCGACGGGGTCGACGAACGCAACCTTGATCTCACTGCCGGAGCCCTTGACGCCGGGAATTGTACAGTCGCCGTCTTCCTCCACGTTTCCGTCCTCATCGACGTGGACGGTCTCGACAATGAGCTTGGAAGTGTTTGTGTTGAAGATTCTCACGTCCACCGACTGAGCGCCGGGCGCCGGCGTCACCAGCCGCTCTTGCACGGCAAAGGGGCCGACCCCTGAGCACATGTTACCGCAGTTACCGGTCAAGTCGACGTTCTCGCTCCCGACGGCCACCTGGACAAAGGTGTACTCGACGTCGACGCCTGGCCTCTCAGACGGGGCGACAACGGCAACTTTTGAGGTAACACTGCTGCCGCCTCCCACGCCATCGATCTGGCGGGCGTCATTGTTTCTCGAGCCCATTGCGGCGAGGAGAGGCGTCGCCCACTCATCTTGGGACGGAGGCAGGTGGGACTGGTGGATGAAGAGGCCCTTGGACGTGCCGGCTCGCATCATAACCGCGGGAAGCGAATGCCTCACACGGCGTTTCGACGTAGATGGTGTTATGGCCATGATGGGAACGAGAAATGGCGGTACCGTGTTGTGTAAAACTTGGTGAAGAAACCTGCGAGAGGCGATTTGTGTGTGGAAGACTTTGGTGTTGAAGTGCATTGGTTAATACTCGTGGGAGCGGGCCTGTGGACATGGGCATAGATAAGTGCTCGTATCAGATGCTGACTGATCTGCAATATGACCTTGGTGCTCCGTAATGGCGACGAAATTCTCCACTGCCGTCTTATGTCCGTTCATGCCAGTGGATTCCATTTCTTTCGAGGCGTGGTGTGGGTTGTAAATATTGTCGCGGTGTTGGAGGCCGGGATATCCGCGGGAGTGAAGCCGTCCCGCGGGATCAGACGCTACTCCACCGAAGTAGAGCAACGGTTTTGCAGATCGGCTTCTCGCTCAGGGAAACCCCGTGCATCGAATGGCCCCTGCACCTCGTTTAAAGCCGAGCCCGATGGTATCAGGAAAACACGCTGTCGAGTGCGGAGCCGTTGAAGCCGAAGAGAAGATCGTCAAAGGAAGCGGCGCCGCCATCTCCATCCGGCATTCCCTGAAACCAAGCCTGGTGGCCCATTAAGTTGGAAGAATCAAAGGTCGCGGGTTGCAGCCCCGGTCCTGCAGGCAGCGGCTGATTATGGAGCTCTGCCTGGCTCAGATCCATTGCGACTGCGTTGTTATCTTGCCCTCGCACAAAGCTCTGAATGATCCCGTCGATATCTGACCAGCCCATGGGAGGCGATGTGTTTTCTAGCACAATTTGTGGAGGATGTAACACATCGGCTCTTGGCAAGGTTTCGTGGTTTTCGGCGTCTCTTCGAGCTTCAGGAACGCCGGAGCTAGTTCCGTCCATGTTGGGGTACGCATTGCTCCTGTATTTCTCGCCAGCGTCAACGCGAGAGAGGCTTACACCCAGCCGCGTCATCAAGCCTTCCACGATAGTTTTGGCCCTCCTAACTGCCCAGTTCGTCTCCTGGTTTTCACGGAACACGGCCATGCAGGTTTCCAGGCGTTCCCGAGCCTCCGATTCCGTGCTCCGCTTCGCGGCGATTCGTACATGGATCGTGGCGGCGACGTATGTGGCATAGGAAATCAGGTAAGGTGCGTGTCGCACGGAAAATACTTTGTCGTATGCTCGGAGGATTCCAACTATGCTGTTTGCTGATGTTGCACAGGTAATAAAGGAGTTGACCGATATCGAGCGAGAAGTGTTGTACAGATGACCATCGGCCACAAACGGACGGTGGAGAAGGATTGTGAGAACATGGTACATGGCGCTGGAACAAAGTTAGATCTCAATACATCATTGGTGATCCCGCTGTCCCGGTACCTACTGTAAGCTTAGTACATGCGGAGGGGGGACTCTGCAGTTACTCTTCGGGTCGAAGGTAAGGTGTGCAGGCAGGGTGTCCTTCCAAGCAGCCAATTTGGAGCTAAGGTTCTCAAGCATGATGGAAAGCTCTGCCGCACTCTTGTCAAATGCTCGCTCCGTGTAAATACAGCTTAGGATGTCGCTCATGACAACTGACAGACGGCAGAGACACGTGAATGTCGACACGCTGTATGCCGGGCAGCCAGGGTAGCTAGTGGCATCGGTGGAATACGCGAAGGGTTTCCAGTTTTCAAACTCTTCAAATGTGTCGAGAAACTTGATAGGGACCAGCGTGTCGGATTCTTTCAGTGAAGCTGGACGCCCCTGGTACAGACTCTGGATCTTGTCGACGACTATCAACGGTTAGGAACCTTGTCAGGTGTTCGAGCAGGGGTTTCGTACCAAAGGCACCCCAAAAGACCCGCCGCCTTATCTCCAGATCCTCGTCAGAGAACTTCCGCGTGATGCCAAGGCCCGGTGCATCAACATGCATGCCCAAATCGATGATCATACGAAACGCCAGGCCTGCGTACAACCATGCAGCACTCCTCTCATCACCCAATGCAAACAGCGAATTGGTCATCACCAGCAAGGCTTGAATGGTTGTGATATCACTCTTGTCAAGCGCATCACCAAGCAACTTTCGGACACGCTCACGGAATGCCCATCCGGCTGTGCGTACGTCATTGGGATCTCTCCGGACCTCACGACGAGGACTGAACTTGGAGGCCCCAAAGTAGATGGCGTTGAGCAGTATCTTTGAAAAGTATGGTCCATTGCAGGCCATGTCTCGCATGAATGCGGGCCGATATGTGAGCAGAAACGAGTGATGCTGGCGATTCCAGTGCAGGGACAGGAGGTGCATGCCTAATTCCGGGTCCACACCATCGAAGTCGAGTTTACCCGCTCTAAAATTGAACTCCTCGAGTTGGCCTGTTGTTTGTCAATACTGGTATCGTAGCAGTGCAAGGCCTGACGGGAGCCTACGTTGTCTAGCCGCCTCGGCAACCAATCCCTTCTCTATCCAATCATCCGACATCTGTGGACGCAAGTCGACGGCCGCCGATCGCTCCTGCAGACTCTCCTCGAACAGAGCACTCGTGCGGCCATGATAGCTCGAAATTCCATTTGCGGAGACAACGATGCGGGAAACCCCCGCTCGGGGGTCGGTCTCTGCTAGACTGGCCGGTCGCGTGTTGGTGTGAAGGGTTGAGTGGGTCGCGGGACCATTGCTTCCAGGGGTGTGTGGCGTATCGCCATCGTGCTCCGCGGGAGAGACACTCACTCCATTATCTTCCGGGATCCGTGACGGGGTGCCGAGGTCTGTTCTGTCGCCCCTCCGAGTGCTTTGTCGCCGCCTTTCCGCACGACGCAAAGCTGGCGTGGTCTCTGCCGCCTTCTCGGCAATACTCGCCAGAGGTTCGTAGACGCAGTCCTTACCGTAAGTCTTGCAATTAGCGCACGTTGGTTGCTCGTTGTTACATTTTATCTGGTGGGAGAAGTCAGCTCAGTTTGGTCGGCAAGCAAGCAAGCAAGCAGCACAGCCCAAGCAACGAACCTTGCGCCGCCGGCAGAACGAACAGGCCTCGACGGCCCGCCTTCGAGGACGCCCGGATGCCGTGACACTGTCTCCCGATCTCGATGCCATGGAAGAGGCCAGCTGAGAGAATCTGGGGTAACTCGGTTTTGATCCGTAGATGTTCAGCGGGTAGACAAGGGAAATCTTCAGACGGGAAGTTGTCGAGAAGTCTGCCCGCGGTTGAGCAAGAAGGTGGGTCAATGAGTTACCGAGTCATGAACACGGGAAGGTCGTTGATTGGTTAGTGTCATACACCTGCTTCCATCAATTCCGCACAGCGTTCCCGCGGGTAATGAGTGTGGGGGCTCTCCGCACTTCAAAACCAAACCATTGCCAAAGAAAGCAGTGCTGGGTCTATTACAGGGGGTATACCGATGAGGGAAGTACTATGTACAGAATCTACATTTCCATACTTATGCCCAATAAGTTGAAAGTGGCCGCCGTGAATATGTACCTTGGTTTCAATAAGTTGAATTCATTGTTGAAAACGTCGGGAGGTTCGCACTGAATCCCTCATCCCACGCGCTAGCTTGGTATCCACTATTATTGCCTTGGAGTTTTCTACTTGGACGCAATTAAGAAAGAGCAACACCACAGCTTAATACCTACCGGCTGTCCTTTCAATCACCAAAGCACCATGGCGTCTATAACCTCAGCTGTGCCAAGTCCAGTGCTTGTCAACTCGGCAGCGCCCAAACAAAAGCCTAAATCAAGCACGAAGCACAAGATATCTCCGGGAATCTCGTTGTTCTCAGGTGGAGTTGCTGGGGCTGTCGAAGCTGCCGTCACAGTGGGTCTTTCTCAGTTGGTCCAAAGCTGCGTCTTTCGAATCTGGAGTCGCTAACCATCTACGGCGTTGAAAAGTACCCTTTTGAGTTTGCAAAGACCAGAGCACAGCTCAACTCAACCGGCAGCAAAAACCCATTTACGGTTCTGCTCCAGGTTGCCCGTCAAGATGGATACAGAGCTATTTACACTGGATGTTCAACACTAATTATTGTGAAGACCATCCCCCCTCCCTCGCCGTCGCAGTATGCTTACAGTTTGTAGGGAACAACTTTCAAGGCTGGAGTCAGGTTTCTCTCGTTCGATTCCATCAGAAACCAGTTGATGGACGACAAGGGACGCCTGACCCCTGCACGGGGAATTCTAGCCGGCATGATTGCCGGATGTGTGGAAAGCGTTGTGGCAGTGACTCCCACCGAGCGAGTGAAGACGGCACTGTAAGTTCTTTGCAGCCAGTTACCTGGCAAATCTGCGTCCATGACAGGTTTGCTTGATAGAAACGTAGCTAACCACACTTCTATATAGCATTGATGATGCCAAAGCCGGCACAAGAAGATTTACAGGTGGAACCAACGCAATGCTTACAATGGTCAAGGAAAACGGAATCGGTGAAGTATACCGTGGCATTGTTTCCACCACGCTAAAGCAGTCGGCAACATCTGCTGTACGAATGGGCTCTTACAACGTCCTGAGAGAAATGTCCAAACAATATGGGCTTCCCGAAAACTCTGCCATGACATTCGGCTCTGGGGCAATTGCTGGTATCATCACCGTCTATGCCACACAGCCATTTGATACGATCAAAACAAGGGCTCAATCCGCCCGCGGAGCCGGTACTTTCGAAGCCTTTCAAATGATTCTGTCGGAAAGAGGTGTCAGGGGTTTTTGGAGTGGTAGCACGATGAGACTTGGTCGTTTGATTCTGAGTGGAGGAATCGTCTTCACCGTGTATGAGAAGGTCTCAAGCCTTCTAGTTCGTTAGAATTCTAGCTCATTATCATAGCGGTCCAGTCTTACCTAGTACAAGTTTTAGAACAAATATTTATTAGCATGGGATTTTATTACTATTTTAATTTTGCCTCTTAGAGCTTTATTGATTTATTTCAACTCTTTGCGGTACTTATAAATACGAGGTTGAGATGCCGAGAATCGTCAACTATCGCCGATAACGGACTTATCTCCGATGCAGCCCACCACTGCTCATGACATCCACTAAGGCAGTGGATATCCCCACCTTTCAACTAGGCAACCCGTGATAGCTTCTTTTCTTCTTTACGCCTGATAGAATACAACACTTACCCCTACCATTTGTCAGCCCTTTGTCCTAGGTCTTCATACCTGCAATACCAACATACGGTTTAGATTCCATAAGTTAGCAGCCCGTAACCAACTAGTATCAAATGCTCCTTCATCAGATGCCACAGCCGGAAGGAGAAAGTTGGGGCGTAACACAAGTGTAAGATACGAGGGTGTATGTTCTGAGAATCAAATTCAGCACCATCCCAATTTCAGTGATGACTTCTTTATGGCTTAGTTATGGCTTCGTTACTGGCTTAGAATGCCCGTGAGCCATTTTTTTGCAGCTGCCAAGCCTCTAATACTTGGCAAGCACGTTCAAGCTCCCAGCAATGCACTTCTGGAGGCCGGAACTTCAGCCACATGGCCTGATATCCAGGATCTTTACTTCCCGCGGGAACGGTTCACTAGGGCTAGACATTCATGATGCGGGGTAATATTCTGGAGTCCCCGGATTGCCAAGAACGCCATGGATTTCGGATGGGCCTGCGACTCAGGGCTTACGGGTTAAGGACGATGGGTGATGCGTGTATAAAACCAGGGTCGACTCTATCATTGAGCATTGTACCGCCAGAGGGTCTCATCGCTCCAACTTCACTGTCATCTAGACTCCTACTGGTCTTTGACATTTTACTGCTCTCAACTGTTTTGCGAAGATGGCACCAGAAACCGGCGACGGCGAGGCCAACAATGTCAGCAAGAATGCTATCGAATTCAGTCAAGTAGAAGACCTTGCCAAGTCCCCGTCTCAAGAGAAAATCGAACAACAACATGAAATCACCCCGAAGGAGATACAAGGTCGCTTCGATCTCCTACGAGACTTGAGCGACGCAGAGATGGAAAAGCTCAACAAAAGTGTTGTGCGGAAGATCGATTTCAGGATGATGCCTACGATTACGTTGATGTTTCTCATGAGGCAAGTTCACGATGTTATTGAGATGATATGACGTTCGACGACTAATACGGAAGCGTCTCACTAGCTACCTTGATCGAATCAACGTATCCAACGCAAGAATCAGTGGCATGCAAGAGGATTTGCACATGTCAGACACCATGTGGAATCTGGGAATTTCCACATTCTACATTGGCTACCTTATCGGACAACTTCCAGGCAATTTGTGGTTGGCTAAGGCAAACCCGAGATGGTTTCTTCCCTCGACAATGGTTGCCTGGGGTGCGGCTACAATCTGTACACCTGCGTTGAAAAAGTGAGCAGACGCCTGCTGTCCTTTACAAGCCAATATGTGAAATGCTAACATTAGGATACAGTGGTGCCGGTTTTGCTGCTCTGCGGTTCGTTACTGGTCTAGCTGAAGCACCTTTCTTTCCCGGCATTACTCTTAGTAAGTCAATTCTTTCTTGCCGTTCAAGTTTGGAACACCGGCTCATACAAGACCACTCAGTGACGTCCTCTTGGTACAACAAACATGAAAGCCCAAGTCGAATGGCCATCTGGCATGCCGGAAACACCGTTTCCAACATCATCTCCGGTTTCCTCGCTGCAGGGATTCTAACAACAATGGGTGGCGTTGCCGGGCTGTATTCCTGGCAATGGTTTTTCTTGATTGAGGGCATTGCCACCTTCTTGGTTGCTTTCTCTGCCTACGCCCTTCTTCCAGACTGGCCTCACAACACGCGATTCCTCACTCCGCCGGAGAGAGAGATGGCGCAGTATCGCATCCTGTGCTCCAACGGTGGAGTCGAAGAGGTTGACGGCGGAACATGGGATGGTCTCAGTCAGGCTGTCAAGGATCCCTTCACCTGGATCTTCTGCTTGATGCACTTTGCACTCGTTACGGCCCAATCTTTTAAGGACTTCCTGCCTTCAGTAAGTTCCATTCTTCGAGATCCTTTATATGAGCAAGACTAACGATATCGTCTAGATCGTGAAAACCTTTAACTTTAGCCAACTCATGACCTACCTCATTCAGGCACCCCCATATGCGTTTGCCTACGCGTTTGCCTGCCTTGTTGCTTGGTCTTCGGGTCGCCGCCAAGAGTCATTCTGGCACGTCGTCTTGCCCACGGTCGGCAGTGCCATCGGTTGCGCGGTGCTGATCTCAACAGCAAATGTAGGAGCTCGATACTTTGCCCTCTTCCTACTCATTTCCGGCACATATAGCGGCCTGAACCTCCAGCTATCCTGGGAGACAACTGTGGTTCCAGCCCCTCGGAGTAAAAAGGCCGCTCTAATCGCAATCGCCAACTGTCTCAGTCAGGTCAGCCATTGGTTTAGCCCTTACTTCTGGCCGCGTGCGCACGAGCCTTTCTACAGACTCGGTGGTGGTCTGATCCTGGTTGGCTGCTTATTGGTTGTTGTGTCGGCCTCGCTTGCTAGATGGCGTGCGATCAAATTGAACAAGAAGTTGGACGAAGCGGAGGGATACTCTGAGCACTCGGGTGTTGAGAGGGGTTGGAGACATGCGTATTGAGTTGTGTCGTGACAGGGAAATCCCCTGATTAGTATATACGTGGAAGTTTCTTGCGAATAAACACGTTTCAGCAGTATGAAGATAAACAGACCGCTGCTTAGATACGGAAGAGCTGATCTAGCTATAATCAGACATTCTCGTAGCATATAGTCATGATTTGGTCATACTGAGCGAGCGATTTTCCGATCTTGTGCACCCCGAGACTCTCCTTTTGATTCCGCATAGATCAAAATCCTGTATGCTCCTGGTCTCGGGCTAGAATAGGTGAGATATTAATTCAGGTACTATGTGGGAGGAAAAGAAGAATCTGTCTGTCTCAGCCCTTCAATACCGCGGATCCGCACAGTATGGACAAGGGCCCGGAGTCTGCTACAAACGGTCCCATACCCATATTGTTTAGTGTTAAAGAAAGCTAATACGTCGTTTCTCTGGTTGGTCAAGCTTTGATGTAACGACTGGGAGGCCTGTCTTGAATTAAGGGAAGCCTGGTCATAATTCAAGGTTACGTAGCTAGTGTGGCCGCCTCTAATTCGTTGACTAATCAGAGTGCTGTGTTCCATAACCCGGACTTAACATTTTCCAGAGATCTCTTTCACATGTAAACACATGGATACAACCTCAGCCTATGGTACATGTTTCGGTAGCTCACCGTTGGGAAGTTTTCTTCAAGGTTTCGTCCTCCCTTACCTGCCTGTTTCATAATATCGATTAAAATGATGTAAATAGCGGGATATCAGGTCGGGGCTGGAAACGAGTCGCGAAGGTTTTCATGTGCATCTCACATTCTCATTGTTGTGAGTTGGTACATCGTATTATGTATATCTCCGACATTTTTGCTGAAGCATTTAAAGAGCTTCGTCCCTGACTCTTGCTACCCTTGACATATTGCTTGGTTATCCCGTCGAAAAGCATAATGAACTTGACTTTGCCTTGAATGATAACGAGAACAACTCTGTGGTTAATAAGGCCCCGGCCTGAGACACGAGTCATATAAGAACACCCAACCCACATCGGAAAGTAAACCAACAACAGCCATGCATCAACGACAGAAGTCCTGTTCCAGCCCACGTCCTGACTTTGGATCATATTTATGACTGCGAAGATAGCCATCTGTTGAGGGAGCGAGCCCGAAAAGTTCCCCAAGACCATACCGGGAGTCCCATTGACACCATGGCCGATGGGTCTGGCCTGGTCGGGGCGCTCCCTCCACCCCCGGGCATCGTACCAGATTTTTATCACCCAACAGATCTGAGCAGGACGAGGCTCTTTGCAGCAATAGTGGTGATGGCAGTTGCCATCACTATACCATTCATTTTCAGGATCTACTCCAAGACAAGGATCACTGTGGAATACTACAAGGAAGATTGTGAGTATTGGTGATATCTTTCTCGAGACATGTATGCGGATACTAAATGTCAATTAAGGGACTTGCACAGTGGCATACGTGAGTTCTCATCGGACAGCATCATATCACAACAGCTCTGATTTGAAACGAGTTCATTTTGACAGGTTATGTTAATGTGCTACTTGGGCACAGTACTCGTAATGGCATATTACGGGGAAGGTTATCACGCCTGGGAGGTGACCAAGAAGGATTACAGTAAAATTAATCTTGTATGACGACAACGAAATATACGGCCCGACGCATTACCATACTGACGTATGTACAGTTCCTCTACATCGGCTCAATCATATATTGCCCCGCAGCCTACTTCACTAAGGTAACTTTGCTCCTTTTCGAGGCTCGGGTATTTTCCGTCTATCAAAGAGTTGCAAAGACCATTCATGTCTTCATCGTTGCGCTCGCTATTCTATACATGCCGATATTATTCACGAAGGCTTTTCTCTGCACCCCAGTGGCTGCAGCCTGGAACCTGGACATCAAACCAGCAAAGTGTCTCAACCAACGGAAGGTCTTTCTGTCTGACATGTCTCTTGGTCTTCTCACGGACATTTGCATACTTGTGCTGCCGCTGTTGTTGACAAGGCCGCTTCATGTGTCCCTCCGAACCAAGATCAAGATTGTTATGCTGTTGGGAGCAGGTGGTGCAGCAACGGGTGTCTCTGCTCTTCGTCTGTACAAAGAAGTGGAGTGCCTCGGAACAACTGATGCAACAGAAGGCTATTTTTTGTTAAATCTCACAACGTAAGTTGTTTTCCCTTCTTCGAGAAACATTATATGACCAGCCATTGATTTTACGAAGCGCGCTCGAACTAGTGATCGGATTGTTATGCGCTTGTTTCCCATCTATCAACCTCCTTTTACATAGCTGGTTCACAGTCCAGCGTCATTCAACTCCAAACGTACCTCGGACATGCAGGCATGATAATGCGAGAAAAGCCTGGTATTCGAAGATGTGGTCCAGAAAAACAGCAACTACATTGATGGATTTGGATTCTCAAGGAGAATCCAATAGCAATGAGTCTGCAATCGCCCCAGATCCAGAAGCAGTGCTTCAGAGCGATATGGGCTCCAATTGTGGTCATATCACGGGAGTTAGTGGAGGTGGAGGACCCTATGAAAGCTTGCTGGAGCCACCAAGTGGTATAAAGGTTCCAGAAGAAGCTTTGACTCGAAACTATACAGGTGTCAATGGAAATAGAGTTAGGGAAACTGAACGGGAGCGTACAGTGCCATGATATCAGTCGCTCTATATCGGACTTGCTCTTTAATAATGAAAAAAGCTTATGCCCACAAAGAAGTCTAAAGGTGCTCTACTTATTCTACTTAATTGAAGTAAAATGCTATAATCTCTTGTTAGTAGAGGGCAGAAGACTAATATTTTGTTGTACTACATAAGGCGTTAATTGCTGCTTGCGATTAACGGCGTCGTTTTTAGCACGACAGATTTCCATTGTTGAGAGAATATTATGGGCTTTCAAACAGCAGACGACCCGGCTGGAGGAAATGACTTGCTGCATGCTTGCTGCTCCTGAAAGTGAAATCTTCGGAAGATTTTCTTCATCGTATGCCCGTCCGGTTGTCGGCTCTAAGCCTGGTCATCGGCGGAATAGAATCTAACCACCGCCTTGAACTTGCCGCTCAAATTGGTCAAATTGGAGGTGATGGACATATCTTGACTATACAGCTCCCAAGCCTCACGGATACCAAGGAAGCAGAGCGCAAAAACGCGGGTCAAGGTAAGAGATGCCATAAATCCATCAGGGCTTTTTCTTGTCCATATCGGCTCCTCAAATGTGCACGTACAAAGCTCTCTTGAGGCTGTGTGCCAATATTATCGCACCTCTAGTTCAGTCTAGAGTACACTATGATTCCAGCATGACTGCCATCCATACCATCATCCCAAGCTCGTCCAGACTCTCGCACCATTTTGAAACCTGTGATACAAGCCGCCCTTCCTCGCTCATATCCGTAGTACCCACTCCTGTCGCCCCTATAGCTCGTCTAGCCTGCCGAAGATCCTGTATGCTTAACACTCTGTCATTATGGTGCTGGGCTTGTAACTTGATATATCGCGCTGCCCACTCGTCGTTCGGCACTGTTTCCCACAGATCCCTTCCCGCTGGAAGAGGTAGTTGACTGTAATCTCCGCATCCCGTCCCTGCAAAGTGGAAGTCTACATCTAGGAGGAGCTCAGTCCCGAAAATAATACACATGGTCCTGAAAGAGGTTTTGTCAGTGAATTCAGATGCGTACAAAATAAATTGATTCCCAGCGGTACCTTCGGATGCTTTCGTGAATGACCCATTCTTGACGATCAACTTTGGTGCTGCTGGTCAAACTGCTGGTATAATCACAGGCCATGTGAAGAGCTTTTGCAATTGACTATCATAATTGGGACCTTCTCGTCAGTAAGAGCCCGAACTGCTTTTCAGGTGCCTTACAACAAAAGCCGTCAAAAAGGCTATGATATCATTCTCGGGTATGGAATTCAGATCACCCGCTTGAAGCAGGAGGTATACGACTAAGGCCTGAATGGCCTGAAGAAGTGTCTTGTAGTCGTAGGAAGTATACTTCGCTCGTTAGGGGCGTCTAAGAAGCGAACACGAAACGGCAGCAGGTAAACTGTGGCGGGGACTCACCTCACATTGGATCCTCTCTACCTCTTTATATATGCTTTTCCACACGAACGAAGTGCTTCCAGCTGTTCTTGTCTCAAAACTCTGCACCAAGCTGCAACAGATGGCCAGGGTTTCAGGCAAGCACTTGTGAAATTCCTTGCCACAGGGGTCAGGTGTAAATCGATATCCTTCCATACAGCACGGGGGGAAGATGAATGGTGGTAGTCGGCCACCCTTGGCCATCATTTTGGGATAGGCCAACAGCTGGCCCAGAAGTACTGTGACGGTGAAACATGAAGCCACTGCATTGTTACGCCGCGGTGCAAGAGGTCTGATTTGATAGAATGAAGGTCGAGGCTGGCCACTTTCGGATTGCGTCAGCAGCTGACTTGTCTTGGCAGTATGGAAAGGTTCTGGGCCGCCCAAAAAAAGCAAGGCCCTTTGATCGTACAGTATGTCCGACTGTTGGAGATTCCTTAGCCATGGAAGCCCGCTGGGTTCCGGTATCACCCGAGGGTTCTGGGGCGTGTTGAAGCGCACTGTGGAGGAAGGGCTTGGTGGCTCTGAACGCTCAAGCTCATAGCCCAAGGATGAAGGCAGAAATGAGGGTAAAACTAATGCATCCCAGTTCATCGATTCTTCTCCAATAGGGTCACTCTGGGTTTCCATTGATAAAACGGCAGGAGTGCTTCCGTCGCGTACCGGCAGCTGAACATAAGAGCTTTGTTGGTTCAAGTCCACGAGAACAGGAAGCGGCCGCAATGCTCGGTATGCCGCTGATCGCTTCGGTGGATGGACGTACTTGCAGTCCAGGTTCCTCTCCTCGCACCGTCGGCACGGTGAATCGAGGGAGCATCTTGCTTTGCTGGCCCGGCAAGAAGCACAAGACTTTCTGCGGCTCGCCGTGTTGCTCATTTTTGATAGCCAGGACGATGTGGTATGTTGCGGGTGAGAAAGATGACGAATGAGGCCCGGCGCTCTAGACTTCATTTGGCTGCTTGCGGAACTCCGACCAATCAGCAGCCAGCCAGGAAGCTGTTTACACCACCGCTCCGCCGGCCGGACTTCCATCCAATTGAAATTCAAACGCGATCTGTGATATTTCGAGTTCCAGCCATATTGTGTCATTCAGACTACAGGGATGCTTAGAGAGACTCCTATCATACGACGATAGATACCGGAGACGCTACCTGCTGATAAAGGACCAAAAGTAATATAAAAGACGATGCTCTAATACAACTTAGCATCAGAATGACATCCAGGCATAAGGTCTACGCCAAAACCAAGAGTATACAGACTGATTTTTGGAATATTTTCTCTTCCGTTATCTTTTACTTAAAGTGCCATCAAAAGAAAAAATCATGGCATCGACACGCGTTGGTATCATCGGATTATCTGCCAAGGAGGCACACGGGGGTGCAGGAGCCTGGGCCGCGATGGCTATACTCCCATCGTTACAAAACTCCCCTGAGTACGAGATTGTCGCCCTCTGCAACTCGTCCGTCGAGGCCGCCCGTCGCTCAATCGAGATGCACAAGCTCCCAAGCTCGACCAAGGCCTACGGGGACGCCGAACAACTCGCAAACGACCCCGACGTCGATCTCGTCGTCGTCAGCGTCGTCGTTACCAAGCACCTCGAGCTGACGCTTCCGGCGCTCGCGGCGAAGAAGCGTGTGTTTGTGGAGTGGCCTCTCGCGGCTTCGGTGGCCGAGGCCAAGAGGCTGACGCAGCTGGCCGAGGCAAGCGAACTGAAGACGATCGTCGGCCTCCAGGGCCGTGGCGATGGCCTCACCGCCAAGTTGAGGGAAATCATTGAGAGCGGGGAGATCGGCGACCTCCTGAATATTTCCGTCGTCGGTGCGCTCCCTTACTTGCCTCCGAGCATATGGGCCGAGGGCATAGAGTATTATGTCGACATTAAGAGCGGCGGCAACATGTTTCACATCGCATTCGGACATTGTAAGTCGTTTGATTATCTTGGGCGGCCCATTGTGACGAATTCTTGTGAACTAATATCTGTGACTTACAGTCTTGGACTCCTTTACTCATGTCGTCGGCGACTTCGATCTCGACAGTCTGTCGTCCATTCTCAAGATCGATGCCACTCAGATAGTCTTACTCAATGCAGATAGGACCAAGGTCATCGATCCGGCCTACCCAAAAAGCTCGCCTGATCACATCCTTGTGCAAGGGAAGCTGCGCAATGGGGCAACAGCCTCACTCAATTTCAGGGCAACCAGCGTCACTGTTGATAACATTGGCGGCCGGTGGGTTATCAGTGGCACCAAGGGAGAGATCGAGGCTAGTTGGGGACACGGGACAATGTGGCAGATGCATGACCCTAGCAGTAAGCTCCGAGTGAAGCTCGCCACTGGAGAGGAGCGGAACGTCGAGCTGCTGAGGCCAGATAGCCCTGCCACCGGCAATGTTCAAGACGCCGGGCTGAACACGGCGGTGATACTGGACGCCTTTGCAAAGGGGGACAGCTCGCGGTTCGCAGACTTTGGTTCGGCCCTGGAGACCCACCGACTATTAGAAGAAATCTTGCAAAGATCGGGATACAAGTTCTAGAAAACGGAAACCTGTCGATAGATGTCGGCTACTGTCGTCACACAGTTATCCAATAAAGCTCATACTTGGACCCACTTAGGGGCGTCTAATATCTGACTTGCAACATTGAATGAAAACATGACCAGTTGCAGCTTTTGAAAGCATTGCACTCTAATTCGAGTTGGGTTGTCGTAACGCTGATAGGTTATCCACGCAGGGCTTGCAATCGGTCGTCCCGAGTAAGCTGCTGCAAGTCAGTCGCCGGCGGGTCTTAACTCGGTCCGAAGATCAACGCCGGTGCTGGTGCTTAGACCGGGAATCATGACCTATCTCCTCTGACTCGGACAGCTTCCGAGTTCTCAACCGACCCTGAATGACAGCCAAGCACCCCAGGAAACACTTCTGATCCGCCATGCACACAGCTCATGGTGACACGAAAGTTGTCCAATCAGTTCTGACGCACAAGAACATGCCTTACCAAGAGCAATGAGACAGGAAGATGTGCAAGGTCAGTCAGCTCTGCAACGTAAGTACTGTTTCTGTGCCGAGGTTACGATAAGGAGCCGGAGGAGCGATGATGCCGGAACCGCACTCGGAACAGTTGCGACAACTTCCACCGAGGAGCCGGGAGCCCGGCACATTGCAATCCTGGACACGGATGTGATAGCCCCGGCTGTCCGGCCGGCCTACAGCCAGTACTACAGCGCACGGCGCCGTCGTGGAGCAAGACCCCAGCTGCCACGAGTGCAGGGTCCTCACGATCGAGCCTTGCTTCGAGTAGGATGAGGTATCCAGAGGCCGTGTTTTGGAAGGACTGATTTCAAGTAAACAACTTCCATCTCACGGCGTCTCCTCCCCATCTCGAAAACATGGTAGTACCAGCCAGCCCATTCAGGTCGTTTCTTCATTGCAAGTTGAATGTGTTTCAGTAGGACCCTCTGCGGGGCCCCGTGCCTGCGTACTGCCAATTTTAATGCACTGGGATGGCCAGCAACCTTGAGTCGGTTGTGGGAGCTGTGCTGGGTCCATAGCCGTTCGAGGACGGTTTCTGCGGCGGAAACCAGCTCCCTGAGTTCCTGAAATGCTCTGTAATAAGACTCAGTTTCGTGGTGTCAGGGGCCATATGAGGTTTGGAGAAGGGTGAGAGATAATACGCGGTGCGGGCCGGATGACTTACAGAGGTTCGTGCACTACTTCGGGCTTTGTCAGCATTAGTTGACGGGCATCATCTACCGAATGGTGTTTTGCAAAGAACAGCCACGACCTGATCCGTGGATCTGAGGCAATCCGGTCTATTGAATTGTATTTCATGGCCAGTTGTTCGTTGCGGAAGACATAGTGTACGACCACGTGACACGGTTGACAAAGCCACAGTCGTGTTGTCATCTGTCTGCGTGTGAATCGCCCCGGAAAATTTCTCGACACTGCCTGCGGGACTGCGTGATGACCCGTAATCCCTGTCGTATGTTGCGCACAGAGGTAGCAGACTCCTGGTTTGGAGGACCATGTGTCAACAGTCTTGAGAAGCAGCTGCATCCAAAATGGCTCATCATAGACGTAGTCGGTGGGCGCCCACCGGCTATGGTCTCCGGATGGTTGCTCGTCGCGAAACTTGCCGATTGCTCGGGATTTGATCCTCCGAAAGTGTCTTTCCATCCATCTAGGTACGACTAGCTGCTTCTCAGATTTGTATTGTCTCGGTCCTTCCGAGGCTTCAGGCTTCTCTCCATCTTCTTTCGCAGAGCCGCGTTGTTGTCGATGTAATGTTCCCCATTTCTCATACCTCGGCGCCTGTGGAGGTTCGCTACGCTTCAGCGGTGCTGTTGCTTCAATAAGTGGCGATTTTGTTTTCCTTGAAGGATTTTCATTTGAAAGTGAGCGGGATCTCAGAGACGCCGCCGCTGCCGCCGCCGCCGCCGCCATCTTGGAACGTTTCGCAGCGCGCGTAATAGATAGACGTTTTCCCAAATGGAGGTCCATGGAGGGTTCACCAGTTTGCGACAAGTAAGCAACGCCCCATTTCCCAGCTCTTTCCTCTCTTGGGATTTGATCCAAACCCCATCGCGGCGCGGGCGCAAGTCCTGGACGAGCTTTCACCTCTCTTTGCCTCATTATCTGCCTGACCTTTGGGTCGAGAGCACGGCCCTGGATCTGTTGCCTGAAAAAGGGCACCCACTTGCCGTCACCCGGGATTTTGGGGGAAGGCCGAGGTGTACACGTGGTTTCTGTAGGCGACGTCGAACCACGCTTTCTATTTACCGCCCTTCGGGCTCCCGCCGTGGTCGACGCGGTGGGCCGGCGAGTGATCGGCTTGCCGGCAAAAGACCCCCAGCTCGTCGGTTCAGGTGCTCGGAGTTGCGACACGTCGTGAAGCTTACGATCGCCTCCTCGCTGGGCTCCACCCGACAACTCAGCCGTGCGAACGTAGCGGCATCGCGTCAATAGCCGCATCGACAACGAGCAGCCTAGTGAGCCCTGGTTCATGTCAGGAAGTGTCCGTGATACAGCGCCTCTTGGTCAAGCCCAGTGGCATGGAAGGTCATCGAGCGACATACATCATGGGTGGGTATTCTTGCTCGTGACGTCGTGAATTTGGCCACCGTCGACAAGATGAGCATCTTCTCGGGGCCCCCTCCAATAGAGATTGGCGAGTCGATAGTGGCATCAAATACTCAAGCAATTGGCGGGTTAGAGCGAGTGTTCATAGCTGCAACGAAGAGAATTTAAATGAAAGGTGGAATTGCTAGCCAGGTTTGCTTCATCACTCGTTTTACCATAACCCAGTAAACACAGTTCATATTCGATAAGCGACGTGACTTTCGCACTGTACGCGACATCGACTTGTTTACTGAACTAACTGCATGTAGTGTTGAACATTGAGAAAGTCACCTTGAGTCCGCCTTGCTGCGGGCTTGACCCTGCTGAACCGGTTCCGAGTGGCTCGAATCCGAGAAGCAGCGACGTGTTGCAGGCTTCTTTACTACCATGATGGTACCATGATATGCGATGTGATACAGCATGAGATGTAGCACTCTAAGAAACCCTTGACCAGAAAACCCAGCTTGGCTTGGCATGATCTTGAACAATCATCCGAAACAGCGACGACGAGTCGTCACTATCTCAGCGAAACAGTGGTATTATACATCAGAAACTTTCTTTGAATGCCTTCCATTTACATCGTTATCAAACTCCGTGCCGTCCTGTCGATCCCGTTCCGTCTCCGTCTTGCAGCTACGGGGCCACCACTCTGTCACGTTTGCGCTTGACGCCAGCGACACGTCCGATGCGATCCTAGTACAGGGGCGTGTTGTCCGCCTCGGCCAACCACAAAGTTGCCAGGTCCCTAGATAGGCCCAGTCTGAGTATGCGAAGCACGTCCTCGGCCGATGCGCCCGCTGTGAGCCCCGACCTCCAATCCCAACCGCGTTTTGTCTTGGCAATGGAGAGACCGCTGCCGCCACTGCCACCGCCGATAGAGCGCTGGAGCTGACTGGCCAGCATCGAGCTACCGCTGAGCATGTAGCTGCTTCCGCTGAGAGAACCAGTGCTCTTGCGCATCAGGTCTGCAGGCGTGGAGAACTTCAGTCCCGGTGCTGAGGCCAAGACAAGATTGAAAAATTCATCGGCGGCGTTGAAGATGGTGGAGTTGACCGTCTGGATGTCCTCTATGGCTTTGAGGAGCGTGTCCATCTGGTCGAGAGTAATAGCACAAGGGTTTTGGTTGACGAACGGAAGAGCTTCGCCCAGGAGGGCGAGGATGAAGTCCTCGCTCACGACGGCGTCACGTGTTTCGTCGTAAAGGCCCCCACGGATGTTGTCGTCAGAGCTGGCGATTACTGCAACAAGGGCTGAAGCGGCTTGCTTGCGAAGCCTAGTCGACTTGTATGGTGACATGCTTACGAGCCCGTCAGTGTCGCGAATTTCATAGAACTTTCGCAAGGTAGCATATCCACTGAGCATTCGGCCCAGGAGGTTTGCCGCTTCAAGGTCCTGTTTGGCGTATTTCTCGAGTGTCTGGCTACGCTCGTTGAGTAGCCGGTAAAGGTGGTCGTCCAAGTTGTTGGCAGGGGGGTAAACCGTAGAATGAAGAAGGGAGTAGGACATGAGCAGGTTGAGCACTTCGCGCACCTTGCCTGGTCGATGAGCCAGAGCGTAGTACCACAGAGCCTCTCCGTATCTGTGTGATTCCTTTGCGAGAATTTCCGCATAGGTCTAATGTTGTTAGTCAACTTGTTGCATTGTCAATGGATGACGACATACCTCAGCAGTCTCTTCGGCATAGGTGATCATGCCGAGATCATTCAGGATCCTCCAAACCTTGTCGACAGTGTCTCCAGAGTCGGAGTCGAGCTGTGCCAGAATGTCACGAAGCAGTTCCCCAACCATCTCCTCGGATTTGGGGGCCGAATCCATACGCCCGAGCACTTGGATCGCCATCTCCCAGCCACTTCGATCTTCGGAAAGTTGATCGATGCCCGCCAGTTCGCGTGCGTAGTGTATGAGTGTCGTGTCTTTGATACCCTCCACGTCGTCCGCAGTCTGAGGCAAAACTCCCAGAATATCCAGGTCCTCCATGTCTAGGCTTTCCATGGTGATCAGGTTAGGCTGCTCGGGCTTGGGAAGCCATTGACCGAGAGACGCAAGCTCCGCCACCGAAGAGGCGATGGGGAGAGACCATGCTCGAAGAATTCCAATGACGGCTGCGAAGTCTGATTCGAAAGCAGCAGCGATTGCAACCTCCACAGGGTTCATAGAGTTGAAATGAAAGTTTGACTCCACCGCCGTGTGGAAGGCAAGTGACAGGCGCTCAAAATAAGTCTCTGGACCTGAAAGACTACTAACCTGGCGTAGTCCTTGAGAGCGAGACATGCGCAAGCTCTTCTGCTGGCCGCGTCCTTCTTCCCACCATCCGAACAATCCAACCGTAGCCTCACACCAGTCCTGTGCCGTCTCCAGGATAGCCTCCGGCGTTCCCAGAATGATCTGGTAGACGGTCTGGAGGTGTTCGTATATATCCCAAGGGACCTGGCCCTCAGCCTTCCGTACCAGGCCAGCCAGAGACGGCGCCCCGTATCCGTTGTCATTACCGCCGGCGAAAAAATTCTTGTCCTTGCCCTCTGCAAATCGTTGAAGCTTGTCAAGGGAGCCCTTGGCCTGGATGCGGTACAGCGTCCAGTCGCTGCTGAAGATGTCCCAGTTACCCTTGTTTGCTGGACACATGTCGAGTGCTTCGCATGCAATGCCCACCGCGCGCTGCAAGTTTTCGAGAGCTTTGCCGGAGTAAGCGATATCGGCTCGAGGCCCCTTTTTGACAGACTCCCATCCAGCGTTCCTCAACAGCTTCGATGCAAGGCCAACGTTGCCGCGAACAAGAGCACCTCGCAATGTCGACCAGAAGAGGCTGTGACATGCGGGGCTAGGCTTGTGGTTCAACACGATTTCATACTGCTCGGGGTATAGGTTATGGTTTTCTTCAATCCACTGGAATAGGACGTAAGGCAGCGGGGGCACCTCCGTTTCGTCGGAGCCCTGCTGAGCGAAGCGGGTGTGATGCATCTGAAGAACAAGACGGGCGACGTAGGCGGCTTTCTGAAATGGCTCGGTATCAGAGCCGGGTCCAATCTCAGCAATGTGTTCTCCCTCTGGCATGGGCAAGGTTTGGGCGAAGTTATCCCAGAGCTCCACCAATGGATAGACGATGGTCGATAACGAGATGTCGAGCTGTTCGGGGTCCTCCTGAGCGCCGATTCCCTCGTTGTAAAGCTGGTTGATCAAGTCCTCCGTCTTCAGAACGACCTCGGGCGACTCCGTGATCACAGCCATGCCGAGGCCCCTGTACAGATCCTTCGCGATGGCAGAGAATTTGAAGTCCTTCCGTCTTCCAGTTGACGAACGACGCATGGATGATGCGCGGAAGATGTCTTCAGCCTCCCTGCGCATGCGCGCCGTTGCCGAGGGGGTGGCCAGGAGCAGGAGGTCAGACTCCTCAGCGCCCATGCCGCCTTCGCCTTCGTCTGAGTAGTTGGGTTCTTCATCGTCGCGGTCGCTGTGTTGCATATTTAGGAATACGTCGTCGTCTTCGATGTCCTCGACCCCCGGCTCCGCGACAATGTCATCCTGGTCGATGTCGGCTTCGAGGTATTGCTCTATTTCCGCATCGGCGGCGTCGCGCTCGTCATATTCCTCGTCCTCGTCCTCGTCCTCGTCCTCGGAAGAGTCGGGGATCATATACCTACCCGTCCGATTATCGTAGCTGACCTCGCTTTCCGCGGCGCCATATTCCCTGCTTAATGCCGACGGCTGCCTCGCGGCCGGCTTGGCACTGTGAAGGATCGATCGACCCAAAGGTTGCTGGGAAGCCGAGTCGCCCCTTCCGAATAGGTTCTGCCTTGTGCCATTGGAACTCTGGTTGCCGAAGCTGAAAGACTTCTGGGTAGTTGCTTCCTGCAGCAAGGAGCTTCCAAGGTAAGATTCGGACGGTGCGCCTGCAGGTGTGAAGGATGCGGCAGACGATGGCGGGGGGCCAGCGGGTGTGGTTGATGGGTTATCGCCCCAGGGGTGGTGAGAGCCCTTCTGAGATGTCTGGCCTGGGGTCGACGGCGGTGAGCTGTCGAAGGCTGGGTCGTCCAAGGAGAATTTGTTAACCATGACGACGTCGATGAAGTGGGCTACCTCACTCGGGTCACCCAGATAGACCTCGCGTCGTCGTGGTGATATCGGTGGCCTGCGGGAGTAGGCGCAAGTAATTTATCGACGACGATGGAAGACCAGGCCCCTTCCGTTCGGTTTAAAGAGGTCGTCCAGGCTGATTGGTATCGCAGGCGCGGCTGGTGACAAGGCTGGGTGGATGGGTGTGGTGTTTGGCCGGACGCGCTTTTGCTGGATAAATTTTGGAGGTTCGCGATACTTAGCCGGTCAACGCGGAAGATGCCGTCGCAGAGGCCCCCACTTTGAGCTTCTTGCTTCCCTGCTGCACCGTAGTGCTCAAAGTAGGTAGCTTTCTCGGAGTGGCCCGAGCTTCCAGTTAGCCATGGCCCACCGACACACGTCAATCCAGATCCTCTGGAGCGAGTGCGTCTTGTTTAGATGACGATGCATCGTACCTACTGAGGCAGCAAAAGAAAAAGAAAAACACACACACATACACAGATGGAATGCCCTGTCACATTACTTGGAGAGTCCTGGCCAAGGTTCAATCGGTTCGTTCATAACCATGCGACTGTGATGCCATCGTGATGGCTTCTTCTCCGAGGCAATACACACGCAGACAAGAGAGAGAGAGAGAAAGAGAGGGAAGGGGCTTCCTCCTTCTTCATCATTCATCTCTACAGAAGATACCTAGAGTCATCTCTTTCTTTTACGATATATCATTCTCACCCACATTTTGCTCTGGTATCTGCAGGCAACTGACTCTCTCCTATCTAACCATCCAATCACACGTAACCTGCTCCTCCAGGTTCTAGGGGGTTCCGAAGCGCTGATTAGATAGGATAGAGCTGCCAAAGGCGGTAACAATGGAAGGGTGTCACCTATGAGGTATCCGTACCTAACGGACATAAATCGGATAGTCGAAGAGAACAGCTTGCGCCTCCGAACCTTGGCAGCGCGGGAAAGCAATCACAACTCACGAGTGACTCTTGGCCTAGATAATCGCCGACGGACCATGCACAGACGGGCTACATCAACAGGGCCTCAAAGGCCTAACCCCGACGGCTTAGAGTTTGGATCAACCCCTCCTAGGCGCCTGCAGGCCAGCGGGAAAGAGGGGGGAGGGAAGTGCACTCGCGATCTGGCATACTAAGCCAAGGGCCCTGTACCAATTACCCCGGATGTGTGACCGTGGTTCGGCGTCGAGGCCGGCAAGGCAAGCTGCCAACCTTCTGTTTCACGGAAAGCCATCCGTGTGTTATATCTTGGTCCAAGTTGAGTCGCGGCCGAGTCCGCATTGAACCGCAGTTGAGATGGACATTGATGGGCAACTGGATACGGATATTTACCTTCCAATGACGTATCCACGTTTTCTCTCGTCGCACCTTCGCCCAGCTGGCGTCAGTCGTGTTTTACTCTTCCACCTTCTTATTCACTTGCTTTGTCACTCTGGCGATTCTATGACGGGTTATGACCCCGCTTTCCAAGTGTTTCTCAATGGGGCTGGGCTCTAAGGGAAGGGAAGGGAAGGGGAAAATAACAGTCCAGTCCAGTTCCCGAACCCCCGAGGCCTCACAATCACACGGACACTTTCCCCTCCCGAGGGGAAAAGGGTAAGGTGGGGTTTGGAGATGTGCGCCAAACAACAACCGGGGCGGCGGCGGCAGTTCTTGCCTATCTGCATCTCGAAGTGCTTTCCCCGTTCCCCTTGGAATAAATACCCTACCCTGCCCATTTAGCTGAGCTTAGTGTGCGTTTCCTCTTCCATCAAGGTTCTCATAAACCATCATCAATCTTGAAGAATCAGCAATGTCTGCCACCGCAGGAAAGGTACGTCGATCCACACTGGCATCTCTTCTGTTCCCTGCTCTCGACTCGAGCTACCCCGCAGTGCGAGTCGAGAGCAGCAACCAGATCTCAGTGTCTTGCAGCTCTCACCCCCCCTCAAACGCTCTCGCTGACTCAATTGGTCTCCCGAAACAGACCATCACTTGCAAGGCCGCCGTCGCCTGGGAGGCCGGCAAGCCCCTGAGCATCGAGGACATCGAAGTCGCCCCGCCCAAGGCCCACGAGGTCCGTATCGAGATCTACTACACTGGTGTCTGCCACACAGGTTAGCGAACCCGTCGTCTCTCGATGACCCGCCCTTACTCTTTCCCGACCGCTGCTCGGAAGGGCTTCCGAAAAGGAGAAAAAGGAGAAATAAAGAACAGAAGAAGAAAAAGCCGTCACCAGAGAAAGATGCTGACCCGGGAATCTCCCTTCCAGATGCCTACACTCTCTCCGGCAAGGACCCAGAGGGAGCTTTCCCCGTCGTCTTGGGCCATGAGGGCGCCGGCATCGTCGAATCTGTCGGCGAGGGCGTCACTAACGTGAAGCCCGGTGACCACGTCGTCGCCCTCTACACCCCAGAGTGCCAGGAGTGCAAGTTCTGCAAGTCTGGCAAGACCAACCTCTGCGGCAAGATCCGCGCCACCCAGGGCAAGGGCGTCATGCCCGACGGCACCTCGCGCTTCAAGTGCAACGGTATTGACCTGCTGCACTTCATGGGCACCTCCACCTTCTCCCAGTACACCGTCGTCGCCGACATCTCCGTCGTCGCCGTCCAGCCGGACGCTCCCATGGACCGCACCTGCCTGCTCGGCTGCGGCATCACCACGGGCTACGGTGCCGCCAGGATCACCGCCAACGTCCAGGAGGGCGACAAGGTCGCCATCTTCGGCGCCGGCTGTGTCGGCTTGTCCGTTGTTCAGGGCGCAGTCGTCAACAAGGCCGCCCAGATTATCGTTGTCGACGTCAACCCCAACAAGGAGGAGTGGGCGAGGAAGTTCGGCGCCACCGACTTCGTCAACCCCACCAAGCTCGGGGACGAGTCCGTTGTCGACAGGCTCATCGATATGACGGACGGCGGGTGCGACTTCACCTTCGACTGCACCGGCAACGTCAGCGTCATGCGTGCCGCCCTGGAGGCCTGCCACAAGGGCTGGGGCCAGAGCATTATTATTGGTGTCGCTGCCGCCGGTCAGGAGATCTCCACGCGGCGTAAGTTCCCATCCTATAATCCGTCGTTCATGCTTCTCCAGATGCTAACCGCGCTCCAATACAGCGTTCCAGCTCGTCACCGGCCGTGTCTGGAAGGGTTGCGCATTCGGCGGTGTCAAGGGCCGCTCCCAGCTTCCCGGTCTCGTATCGGACTATCTCAAGGGCGCCCTCAAGGTGGACGAGTTCATCACGCACAGGAAGACACTGGGCGAGATGAACAGTGCATTCGAGACCATGAAGCAGGGCGATTGCATCAGAGCCGTAGTCGACATGCGCAAGTAAGCAACGGCTTTAGTTGCAACATGTATGCGTCTCTTGTTACAAAAAGTACTGATAGTTCAAAAAAAAAAAGTGAAACCGACATCCCTAGAAGGTCGCTCAATTCCAAACTGTGAAGCCAGGCGGACGGCCATGGCGGCCAACGACGAGGGGTTAGCACCGACCAGCATGCTCATACGCGCGATACCCAGATCCATGTCGATAGCAATACAACACCTTGTCGTCAACTGCCGTTGGCTATTCTAGGATTGCTACTAATGTGTACTTCGTGTGGTGTTACTGTCGAGGTTCTAGACCGTCGCCCGCTTGAACGGATCCGGCAGCCGGCAGCGTTGTGTGCGCGGTCCCGACAGTGGTCCCAGCCGGCCGGCGCTCTCAGGGTTATTATGCACAGCGTGGCACACTTGCAGGCCTCCCCGTCTACATTTCCTGGCTAGATCCGGGGGGGAGCGCTACGGTGAGAATTAGCGCCATTGCCAAATGACGAGTAGATTTTCCGAGCACCAGTCTACCGACAACTTCCTACTGATAGGCAATACGGGGCGGAAAGGACATGCTGAACAAAAGCTCCTCCGACTTTAGCACGGACGGGGACTCACAAGTGTTACCTGATTACGAGGCCAAGCTGCATTGCTTATCCAGCGGAATCCTTGAATTTAAAACGTGAATTGCAGCTACGGCCTGATATGGAATCGTCACCCCCGAAACGCCTTACTATCCTGATGCCTCGAACGGGAGAGGCGATGCCAGCCAGTCGCTTAGGAAAAGAGACCGACGCCGCCACCACGCCCCCGATAAGCGCTATTAAATGGAAATACGGGTATTGCTACTACGCGCTTTGTAGGCCTTTGTCTCCTTTGGCCTAGCCACCACCCGGATACATTCTCAAAGAGCCATTGCTTGTTGTCTAAAGCCTAGCGTAAAGCGTCACAGTATGTCTCGGAGGCCTGCGGACGCATGCTGGGTGGATTGTAGGCGCGACCCGGGGCCCCTCCTCCGCGGCCCCTTCTGTAGCTTATGCGCTAGGAACCCTATTTGGCTATAATCTGCCCCCCGGTCGATGGCCGGTAACACGACTGGCAAGTCGCAAGGCTCAGCAGGATATGTCGCCAAAAGCGGGACTGGGGAATCGGACGATTCTGAGAACGGGGACAAGGATCAGAAATGGAATGGACCGGGGGGGCTAACTGCATGGAAGCATTAATACAGCCGCCATCGGTCACCGTGTGGTTCGGAAATCTAGGCAGGAAAGAAATGACTGGGGAGGAGACTGAAAGCTGTTGGGGCTCACCCCATCAGAAATCAAGATCCAGATGCATTGATGGCTAATATTGATAGGCAATCAAGGCTCGGTTGGTAATTTCGACTCTGGCGTAGGTAGTATCGATTGATACTGCCGAGGAAGAACCCAGAAGGAAGCATAGGTTTCGCTAGTGGCTCTTCCCACTATTGCATAGTTTCCTCATAATTGACCACAGGGCGAAGGATGCTGTACGTACAAAGGGGCTTTGGTGTTTCGCAAAGGGAGTTGACCATGGGACGACGCCAGTGTAATCTTGGCCATCATCCACATCATCCAGCACCCCAAATCAATGTGTTGCAAATGCACATGCTTGTTGCTCCTGGACGCTGTGTTAAGCAACTGTTCCGGACGTGGACCAGCTAGCTGCCTTGAGCGGGCGTGTGCTGGCTCAATGTTGAGTCCCCAGCAGGCTGTTGCTACTCGACGATGCGCGGATGATCAGTCTCGTGGACGGGTGAGGCTAGCGATGCACCTCTCTCTCCTCCACCAAGTAAGATAAGCTAAGACGGTTAGTTATGCCGCGCTTAACAACAGGCAGCGCAAGGATCGCTGAGTCAGAGTAGGTATGTATTCGTATCCATCCATTGGTCTCGTTGTGTCCCGCCAATGGACCGTGTCCACAAGAAACAACGGCAGTTCTTCCGAGTGCAGCGTCAGAAAACGAGTTGGACGTCGGACTACAACGGATTACGTTCTCTAGAGGCCACTCTTTTCCGAGATGCGACATACCGACCTGTTTGTCCCTTGTCTGATATACCAAGGCCATTTGCTGTAGCGCGGATGCCCTTCTTGGAACCATTTGCATGCCATGGCCAATGATGCCAGTTCCAAAGTCCCTGGTCGAAGTCGTTGCAGGGAGCCAGATCCAATACGGTAGGAGGTAAGTCAGGTTGCACGGCGCTAGACTGGGCGGCACTACCTAAGTCATATTGCGACCGATATCTACCGCTTCACCTCGTTTCCTTCGCCTGTCATAACTCAACTTCTAGTTTGGACAGATCAGGCCACCGAAGGGCAATATGTGGTTCCGCACAATAAGAGGAGGCGCTTGTGGACACCCGTTCATCTCTCAGTAGCCGAGCCTACGTGCTATGTACGGTGTAGGACAACAGACCAGTGCTTGCTGCGGAAGTGCCCATTGACAATCCCAGCCGCTTGCTGCACCGCTCGGTCCTGCGGTAGTGTCTTGGGTTCTCTTACGGTTATACCGCTCCTTGACGGGGCGGGGTTTTGATCAACTGGGAGTATCAGCATTGGCATTCGGTCGGTTGGAAATTCAAAAGGTTGCCCAAGTTGCAGCCACCGCGTGCAGAGGCGACGAATGCGGTGAGCGGTCTTGGGCGCGTTGGGAGGCGAGATTGTTCCGTCCCTTGTCGACAGCGAGAGTGAGGGCTTTGGGCCGGTAGGGGACCCCAAGACTCTTGTTGTTTCTTCATAACAACTTTATCGCCATTCTGATGTACTGATCTAGCCAGTCGTCTCGGTTGCACGCCATTTAGCAACCTTAAAGGTAACAATCACAGGAGCTGATGAGACGAGCGAGACCTGGCAGGTTGGGTAGCGGCTGGCAGGGGACGACGGTTCATCGCAGCGTTTGAGGTGCTGGAGACTTAAAGCCTACGGAGGCGGCGATTGGTTGCAGGCGGTACATAACGAATCGGCGAGTGGAGAGCGGAGCGAAAGAGAGGGTCGGATTATGATTGAAAGACGAAAAAGGGAGGCGATGACGATGGCCTGTGACAGGTGATTGCGGAGCAACTGAAGCACTACCGCGAACCGCAAGTCAGTCATTCGCCCATCGCCAGCCATCTTTGGGCCTGATTACGGACGGTTACAAAGCGAAGCTGGGTTGTCTTCTGCAGCTCGTGGTCTTACAGGAGCCATGATCCATGGTGGCCATGAGATTGCCAATGCCAATGCCATGCGGTGCCATGTCATTGCAAAGTAGACGAGTGTGAATCAAGCCCTTGTTAGCGGGTGTACTGGTGTGTCTGCGACGGGTGTAGAGTGAGAGAGACGCAAGGCGAACCCATAACCAGCGTGCAAGTCAGGCATGGTGGAGGCGAAGAGGATTGATGTCCTCTGACTTGGTTGAAGCAGGCTAATCGATGGACCGGGCGTGTTGTTGGATGATGTATGGCTTTCGTACCCGTTCGTCACCACTCCGAGGTAATCATGGTTGCATTGGCGAGACGTAAACGTGGGTAGGTCGAAGCTACAGACGGTGTGCATTTGGACGCATTCGGTCTGCCATGTTGAGGGTGATGGTGATCAGAGGTAGAAAGTATCCGTGTATGTTAAGGAGTCGCGTTGATAGAGTAAGTCAGTGGGTTCTCGCCTAACTAAACTACCGACCTACCTGGGTACCTATCTAGGTACGTACGTAGGGTACATCAGGAAGGAAGAAAGACTTGTGACGCGGAAGAGGCAGGTGCCGGTGCAAGTGTGTACGTACATGGCGCCTTTCTCGGCACTGAATCATTAGATGTTTCCTTCGGTTGTTTCCAGGCCTCAACAAGCACACCTGCCGAGCCAATACAACAAGGCACCGGCAACTACCTACCTACATGTACCCAAAACACACAGATTCTTCGGCCTCCCGTTGACTCGGCGGCAGGCGTACGATACGATGTACAAGCATGCAGATCTGCAAGTTGAGCCCTACATTACACTACACTACACTACACTACTTGGCTCAACTCTTTAATCCTCACAGGCATTGTTGCATCAGTCTGACTCAGGCTCGGGAATGTTGTCGATACACGCCATCCAGGAGGCAGCTGATCCATCCCCCTTGGAAAAGTCACCTCATCTCGTAAATGACCAACAGACCAGCACTGACGTACGGATACATGGCCTTGCGTTTCCTTGCTTCCCCCTCGGTTAGACACTCCCACGCTCCTCGATCCTGAACGGTCTCACCAGTAAAGCATCATCGTCCGTTCGGCAACATTACTGAGCCGCTCAATTTAACGACAACGGACTTTTGCAGTATTGATCAATAGATCTAAGCTGGCGATCACACGTTGTTCCGGTACAGATCCGACAGAGGCGACCCGTCGATTCGGGACAGAAATAGAGGACGGGAAACATTGCACACAACGCTGGGAGAGGGGGGGGGGGGGGACACGGGGCGCAAGGCCCAGTCTGCTGCCATTCCTTTTTTGCCGCTTTCGGAGCCTTGCAAAACCGCCGTGTCATTGGCATTGCCCAGGCCGCCATTCGACGCAAATTGGTTCAAGCAAGCACAGCCAGTTACAGCACCTGCAGTCCCGGTCCCGAGGCTACCAGCATCAGCATCGCATCCATCCTAATATAAGATGTTGGTCACTCTCTCTCCTCGCTGTGGTCGCAGTCCTGTTTTGGGTATAGCGGTAGCCGGGAGTCGGAGGGAAATTCGAGGGACCGGCCGACAAAGCCGGCAGAAAACGGAGGAGATTGGGGAGTACAAAGCCACGGGAAAGAATGTAGCCATACATCATGCCTCTTGGTGCAGGAGGTGCCGCCCTCTCGTTCCGACCGCCCTGGAACACGACCCTGACTCCATGGCGCCCGTCTCCATCAGCACTGTCTCGGTCGCCCCATCGGATATACCAACAACCTGTCGACGATAATACTGTGTACGGACCACTGACTACCTGCCTTACCTGGACTACCCTTGCCAACGCCATTTGAGCAATGCGGCTGGTACCCCGGTACTTCGGACGCACACGTACGCCGCTCACTGCCTGCCCCCTCGCCCGTCCCATCGCAACAGGGAAACACCCACTGGACAAAGGGCAGGGAACCTCGTGGTTGTGAGTACAGCCTCTCCTCCATTCCTCGTGTATCCGTAGGCTATTCATACTTGACCCCTATCCTGATTTATCCTCGCCGTCCCTCACTTAACCCCATACTCACATGACTACGCCGATATCCGTACCTTCAGCTGCATTGGGGGCCGACTGCCCTCTCCATCACATCATGCTAGCTAGTCGTCGGTTTTGGCCTGCTCCAGGCTTACGGCCCAATATCGTGCCCAAGTCACGGATACGGCCAACATTGCGCCTTTGCTTGCACCCATTGTACAGTTTCGTATCCCGTACGTAGAACTACACTACGGCACTAGTTGCCTCCCCCATTGTTCCATTGGATTCTGCATGCGGGAACGGAAACGGCTACCTTAGTACGCTGCGTGGCATGGATGCCACTGGGGACCACCGTGGACACCGTGGACCGCAGAATGGTCTGGCCGTGCATTGCAGTGCAGTGCGCAACTCAGCAGATGTACATCTAGTGGAAGTGAGTGCTTCCACTCTGGTGTGTGTGTGTGTGGTGCTGTGGTCACACCCACCCCCTACCGAGGCAACTCGCTTTCTCCCTCCGGCTCTGCCACAAAGCCCGTACGCCTCGCGTCGTTGCTCGGGTCTCCGTTTTAATCAATCCTGTATTGGCGCCTCCGATGAAGTATGTGCCCTGCATGTCCATCTTCCCGATAGGTAATTAGCAACACAGTCCACCCCCCTCCCCAGACAGACGAGACCAAAGCTCCACCAGCCACCCCGTCCCCTGCCCCACGCCTGTTGTTCCTTGTCTTGTGTCTTGCTTGTCATTGTGAGCGCTTCTCCCGCCTTCGACCTGACTTGTTTGGCCTGGCTGGACCTGGGCCCGGTCCTGGCTCGGCTTATTAGATCATCATTGATTGACTGCCTGACACAATTCGCCTCCAGCTAACTTCTATTACTTGTACTCTCGCTCACCACATCTTCTTCCCCTTTCCATCTCACTCCTTTTCCCTTTTTATCATCCCATCTGTACCGCTCTCTACCATTCCGCCTCGCACCTCCCACCGTCGTTTCACGAGTCGCCTCCACGACCGACCACGTTCGATCTCGACTCTCGGCATCCCTTCCTTCCCTTCTCACTTCACCCGGCGCCTCACCGCTTCTTACCGAAGCCACTCACAACTGCACTCGCACGCCACCCCATCAACAACTAGCCCATTATGCCTCAGAAGAAGATCCGCTGCACCTTCAAGGAGTGCAAGGACGCTGCCCAGCGTATCGTCGGTGACTGCGGGTTCTGCAGCGGCCACTTCTGTGGCAAGCACCGCCTCCTCGAGGATCACAAGTGCTCCGGCTTGGAAGACGTAAGTCGGGTCTCCGAATCTTCGTGCTCTTGGCTTCTCGGCCTTGACACCGTTCTGCGAGACCTAGGCCTTGTTTGCTAACTTGTTCGTCGCTATAGTGCAAGAAGCAATCCCACGAGCGCAACGCTGCCCAGCTTGAATCCGAGCGCACGCAAGTCATCCGTGGAGTATAGGCACTACCTTCGCTATCACGAGTCTTACACCCCATGGCGAGCCTGACTGGGTTTCGCGCCATCACACACTGCCCGTCGAGATGCTGCGAGTCGGCCTACCCCCACACGACCGGATGCAGCTTGGACGTCGTCCATGGCTGTAAAAACAGTCTGGTATGCGAGGCGGACATAACACCCACTGCACGTCTTCATATTCTGGGACCTCTGCACGACACAATGGTCCTTTTGTTTTCCCGATACAATTCCTGCGAGGACTCGATGAGGTTCGCGCAAAGCGCAGCAGCAGCGGTAGCGATGAGCGGCGGTGGTGTCGACAGCGATGCCGTGTATTCCGCATCGTCTTTATTGTTTTCTGCCTACACACAACCCGGAGCGGCGTGTCTCGATTTCTACGCGGCAATGTGTATAATATTTTCCACCTTTAGGATAGTTCCGGCTTTTACACTTCCTCCGCACGGCGTACCGGCGTATGGTTCATTTTGAGCGGCCGCCTCGGAGGTCATTAGCCGTCAATCAGACTTTTTTTTTTGGAAACATTTTTCTCAAATCTATGTTATTCATTGGGTTCCTACCTCATCGTTTTCTTGCCCTTTGACGCTTGGTGATATGGCTCTTTTCTTACTACTACTAATTTGCATAATCCCCGATGAGTCGATCCAGCGGCAAGCCCGGCAAGCGGAGACGCGGCCAACGAGCGGCAGGCCGGGGGGGTTCAGCCGCGGAGGGTTGTCCGCCCATTTTGTCAGCTGAACACGTACGACCACAGACGAACAGACCATCTTTCCAGGGCTGTCTCAAGCCTTTCCTGAGGGGGGTGAGTGTGGCCCTTTAGAATCGCAAACCTCCTTGTTCCAGGGCTTTGTTGGGGGGGGAAGAGAGAGAGAGAGGGTGCCATTGCGCGCCATGCCTTCCAAAAACTGGCCGCTTTTGTCGTCATCCCTCTAACCCTCGCGAGTCAGGACGGCCGCCTCTCCGCAGCCCCTCCGCCTGCGCTGTATCCACGTCACACTGTGATGTGGTGGTGCAGGTTGCAGGTGTTGGCGCTGGAAGGGACGATGACGGCGACCGGCGGACCAGGCACACGCACGAGAGCGCCAGCCGAACCCCGGCCTTGCTCCGATGTCGTCCGCTGTCGTCGCAAGCCGCTGTTGGCCTGCACTTTTTCGCCCCTCCCCTTCTCTTACCCTCCTTGCCGCCCTTTCCCCCCTCCCTGCGCTGAAGACTACACACAGACACACACACATACACACTAAGGTGGTCACACAGTGTACCTACCTACCTACCCATCTAACCTTGGGTGGGCGACGCGCTCCGCGTGCAATGACTCTCTTGTCTCTGCTACGAGGTCAGAATCCACCCGATGTACAGGGTGGTAGGGGTAACTAAAAGCTCCCAGCCATGTTACCCCCCATAGCTGACATCATTATAAGAGGGGAATATTCACCAACAGAGAAGTTTTGTAGTAGGGGGGTGCGTATCAGTTACCTGACAGGGAGCTTTTACTTCGGCCGGATACCATCGTATGTAAATCGGCGCCCCCGCGCCGCCTTCATCGACCGCGCAATCGAAGTAGGCAACCCCCCCCCCCCCCCCCGGGTACACCGGTGGGGAAAGCCCGCACGGGTCGGCAGGCGGTACCGCGCAGAGCAGGTTTACGTATCGTAGCCCCTGTGTTATAGCTGATGTGCGTGTGGCCACATTGATGCTTCTCTCTCCCCTTGACGGGATTCGCAAAGCTAACTATCCAGGGCGAAACTCTATCTGCTACCTCTCCTTCACCAGCATCGCTCGTGGCCGATTACGACGGCTTTCCTCTCCGCAGTCTCCGCGGCACAGCCGCCCTGTTAGCCTTGCCCGTTGTGGCATCTTCAGGCGGTCGTTGGCCGCTGTCTTCCACCCCCGACTCCGGACCCAACTCCGACACGCCCGCAGCCTCGTTGACGACTCTATCTTGTTCCACATCCTCTTCCTTAACGACCTCCTCCTTCTTGATCACCGCGCTCCCGTCCCCTTGCTCCTTCACCTCGACCTTGACCTCCCTCGTCCTGCGCCCCTCGTTGACTTTCTTCCTCTCCGCCGCCTTGCACATCCCGCTGAGCCCGAGGTCGCATTCGCCGCATTTCCGCCCGACGGGGAGGCAGAGCGTCTGCCCGAACCCGACGAGCAGCCAGTTTATCTCGCGCCACTTGTCCTTGGGTAGCCAACTCTGCAGCGCGAGGCGCGTCGCCTCGGGTTGCGTCGTCTTGTGCCAGCCCCAGAGGTTCGTGATGCGGTGCACGTGAACGTCCACGCCGATGCCCTCGGTACGGTCCCACGCAGCCGAAAGGCAGAGGTAGGCCATCTTGGGCCCCACGCCGGGGAGGGAGGTGAGCCCTTCGATGGTGTCGGGTATGTCGCCATCGAATCTGTCGCGGAGGATCTCGGCCGCTGCTTTGATATATCTTGACGAGTTAGCCTCACATATGAGTCATCAAAAAGGAATGTCTCCGCCCAACCCCGCGCAGTGATTTCGCCGACGGCGCATCATCCTGCCACTCACTTGGTCTTGTTGTTGTGGAAGCCCACCGCCCAGATTAGCTCGTTCAAGAAAGCCGGGTCGACGGCGAGCACGTTCTCCAGGTTCAAGCCGCCCGCCGCCCCCGGCTCGTGCGGCGGCAGCTCCGTCATCAGCCTCTTCATGGCCACCGCGTTGACCGTGTCCTTGGTCTGGCTTGACAGCATCAGCGCGGTAAGGAGGTGGTACCGGCGGTCGCGCTCCGAGGCGTCGGGGTGGAAGAGGCGCTCGCAGCCCATGGTGTCAACGGCGGCGTTGCGCGCGGCGCCGTGCAGGCGCATCCGCTTCACCGCGTCGTAGATGGACTCCCAGTCTGAAGGGGGCTCCGTGTGCGACTCGACGGCGTCGGTGCCTTTTATTACGCGGGCCGGTTTACGAACTTTCCGCGTCTTGGAGGGAGACGCTCGCGCTGCTGCTGGCGCTGCCGTGGTCTCGGTCTCGACATGTTCGATTTTGATGTTTACGATGCCGTCCTCCGCATGTGCGTCTTGGCCGTCTTCCACCTTTGTGACGCGTCTTCGTTTCCGGCCCCTCGTGTTTGTGACTGCATCCTCAATGTCGGTGACGCCCAGGACGATGTCGTGGACCGTTTCTGCTGCCGCGGCATTCGCGTCCGTAGTGGAAGAGACACCAGCATTGTACGCGAATCGTGCAAGAGAAGAGCGCGTCGTCCTGCGCGTTTGTTGCGGTGGCGACGGTGCTGTCGTCGTCGTCGTCGTCGTCGTCGGTAACGGCGAGGACGGGCGGGCCATTTTGTTGAAAAGGGCCGAGGTTTCTCTGGATAGCTTCGATGTCCTCATCCCTGCTGTGAACACCCGAGGCTCATCCCTCTACCGGCGAATCGGATACTGTTGGATTTCGTTTCCCAGGTTGTATAGCGGGTGGAAACAACCACGCTCGCTATGAGGGGCGCGATTGAAAGGCAAAAAGAAGTCCCTGCCCCTTTGCGTGTACGTAGGTACCTAGGTAGCGTGGTTTATCCATACGAAGGACGGATACATAGTCGCAAATCCATTGGCCCTAAACCTTCCCGGGGCTTTCAGGGGACCAAGGGTAGTGCGGATTGGGTGGATGTGGGAAAGGGGGACACCCCTGCACAGTCCCGATAGTCGGGATGGTTTGTCAGCGGTGTGGTGGGATACTCTTTTAGCGGGGCAATATATCCCTGTCTGATGACGCTACGACTGCGACGGTAGGAGGTTCCACCAGGGCTGGCCTGCTTGGGTTGGGTGTGTTGCGGCTGACGGGCGATGCAGGACAATATAAGACAACTTCAGTCATACTCGGCCGACAGTCGGTATTCCGTACAATGTGCATCGAATGAAGGTCAAGCGGCTTGGGTAATGCAGTGGTACTTTCATAAGGCCAACAGACCATACGCATAGATAGATGGTAGAGGTGATTTTGGCGTAGATACGGTTGCATTATTACTTGTATACGGTAGTTGATTGTTCAGCTTCCTGAAAGTAAGGTCTCACTCTGATGTCGGACACGCTTTGTGCTGTCTGTTGAGCTACAATCCTTAACAAGCAACAATAAATGTCGCTGGGACGGACGACCTGACAACGATTGACACCGAGTATCTTCAACCTACGAGACAATCTTGAACGATCCAAATTGATTATGTTACAATGACGAGAAACTGGTGTATATCTAATAGGTATTCTCCGAGAGGAGCAGATATTTAAAAGTCAACGCTTCGCCAACTCCAACTCCGAATGTGCAAAAAGCCCCTACATCTAGACGATGAACTCTTCGTTCAGCCAGTGCTTGAGCACGACATGCCCCTCTGCAAAGGACTTCTTCTCCCAGCGTACAATGATGGCGGCGTGGCTGTGGCGGTCCTTGTGGATCCACACAGGATATTTGTGCCAGCCGACCGAGTCGAGATTCTGGATCATCTGGAACTGGTAGGGCGCCAGCGCGAGCGTGGGCTGCGATGGCACCGACATGCGCCTCTCCCGGGCAAGGAGCTGCGTCGTGCTGCGATCCATCTCAGCATCGTCCAGGTCCTCATCCGTCTCGCTCGCCAGGTACTCTTGGTCTTGCGAGCTGTTGAGCGTCTCATAGACATGTTCCACTTCCTCGCGAATCTCCTTCATCCACAGCGGGCCGCGGTACTCCTCGATGGCCACGCCCGCGAGACCCTTCTCGTGCAGCTGGATGCGCTTCGACGAACGGACTGTCTGGACGACGGAGCTGAAGAGAAATGCAATGACACCAATAGGGACGAAGATGGCAAGGGCGAGGGCGAAGGGCACGCGTTGGATCCACTTCCAGCCGGCGCCGGCAACCGATGAGAGAGTGGTTGGCCCGGAGACCTTGGGCTTTGGAGCAACCGGGTGGTTCGGGTCGAGAACAACATCCTCGTATCCCTTGACGTAGTTGCATCTGATTCTGTCAAGGTTGGTATACGGATCGGTCTTGGAAATGCCGGTGGTGTAGTGCACTGCGCTTCTGTCGTTGACGATGTTGGTGTAAAGCGTGTGGCGCTTGAAGCGCTTCAAGCCGGCGAGGAAAATGGAGTTGGGGTCGGCGAGAACGGCGAGGAGCGGTCGGCCAGTGCCGCGGAAGTTATCGATGGTGAACAACTGGCGGCCGGACATGGACAGAGTGCGGGCGCCCAGCACATTCCACAAGTGGTTGTGCCATCCTCGCAGCGGGGTGCGTACTCCCAGGTGCGGCGTCGCGAAAGTGACAAAGTTCTGGGTCGGGTCAGTAACCAGGATTCGCATGTAAGCAAGAATGCGGGTTCGTACCATGCACTCCACACTATCGAGAATGCCCTTGGAATGAAGCAAACCCACAGCGTAGCGGGAGACGAGTCCACCGAGAGAGTATCCCACGATACTCAGCTTGGTAATCTTGCCACCCCTCTCCTCGATCAGGCGCAGCTCCTCCTCGATCTCGGCACACACACGCTCACCGCCCCGTTCAATGCCATCATAGGTAAATGAACCACTGTTGCGCTTGGCGAGCAACAGATAAAGTTTATCGGCCGGGTACTTGGCTCGCAACGTTTTGGCGATCTGGGCCATGTGGTTGGGGTTACCCCAAAGCTGCAGTGCCGAGGCGGCGTTCCGTTAGCCCGAGACTCGTTCATGACGTCGGTGCGAGAAACAAAGCTGCGGGTGCAGGTGCAGGTGCAGGTTCAAGGGGTGAGGGGCACGACAGGGTTGGGATGAGTAAAAGGGCAATGCAATGTGTGTACGAACCCCGTGGACCAAGACGCAGAGGTGATCGGCCTCCGCGGTGCCGCCGGTGTAATCCATGATGGAGTCGGATGGAATCAGGGACCGGTGGACAGATTGAATAGCAAAGGGCAACAACGTTGAGAAGGGTTGCGATGGAGAACGTTGAAGGGGAGCTCGTGTGGGACGCGCACCGAGTTAAATCCTCGGGGCGACCACACAAGAGTCCCTTCAACGGGTAGTCCGCGCAAAGGCCGACCGGGGGGGAGGGACCTCAAGTCCGCTCAGTTTGGACCTCCTTCTACCACTACTGCGAGTGCCTGGACTTAGGGGAGTTAAGGCCCAAAGGGACCTCTTTTCCTCCGTGTTTGCGTGTTTGTGCTTATGTTTGTATGCGTGTGTTAGCTGGTGCCTGCGGGCGCTATGGGTGCCAATTGCTCCGTGACTTTGGCCCGACTCGTCCACTAGGTAATACCTGCCGTGCTGCCGAACAGGCTGCTCGCTAATTGGACAGCTAGGCGATTCGGAGCTCGCTGATAAGCTGATAGCGAAGGGGGGCCGTAGTGGTGAGGGGAGCGTTGTCTTGATTCGTGACGGCGAGCTAGATGCAGGATTGGCTTGTGATTTCAGGTTGAGAGTCCTTGCACCAAGTAATTCGTCTCCTGGCGAGGACCCTGAGCACACAAGACGCTACGCGTTGCTGGCAGATACTGCTACTGCCTGTAGTAGGGCTGATGGATGGGAGTTCAGTTTGACGTCGAGTTCGAGTTTGTCAACACAGGTATCGCGGCAAGCAATTCGTCTTATACACACACAACGCCCTGCAGGTCCAAGATGGACCCCAACTGTTGAAAACAAAGCAAAAAAGTCTCAAAAAAAACCCGTTTCGGAGGAGAGTGGAGGGCAATGAGGGCTTTTTTTATAGATAGTGAACGACGATGGAATCGCGCAGAAGCCCAGAACCCCCCGCAACAGTTTGTGATTCCCGATCACCCTCATTGATAACGATTTCCTCGATAAACAACCGACCGTGTCTCCTCCACTGCGATTGTACACCGCCGGTGGGTTCTATCCTATCCAACCCTTGTACCGAGATAGGCAAGTACAACCTCAATACCAGGGCTGCCCATGATTTCGTTGAAGGTGCCACTATCACCCGTTGGCGCTCAAGCTTTGGCAATACAGCCCGTTATCGACGGAGAGTAACGGCTAGTAGTGTATGATTTCGCTGTCGGTACTTGTGTCGCGGCCCTCTGCGCCCTATATGCGAGATAGACCCAGAGCCCGCATTTCTCGTGGAACGCGAGGGGTGGACAAGGTGGTGCAAGCTAATTGCTTGCCTCCGCGCCCGTCACCTGCAGAGGGAGGCCATCTTCGCCCTGTTTCTCGCACACCTCTCGGGCGAGGATCAGATAAGAGAGGCCATGACAAGCCACTACCTCAACAAAAAAACAACAACACTCTAATATGACCTTGCCTTGGTGTCGTCAGAAGAAGGTCGGCAACCGCCAAGAGTCCTGAAAGTGGACGCAGTGGCCAACGGATGAGACAAGCATTACCCATGGCCTTGGGTTCCTTTTTTCCACAGTAGGTAGTCGAGGAGTCCATGTCTGGCGTTGGCGAAAACGTCTATGCGCTCCCCTCGTTCACGAAGAAGATGAGACGGTTCGTGGAATTAGTTCAAGTGCACATCCCTGGGTCTGCTGCGATAAGGGATTTTGGCAGCATCTGGCCCCTTGATCCCCTCCCGACACGAGGGCCACAATCCCAGATGGTCATGGTCAGATAAAGGCTGCTCATCTCCTAGCAGGCGTCCTCGGCAGTGGCCCCCCCACCACAGCTCCAAACTATCCTGGTGCCACACCCAAAGCAGCCGAGCCTTACCTAATCCGTCCAACGCTCGGAGCCTCCCTTCGTCTCAATTCCGACGGCATGCGAGACACATCGTCCTTCTGTGACACTCTCCCAAACCAACCCGTCTTTATGCCTTTGGCCTGTTCGTTTCCGTCACCTTGTTTAACGTCCAATTTCACTTCATTCTTGTGCCAGAATCGACCTGGCTACGCGCCACTGAGGCCCCCCTCCCATTCACCCGAAGCCTGCCAATTCTCCGACTGGAACGGCACAACGGCACAAACGACCCGGCTGCGGTTTTGGCTATGAGATCTTCGCACTACTCCCCCGGATTTTCGCAGCCTTAATTGGCGCGTTCACTCTCATTCCACCTCCATTTCTCTCGAAGCGGTCACCAGAGTACGACCGGAACCTTTTAGCAGTTTGGCCCGAGGCTCACGGTCCTTCCTGAACGAGGGAAAGAGAGGTTCCATCTTCCTGACGAAGCTCAGGCAGTTCCCGTCACATCCCGTTGCCGTTCTTCGTCGTCGTTTTCGTCATCGTCTCCTTCCCCTTCCTTATCGCTGCGCAACAGAAGCAGCAGCAGCAGCAGCAGCAGCAGCAGCAGCAGCACTAGCCGTCATTGCCGTAGCTGAGCCAAAATTAGTCTGCTCTTACATCGTGAGGAAGGTGTTGCCACAATGTCCTTTGTCGACCTCAAACACATCCCCTGCCCTGCCGGAGACAGGTGCACCGCATTCCAGTGCCTCTTCCAGCATAAAGATGACAGGGATAAGTTGGCGGCTCCTTCAGTCCCGGCACTTAACACGTTAGCAACGTCGGCCAAGAGGCCAACGGATACCACGACGGATGCAACCCAGGATGGCCCTCGGAAACGTCTGAAGGCTGCTCAAGACGTCAAGGACCCCACCAATCCTGCAAGAACACCTCCTTCTGTCAAACTCGCCTCAAAACATGACACCACCACATGGAGACCAGATGACACTTCTTCAACTCTCGCCCGGCCCATCTCACCTCCACCTTTAAATCGCCCATCCTCCTCCTTCCCGGCCGGGAAGAAGCTGCCCCAGTCCAACCTATCCGCACCTTCCTTCGCTTCGTCTGACCTCAAAAAGCCGTTAAATCACTCTGCTCCCACTAGATCCTCTCCTTTAACTGCAGTGAATCACCCGCCCAAACGCAATAGCAGCACCTCATTCACTACCTCTAATCTAAACTCAACTTCAGCCCAGCAAGGCACCACTTCTCTGAACACTCCTTCAACACCCACCACATCCAACACCGAGCAACCACCTAAGCCCAGAAAGCCAGAGGCTCTTACCCCTCGTTTACTCAAATCATCCCCAGCCAAGTTCGATATTCGATACAAGCTCGTGCAGATGCTACACGGCGAATATACTCGCCTCAACAACGAACTCAAGAAGACCGCCAAAGACGCCGAAGAGAAGCAACTCATTCTCACAGACCAAGACCTCATCTGGAGAGTCCTTGACGAAGAGGAGACCACCGCTATCGAGAAAGGCGCCATCTACTCAAACGTAATCAAGAACAAAATCATGCAGTACAAGAAGATGACACTGCTGCAGTGGAAGGACGAGAGGGTCGTCCACTGCCATCAGCAGACCCAGAAAGGCCCTCACAAGAAGCCGCTTGGGTCTCCCAAGAAGATTGTAACTGGGCTGACACCTGCGCAAGAGGTCCAGCTTGTGCGCCACCTCGTCACCCCCATTGACGGTCTCGCCGCCCATGGCTACGTTTCGTCCGTTCCTACCGAGGCCGACATCAACAAGGCCCGTGAGGGTCTCGAGGCCGCCAAGGGCTGGGAGAAGTGTGACCGCTGTGACAAGCGCTTCCAGATGTTCCCTGGCAGAAGAGAAGAGGACGGTGCCCTTGCTTCCGGCGGCACTTGCACTTTCCATTGGGGCAAAACCTACTTCCCCGAGCGCCAACTCGGCGACAGATCCAAGCAACAGAAGCGCTACCGATGCTGCGGTCAGGCAGTTGGAGACTCCGCCGGCTGCTATACCAACCCTCATCATGTCTTCAAAGCTTCAGATCCCAAGCGACTGGCCACCATCCTCAACTACGCCGAGACGCCTGCAAACCCTCATGCACCTTCCGATAGAGCTGTGTGCTTCGACTGCGAAATGTGTTATACGGTTCACGGCCTCGAACTCGTCCGTCTCACAGCCACAGCTTGGCCTACTGGAGAAGAGTTGTTGGACGTCCTCGTCCAACCGGTCGGCGAGATTCTAGACCTCAATTCACGATATTCGGGTGTTTGGCCTGAAGACATGGCGTCTGCAGAGCCATGGTCCGCCAAACGAGAAGACCCTACCCCCGCACAAGCCAAGAAGATGGCTAGTCCCAAGAAGACCAAGAAGAAGATGAAGATTGTATCATCTCCCGAGGTGGCACGCGACCTCTTCTTTTCTCTCATCGCTCCCGACACCCCTCTCATCGGCCACGGTCTGGAAAACGATCTGAACGCCGTCCGCGTCGTACACCCCACAGTCATTGACACGGTCCTTTTGTTCCCCCACAAGCACGGCCTCCCGTATCGCCAGGGTCTGAAGATGCTCATGGACAACCTCCTCAACCGCAAAATCCAGGTTGAGACAGCCGGCAAGGTCCAAGGTCACGACAGTGCGGAGGACGCTAGGGCTGCGGGTGATCTTGTTCGTTTCAAGCTCTTGGAAGAATGGAAGAGCATGAAGCTCAAGGGCTGGAAGCTGAAGGGCAATGAGTTTGTGCCACCTGGCGGAAAGGTGGACGACTTCCATGACCATCTGACAGTGGAGTTCCTTGAGTCTGCCCTTTAGCGGCGGGTTGACTTTGTCCATACTTGAATTTGGGATAATTTTTGGCGTTCAGGAGGACTAGGGGTCCTGGGATGCATTGGGAGGTGTGGAACCGGCATGATGATACCTAGCCCTTGAAAGGGAGTTCCTTAATGATAACGGGTCTTTTCGATCACGTTTTTGTCCCCTGGTGAGCTTTGCATGCGTACAACCAGATACCACGCTACAGTCTCAGGCTGTGGCTAATGTCGAATAAATAGCAGGTTGGTATGCAGTTCCTCGGCCATGACTTACTGGCGCAATTCAAGCTTCTCTCGCCTTTCCATGTCCGGACATCAGCATTTACCATATCTGCGATACGCACAACTGTATACTGGCTCCCTTAATATTAGCATTCCATGCACTCGAGGTAGCATGAGAGAGCCCCATAGTTCATCTAGCCATTAATCGTCCAAGTTTTGCAAATGTAAAGGTCACAGTGCGCATGCTAGACGGCCTTATGGAAGCCTCGGTGTTATGCGTTATTTCGGTTGTGTGCGAATGGTCGTGGGCTTCACGCTACCATTGCCTCAAGGAATTTAAACCGCGGAGGGAGGCTCTCGCCGCATGCCATGAATCGCTGGTAGAGCCTACCCTTGAAACTCCCGAGTAGCCATCATCCGCAAACTAGAAAACTTTGGCTTTTCAAGCTAACGGTCTGCCAGTGACATGAACGGTTCCGTGGCCGTTCGTGGAGATTAAGTGCAATGTTGGGGGAAGATTGGTCTGGCGGACACCCTTTCCGTGCTTCCATTAAGGCACATTTGCAGCGTCTTACCTGCGGCTAGGCGCACCGCGAACAAGATAGGCGGACGATATGCCGCGGCTGCAAGAGGTGGTGTATACAGAGCTTCAGGACCTGGCAATGTTTGAACGCGAAGAACACGGCTGAGCTCCGTCTTGCGGAGAGCATCATTTACGCACACCATCCCATCCCACCACGTCAAGGGGCACTCTCACTGTGTTGGCTAATATGTAAGCATGACTATCATGTAGACGACGACAATAGTACCAATTTTTATGTTTAATGTTTAACTAAGAGTCTCTCGGATTACATTGCCACGGCGGGACCACTTATACGAACCAAGTCCACAGGAGATGGGATCCGAGCGACGCCCCTACTAAATCAGCGCGAACCAAGCCGCTTGTTCGTCAACCGCGCTTTTTGCCATGCGTTACCCGTGGTCACTATTTGGCTCAACCACCCAAACTGACCGGGTTATACGGAAGCGCACAGTTGAGTCTAGTGATGAGATGTCAAGAATATGACTTGTGGCCAGTCCTATGGTTTGGTCGTTCCAGCGCCGACTGACTGGGTACCACGCACATGCATCACGAACTATCACGAACTACGGCTCGAACCGCGGAAAGGCGGTAGAATTCACTGGCCTATGATTACATTGAAGTGGTGACTTGCCTTCAAAGTCTATTGTACAACACTGCCTTTTGTTCTCTCACTGAAGACCCTACACCTCCCCTCATACTCGTAGCACTTTACGGCCGTCCGACGTTCAACAACATCTGACTACCGTTTTTGCCGCCGCTGGGCAAGTAAGCGACATTGGGGTTCGATGAAAGAGTCGCGGCAATTTCTCTGCTAGCTTCGATCTTTCTGATCTGGACGAGACCGTCGCCGTTCTTGGCGATGGCCTTACTGATGGTCTCGGCACTCTCGGCCTCGCCCTCGGCGCGAATGACGTTGGCCTGACGCTCCTGCTCGGCCTTCTCGACGATAAAGCGTGCACGCTCGGCATCCTGCTGAGCAATCTGCTTCTGCTCAACAGCCTTGGTAAACTCCTTGCCGAAGGTCATGTGCGTGATGGAGACGTCCTCGAGGGCGATGTTGAACTCGGCGGCGCGCTTCCTCAGGTCGGAGCTGATGCGCTGTGAGACAGCCTCACGCTGAGTAATGAGCTCTGCGGCGTCGAACTGCGCGACGATCGACTTGAGGACTTCGTTGCCGATGGAGGGGAGGACTCTCTCGTCGTAGTCTTGACCAAGGTTCTAGCGGGGTGGTCAGAATCTTGTGGTCGCTTAGGAGCTTTGACACTGCAAGGCTTACCTGGTAAATCTTAGGGAGAGCCTGAACTTCAGGCCTATGCAGCACACGGAGTGTCAAGCTGACCATCTGGAGATCCTTGCTGCCCGTCGTCGTGGCGATGTTTCTGGGCTTCGTCCGCACATCGAAGACGATGCTCCTCTGCAACCATGGCACAAGGAAATGCGTGCCCTCGTTGATGACGGTATCCTTGACACCAGACAACCTGTCGAAGATAACGGCTCTGGATCCACCCTTGACATCGTAGATTGACGACTGTAGCACCGCTATACCAACGGCCGCAGGGACAGCCATACGGTACGCAAAGCCCAAAGCTTGAGCCATGGTTTCGGAAGCGTGGAAACGGGGGTGGGGGGGGGGGGGTCGACGGGAGATACAATTAACAGAGTTGTGCAGGCTGCTTCTGGAGATCGCGAGCTATTCGACTGGAGCTTTTGGACGTTGGTGGTGGGCTGGTCCTGCAGTGTAAGGACGGATGAAGCTGTCGAAAGCTCCTCTCGCAAGGCAGCGGGAAGCTCCGTCATGGAATTTTGGGCCTGTCGACCGGGGTGGTCGGATGGGTGGTGGTGACGGTTCGAAGGTACAACTGGCGCTAAGCCTTTTTGGGTCGTGCGCCTCAGCGTTCGGGTTCGGCAGGAAGGAGACAAGATTTGAACCTCGTCCGATTCGACCCATCCCGTTCTCCAGCGTAACGACTTTCTACCCGGTAACACATCACCGCCCACCACACGCCGTCACGATGAGACCTACGCAAGCTCTTATGAGTGGACCTAGCGTCCCTCACGGAAAGTACCAGCAGTAAGCGACGCCTCGTCAGACGTCAATTGAAAGCGGAAACAGGAAGGGCGTGCGGGCTTTTCAAAACGGGAGACCACGATGATTCCGCTTGTCCGCCGCGCCTTGCACCACGTTCAATTGCATTTCGAGTGCATTCCACTGACATTTCAATAGCTACCTCGGCTGGTGGGGACACATTGGTACGTTGACCTGCGATATTCTTTTGCTGGCGGAGCACGATGGCGACGCGGCTGAGCGATGCATGATTTCTTTGGATGGAACACCATAGAGAGGAAGGAAATCCATGATCCGCTCATTGACGAAACGATGCGATCTGAAGCAACAATAAACGGAACAACAAGCTGACGGACTTATAGGTGGCGAGAAGCAGAGAGGCATCATCACTTACGGCATTGCCCCCAACCGTCAGAACCCCTTCGCGGGCGCTGCCCACGACGCCGTCTTTAACACCTGGCGCCGCTTCAGCGCGCAGGTCCTTTACTTCCTCCCTCCCCTGGTTGCCGGCTGGTACATCATGGACTGGGCCACTCACCGGTCAGTCGCCTCTTCCGAACGCTACTCCGAAGACGAGTCGAAACAGGTTCTCATACTAACATGCCACACAGCAACCACTACCTGAACTCCAAGCAGGGCCGCGCCGAGTTCAGCGACGAGGAGTAAGCGCGTCTTTCGACAACGGTGAACGATAGGTGCTAGAGGCGGACAACGACTCCCTGTGTCAAAACACATGTATATCAACTACGTAGAGGGGAGATATGGAATAGAACCCCATTTTTGACGATTCTGATACATAAGACCTCGGGTACTACAAAGATATAAAATAGCCACCCTCGTGTATCGGCGAAAGATATTATGTGCTGTTGTTTCTTGAACTCCGCAGGAAAGGTCACTAATGTGATCAGCCTTTGCCGCGGCAGCTAAGGGCTTGTTGGTTCCCATTACCCAAACACATAGCCCTTGCAGCATCTGTATCAAGTGCTTCATCTTGCAAGTTTGCTATTGACTTAAAATTGGCTCCAGTGGGCAAGCGAACAATTCCATAACCACTATGCGCTGACATTTGCGCAATGTCCGGATCATGATTGGTCGAGTCGAGTCGAGTCACGTGAATTGCTCACTGAGAACTTGTATAGCTCTTCCGGCACGGATCTACCGTTCTCCGCGGTATCTCTGCCACTGTGCCACACAAGCTTGCAAGGTGGGGCCCCTCCGAGAAAAAAAAGTTGCATGGGCTCTGCAGGCAAGAGAAAAAAAAAAATCGAGCCTCTGTAATCCGACCTCGTACGAGAAGCTTCAACCACCAGCACGCCGCCGCCGCCAAACCGCCCGAGTCTTCTTCGTCGTCGGAACGTCCACCCTCCCCCTTGCCTCACACTTCGAACCACTCTTTCGTAAAAAAGTTAAAGAAAACCGTTGCAATGGCCGCCGAGAAGCCCGACAGGAAGGAGAAGAAGGACAAGAAGCGCTCTGTGTCTGACGGCGCGATCAAGAAGGACAAGAAGGATAAGAAGGACAAGAAGGATAAGAAGGACAAGAAGGACAAGAAGGACAAGCTCGAGCGCGTTCTCGATGAGCACCTCCAGGCCGACGTCGCCGCTACCGCCGTCGCCAGTGGTGAGATCGCCTCCAAGGCCACCGCCGACGGCCTCCCCGTCGCCGGCGCCCTCGTGCCCTTCGCCGTGCCATTGGCCGACGAGAAGGCCATGAAGAAGGTCATGAAGTCCATCCGCAAGGGTACGTTTCCCCCCCTTTCCAATTTGTCTGCAGAGGTGCTCTCATGCTCTCCCGGCCTGCATCCCTATCGCGCGTAAAGGGGAAAACAGCGTAGGCTAACATGGTGCACCCAAACAGCGGCCAAGAACAACACCCTCAAGCGCGGTGTCAAGGAGGTCGTCAAGACGCTCCGCAAATCCCCCGCCGCCGGCCCCGGCAACACCGCCTTCCCCGGCGTTGTCATCATCGCCGGCGACATCTCCCCCATGGACGTCATCTCCCACCTGCCCGTCCTGTGCGAGGACCACAACGTCCCCTACATCTTCGTCACCTCGCGCGCCGAGCTCGGCGCCGCCGCCAAGACGAAGCGCCCGACCTCCGTCGTGATGGTCTCGGAGAAGCGCTCCGCCGCCGACGCCAAGAAGGCTGAGAAGAAGTCTGACGTCAAGGACGACGAGGAGGACGACGGCGAGGACTACTCCGAGGTCTACTCCGCCCTCGTCAAGCTTGTGCAGAAGGAGACTGCCAAGCAGTCCTTCTGGGCATAGATGCAGATTTGCTGCATAAAGATAATGGACCGGCATCGTATACTTTGCATGCGTGTTTTTGCACACCAAAGTGCATTGCATACAGAGCATTGCGAGGCATAGACTGGACATTCATGAGACCAGGTACGAGGAAAACATCCTTTGGCACGCAAACAAACAACGTCAACGGAGACATATTTATGTCACGCTCGTTACCTCGTCGCTCCAATTGAAATGGAAGCACATGGTTCATGAATGGCAAAACGACTTTTCAGAAGGGGGAGGAGTTGTATTATATGCACGCTTCCTTTTTTTTTTTTTTTGCCAATGCGGCGCCGGACATACGGGAAAACTGGCTGGAAAAAAAGACATCATCGGCGTTCTAGGGCAAGTGTTTGTTTGCATTGAGCAAGCTGGCCTATGCCACTTCTGCTTGAACCAAAATAAATGATTTTCAATCATTGCAACCTCCGTTGGAACCTTTAGGGTGCGGAGGTGTGGAGGAACTTGCATCTGCTTCTTCAGACACGAGGTGTCAAGAGCACGCCCGAGTGATGCTGTGAACAGGTGTCATGTGTGAAAGCAAGCAACTCTAAGTTACCGTCTTGTTGACTTTGGTAAAAACACGTCTTTTATGTCAGCCCCATTACCGCACCGGTCACCACCCATCGTCCACTGCCCTAGCCTCTTGCTAGGATCAGAATGCGCCTGCCGACCTGACAACCAAGATCAATCTCGTATAGCCATATTATTACACCCTGAAGTGGATGTTAGACGAGTGCAATGTACCTTTGCAGGAACGCATTTCTTCGCATTTCTTCGCAAAACTACCATCATATGCACGACTGGAACGAACAGTTGGGATGATTTGTCGATTATAAAAGAAAAACCATGCCTCTGAGCAGACGTAAAGTGTAGGTACACATGGCAATGACCCTAGCCGCAATAACGGGCTCTCTTTTAACTCCATGACCTCATCCCATGCGACCCAATGACAATAACACAAGCGAACGCATTCGCGGAACGCTCAATGGAGTTTATAAAACATTAACCCTTTAGTTGAAGGGGTTGGTGCGAGTTCCCCACCAAGTGAGGAAGACTGACAGGCCAACAGTCTCGATCACCTTGGCCAAGATGCTGACACCGACGGTGTCGACAGGGCGCTTCTCGACGAAGACCTGGGAGATGTACTGCGTTTTGTTAGCTATAACTTCGTAGTGAGACAAGACAAAATGATTGCCATACACCGGGAGCAGAGGTAGCGAAGAAGATCAGGGAGCCGAGGTAGGCAGCACCCTTGTAGGAGAGAGTGCCAGTGGCGTTGATGAGGGCACCGACACCGTACGACTGGAGGGCAGATCCAACGAGGGAGGTACCCCAAGCGACAGCGGCGCCCTGGGCCTCCTTGGAGCGAACAAACTCCTCCTTGGTGTTGGCAGCCTTGGCACGCTGGTAAGTCGAACCGAAAATGGGGGTCAAGACTGTCAGGGACTTGGATTAGCTGATGCGATTTGAGGTGGGTGATTTCAAGGTGTCAAATAGATTCGCATACCAGCGAGCTCAGCCGTGTGGTTGAAGATAGTGCCAAGGGCAATAGCCGAAGGCTTGACCGGGGGGAGGTCTGTTCAGAGGAGTGGTTAGCAAGCTATTCGCGTTTCTTTTAACCAAGTCTTGATGTAAAATTCGAGCTTATGATCTCAAGTCCAACAAAAACATGTTGTCTCTTTCGCTCGGGTAACGACGGGTGTGGCCAGGAGATTTGGAAATGTTCGAACCGAGTCCGAAGATCATTGTCTTGGAGAAGGGGCTTGAACTTACAGTGCAGAGACATGGTTGCTGATATTGGGTATCTTGTGGTGTGAAGAAGTCAATAATCGATTGGACTGTGAGAGTAACGTAAACAAAAGTTCGGGAGAAGAAGGGCGAGAGGGCTGGCTTTTATGTGCTAGGAGGTGCCAGGTGGGCGGGTATGAGCTACTTGTGACCTCAGCCTCTGCATGCAAGACTTGCTTTGGTAGCCGGAGCAAGGCAAGTGTTCGTCTCTAGGCGAAACAGGAGCTAACTAACACATGGAGCTGGTTGGGGGGGGGGGGGGGGGGGGGGTGATTGGAAAGGAGGCACAGCCAGCCGGATCGGAGTCTCATTCCATCATCGGTCGTTCCTGGACTGGGCTGGGCTGGGCACCTGTCTTCTGCTACTTTTGCCTTTCCCTTTTCCCAGGCAAAAGGCGTATGAGCTACGTACATTAGAGACAGCTGGACAGGGGGTGGTTGGTTGGTACCGAGAGACATGTCACAGCGTGCTCTTCCTTCTTGCTCCGGATTGTGTGGTAGTGCAACTTCTGCTGCCGGTTACCTCCTGCTGCGTTTGGTTGGGTGTCCCAAGCTTCCGCGCTTTCTCTCGAAAAGCTGTCGATGTTGTCGTGGTGTCGTCACCTGTGCCGTGATGTCATGACCTTCACCCCCGCCGAATCCACCCTAGACCCACCCATGCTCCGACAATTGGGCGAGACCGTCAAAGACCATTTCTTCCTAGCCGTGTACGGATACCCCCGGCCATAGTTACCTATGCGTTTCTAGCCCGTCTCTCTACCCCTGCCATGTGCCTGCACTCTGACAATTGCAGAACTCAGTGCATGGCACCCGCGCTGGGAAAACCCATACGGGAGAGCTTATGAATACATGGAGCAATATGACCGAGATGGCCCAGATGGAACCTCGTGTTATGCCCTCCTGGCCGATGTAAATACATCTGTCCCCTTCCCCCAATTGGGCATGATACTTGTACTGTGTATTTTCGACTGTGTTAGATTATCATTGTGTACCTGTGCGACCTTAAGAGGAATCGCTTTGTATATCATATATGTACTTCACCTTGGTATGGAGACGCCTCAACCGGGGTAGCTGTGCTGTGTCTTACGTACACGTTGTATCATTCCAATGTGGTAGGTGAGTGAGCCGGTCGCCAAACTTGTCCAGCAGAAGTCAACTTGGACAAAGGCCGGCTAGACAAGTAAGGGATAAAATTCAAGGCAAAGGGAAAGCGTGACACAACCGGGATGACGAACGATCAATGTCAACACCGACCAGAAAGAATATTTACAGGCACTTGAGAACCAAACATGCCTTTTCAGACAAGAACCCCGGCTAGACCTCGGCGACCGATAAAAGGTTGGTGACCTGGCATGTATTTCTGAAGCTTCACAGAACCGTGTCGACATTACGCCGTGCCGCACAAGAACTCCTCTTCCCATCATTTTATCAACATATTAATACAGGCCTACACGACGTAGTTGACGCCGCTGTGTTCGCCTCGCTATTTCCATGCCAGTACACCAAGCAATCCTTCTAAAGACTCCAAATTCTATGCCATATGCTGACCGTCCTCGCCTCCACGCAGTGCAAGCAGTGCCCTCACGTCCGAAACATACTGCAAACCTTCGAGCAGTGGCACCAGGTGTAAGAGGTCGTTGTCCGTCGGATCGTTGATCCAGCCTTGGATAGGAATCGCATTGTCTGTTGCAGGACTCGTGTTAGACCGCATTCTCGACACCCAGGTAGAACGTGCCGATCCCGCATACCTTGATGAAACATATAACTCAACGGACTATTGTCCAAGATCATAACCTTGCTCAAGTCCGGCTCAACCGAACTGAGGTCTTTGATAAAGGCTCCTTGTCGGAATGTGCAGTGTTGTCTATAGTACCTCGCCGAGAAGAACTTCCTCTCTGCTTCCAACCAGTCGATGACCGGATCCGCGTATTCTTGAACCGAGGCTGTGAAGACAACTAGATTGTACCACTTGCAAACCTGGACACAAATGTTAGCAAGTCGGCAACCCTTGGGCGGTTTGCGACAGCTTCTTACTCGACGCAGGAAGTCATCGCAGTGCGGGCGTTTGTTGACCCAATAGAGGATCGGATGCTGCGGCCCGATGGATGTCTGTCCACCGGCGCCTACGTAGGTTTGGTTTAGTCTCACTTCGACCATGTGCCCAGTGCTCATGCGTCCGCCCTTGGACATGCTGTGAATCAGAGTTTCATCAAGGTCTAGGATGAGCGTCTTCTGGTATTTGGGATCGGTCGAAGGCTCGAGGTTGAGGTACGAGGGTTGTCGGCGAGGAATCAGGGGCCGAGGCGGAGCGGGCGTCTTGGGGTACCTAGTCAGCGCGCCTGCGGGAGATGTCGGCGACTTGAGCTGGGCAGATATGTCGGATGTACCAGATTGGCTGTTGCCCTTAGAGCGTGCTGCGGCAGACTGCGACTTCCTGTGCTTACGCTGAGGCAGAGCATCATCGCTGTGTAGTTTTATGCGTATAGATCTTCGGGCAGGCGCAATCTCTTCGGAAGCAGATGCTGAACGGGAATGCCGACTAGAAGAGCCCCGGCCATGACGGTCGGCTTCTGATTCTGATTCGGAAGATATGCCTGAAGAAGAAGACCCTGAAGAACCCATCGGTCTTGAGTAAGCAACACCACCATATCCGGTGCTCCCCTGGCGACCCGACTTTTCGTTCATGGTGTCAGGGTAGCCCGTCGCAAGCTTCTTGTTTCCTCCGTGAAATCCGAACAGTCTTCTGAGTGGGAGGAGGGGTGAAAAGTTGCCTGCCTCGTCGTAAAGGCATGCGATCAGGTACACCCCCGGAGCAGCCAAAGTGGACAAGACCCAGCGAAGCGAATTGATGAAGCCTGCAGCAATGCGCCGAGGCAGAGAGTGCCAAGTAGTCGATCTCAAGCCTGAAGCTTTCGATTCCCCTATGAGCGGTGTTGCTTCGCTGACGAGATCCATTCCATGGGCGTTGTTGCGCTGCTCAAAGGCGGATTTCTCAAGCGGAAACGTCTCGTCATCCTGATCGTCGTCGTCGTTTTTCTCTGCGTTTTCGCCACCGCGCTGATTGTCGGATTGCACGGCTAAGCCAAGGGAGCTGATTGAGTTGGATCGCGAAGCAACCGGGCTCGGCGGCGGAGAGACGCGAGAGGTGATGATGTTTAAGGAGTTCATCTTTGAAAGCATGTACAATCCATGAGGCATGAAGGCTCGACGACGGGTAGCTGATCAGAAACAGAAAGTTGGGAGAAACCGAGGATCTATAGTAAGGGGTGGTATCGGTGGACAGGAATGTTCCAGACGTTCCGCGCGATGGAGGATGCGATGGGCGAGTATTCGCGTCAAGGAAAAGGGGGTGTCGTGCAGAAAGTTGACGGACGCAGCAATCCAAGGGAACGAGTGTATCGGTGCCAGTCGTATGTTAGTTCGTCGCAGAGATTCTGATCGAGGGCGGATTTGCGACGGGTCGGGAATCGAGTCTGCGACGGCCGAGAAGAGTCCAAATCGTGGGTTGGCGGAATGGATCTTGCCCCAAATCCAAGTCCAATGAATGGCAACTCTCAGTTCGCCATGAACGATCAACGAGACTTCAAAAAATTGGGCACAAGGGGGCGGCGCTAGCGAAAAGGGTTCGTCAGTCGGTGCTAACGAATGCTGGAAGCGATATGTGGTCGTCAACGCAAGCCTGGCGACTGGGCCGTGTGTGTAGAGAGAAGAGGTGTCGAGCGTAAAAGGGTCCGTCGGGCTCTCGGGAGTTGGAGGTATCGAGGCGGCCGAGATACGGTAGCGTCCACAGACAACGGTTGAGTTGGACAGGGTAGCTGCTTGCTGATTGGAGGTGCCAATCAAGCGTCTATAGAGCCTAGAGTCTAAGAGGGTCCAATTTGTTTCGCACGACGTGCGAGCGGAAGCCACGGAAGGGAAGCGGAAGCGAATGGGGGGTAAACAGCAACAAGTAATAGCTCAACACTCTGCAAGTCTGCTGCTGGGTTTGGCAGGGTTGGACCGTGGTTGTACCTACTTGGGACGGTTCGGTGCTGGTGCAGCTACGTAGCGACGGTCGGTATTGGACCAGCGCAGGCAGTGCTGAGGGGGTGGTCTACAGTACCGTCCAGTCCAGCGATGCGAGGGTAGCAGCAGCAGGAGGATACTGGGGTTACACTGCCTGCTGACCCTTGTGGGGGATGGTGGACTGCGGAATAAAGATAGGTTCACGTGTCGGATCTCGAGCCATCCAATTCCACTTTGGGGCGCTACTTCTTATTTTCTTCTGTCACGTTGCGTCTTCTCTTCCCACCTGCCAGTCAGTCATTCAGCGCACTTTTTTTTTGGGGGGGGGGGGGGGGGGGGGGGGGGGGGAGTGCCAGCTACTGCCAAGACTACGTAATTGATGCACCTCAGCCCACATTCCGAGGTACCTACCTACCTATCTTCCCCAACACAACACAACCTCTGAAGGTCCCTAAGTACCTTGATAAAGGCACCTAAGTCTACCATATGGGTAGGTACCCAGCTAGCTACGATTTATCTCCCGACAGCCCTCCCACCTTAGAGATAATTCCCCTTGATTGGGAGGCTGAAAGAAGTTTTTATCGACTTTGACCATGGCCTCAGATGTGATTGAATGCGTCCATCAGCCGATTCCCGAGTTGACCCTGGTTGACATGTGCGTTTTTCATGTGAAAGAGAGCAACTCCACTTTTGCCTTTGTTGTTGTTGAGACTTTTTGATTGAACGGAGCTGGGGCAGACAGGGCTCGAATTGGGGGAACCAGTTCGTAGCAGCTACAATACAGTGCTCCTCGAGTGTCTGCGGGATTACGGGCCTTTTGAGTGTCGCGACTCCGGCCCATATATCCATTCGTATCCGTGTTCTATTGCTGCCCAGCCATTCGTCCTTCGTTGATTGATAGTCCACCCAATCTTCGACTTTGACAACAGTTCCCCTCCTTCTTCCAAATTCTACCTAGTGCGAAAGTGACTAAACTGCCAGAGAAATGGGCGGCACACTGTTGATTCCGTTCTCTGGATACGTCGATGTGACAAAGGAAGGAGAGCCGTATAGGACGATTAGGCAGAATAGTAGCGTGGCCATAGGTACGCCGTTTCAATTATTTGGGCCTCGCTACCTTTAATGCGCGCGAGGACAGCTCCAGTTCCGTCAAACACAACTAAGTTGCGCTGCATTGGCCTATGCTGTGCTGGAATTTCCAGTTGTTGCGTTGCATTCTTGAACAGCTGTTGCAGACTGTCTAAACGGGTCGTAATGCTAACCCTAAGCTTCACGAAGCCTGTCAAGTGATGTTCTAGTAGCCTTCCATGCCATGCCAAACGAGGTTGCAGCTCAAAGTGAGGTGCGTTCATGCAACGCATTGGTCTTCCAACTTTTGCCTTACAAGAGATCGAATAGCGATTGCCGGCGATTGCCGTCTGCTGACCGGCAAGTTCGGAACCAATGGGACACTCGCGCGCGCGCGCGCGCGCGCACGTTCGTCGATAAAGATGCGTCCACGCCTAGTCTTAGCAAGGGAGCGCTTGGCTCAAATAGTGCGACGGAGATGGAATCAAATTCCAGGCGAGCAAATCGCCAAAGGTAAGCGTCAACTGAAAGATCTGGGCGAATTGGCTCTCAAGGCACATCTATATGCTGCCATTCTTCTCCCTTTCTAGCGAGCGGCACTCTCATGGGAATAGTCTACACCTGGCTCGTCAAGATGACGGGCAGCTCGGGCGCCCTAACGCATCACTTACAGCGGCGGTTCAGTCACCAACGTCATTTTGCAGCGATGGAGGGGTATTTGTTCAGTGGTGAGGTGACATTGGGCACCTTGCCCTCTGCACGGCTTGCTTCGGTCCGAGCTTCGCACGAACCCCAGCGAAGCCGCCCCCTGCCACCAGCTGTCTCCGGAGCCGGCAGTCATCCAATGCCCCTCGAATTTTTTAGCGTGACAGGGAGTGGTTGACTGTCCCTCCACAGCTTCGTTGTTGAGTCACAACCGTTTGTGCACAATTTCCAATTCACTATCTGGACCCTACCAACCTACGAGAACTGCCATTGCATTGCGCATTCACCTGCTGCAGCAAACGACGGCCATCGCATTGATTCCAAAACTTCACTTGCGACTCTAGTGATCTACAGACTATCTCCCAAAATAATTTGCGACGGCCCCGCCATCACAACCCCCTAGCAGTCTGTGACCGAAAATGGCGACCCTGAAGCCCAGCGTGGGGGATCTCGAGCGGTATCTGAAGACCCTCAAGGGTAAACCATTGGAAGCGTCAATCGACAGTCTGATCTCGTATGGGCTCCCCCAGCAACATCACATAACAGTCAACTAACCAATCAACGGTGCAGCCTCTTGAAGAGAAGACAGATCCAGGGCTCCGAGCTCTGCGCCGTCGCGACCGCACACATTCTCCTTCAGGTCGTCGCCAAGGCAAAATGGACCGACGCCGACACCCTGTTGGAAAAAGTTCAGCAGATTGGCCTGCGTCTCATCGCTGCTCAGCCCAAGGAATTAGTGGTTGGCAACATCGTTAGACGCGTGTTGGGCCTGATCCGGGATGAGGCTGCGGAAGACCGAAACGAGGACATCAGCGAGACCGCCACAGAGGCAGGATTGACACCGACGGCAGCAGTGCCAGACCCCTCGAAGCTGGAGCATCAATGGCCCCCCTCTACCTACACCAAACAGGATGCTGGCGCAGACTACATATCAAGCGGCCCGAGACCAGTTCGCCCTGGCGCCCTCACCTCCGCAAGCTCCTTCCATGTTTCAAAGTCCCTATTCTCTCTCCTCGAGGCCTCTCCCCCGATGGACGCTAGCGGCATCATGGCGGGCTCGCCCTTTGGCAAGGACTCGGGTGCATCAACTCCCCTCCGTGGACAGTCGACAAGAACACACGCTTTGAGATCAGAGGTTATTGAGGGTATCGAGGAGCTCAAGGACGAAATCGGCCAGGTCGACGACCAGATCGCTGCGGCTGCAGACGTCCAGATTCACCCCGGTGACTATGTGCTTGTACACCAGCCCTCGGCCACAGTCCAAAAATTCATCTTGCGCGCCGCGACAAGAAGGAAGTTCACCGTCTTTATTGCCGTCGGAAGTGCCTGCAGACCGGCCGGCGAGACGCCCTATGCGTCGTTTAGGAAGAAGCTAAGCGCAGCAGGCATCAGTGCCATCAGCATCTTGAATGGCGGCCTGATGGCCTATATGCCACGTATCAACAAGGTCATCTTGAGCGCAAGGGCTGTACTGGCCAACGGCGGCATTCTGACAGATGCGGGAGCCGGAGTTATTGCGCGCGCAGCCAAGGAGCAGGGCAACCCGGTCATCATTCTCAGTGGTGTTTACAAGCTCTGCCCAGAGAGCTACTTTGACGAAGAGAGTCTTGTCGAATGGGGTAGCTCCATGGGCCACGTGGACTTTGCAGACGGGGCCATGGTCAACGGTGTCGACGTTCGGAGTGCTGTTAGCGAGTTTGTGCCTCCCGAACTGCTCGACACCTACATCACGAACCTGTAAGTTTGATAGGCGCATGTGTATGGTGGTGGGTCACAACTAACAAGTGCATAGCGGTGCGCACTCTCGCAATCACCTTTCGACCATCATCGCAGACCACTATAAACCGGAAGACGTTGATTTCCACCTCTGGAGCACTGAGGCTGAGCGATGAGGAGGTGTCGACGGAAGTACGTCACAAGAAACGCCTTGGCGCATTTAAACCTTGTTGGGACACGACAGCGGTGTCCACGGTCCTGGCAGTGACTCGCGGCTCAAGCAGCGAGAGCGGAATATTGGGCGCGAGAAGATATCCAGGCGTATGCATAGTCTGGGCTCTCCAGATACAATAATCCGCCGTCGTCTGGCCCTGAGCTCTTCCTGTTCTAGGGCCCAGTCCGGTTGGTTCGGCGGCACGACGTCAGTTAGGGTTGTACATAAGTTTTTGGGTCTGGCGTTCCAATGGCATCGGAGACCGCGACCCGCTAGAGGCCCGTGGTGGCTGGATGGCGTATAGGGCCGCTGATGGGCGTACTGTTGCCTACAGGCGGGCCGCGTCAGCAAAGCTGCAGCGAGCCTTCCGAGGGTATGACTGCGCACAATGAATCGACCAGGGTGGAATGGATGGTGACTCTGTGGGCTAGAGTTGATTTGCAAGAACAACGTGTTCCCATCACAAAAGGCTCCGCGTAGTCCGCACGGTTACCCCCCTCACCTTACTCGATGCTTATTTTTACCTGCCTGGTGGCGTGGGCTCGGCAGCAGCGTTTAGACTCTTGGAAGGCGGGGTCCCCCCATGTTAAGTGATGAGCCTTGGTTCGACGGTAGGACTCGAAGAACGTCGTAAGGCTACGTGAACGGGGCGAACGACTAATAAAGGATAGAAGGCAGGTTCAAGGGTGTGGGCAAGCATGGATGGCACATGAGGGGTTATGGAAAGTGGACGGAAGGGGGGATATGATTTGAGTCAACGGAGTTTAGCCCAGTCCAGCCCAGCCCAAATACCGTACGATCGATCCCACGCCACGCCCATCCGTCGCCATGTGCCGCTGTGCTATTCATAAGTCTGGCGTGTGTTCTTAACTTTGGCGTTTGTCCCCCCTTCTATCCATCCATCTTCTCCTGAGCATCTACTGAATATCTCGAAATTGCAAGGACCTTGAACAATACAAACCGTACCCGAAGGCTTAGACCCCATTTGTGAACACAGAGCTCTCCGGGCTTCAAGCCTCTCCCATTTTGCACCAACCTCATAAGCGCATGGTCATGCGGGAGACCGAGGCCGACATGGACGACGTCCCACCTCCGCCGTACTCCGAGACGGACATCTACTCAGTCTCTGGGCGGCACTCGAATCCGTCTCTGAACTCGCCAATCGCACAGTCCCACCATGGCGACGACGCCGCCTCGCACGTCTCTTCGCACACATCGTCCCGGAGCGATGTCATTTACACCCCGCCTCTGACACCCCGGACAGGCAGCACGGCTGCTCCTCAACACCACAACTCAAACCCGAACCTGGCCAACCACGCGCACGCCGCCGCTGCCGACCCGTCCGTCGCGTCGGCGCAATCGATCTTTGCGGCTGCCTACTTCGAGTCCAGGCCTGCGCCCGCCTTCTCCCCCTGGGACCAGCAGCTCGTCAACCTGCTCACCGTGACCCCGTCCTCGACGCCGGACGACCTGCCCTGCCCCCCAACCTGGGCCGCCCGCGACGTCACGCAGCAGGACTGGGCGACCTTTACCAACTGCTTGATCCCGCACCACGCCGTCGCGCGGAATGAGGCTGTCATCAATCGCAAGCTGCAGGCCGAGGAAGAGGCCGTCGCCGCTGCCGCGTCACATGGCGGAAGTGGTGACAACAGCCCCGGCGGCCCGCGGAGCATCAGCAGCAGCCACGCCTCCGCTCAGTTGGACCGAATCCGTCCCGACCCGGACACCGACCCCGGCGCAGCGGTTGCCGCGTCAGGACCGAGGAGGGAGGACGTGGAAGCCGTGGTCGCCCAGTGGAACGAAGGCTTCTTCCATCCGAGGGGCTTGGCTGTCCTGCTCACCCCCGAGGTCGAGGAGCTCCGTCTGCCCGGGGCCTGGGACCGCTCGCTCGACAGGAGCATCGACAACCCGACCGTGCCGAGCGGCAGTTGGAGCGGCGGTGCGACGCCCATGCCGCCTCCGGGACCTCATGCGGGCACAGGTCAGGGTCCGAGCGAGGCCCGGGGTGGTTGGAGCTTTGGCGGTATCACGGTCACGACGGACGGGATCTCGATTGGGGATAGCATTGTTGCTGACAGCAACGGTATTAGGTTGGGGAACCTGATTGCGGATGAAAACGGTATAAGGTTCGGGAGCAACACGATACCCCGCGCGCAGCCTCACTTCGTCGGTCCGAATGTGAACTGGGCTCCCCCCCCTCCACATGCACCATCGGTTCCTTCGCCTGTGCCAATGTTTGGGCCCAGACCTGGCCCTGGCCCTGGCCCGTTCCCTCCCCGGCCTCACCCGCACAACCACGCTCACGCCCGCCCCGGCAGCGGAAGCGGGTTTCGTGGTCGCCCACATGGCCGTTACCCCTCCGATCAACGCTCCATCTCGGCATCCTCCTCCGCCTCCTCCGTTTCCTCCACGTCGTCCACATCCTCCGTCGGATCCCTGCCGGATTATGAGGACCTTTGCCCCGCTCAGCTGCCTGTCTACAAACAGCGTGTAGCGGCGTGGCTCGCACACCCGGACGAGCCCGTCACAAAGACCGATGTCGCGCAGCTGTGTGACGAGATCCGTTCCGCGCAGTCCGCAAGCGGCGCACCGGAGAAACCGAAGCAGGATGACCCATCTGTCGCCGATACTCCGGAAGGGGCCGACGACAAGGCGTTCAAGGCGGAGCTCAAGGGCCTGACGCAGGAGTGGCGCAAGCTCAAGCGCCAGCAGCGCGCGGTCCGCAAGGATAAGCGGCGGGAGCGCCGCGCAAGGCGGAGAGAGGAGAAGAAAGAGCGTAGGGAGCAAAGGAGGGAGCGCAGAGAGCAGAGGAGGGATGGCAGGTGGGATCAGAAGGAAACGAGGCGGGGCGCCAGCGGCGAGGGAGACGGGGCGGCGAGGGGCAACCACCAACACCACCACCACCATCACCATCATCACGGCCCGAAGCCGAAGCCGAAGCTCGCGCCGCCTCCGCCGCCCCCACATATCCACGTCCCACCACCGCCCGTGATGCATGCCCAGCCCATACCAGCCGTCCCTATACTCTCGCCGAACGACTCTAACAACTTCCAGTGGGGCGCAGGTCCCGGGAGGGGGCCCGTGCCACCGGGCGGGTTTTCGGTAGGCAGAGGGGCTTGGGCCGCAGCATTCGGCAGGGGCTGGGGCCGCGGGCGGGGTGCCGGAAACGACCATGCGTTTCCGCCTAACGCCGGGCCTCCCCATCCGCATGGCGCATGGCCTGCCGGTGGTAGCGGTAAGCGGGGCCCGGATACGGCTATGCCGCCGGTGCCGCCACCATCCTAAGCACACCTCAAGGCTGTGAAGGGGACAGTGAAAGGCATCCCAGGAAGAATGGAGCAAGGTGGACAGGGTGAGAAACGAGATGCAGGATGAGAATGCCGGGAACGGTGGTTATGGTATCAGTCGTGTGCAAGGGAGGCGGGCAGTACGGATAAGGTAAGACTAGCAGAGACGGCGAAACGCAGAGGATGCCGGAGGGCGTTGATAAGCCGTTACGGAATGTGGAGGAGCTTGGGGTCGAGGGCGAATGGCGAGTTGATACGGAAGCTGGTGACGGAGGATGGCAAGTCTGGCGTTTGGCAAAACAGCGTACAAATTAAGAAAGAAAAAGTAAAAAAAAACACGATACATACAACGGGCATGGACAAGGTATGCCGCGTAAAGTGTGTCGTGTAGATAACAATTGGCGGAAACTTTGCAAGCATTCAATACCAACACCATTGCCTCGTCTATTTTGTTCCTTTTTTGGTTACCGTGCTATGATGCATTGCGTCCCATCGTAGTTCTCTTTTGAGGCTTTTTGGACTCCCCCTATGATTCGTAGAGACATGCTGACCATCTGCCGACGGAGCTGTGCGTCTCGTCTGTGCTCTTCGTCATGATTCCCCTAGGAACCCAGATAATCTCCAGAGGCTTGAGTGAAGAACGTAGCACCCAATTCTGAGGACTACGTTGTCAGCATCTGGCGATACCACCAGCTTCTCCCGCGCCAGTGTTACTGCGTGCACCTCCGCTGCTTTCTCAAGCACCAGGTCCGCCGCTCTTCACGGCAGCGCCTCTGCCACTCTGGTGCAGCCAGCCCTTAGCGATTTGCATATACAGAGAGTCGGACTCCTAGTTCTTGCTCTCGTTCTTCTCGACCAACTCGCCAACGCCCAAGCCGCGACCGACCTTGACCTTGCGCTTCTTATCGGCAGCGGCGGCAGTAGCGTTGGGGTCGCGGCCGACATCCCCAGCAGCCTCGCCTTCGTCAACAGCCTCGCCGTCCTTCTCTTCCTCGCGCTCGCGCTCGTCCTGGATCTGCTCGCGGATGTAGCTCAGGTCGAGCTTCATACAGAAGGCGTCCTCGCCATCAGCATAGTACTTGCTCTCCGTCTTTTCCGTCTTGAAGCCCAGGGTCTCGCGGTAGAGGTGAATGGCGGCCTGGTTGGAGACGCGGACGTGGAGGGAGACATACTGTGCGCCGAAAGTCTCGACCATGGCGAGTTCTGATGACGGTTAGTAGGGGTGCCGACAAGGCCACAGGTAGAAAGAAGCAGAAGCAGGGGTGCAACGTACGACTTTGGCGCATCAGCTTCTCGGCAATACCCAACCGGCGGTGGGTGCGCATGACGCTGATGCTGGTGATGTGGCCGTGAGGCACGCCATCGGCGGGCTCCTCCTCCATCTTGGCCAGAACGTACCCGACAATCTTGGGGTAGTCGTAGGGGGTGCGCTTCGGACGCGAGACGTCGACAGCAACATAGCTGAGTTGAGGCCATGAGAGGGCATGGTAAAGGTAGTACTTGAGGAAGTAGTTCTCGGGCAGGTTTTCGAGGTTGGCGTGCTGTATGAGGGGGAGGTCGGAGGACTTTAGGAGGCGGATATCCATGGTGGGCAAGTCTCTATCGCGGGATTTCTCGGGGGCTATGGTGGAAGGCTCGAATTGAGGAGATATTAGGTCGTTCGAGAGTGAGAGACAGGGCCGACTGGTGCGGGTGGGCGCGCAAGGCTGAGATGAGGGGCGTGTGTGCGGGTTGCGAATTGGGTAGTTACAGACGCTGGAGAGAGGAGGTAGACTTTTAGAAAGACCCTGGTCATTGACCCGAGAGGTGAGGTGGCCGTGGGTGGCGGCGGTCACAGACCCCACCACCGCCGCACAAAGCTCCGAGGGTTGCTCAGCGGTGCCCCGCCAATTGTGATGTACAGTAATAAGAAACTTCAAAAGTGCTCATCTGTGTCTTTGCAGAGCCCACACCGTCCTCAGTATTAGTGTACTGTTTCAAGCGGTGGAAATTAAAACACACCAACAGAGCAGCAATGCCTTCTTCTGGTCGCCTCTTTGTGTCACTTTGAATTTGGCTTTCTAGTGTAGAAGTTGACCCCCACTCGACCAGTCGGGTTCTCCTGTCTGGCAATTCCTAGCGGGTTGTGGGAGCTCAGGTAGCGGCATCAGTTGTTTCCAGTCCAGACTCAAGACATAGGTATACCGTATAAACTACCTACCATATAGTAGCCTGTCCACCTAATTCGACAAGCAGTATTTCCCTGATTACAAACAATTTTATAAAATATGCCGAACTACCTAGCTCACTTTTCGGAAAGGAACTGACTGAACGCTTAGGTAATAACTAATTGTTGCTACGTGCCTACCTCAGGCAAGACGACTACCATTTCACTGTGTCTTCTCCTTTTAACGGTATTTCCTTGTCGTATCAAAAATGAAGTGGTCTCCTTCGATAGAGATACCAATCCGCCATCACGGTCTTAAAGTGCCTAGCATTCCTTAACAATGGTACGGAGGACCTGGCAGTCACAGAAGCAGAGACCCCTATCAGATCGCAGCAAGCCCTGGTCCGGGATTGGAGCGGGAGAATGACGTGTGGGGGACACGGTTGGAAGTCCACCGCGGGAGGCGCGGGGCAACTTTCTCAGGGGAGTTGAGACAGCGGGGTAGCTTTGACCCAGAAACTCCGAATTACATCAACCCAGATTTCTCTCGGGATCTATGCGACGAGCTCGCTCCATTGGGCAGCATGTGTCCATTCCTCGTCTCTCAATGGATTCCTCGCATTGCCCGTTCGGACCATTCCGGCCATTCAGAACATTTGCGTCTTTGGGGTTATGGTTGCTGCTAGATAGGTTGGCCCACGTACCTATAAATGCCGAGGCCCCCCGTCCACTCGTTTCCTCGCTCCCCCGTTTGCCCTCGTGCTTTTCATCTTTACCTGCCTGTCTTCTCATTTGAATTATATCCTACTGTGACCGTGTTTCGTTGTGCATACCTGACTTCTTAGCTTCAACTTCACGTAGCGAAATACTACATAATGTCTCGTGTCCTGGAAGGCAAGCTTGGAATTGTGACCGGTGCCTCTCGAGGTAAGAGCTCATAATGGTGAACCAAAGCGCGTTGCGCACATGGAGCACTTCTGACCAACCCCATTCCAGGTATTGGCGTCGCCGTCGCTGAGAACCTCGCCGCAAAGGGCTGCAACCTCGTCCTGGGCTACACTTCCCCCTCCTCCAAGACCCCCGCCGAGCAGCTCGCCGTAGACCTCCAGGCAAAGCACAACATCCAGGTCATCGCTGTCCAGGCCGACATGGGCACCATTGAGGGTCCCAAGTCTCTCATTGCGACTGCGAAGTCCCACTTCGAGAAGCTCAACGGGGGCAAATTCCAGGTCGACGTGCTCGTCAACAACGCCGGCGTCGCCCACAACAACCCGCTGCAGGACGTCACGGTCGAGCAATTCGACATCAGTTACCGCGTAAACGTCCTCGGCCCGCTGCTTCTCGTCCAGGCCGTCCAGCCGTACCTACCCACTGACCGTAGCGGCCGCATCGTCAACATGTCGTCCGTCAGTGCGTCGATCGGCCTCCCAGGGCAGTCCGTCTATGGCGGCACAAAGGCCGCCCTCGATGCCATGACCCGCACCTGGGCTCGCGAGCTCAGCGAGAACGCCACCGTCAACGCCATCAACCCGGGCCCCGTGCTGACCGATATGTACGGCGGAAATACGCCCGAGTTCAAGCGCTTCCTTAAGAGCTACATCGAGCACACCCCGCTGATGAAGGCGCGCAAGGGCGTCGACTCAGACGAGCTCGTCAAGGCAGCCGAGGAGGAAGGTGGTCGACCGGCGTACGTCGATGAGATTGCAGGTATCGTAGGCATGCTTGTCTCGCCCGAATCGGCTTGGTGTACGGGGCAGGTTGTTTGTGCTAATGGCGGTATGGTGTTGGGCATGCAGTGATTAGTGATCGATGATGGTATGAATGATGTGCACTTTGGCGGCTCGTTATGAGATCGACCAAGAAATCCTATTTCCTATATTCGTTTGCATAAAGAAACCGAGCATTTTGAGCTTTGATCATTATCAATGGGCATTAAAATAATCATTTTTTAATTGAATGCTGGTACCACTTGACCCCTTAACGTCAAGTATGAAGGTCAGTTAGTAAAATGTCACTGGCAAAAAGACCGCTGAGTCAAACTTTCCAGATTTGCCCCGCCATCATTTCAAACCGCCCCTCCATCCGCTTCCCGACTACGCTCACCACCGCCGCGGTTCGCTGAAGACGTTGTGTCAAAAATCAAGCGCTATATAGAAGCAACAATTTTTTTTTTCGCTTCTAAAACCATCAAAACCTCGTAAACAATGTCTTTGGACCCCTTCGACGACGTCCTCACCCTCGAGGACCAATTCTTCGCTGAGGGCTACCGCCAGGGCACCGAGGACGGCATCCAGGCCGGCAAGATCGAGGGCCGCTCCGTCGGCCTGGCAAAGGGCTACGAAAAGTTTCTCGAGAGTGGCAGGATACACGGCCGCTCCGTCGTGTGGGCAAACCGGCTGGCCCTGCCGCAAAAGAGCGGCGCCGCAAACCCTTCAAACTCTTCCTCACAATCACCACGAGACCCCGCGGGGGCGCCACGGCGGCAAGGGGTCTGCTCCCTGCCGCCACTGGCGAGCAATGCGAGGCTCGAGAAGAACGTCACAGCAGCATTCGCGCTCGTCGAACCGGACACGCTGGCCAGGGAGAACAGCGACGAGGCCGTCAACGACTTTGACGACAGGCTCAAGAGGGCGCAGGGCAAGGTCAAGATCATCGAGCGCATGACGGGCGAGGCGGCTGCCGATTCGAAGGTGGCGGAGGCGAAAGAGGTGTGAAAAAGGGGGATGAATCTGGAAAGCATGGGACGGTGTTGCCAAGGATCTTCGGGCTTTACCCACGAATAGATGGTTAGGATTAAGAAAGGCCGAGATACCCACCGGGTGAATAGGCTAGAGACAGCAAGACATAAATACTCCTTATACTCAAGATTTGAAGAAGTAAAAATTTTAATGGAATCTAGTGCCCCTCATATTTACATTCACCCTGCCCTCCTGTACAGCCAGAAAAAACAAACCCGCATGTCCTATGCTTACGCAAGAGTCCTGCAGGGGTAGCTGTTACATATCATGTTAGCAAAGCCGTTGTCACGGAACCATGAACAACAAAAAAGACACCGCGCCAGAAGAAACTCACTCCTCGCCGTAGGATTGCTCCTCGTTGACCTTGTACTTATGCACGTCCCACGCTCCGCTCTTGAGGTCCTGGCCGCTAGGCGTCGGCGGCAGGCCATTGATGAAGAGGGCCTCCTTGCTTGCCTCGACAGCCTTGGCGGCGTTCTTCTCAAGGTAGGGCGCCAGGCCCGTGGAAGAAGCCTCCTCGCGGGCGGCGACGAGCTGCTTCTCGCCGGCCTCGCCGATGAGCTCAACGCGCGGGCTGGCAGCGGAGCCGACCGAGAGCAAGCCGACAACGTCGGCCTGGTTGACGACACTGATGGCTGGGTAGTTGCGACGAGCGTCGCGCTTCCAGTAAGGGTTGTCGGCGATGTCAGCCGCGGGCAGGGTGACGGGGTCGTCGTAGCTGAGGGGGTTCAGGGCACCGGGTGTCGGGTTGCGGAAGGTCGGGTTCAAGGGCACACCGGAGGAGCGGTTGGGGTCGAGGGCGAGGGAGCGGCGGATGCGTTCCCAGACGCCTTGGGACTGGAGGGTGTGTTTCTGGAGGGACGAAGGTCAGCTGCTGGGCCAATTGGATCGTTTCGTGATCGTCGGAACGGGCTGGCGACGGTGGTTTTCCTTGCTTGACTGCTCGGAGCGGGAAACGTGGTCCGCCAATTGAGCTCGTCGTGCAGGACGTACCTTGGAGATTTCCACAACACCGCCTGCGACAGCCTTCGCAACTGCCTTTGAGGCCATCTTGTGCGACGTCGTGAACGGCGGAGGGGAGATGTGGGAGTTCGATTGGCGACGGTTCGATGACCTGCTTGAAGTTGGATGTGAGCGTTCCGGACGCCTGGGTTGTCCAGAGTGCTCCAGTTTCTGGCAAGGACCGGGGCGGCCGAAGTTTTGCCGGTCGTAGCAATAGCCGTGCTTCGATTTGCAACCCGACTTTGTGAGTATCCACTTCGCCCTTTTTCCCCTTGCAACCAATACTGCTACCTAGTAGTATGCCAAAGTTTCCTGGGGTTCACGAAATGATGTACGATGTATCACGGCATGTCAGTGGAGCAGAGCGTCGTGCGTCAAAGGCCAACGCCAATTAATCGATTCCCCAGCTACTACTTACTATACGGATACAAGAAAATTCGAACCATGTCCTACCCGGCCATTCCAATTGCAAACGCGTTTTCCGCCATAGATTACACTTACATAGCAGCACTATAAATCACTCGTCCTTCTTCTCGGTTCCATCAGCGGCATCTTCCTTCTTCTCCTCGTCGGTCTTTGTTTCGCCGTTGGGCGCCTCCTCCTTGGCATCTGTGGCAGCGGCTTCGGCGGCAGCCTCAGCAGCGCCCTCGACGTTGCCGCCCTCGACCAGCGCTGTCACAACTTCGACGGTGCCGGCGGGGCTGCCGGGCTCGGCGATGAGGACCTTGCCAGCCTTGTCGATGACAAAGACACCGCGTTGGGTGCTCTTGGGCGGCTTCTTGAGCCCGATGGCACTGATGAGGGTGGCCTTTGGGTCACAGAGAAGCGGGTAGGGCAGCTTCTGCTTCTCCTTGAAGGTGGTATTGGCCTTGGCAGAGTCCATTGACAGTCCGTAGATGGCAAAGCCCGTCTTGGTCAAAGGCTCGTACGAGTCTCGGAAGAGACAGGCTTGCTTCGTACCTGGGTATCACATGACCAGTTAGCACAACTGGTGGGTAGGACTACCGAGTAGTGTCGGTCCAGAGAGATACTTACATCCGGGAGTCGAGGCCTTGGGGTAAGTGAAGAGCACAACGCCAGCCTTGCTCTTGTCAACAAGCTCCTTCAGAGTCGTCTTCTCGCCGTCGTTGGTCTCGATCTCGCCGCCGAAGCCGTCGAGGTTGACCGTCTCGCCCTTCACAGCCTTGACCTTCTTGTCAGAGCCATTGGCAGCAGCGGGCTCCTCGGCGACTTTCTCGACGGTCTCCTCGGCGGGCTTGTCGGCTGGTTTCTGGGCGGGCTTCTCGGCCTTGCCCTTGACGGCACCCTTAACCTTCTCTGCGGCCTTGACGATCTTGGAGGAGGCCTTCTTGGGGGCTGGAGCCGGGGCGGGCTCGGGGGCTTTGCGCTTGCGGAGCTCGACGGGCATGGCGTCTGCTTCTGATGGGATGCTATGCTGTGGGGAAACAAGGATACAATGGGGATCGCAAAGGACGGGTGAGTTGGATAGTGGTGTTGCGCTGATGATGCGATCCAGGTGCGATGTAAAATGCTGGTGAAATTGCAACAGATGAGAGGGGGTTACGAGAGTCGAAGGAAGTTGAGAGGTAAACAGGAGGTTCAAGAGGACATCCTCGGGATGAGCCAATCATCGGTGGCCATGGCCAGAGCTTCAGCCGGGACCAGGGGGGCTGATGCGATGCAGATGTCCTGCGGTTTGCGGTGCGGTGGTGCGGGCCCTCAGGCTCAGGCTAATTATTAAGCTCGGTCGCCGCGAGCAGCAACGGCAAGAGGAGTAGCCGTTGCTGTTTCTGGCGTGTGAGGATGAAGGGAAGGGGAAGGGGAAGGGGAAGGGGAAGGGGGTGGTGCTGTCGTGTCAACGTGTGTGCATGGTGAGTGGTGCTGGGCGCTGACCCGGAATCTGAGTGTCTGGGTCCCCCACCCACCACCGACCGGGTTGTGTTTTCGTGGCCGCCGAGCTCCCGCCTCTTCCTGGACCACCTTGGTCACCACCATTTTCTTTTCCCATCCACTCGCATCCTGGTTCAGGTTGCAGGTAAGCTTTTGGCCACTGGCCGTGCGTTCCTTGACCCCAACCTGGTCTAGCCTCTGCCAGGGAACGCAACGTTCTGGCGTCCATCGGGCTTGTGTGGGGGAACACCAGATTGCTGATTTTAAAGCCCCCAGGTGAAATTGCATGGTTTCACACTACGGATACACTCAGGGCAACCGTCCACAGTTGGTTTCTTCGTTGCCATTACCGCTGCCATCGAGATTTGACCATCGATAAATTCGCTCTCTCGTCCACATGGCAATGTTCGGAATGTCTCTCCCTTCGGCTTCGTACATTGCCTAGGCTCGATTCCGGCGGCATCGCGTGGCAGTGCTAGTCCTTTGCGCTGGGTCATCCACCCTCTACCTAGGTAGATTGTTTATCTGCATATGCGCCTACTTCGTTGTCTACCAACATCTCCTTGTGGTGCTGTCTGGTTGCATTCGATCGGCATTTGTCAAAGCTAACCGCTGAAGTTCTTCTGTCTCAAGTGAGGGGAATCAGAGGGGTTACACAAACTTTCTCTCGTTTCTCACATCACTTGTGTCCCTGGTTTTTGCCCTTCTCGAGCCCTCGCGCTACACTTGACATCAGTATTCCTTTCGCCAACACTCAGTCGACCCTTGCATATAGCTTTTGCTACTCCCTACGTTTTTGCCTTGGTTCACCCTCGTCGATATCGGGAAAAGCTGGGTTTATCAAGACACCCCACGCTTGCCGCGTAGCCTTGTCGATCAACCTAGCATACGCCTTGGTTGATACCAGAACTGTACGTGGCTACCAACTTTTATGTCCCAACAGTACAACATGCCACGGGTTCATTCTACACTCACCGAAATTATGGATGACACGGCTATTTGAAGCTCGCTTCTCGAAAGTATCGCAAACGCTTGGCCGTTCACCAAGAGCTGGGCCCTCTCGCCTGGCCCTCAAGGGCGGCAGCGCGATTGAAGTGGGCAGCTATTGCCTGGCTCCATGTGATTATTTATACACCCGCTGACCAACTTCCCGCGCCTGACTAATGATGTTAAAGTTGGCTTGAGTGGAAGAACTTTGCTCATTCCAGCTTTAAACCGAAATGGTACACTAGAAATCCAGACAGATCAGATGGACTACACAGTGTCCCTTGAGCTGTATCATTTGTTATTCTGATCAGTCATGTCGCTTGACCAAATGCCTCGTGCAACGGACGGTGCTCGCCCAAGACGCCCCCATCAGGCCAAGGGCCTTACCCTCTGCAGAAGTAACCATACGCTACCTCTAACCAGCTGCCCGATGGTATGCAGTTGTTCTTCCTCACAAGGCGTCCGCAAGTGCAGGCGTAATAAGCATGTCTTTACAAGCTGTTGTTCGGAATTCCCGATTCGAGCCCAATAACACAAATGGTAGGTATGACAGGCTGAAGCTTGGTCTTTGCGCCCCGTCAATCAACCCAGCCCCTTCGAGGAAACCCCCTGCTGCCAACCTGACTTAATGCCAACCCACTGGGACAACATCAACATCCTTAAAAGGCAAGATGGCCGAGCGGTCTAAGGCGCTAGCTTCAGGTGCTAGTCAAGTAATTGGCGTGGGTTCGAATCCCACTCTTGTCACACGCAGCCGTCAATGGTGCAATATTTTTGCATTTCTGGCGATTCCTGTTGTTTCGAATGATTGTCGTGAAGTTCGGGAAGCGTACCTGCAGCGTCACGATGTGCCTTTCGATTGGCGCAGCGAGAGCATGGAAATGCGCCGCCAAAATTTTAGCCTCTCCCGGTGGTCCCGCTCTTTTCCTGCCGATGGTTGTGTCTTCCCTTCCGACATTGGGACGCAACAAACCTTGACGCGAGGTTACTCCAACAAACCTGTGTAGATGATGTCGTATCAGGGCATCGTGTCTTTGAGGCGCGGTTTCAGGGCGCATTGACATCCGCCAGAAGTGAGGCCTGGCTGGGTCAGCGTGAAGTTGCTTGCAAGCACGTCTCGGTTAGGATGGAATAGCAGCCCCTTCGGCCGTTTTTAAGGGTCAGTCATGTGCCAGGTCAACTTCTGAAACCGTTTGCAGTTCTTTGCTCGACTTCTTTGCTCTCATATCGTGCTACTCTAACCCACAATCAGCTGTCGGACGAGCCCAGTACTGTATGGACCAGATATGCAACTATCGCACTGATAATCCCGGTACCTGCAAACACCCACCCCGGACCACGTCTAACCACAATCAGCCCATTCCGCATCGCGTCCATGATCCCACCCTCACTTACATACTTACGCACTGCTAACTCACAACACAGTCCCTCTCCATTCCCTTCGTCTCAAAACACGAACCGTATCAAGAACCGGGAATGATCTCAAAATGCGGAAAGGAAACCTGACACCTAAGGTGAGTCTTTATCCCCACGCCACGATTCCGATCGGATGCCTCCTGACTTCCCCACCTCGTAGACAATCACGGCCCCATTGGCGGCATTCACGATGGCGTGTATCCTCTTCGCGTATGTTGTAGAACTGCCGGTCTCTCCTGAAGCTCACGCCAGAGTTACAGTAGTTGACAGGAGCTATATTGACTCAAGACAGCTATACCCGTTCGTCGATCCGCACGGCGCGTGATCAAGCCGTACGTATGCCCTCGCCCTCGTCTTACTGCGCCAACCCCCTCCGTGCTCACGTCTACGTCGCATCTGCCTCATTGGTCTGCTACTAACACTCATCAAGAGATACGGCAGCGGCTCCAGTAACCCTAGACCGTCGCCTCCGAATTCCAGCTCCTAGCGTCGCCCGTGTGCGCGCCGGACAGGCGGCAGGCGAGGCCACCTTGGTGGCTACCGAGTTTTCCAACCTTCTCACCACAAGATGGGAGAATAAGAAAAGTTGAGGCTTTGCGGTCTCATGTTTATCTTCTTCCTGCTTTGCGGTTTCTATGTGACTAATACCCCCTACTGCTTCTGTCTCTGCGTTTGCCAGATACCAAATCAATACACAAAACATACCGGTCTCTCTTCAGCGCCGTGTGAGCGTGTCAAACGAATCCCCAAAATACTTCGCTCCAATAGATATAATACTACACACGGCTCTGTACTGTTCATTGAGAAAACAAGCTCACATCATACTTCCCCCGTTGGCCGTCGTGAACTCCGTAGTCGAGTTTATGTGCAAGCAAAACAAAATAAAAGATGATCTATGATAGATCGGTATGACAAAAAAGGGAATATAGGGAGGGAGGGAAAGGCAGAGATATTGATCCGTAGGCCGACCCCCAGATGAATGACAGCCACACTCACTGTGTTTGTTACGTGACCTGAATCGAGTTTGTCTAAACCTGACGACCAAAGCTAAGGGTATCTGGAAAATCCCATCCCTATTTCCTAACAATCTCAACAGCTCTTTTCTTCCATCGTTGTTAAACCGCACATGGTGTCTTGCTTGATTCTTTCCCGCCGTCCTCTTAATACAACGCCACCCTCGAGTTGTCAAGTTACCCAGGTCAGGGCTCAGCAGGTGTGCTGCCCCTTTCCCGCTTCCGCTTGCCCTCGGCCCTTGCGTGGTTCAAATGCTTCATCACATACTCATACGTCAGCATCGTCACTGTCGCGGCCGGCACCGCTCGCATCATGTTAGTGCCCATGCCAGCGTAGAAGGCCCTCCACCCCTCCTCTTTGAGAATCGTTCGGAAGGTGCTGACCACGCCGCGATATTTCGGTGATAGCATTTGCTGTTTCTTGCCATCTTCTCCCGTCATGGAGGCAGACATCTTGACTCCCAGGCCCTGAAGGTACTCGGCCCCTCCTACGGGTTTTCGTTGTGTCTGTAGCCTCGTGCGAATAACTTCGTGTGGATAGGTAGCGCTGCTCGCCATGATCTTCGACAATATCGAAGCGCCCAACACGCCCATCCATTGTGACTCTTGTGTGTCGCCCTGGGTCGGCTCGCCCATACCCTGGCCGGTAAACCTCGTCTTCAGGTATTCGTACGCAGGGAACTGGACTGCCACGTGGGTAAGTCCCAGCAGAGCCGGAGTAAGGCCCGAGTAAAACGATAAAACGCCCTCTGAAGTGTACATCTTGCGTGCCGCGTCCATGGTTGACCGGTAATGCCACGAGCTGTGCATTGTTGGTCTCGAGGTCGGGGTATTGCCTGATCTCGGAAACTGAGAGTAGTGCTTGCCCGGGTCGTGTGCAACGCTCTGCGACATCAGGCGGGTCTTGATGACCCATATTGGGTTTGTGACGATGGTGCTACTGGCACCAGCTATAATAGATGACCAAAAGTTGATCAACACCGTGTTTTCTGTAGCCGACTCAGTCAGTTCATGGCCTGGTCTCTAGCCTGCGGTTTCCAACATACCATGGCGGTGCTTTAACCAGTCCTTGCTCTTATTGTAGACGGTAAACCAAACAGCCCAGGTGGGCAAATAACCCAGTACTATTGGGCCGAGTCCCCTATACATGCCGCGTATGCCTTCTTCTCGCCATATCACACGGGCAGTACCCAGCAGGCCATTGTAGAGTTTTGGGTGTCCAACATGTCTTCCCTTCTCGATGGGATTGAAACCGCCCTGTGCCTGCAACTTGGTTTTGATAACGTCGAGCGGGCACGTAACCACGCCCGAAGTGAAGCCTCCTACGGCACCGGAAAGCGCGTTAAACTGAGAATCGGAGGCGCCAGCGGCCCACCTCTCGAAGGCAGTAATAGTCTCAGTTGCGGGCATCGCAGTAGCGGCTTTCTCTATGGTAACCAACGCTGCACGGGCCGGGGCCGGGGCTGGGAAAGCTCTGGAGCTGCTGTAGTTGGGGTATGTCGAGGTCGGATACGGCCCATATTCCTCTTCTTGGGAGCGCGGGACGCCTCGTTGAGCGTCGTGGTGCTCGTCGTGAGACATCCCCTCTCACACTGTTGAGCTCGGTCAGGGTCCAGATGGCAGATGTTGGGCGGGTTCGGCGATGGATCCAGGAGTAAGGCGCGGTGACGTGACGTCCCAGGGTTAATGGGCTCTCGTGGAGCAATGGATAAAGCAGTGTGTGGGCTTGCGGGGTGCGTTTCGGCTCGGAGCTGGTGTTGGATTTGCTTCAGATTCGTGCTGCGTCGTTGGGTTCTGTTTCTCTCTGTAGGCATCTGTTGTGTACCTCTCAAATCAGGTAGATGCTGGACCTTCCCAAGTGTCCCGGTATGCGGGGAACGCTCCCACGCCGCCGTGACACTGAGCGACTAGCGGTTATCGCAGCCCATTGGCCTTGCGGGGAACAGGATGTCTAGCGCGGGCAGTCGAGGACGGAGTTGGTGGGCAAGGCGCTCCCAAGCATACGGGGTTGGGAAGTGAGGGGCGGGAGAGAGGCAGGCAGCAGAGAAGGGAAGGAAGAGAGGTGGCGGTAGTGCTTGGTAGGTATGGTAGGAGCGCACTCGGAGGAGTTGAGAGATGGGATATGGCGAAAAAGCGCCGAGGTGGAGCGGGACGGCGCACGAGAGCAAAATGATGCAAGCCGTCGGTTGTCCCGTTTGGTAGGAGTGCCCACGTCCCAGGGTGTGTCCTTCGGGTGGAGGCAGGAGCAATCCAATGGGCTTGGAGCAACTGCTGGGCTGGCTGGGTGAGAGGCGCCAAAATAGGTGCGATGGCTGAAGGGACCTGCGCGATGCTGCTGCGGGGGTAGGTGGCCCTCTATTTCCTACCACTGACCAGGCGCTGTGCTGAGACTACCGAAAGCTGCTCTCCTCGAGACGTTGGCTCAAGACCCGGGAGCTGCCGAACGTGCTAACAACTTGTTTGCAGCCCTGGCAGATCAGCAGTTGAGGGATGACGCAAGACTATAAGAGCAATCAATACCAGACCAAATAGCGGATGGCATGTGAAGTAAAGGGTGTTGAGACGCCAGAGGCTGCAATGTCAAGAGTTGTAGAGGATCTTGCTCTATGGAGAGCGACTGCATTCCAGCAAATGCAAAGTGTCCGACTAACTTAATATAGGTGCCTGCCTGCCTACATTGTAGGTAGGTACTCAACCACTGAGTCGCAACATTCAAAACATTCAAAAGCCCAGGGGAAGAAAACTTTCAACTCAGGCCATAGAAAGATGCTCCACCTCCGCCGGTTCATCGCCGCTTCTGTCAGTACCACAAAAAACCCCATTCCCAAACCATCAGGCACCATGGTGGTGCCATCAAGGGCAAGGAATCCCGTCGGCAGCTTCATTACCTCATCGATGCACGAAAATCTGGTGATCGTGTGTGGCCCGTGCCTTGAAAGGGGTGACCCACGCAAGCCATAGAAAGAAATGTGCCACATGTGGCTGGTGTCGGGATCTCGAGGAAGGTCACATGATCCGTCATTCCGGATCTTTGCGCCTCTCCGGGATGCTCAGCGATTTTCCTATAGACCTTAGTCCCAACCTCAGGCGATCCGCAAAACCGTACTCCGAGGCATTATATCGAACCCTCTCCTCTCCCCCGTCCACCACCAGCCGCCACAATGACCTCGCTCATTTCGAAGAAGCTCGCCGATGGCATCCTCGCCCGCCCCTTCCTGAAGAGCATCTTCGTCCCCTTCTCCAACTGGTACGCCAACGCCGCCGGCCACCGCAAGCTCGGCTTGAGGTAAGCAATTCGACGAAGCCTACTGCAACTATTGGCCACCGACCGGAACAGCGATGACTGATTGTCACTTTTTGTCCTCGCCTGCAGATTCGACGACCTTATCGAGGAGGAGTCCGATACCGTTCAGAAGGCTCTGAAGCGCCTCTCTCCTAAGGAATCCTACGACCGCGTCTTCCGCATCCGCCGTGCTGTCCAGCTCTCCGTCCAGCACAAGCTCCTGCCCAAGGACGAGTGGACTAAGCCAGAGGAGGTGTGCATTCCCTGATTAATTCGTACGAGAGGACTCCGGGCAGGGTATTAACATCTCAATGTTTAGGACTATCCCTACCTCGGACCCATCATCCAGCAGATCCATGCCGAGGAGGCCGAGAGGCTGGCTTTTGAGACGATGGAGGTTCAGAAGAAGCACCACTAAACGAACTCTCTCTGGTGGGGGATGGCACGTTTATCATGGAGGAGCGACGCCGCGCGCACGATGCTGTAAAGTATTGGGACGAAGGGAACCGCCTGGCCGGGGCGCGCGACAGGAATTTAGACCAGGGGGCGGAACCAAGGCCAGGCGGTTCGTGTACCTTATGTATAGACCTCGGGGGGGTTCTTGTCTGTCAATTGAACTCCCTGCTACAGATACAGGTTCCGCTGCGCCCAAATAGCACCAATTGACGACTCTTTTTTTGCGTTAGGATATCTACAGTCTCACGGCCTCGCCCACCCGGCCCCGGGTTCGCAGAAGCTAGCTGACATTATACGCCCTCTGACTGGTCCAAACCCCAAGACCCACCACCATGCTCTCAGCAACAACATCATGAGTAACGACTGCTCGTCGATGGTGACTTGACTACTGCCGCATTATCCAATTTCATTAAGTCCAAATGCTAATATTGACTTGGTGTGATGATTTACGCAGTCACGCAATTAACAGTGTCTAACTGGCATCGAAGGGATGAATTGTACCCTTTTTCATTTATTTATTTTATCAGCATATTGCCCAGTCTCTGCGCCTATCATACCAAAAAGCGCAGCTTGAGTGTCATGATTTCAGGCTCATAACCAAGTATATCGGTCTAGAATAAATATTGATAAGCCAGCTTTTGGTACCACTGCACTACAGGTCCTGAGCCATATATCGCAGAAAAAGATTGGGCCTGTTTTATCGAGGAAAAGAGTTGCAGCTGTACACCATGGGCCTGCATGAGAGCACCTAGTGCCCGTGATGCCGCACCCAGCCTATAGCCCAAACCTCGAACCCAATGATGAAGATACGTATGCGCGGCGATCTGGCTCAAGAATACCTCACGCTTGACAGCCTTCCATGAATATGACTCCGCCAGCATAGGACCAGAGTCAAGGTAATACTCTTGGTTTACTGTGGAGATGCGCAAGCACGATCACATTCAAAGAAGCTCATTTGCCTGCGTGATGGTTCTTTTGATTAAATACATGTAGGTCGGGAACGCTGCACGAATTTGCCAGGAAGTCATTTACGGTATATGTATGGGATGGTGCCTACGCCCCAGCGTCACGCTCGTCATATTGGTACAAATGCGCCTATCGCATCATAGACCTCTGGAGAACAACTGATAGCCTTCGTCCAGGTCATGGGACGGTCAGTCTGAGTATCTAAACACATGTGCTGCTAGGGAACTCAGATTTGAACAGGCAATCCCTTGGTTGGCAGTAGAAATTATCTCATATATTATTACGATGTTCCCCATCACGGTTGTGCTATCACTCTCCTATACTCGTATTTCTCCCTGATTCGGAGAAAATGCATACATGACGGGAAACAAAAATAATGGGTTCTCTTAACATGGAACTTAGTAGTTACTGTTCTGAGACCACCCCAGCTAGAATACCGGCAACGTGGAACACATGTTTTGTTAGGTCCGGGGCGATAGCGCGTCCACAAGCACCCGTCCAAAGTTCACAGCATCACTTCCTCTCGACCCACGATGGAGGAGAGCTAGAACCATCTTCTACTCTTCATTCATACCACAGGCCGACGTTCTACTTCTCACCGAACCGTGGCGACAACTTGAAGCCGGGGTTACTTGGTCGCCTCCCCTTTCCAGCTAAAGTGCTACTCGGTGTGAAGTAAAAGTCCTGGGGGGGACATTCTAATATGGAGCCAACCTGGTCCTGTGACCAGAGGAACCTGCACCTTACGGGCCAGGGAATACCATGGCATTGATCAAAACCAATCCCACAACACATAGTCGGTGCTATATCTGATTCGAGTTTTATCCCCCTTCACTATCTATATTCAATGATGCAGAGCCACTACCAAGCAACATGAGCAAACGGCCGAGAATTGGAGACAAATCAAAATGTATAAATTACGCCTCTTTAGACTCCTGAGTTTCCTCATACCCTAGATATCACACTCAGACGCCAGGAGAAAACTTCACCAAGCAGGCCTCCTTCCGACGTAGTGCTGCCTGCCATTATCACCATCCCAATAGTCCGAGGCCGAATAGGGGCTTCCCTTCCTACAACAGGCAATAAGTTTCTCCCTCCTATGCTAACAGGTGATATAACCAAGTCTATTATTACAGCGAGACATACTTCCATCTGGTATGAAACGCCTGTTCTGACAAAAAGAGCATCTCTCTTGGTTCTGTTGATTTTGTGTTCCCTGGCCAACCGCGTCAAGTGGACAAAGGTAAGCCATGGAAAGGCTGTTGGGGTTTCGTTGAATATATAGGTAGCAGAAAGCCGAACTTGTTGAGTACCAGGGCAGCCAACATAGGCAACCAAGACTTTGATTTAAGCCTCTTGCCGATCATCTGTAGCCCAAGAAACTTTTAGACTAGCATCCGGAAATGCTTCTCGTCGTCGTGAAACGCTCCCAAGTACCTCGTGTGTGTATCGTTACGTGGTCATACAGTGCTGTGTTCCGCCAGCCGCATTCCGCGGTTGAATCGGAGAAGAACGGTCGTACGGTCGAAAAAGGCCAAAGGCCCAGCCACAACGGATCATGCGTTTCCAGGCTTCTCCTCAGTGTCGACGTGCCAAACAACGTAGTTGGGCAGACCAACAACACGGTAACCCGCACGCTTGGCCATTTTGGCAAAGCCTTCTGTTTCCGCCTGGTTCTCGAAGGCGTAGCACGGGAAATTGATTCCTAATGTTGTTAACAAGCGCAAATGCCAAGAGTGCCCAGGAAATACCAACCTGATCGGTGGACGTCACCCTTGACGAGGATGTTGACGCCGCCAATACCATCTAGTTCAAGCTCTTCGTCTTTGTTGTTGCGCCAGTCACCCTCCCTGGCCATATATCTGCGACCGGTATCGTACTCCTTATAGCCTAGTTCCTCGTAAGCATGAAATGTGACATTAGTGACATTTTGTCCTACCTTCGGCGAGGACAACATCCTTATCCAAGCTCGCTGCAAGTCTGCGGCCCTTGTCGGACTCAACCCAGGAATTGTAGTCGAAGCGGCCCTCGATATCGGTCCCATCGCGATAGCGATGGAACCAAATGTCTGTCAGACTGTCAGCATAGTCTGTCTTTCGGGTGCATGGTATGTTGACTCACTGGGCACAAGGACATCGGTATCATGAGCAACAAAGTCCTCGATGATCTTCTTGGGGCTGTCCACGATGTCGACATCGCGCCAGTAGATCCAGGAGTGCTCAGGCTTCATGGCAGCAGAGAGGAGATAGTTGCGAGCGCGGCCCATAGCCTTTCGTCGGGGACCCTGGGCCTTGAAAGAATGACGCTCTTCGACACTTTGACTGAGCCCGAAGCCGAAGTCCTTCTCGATAACCATGGCGCTGTTGAACGGAATCTTGTCAGGACGACTCTGGATGCGATCCAGCTCAGAGGCAAGAACGGCAAGGGTATCATCTTTGGAGTCGCCGACGAGGAAGGCGAGATCAATCAGGTGGTGAGGGTAGGTCAGTTCGGCGATCAGCTCGAAGTATTTGGACAGGTGAGGGGCGGCGTCCTTGAGGGGAGTGAGAATCAGGACGCGCTCCTCGTTGGTGACAGCATTGCGCGTCGACTTGATGGGGTTGAGGTTGACGTGTTGGATCGAGCTCTGGTTGATTTCCAGGGGTTCGTGGTGGTTGAAGATGACGGGGGTCTGGAGGTGGGCAGCCCACGAAGCTTGCTCATTGAGCGACATCTCCATGGGCGGCTTCGCGGGGCCCCAGCAGTAGAAGCTGTGCGGTGTTACATGTTAGCGAGTTGTCTTGTCCACAGCGCGCGCGCGCGCGCGCATCGCCATGCAAAAATTATCGCGCCCCCTGAGGAGCAGCGGTTGCCAGGGCTGCCGACAACGTACCTCTGCATCTCGGAGGCTGAGGAGCGAATACCGCGCCATAGTAGCAGAACGACGCCGGTAACGGCGACGAGAAAGAGAAAGCGCGTCTTGGTCAGGAAAGCCCATATCGCTCTGGTGGGAGGTAGCCTGGATTGGGCAGACTTCCAATTGATTCCACCTTTGGGGAGAAGCATGGCTCCTGTGGAATGGGTTCGGGTGGTCTGGGGTACCACCCTAGAACACGTCCTTACAAAGAAAAGATAATGTCGTGTGTATCCCGGCACAGCGAGCGTCCAAGCCAGCAATGTCGCAGACTAGACGAGACGAGACGGCGCCCTTGAAGTTGTTGTCGGTGACGTCGCTTTGTCGCGCGCAAGATTGCGGCAGTATTTCGCTAGAGGGGCAGCTAGGTGGAGGCAACAAACAACAGGCGCAGAAGAAATGTCAGGCAGCACAAGACTTCGTCGAGCAAGTCCGACTTCGACAAGTTGTGGTTGGGAGGAAGGAGGTGATTGTTTGGGCGGTTTCGTGTCGTCCGACAGATGTCAGTCTTGACAGCACACTCTCCTCAGAAGGGGGTAGTGGGCCAAGGCTGACGAAGATCAAGTGTCCCGATTGAGCTGATAAGGATTGAGATGCCAAAAAGGTAGGCGGGACGTCAGTGGTTCCACGGTTCTTGCGGGTGTACGATGCGATGCGGCTACAAGGTCTTGGTACAACGGGTTTCCGGTCGTCTTTCAGCCTCGTTGTGCCTTTGATGAGGACGATGGTTTTGGCCAAAAATTTTGTTGAAGACAAGAGCAAGAACGAACGAGGGACGTTTGGGTAAGCCCAGGCAGAAGGGGATGGAAAGAATTGATTGAAAGGAACCACGCCAAAAGGGCCCCAAAAAAAGGTCGACCAGGAAGGAAGGCGTTTGGGAGACGGAGAGGCTTGGATGGGATAGGCTAAGACAAGTCAAGGCAAGCAGGCTTGGTTGGTGGAAGGAGGTAAGGTACATGCAAGTACTAGGTATACCTGGGAGAAGCAGGCGGATTAGCAGAGATAGGCGGGTCACAGCAGCACACCACGATCGCAGACTCCGGATTGCCTAGGTAGGCACCGTGACAGGCAGGACTGGGCGGAGACTGGGGCCCCGTCAATACCTACACGTAAGCTTCTGCAATCTGGCCAGGGTGCAGAAGCATCAAAAGCCAACTTGGTCAGGGCCTTGGAACGGATACGACAGAAGCTGCAACCCGCATCTCGATGGTGGCATAGCAGGGTACGATCAGTGAGCCAATGGCATGGCGTCAAAAAGGTTAACCACGTTAGCCAAGTAGGTACCCTTTTGTACCGACACTATCCTCTTGTCAGCACGCGAGATTGCCGTAACCGCCAAGCGCTTCTGGGCTCAGGAGAAAAAAGACCGTGCCGCAGCTTGACGGGCACCTGTCCTCTTTTCTTCTTCGTAGGATATAATCTCTTCTCGGCGTTGCCTCTGCACTCGCTCAAGGCGCTATACCTTGGTATTCGACTACACAACATTTGGCTCGTCTATCAAAACGTCTCTGAATTAACGGATATGGTTGTCATCTGACCATGCGTCTTCTTCATCAAGGAGCGATGGGACCTGTTATCATTGCATACCGACAAATCCGTAGCATGAAGGTAATAACGCAATGATCAGCAAATGGAAATCAGCTCAGACCCAACCGCCACGCCAAGATGTGGTTATCTCACGGGAAAGCATGAGGAGAACTGGGCAAGGCCTACCCCAGTGGCTTCCAGGGGCCGGCCGAGGCCTGCCCAGTGCTTACGCATGTTGCCGATGCCTGCATCTTAATTGGTACATGGGTTAACGGTTTCTATGCCCAAGGCAAGGCACCCCTTGACACGACTAAATGGGTTAAAAAGAAATCAATTAAGAAGATCCAAGCTCTTGGTACAGCGGCGGAGTGTCTTGACAAAATAATCCAAAAGATGGAGAGGAAGAGGAGGAGGGGCAGGGATTATGAACAATAACCCATTATAACCTACACTATCCCGCACTTTTCAATCACGCACGCGACACTTGCACCTCTGGGGATGTGAGAGGGGACAGGAATGAGGAGATGTTCCCGGGGCTCAGCACAATTAGCGGTAGAAGCCATCATGGGTCTCATTGCAAACAATTTTGAGCACGTAATATCACACGTGCCATCATATCATGTAGCCAATCACACAGAGACCTTAGTGGGGGATAAGGTCCGGTCTACTCCTTAGTATGAGTAAATATAATTGACCCGGCCTATCTTTGCGTGTGCCTTTGCTTGCTCCTTGCTTCACCTGTTTCGCGCGCCGCAATCACCCCATGTAAGACGGGACACCGTGCCAGACATCTGTAAAAAGATCCGCCAGGGCTGGGGCTGCACATGTGATCCGGTATCTGGGGACGAGGAACGTGGGGACATGCAGCTGCCCTGCTAAACTTCGGGCAAGCATCAACCGCTCGGGGCTGCAGTGACGCAAAGGGGACGCACGAGCTGTCTCTATCACCATCCATAACATAGTAAGGGATGACAGGTTAGCCATTGGATGATAGTCCTGCTTAATAAGCCGCATCAGCCCGATTGGCAGCTCCTAATTACAGTTATGATGACAAAGCAAGGGCGCCGAGCTGCCATGTTGCCACTGTGAACAATTGACTGTGGCATGCTCCCGTAGCAAAAGCTCTCTGGGTTCTTCCAAGTTGCCGCATCAAGTACGCCGAGCTGGCCTCAGATACTCAATGTTGACTCAATTCCCGAACTTCGACATGTCCAAGTAAAACAATAGCATCCGAATGAGATTACAGTTGGTTCGTCGCCCGCCGACTCCCTTCGTAGCTGCACGTTGGATTACACCTCTCACACTACTCGATACCCTTACCAGGCTCTTTCCCCGCCTCTGACAGCCTACATTTCACTCGGTGCTCGCTCAAACCTTCACAAACTTACCGTTGGTCATTGGCATCGTCATCAACGAACACAGAAAAGATGGCTACCCGGCGGTCAGCGCGTCTGGGCGCCCAAGCACACACCGATATCGCACCTCCGCCGATTGCACCAACCACAAAGAGCCGGAAGAGAAAATCCCCGCCAGGACCTACGCTCGCCGACCCGGTGCCGTCTTCGGACCCTGTTACGCCGCCGAGAAAACGGGGCCCGAAGGTTACAGCAATCACCCCGATCCCTCCGCCAGTCACGCCTACTCCGAGCGCCGTCGGCATCATCGCTGAACGGGCAAACAGCACAGCAAAGCCCAAGGCCAAGGCCATCAACCGCCTCGCCGATCCGAAGTTGACCAACGCCCCCATCATTTCGCCCGAGACCTCACGTGTCATCGCTTCTCATCCTACCGACCACGTGTCGCCGTCTAAACTATCCGCGGAACCCGGAAAACGCACGACGACTGCCAACATTCTCGAGGAGGCGTGTCGCCATCTCATAAAGGTGGACCCGCGAATGAAGCCCCTCATCGAAAAGAACCACTGCCGCGTATTTTCACCCGAGGGCCTCGCCGACAAAGTCGATCCCTTCGAGAGCCTCTGCAGCGGCATCATCTCCCAGCAGGTCTCCGGCGCCGCCGCGAGGTCCATCAAGAATAAGTTTGTCGCTCTCTTCACAGAGAGAGAGGGCGAACCGAAAACGTTTCCTCACCCCTCAGAGGTGGCCGCCGCTCCCATCGAGCGCCTCCGCACTGCCGGCCTGTCGCAGCGCAAGGCTGAGTACATCAAAGGCCTGGCCGAGAAGTTCTCGAGCGGCGAGTTGAGCGCTCAGATGCTGGCAGAGGCTCCTTATGAAGAGGTTCGTGACAAGCTCATCGCGGTGAGGGGGCTGGGGCTTTGGTCCGTCGAGATGTTCGCCTGTTTCGGGCTGAAGAGGATGGACGTGTTCTCGCTGGGAGACCTCGGGGTGCAGAGAGGCATGGCAGCCTTTGCCGGACGGGATGTGGCCAAGCTCAAGGCCAAGGGAGGAGGCAAATGGAAGTATATGTCTGAGAAGGACATGACCGAGATGGCGAGCAAATTCGTGCCATATCGTAGCGTCTTCATGTGGTATATGTGGAGGGTCGAGGAAACCGATATAAGCATGCTGGAATAAGCAGTCAGCGGACTCATTAAACTCTAGTCTCACTAACCTTGCCCCCCTATAATCAACACCTTCCCAAATGCCAATTTCCAGTTATCACGAAATCGCACAGACTATGTAGTACGGCATGTGGGGTTCATTGAATGAACACGAGCCCCAATAATACGAGATCTCGTTCGTCCCTCGGTCGTGTTTAGAGGGACCGAACGAAGGCTATATGATTCCCCGGCGCATCCTCATCCGGGATAGGTAGAAGCGAAGTCACCTTGATCTTTCGGGCAGGGTCGAGCTGGTCAGGTGGGAACTTGGCCGTTCCCCCACAGCTGTCGGGAGCGATTCACGGCTGGACTCCAAAGTTTCCAACTGACACAAACAAGCTTTTCGGCTTTCCCATTCTTCCGCGCGACGCCCACGAATGGACACACAATGCAAGGTGAAAAGCTGTCTAAGTCGATCGGACGACATCACGATCAGTTAGAGGGTGATGCGAAGGATACTCTCTCGTATCTTAGAGGCCCGACGCGTTGCGGGTTAAACGACGCACAGACACGAGTGCCGCAAACATAGTAGTATGCTGGCAATTCCGGCGATGTCACAGACACAAAAGTGTTACAGCAGATAGACCTTCGCGGCTCGTCTCAAGGGACGGGCAACCGACGAGTTGCGGTACCAGGAAGATTTAAATCACGCCGGCGTCCCGTATTGAGCATCGTGACTTGTAGGGTGCTGAATTGAACGTGTGTCAGCCAAGGGGGGTTGATGTTTGAAGTCTTGTCGCAGGATGAGCTCGTCGTCACCGCTATTATCTGTGGACCAGAGTAGAAGATACACGCCTGAGGTACGCGCGTCACCGCCAGCAGGGTAACGCCTATTCCTTTATGTGTGTGGCCGATCCCAAGATGTAAAGAACCAAGGCGTTCATTGATGGAGTCGGAGATACAGAGCGGGCTATCGCGTCGCCGTCTGAGACCAAGACGCTCTATGCCTGGATTCGGCTACACAGTTGACCAGATCGTCCGCCATAAGAGATCAACTGTCGCAGCCTCTGTGTCTTGGGAGCTTCCTGTTTGGCCAACGCCGTTCGGTGCTGTTGACGGGGGCGAGGAACGGCCGCCAACAGGGCAGTTGAGCAGAACCACCGAAAAGCCTGGGAATCCCGGACCATCCCCTGCGGGCCAGCAAGATTGGGGGGCGGTTGGGTGTGCCGCTAACGTGATACAGACGGGCGCGCCCCTTGCTAGCAACATGGTGCAAAGGTTAGATATCGAAAATCAAGACTGGCACGTAGTAATATGATGCGTAGCAGTTGCACCAGCGCAATCTTGCAGACAGTTTTGCCCCCTCCCGGCTTGCTGCTTTCTTTTCTCATTCCGATCACCTGCCATGTGTGGATATCGCCAGCCGAGAAGTGATGCAGTTGGCATTGGACAGACAAGAAGGCGAATTCCGGATGTAATAGCCGGGCATTGATGGCTGGAGCGAAAATGGCAAAGAATGCCATCGAGTCAAGTCTCAACCGTTGTCTCGGCACGGTACCATGGCAGACCTAGGCCGGGAGGAAGTCTCAGTCCCAGCCACTCAGAACTGAGGATGCAGTCAGTCAGTCATGGGCTGCTAGAAAACCCGTGGGATGCTCCAGAAAACCAAGCGCGAATGGACCGGTGTGAGGCAAAGAGACGTAGGTAGGCTCAGGCGCCTCCCACAAGACAACCCGGCCTCGCTGGAATATATAGGTGATGGCGTGTCCTTCCTTCGTGGGGGTTTAGCGTTGGTGCAACAAGCGGCTAGCGATGCACGACTGCGAGCCGTCAAATCATTCGGGATATGTAGTGGTAACGGTGGGGGTGGATTGCCGTCGTATCCAGATATTGTCGTCGTTGGCCCCTGACATGTGCCCCGTCCCATGCACCAGACCACATTACCACCGCACTGCAGCAATACGGAGTATCCGTACTCCGTACTGCACATAGGATTGACAGACAGGGCCGATGCGTGCCTTAGTGCAGTTGGGCCACAGAATGATGGACGGGCCCCATCCCACATGAATCTCTCTCGACAGTATCCGAACTATTGGACGAATAGCAGCGCCGAATGCATATTGACCTGCCGCTAGAAGCTCCTATACGACGCGTCGCGCTAGAGACAGCCAGCTTCTCCTCTCAGCGGCTTGCACGCTAAGAATTGATAATCACGAACGGATGGTTATCCATGGAACCAGGCGACGTTTTTGGGTCCTTTGAAAGCTTGCTTCCCCCCCTCCCGTCGACAGTAGCAATCGCTGAGCAGTAGGCCGTGGACGTGCGCATCGTCATTCGGATGGCCGAGCTAACTGCGTCATCGAACAGCGACAGTCTTTAGCGGTGTTGCTGTCCTAGAACTGAATTTTGAACAGTGTTTTCATACTCCTTCGATCAAACAACAGACTACTTGTCGAGATGAAACATTTTGTGGATGGACAGCGTACTGGTGTTTATGTCGCTCGGCATTCGTAGTGGCCTCAATGGTGTGCATTCGGCAGCAATTTTCGAAGAATTTTTTTTTTTTTTTTTTTTGGATAGATGTGATCAACGAGGAAGGGAGGGGCCTTTGGGGCGTCAACGGAGCATCCGCGCCGACACGGCGTGGGGTGCAGGCAAAAACCAGAATAGGTCGGACCGCAAATTGATTGGCAAGTAAGGCCTGGCTCGGGAGACTCGGTCTTGATTGGCGCTGGAACTTGGAAGGGGGCTGCTTGTGGACTGGGAGTCGATGAAGTGTGACACTTTGGCAAGAAGGGCAGCCCTGGCTGGAGCCTCAGGCGCTACCGACCCTATCAGTCTCTTCCAAAGTTCCTAGGAGTGTCGAGAAAGGTCTCAGGCTGCCAGCAGTGGGCACCAGGCTGTTTCTTGCGCGTCTGACCTTAGCAGGGGCCATGTACGGGATAACTGGAGAGCCCGCCAGACCTTACTATGTAGGGAAAAGAGCGGCAATGTATGTAAGGTACAGACCACCCCATATTGTTCTATGTAGCTGGGGGGATTGCAAGTTTGTTGTTGTTGTTTTGTTTTGTTTTGCTGGTCGACTGCTGCACACTAACTAGAAACGTTTGTACGACAACTGGAAGGTTTGCACTGGCCGGCCCAGCGCATTATTTTATGACAGAATTTTCCAACTTGTTTGATTGACAAAGAGGATTGGATCGCCAACCACCGGTCCGGATAAGGCCGTAGCGCCCCTCCCCCCCACGACGGTGGTTAACAGCCGTTCTCAGTCTGATCGCGCACTTAGTATTGCAGTGGAGATGTCAACTCTTGCAAGTCAGCGGCGATATCAAGGGCAAGTTTGTGCTTGCATGTGCGTTTACTCTCTTGAGTTGGTGAGTAAGTGAGTGATCGGTGTGTGTCTGTGTGTGTTCCGTTCCCGCCTACCCCCCTGCTATAAACACACCCGGGCTGGGGATACAACGCACCACTCTCATCGCGGACCCCACTTATCATCTCGCCCCCTTGCCCCTGTACTAGTGCGAAGAAGGAGATGGACTACACCAAAGTGGTTCCTGATGGGCGAAGCTAGGCCAAAAACCCAGACGTTCAAATCTCGCCAGACCGGTGGAAGCAGGGGTTATTTGCAGAGTATTTCTTGGACTAATGGGTCTCCGCGGCTGTGCCCATCGCGCTTCCATCGTCACTCTGATGAGCCGCCCAATAAAGACATGCTACTACGGACTGTTGCTCCGTCCTCATGCATCAATTTCTTCATATAGAGTTCCCCATATCGAAGGCGAGAAAGGGAGAGAGAGGGAAAAGAGGCAGGCCCAGTGTCGGCATAGAGCGGTACGTACTGTCCAATGTAGAATGTGGTGGAAAAAGGGGTTGGTGAGGCGTGTTTGTTGATGGCTGAACACATGGCCAACGTCCATTCCTTTGAAACCCACTGACGAAAGAATACCACAGACTTTATCTGCCAGTTGCCAGTGCCAATGTCAGTGCCACTATCTGTACCCGGTTGTCTATCTGCTTGCCTGCCTGTTTGTTTTTGTGGCGGATGTTCAACAGAAGCTGGCTTGCACTACATCCCGTGCACCACTCGCATCGAATCAACTCGACTTCCAATACGTACTTTGGCACTGGGTACACGTACACCAGGTACGATTTTGGCGGTTCAAAAGCGCAGAGTTGCGTGTGTTTGTACCTGCCACTCAATGCCCTACGACACCGACGGCCGACGTGGGCTGCCACCGTTGTGGAGAGTGTCGCAAACCATCCACGGAAGAAAAAAGAAAAAAAAACCATTAACACACGCGGCAGCGCCGTCTGGGAACTTCCAGGAGATGTTGATGATTGAATAATGCACTGCTCTCCTTCACGTCACATCCACACCGTTACAGCTCCCTTGCCTCTCTCTTTCGGCTCTCCCTCAAGACCGGGTGCCCTGCCCAATCCAGCCAGACCAGGTTCGAGGTCGGTTCAGCCCCGTCTGTTCTTGGTGTCTCTTGGTCCCAGTATTGTCCACACCCTCACCGGCCGTGGCCCCTGTCTTGGCTGCTTCGTACCCGCAATATGCACCACGAATAACACCGTAATGATTACCTTGACCCCCCTTCCTCTCGGGTCCTCCCCTGTGTTCTCCCAGGTCTTCTCTTCCAGACTCCCTCCCCTGGCCCAAAAGTGTGTTTCCCCTTCAAGCCACACCCCCCCTCCCGCTACCTCGATTACCCTTCTTAGTGCTGGCCCACGCCATCCAACGCACCACACAAAGTCCAGTCTCATCCCTCCATTACTCTCCCCAGATCATTCTCTCTCCCTCTTCCCTTTCCGTGACAGCTTCGTTTTCTTGTTCGTCTTGACATTCTATTCCCGTCTTTCGTTCATCACCATACCCAAAAACGCTCTACCCATCCAAGTGTAACGACTTCTACTTGCCTCCCGAAGAACAACAAGGACGAGAAGAAGAACCAAGAACAAACAAGCACACGTGGATCAAGGTACGTAGCCATCGTGCAGCGAGACAAGACACCAAGCACAAATGGAAGCAGCGAGGGAAAGAGGCCGCCAATGCCCGGCAGGAAGTCCTCAGCCATCGCTGGCCGCGTTATGGAATGCCTCCTACCTCTCCTCAATGTTCAACCTTCTCTTACCCCGTGCCCAATTCCAATCCCTTCCCGTCGTTGCCCTCAGCTCTCGCCGACAATCGTCGCTGTCTTGCCATCGTCGATAATCGGGCGGAAAGAGACGCTCGTGGTTTCTCAGAACGCACAAGAAACACCGAGGCCCCGTATCCAAATCCAGAGCCCCCCAGGATTGACCCCGTTACCCCCTTGCCTTTCCTCACTCGAGCACTGCATCGCTCTTTAGAACTTCAGCGTTATCAACCTGGAGTCATTTGCTCTTCTTCGAATCACCCCGAATCAACACTTCCATCATTCTTCCAACGACCCAAAACCTCGAGCCACTATTGCTTGACAAGCCTGCTGACCTGGACATCACAGCGTCCAAATCAATCACAATGTACTCCAAGGTTATCCCCGCCCTCGTGGCCCTCGGTGCTGGCGTTGTGTCTGGTAGGTATCCCTTCCCATCTGTTTTTTGTGAAGAGTCAAACTGACCACGATACGTGCTTCACAGCCCAGAGCGCCAACATTTGCTCTTCGGCTACCGTCACCATTACCGATGCCGCCATGGCCACCAACATCCCCTGCGGCACCATTAACGGCGCCGTCAAGATCGCCGAGGACATCACCGGCAACATTGACATCAACGGCCCCAAGACCATCAAGGGCGACCTGATTGTCACCAACGTCACCCAGCTCGTTGGTCTCAGCAGCTCTACCCTCGCCTCCGTCGAGGGTACCTTCCAGTTGCAAGGCCTGACTGTCCTCTCCAACCTGGCGTTCACCTCGCTCACGACTGTCGGCTCCATCAACTGGGTCACTCTGCCCGCTCTCGGCAACCTTGTCTTCGGTACCGCCGGTGTCACTAAGGTTAACGACATTCTCATCAGCGACACCTTCCTCAAGAGCTTGGACGGTCTGAACGTCGCCTCCGTCGACTCCCTCCGCATCAACAACAACAACCAGCTCGTTTCTTACAGCAACCAGTTGGCCAACGCCACCAAGACCATTGAGATCAACTCCAACGGCCCTGATCTGGGCATCACTCTCCCTAACCTCGTCTGGGCTGGTGAAATCATCATTGCTGATGCCGCCAAGGTCCAGATGGACTCCCTCGCAGTCGTCAACGGTTCCATCAAGTTCGACAAGAACACCTTCACCGAGTTCATTGCCCCCAACTTGACCCAGACGACCGACGGTGATGTCTCCTTCATCAACAACGTCGAGCTCACCAACCTGTCTTTGCCCCTCCTTACCAAGACCGGAGGTGGTCTCACTATCCAGAACAACACTCTGCTCGCCAAGATCGACGGTCTTCCCGAGCTCAAGCAGATTGGTGGTGCTGTCCTGCTCCGCGGTAACTTCACCGAGTAAGTATTTCGACCAGCATGCTTGAGTAAATCATCTGACAATTGCACAGTGTTGCGCTCCCCGCCCTCGACGATGTGAAGGGTGCCTTCGACACTCAGTCCACTGGCGATATCGACACCTCGTGCGATGTCTTCAACAAGATGAAGGGCCGCCAGATCCAGGGTGACTACAAGTGCCGCTCGAACAACACGAAGGCTAACGAGGATGGCAATTCCAGCGGCGGCAACGCTGGTGGCTCCAAGAACGGCAATGGCGCTGACGGTGCTGCCGGCATGGTCTCTGTCAACACTGCCATCCTCGGCGCCGCGCTCCTCTTCGGCTTCGCTCAGCTGTTGTAAAGGACGGACATCTCCAAATAACAGGCTCGGATAATGGCGTTCTCCATACACTTTTCACTGCTTGCGCAATTTCCTTACTGCAATCCTGTTACTACAGCTTGCGACACAAACCCCACACTTTCCCTAGACTGGGAATCTCCTACGTATGGGAAGACCTCTAGATTTAATACTCGGCGATGGGTTGAGATGTACCGGACCCTAGTCAACTTTTCGCTTCCTTTTGCGTGACGAATCAAAAGCAACTACAGGCCGACGCGTCGCTTTGTCGCCGCTGGATCGCTTGGCCCCGTCCATGTCGCGCAAAATATCATCCCGCCTGGACTATTTTGGGAACAGGGTTGGCCGAGCGGCATGGCAGGAGCTTGGATGATAGGTGGCTATGCGCGGGCAGTGGGATGGAAGATATCTGGCGACCGTGTAAGATTGGCAGGGTAGCGGGGGCATCAGGCAACGAGGATAGAGAGGGAGGGCTGTTGTGTGTATTGAAGATACATGATGTTTATACCTTTTTATTTTTTATGTGTCCATGATTATTTGTCCCTGTGAACTGTGTCGATGCATGAAAAGTACAAGGTTTGGAATGTCAATAGTAAGTGTAATGCCAAATCGTCATTGCAACTCCAGCCGCGTTGGGAATACTGTTGACGTTACAAATCAGGCAGTGTACGGTTCAGTTGAAGAATCGATTTTGACGCTGCAACTATATTATCTGTAGACCCCCCTCTCGAACTTTTCTGTGTCATAGAACTTGGGCACCACGGTATTGCCGTTGAATACTCGTCCATCCAGTTCGTTGACAGCCTGTTCAGAGTGACATCAGTCAGCCTTGCGTATATACGCCAAGCTCAGATGGGCGGGGAGAACTTACACGAAGCGCCGAAACCTGGTCCGTAAACCTGATGAAGACCTGGCGGTTCTCAACGTCGATGTACAAGCGCTCTACTCGACCGTACTGCCCGCAGGATGTGGTAAGCGTCCAAGTTGTCGTATTCCGAAGCTGCATCGGGATGGGGAGCTAAGCTAGGTGGAAGGGAAGCCAAACGTACCTTTTCGCCACACTCTTCCCCAATCTCCTGCCCCAGGCCGTTCGCAATTTCACCCTGTAAGTCCTCCATGTTGTCCAGCATCTGCTGCAACACAATGACCTCGCTCATGGGCCCGCCGAACTTGCCTCCCTCGCCGTCGTTCTTGCGCCTTCCGCCAAGGATCTTGGCGCGGTTTGCGGGCTCGGCCCAGCCGCCACCTTCGGCATCAGATCTCTTCTTACGCTTCTCGACCTGCACCCGCAGCGGGTTAACGATGCCGGACTCGTCGACGCCGAGACCCGAGCCCTTTGTCCAGCCGTACTTGCTCATGAGGCGCTGGGCGAAGCCGGCTTGGCCTGGGCGGGAGGAGCGCGGGGCCGGCGGCTCGTCATCGGCGGCGGCGGGGGTGGCGCCGAGGCCCAGGGCCGGAGGAGAGGAGTCTCGGTCGGAGCCTTCTTCTGCTACCATTTTCGGTTCTGTAGAAGGGATGTAGCGAACGGGGGCGCGGGATATGGTTGCCGCGTCCGGCGGGGGCGGCGGAGGAGGAAGGCTAGCGTCGGTGGGAGGTGGCGGTGCTGCTCCGGAGAGGCCTAGACGGCGGGCGTAGGTGTCGTCTCCGGTTGTGTCGTCCGCATCCGATGCTGCGGAAGCCAGTGGTGGGGAGGCCGGGGGCGGAGGGACGAAGGAGTATTCGGGCGGCGGCGCGAACTGGTCTGGCACGGTGTAAGTCACGGTTTGTCTGCGAGCACGCATGTATAACATCTTGGAGAAGCATACTCATTGCCGGCCTTCGGGCGGGCTCGTCTTCGCTGTCTTCACTCGAGCTCCTGCGTTTCCGGTGACGGTAGAGCAGCCTCTTCCACTCCTGCACCTCGCGGATGCGCTCATCGCTACGGAGGTACTCCTCGACGTTTGTGGGCTTGGTCGGGTCGTAGATGTCGTCCCAGTTCGTCTCGGCGGGCTGGTCGTTGTGTCCCTTCTTCTTCTTCTTCCGACGACCGCCGCGCTGGTGGGACTTATCGCCGCCCGCGTTCGCCGTGTACCGCCACTCGTCCTCTTCGGTGACAGCCCAGTCGGCGAGGGTGCTCTTTGGCGGCGGGGGCTGTTGCGGGGCCGCTACAGAGGGCGCGGAGGCGGACGACGGTGTTGTCGCAGTCGCTACTGTTGCTGAGGCGTTCGCGCCGGGGATTTTTTTGGGGAAGGACGGCTTTGGTTTTGCCGTTTTGGCCTGCGGCCTGCGGATGGGCTGGAAGCGAAGGGCTGAACAGGGACGAGGTGTAAGCTTTCTGTAGGCGAACGAGAACAAGGAGCTTAAGAGGGTGGTGAGTTACATGGGTCTATGAGCTTCTTCGCTGCCACCTCATCTTTTGCGTCGGCGACGGTGCCATCCTGATTGTAGCGGACTGGCGCGCTCGAAATGGTGGCCGGGGAGGAGTCGGCGGCCGGGTCGAGGAGGTTCGCGTAAAGGGACAGGCCGCCTCGCGCCGGCGGAGGTGGAGGGGGCGGCGCTGGCATTGAACCTTGGGTTCGAGGCGACGGAGTAATATTCTGAGCTTAATCCGGCAGACGGAGCTCTAATCGTTCGGTTTCTGGGACGTGGCTCGCGGCGGGCGAAAACGGGGAGCGAATCCTTGAGATGTCGCAAAGAAACAAGTAATGTCCTCTCAGCCTGGGTGCTATCGAAGTTGAAGCTGCAGAGCTGTGGCCCCTGCCCACTCGCTGCTCCACCTGGAGACGGGAAACGCTACAGCCACCACTTTGCTTGTACGGCCGTTCTTGCCAGCCTGCCAGCGTACCTGGGTTTCAGCGCCTTTGGTAACCCTTGATCAGGGGGGCATTTGGGGCACTTGGTCCACTGGAAGCCCACCCCTGCATGTTCCGGCACAGCACCCAGCCCGCCGCTCAAGTGTATTTTTCCACGTTTCCACGGAGAAGAGCCATCCACTGATCTGGGCATTGTGCTGGAGGATGGGTCAATAAGTGGACGTGATTCAGTGGACAGAAAGGGCGACCGGGGGTAATCCGGCTTGTCCCAGACTGGGCTGGTCCCGAGCACATCATTGTCCCAGTCAGGTTTCCCTATCAATCGGCCGTTAGTGCCTCAACTTCTTCTTACTTGTCCTCCAACATCGTCTTGTAATATTGACTTGTTGATTACACCGTTGAACGGACCGACTGTATAACCTCCTTGAAGGATTGCTTGCTGCAATTCTAATTCCTTTTCCCTGGCTGTGGCTTTAGACCAGTTCATCCGATCCGGCATTACCTCACTTCGCCTCATCTCACAACCCATTTGCCCGAAGTCGCTGGTCGTCGCCTCTTCTCAAGTGCCCTCTACCTCCAGACGTACGTATTGAGCCACGTCCCGCCCTTAAGAGAGTGTGAGACGTGCAAGAGTGTGCGCAAACATGGCTTTGACTCTCCAAACCGCCATTAACGGCCCGGCCAACTCGACGGCCATTATCGTGCCGTCCAAGCCCAGCGCTCTCACCGTCTCCTACGGCGACCTGGTCAAGGAGACCTCGGCCTTCCAGCAGAAACTGGCAAACATCGGCATCACCCGCGGTTCGCCCGTATCCATTGCGACCGTCAACTCGTATGAGTTCATCGTATCATTCTTGGCCGCCTCATGGCAGCGTGGCATTGCCGCCCCGCTGAACCCGGCCTACAAGCAAGACGAGTTTGAGTTCTACATTCAAGATGTCAAGTCTGCCATTGTTTTGGTTCCCAAGGGCGCATATGCTGCTGGTGCTCCCGCTGTCAAGGCCGCCAAGAAGTTCAATGCTGCCGTCGCCGAGACGTACTGGGATGAGTCCAAGAAAGAGGTCACGTTGGATGTTAAGGACCTCGGCCAGCTCAAGGACAAAGGTCGTGAGAAGGTGTTGAAGGCCGAAGCGGACGACGTTGCGTTGGTGCTGCACACTAGCGGAACCACCTCCAGGCCCAAAGTTGTAAGGGATACTTGCGAACTGAACTTCAAGAACTTGATAAGCTAAGACAGCCTAGGTGCCTCTGACGCACCGCAACCTGACCAGAACGATGAGTAAGTTCGAATCTTAATCATTATTATAATCACAAAGCTGACAAGGCCCCTAGAGAATATCCAGAACACATATCTGCTGACGGACAAGGACCGCACCATGCTGGTCATGCCCCTTTTCCACGTTCATGGCCTTCTTTGCGGTCTCCTCGCGCCCCTGGCTTGCGGTGGCTCCATGGTCGTCCCGTCCAAGTTCTCCGCCACTGAGTTCTGGGGAGACTTCATCACCCACAAGGCCAACTGGTACACCGCCGTCCCCACCATCCACCAGATTCTTCTCAAGAACCCGACTCCCAACCCCTTGCCCAACATCCGCTTCATTCGCTCCTGCTCCTCTCCGCTATCGCCCACCGTCTTCCACCAGCTCGAGGAGACGTACAAGGCCCCTGTCCTGGAGGCCTATGCCATGACCGAGGCCGCCCACCAGATGACATCTAACCCCCTCCCCCCCGCCAAGCGCAAGCCCGGCACCGTGGGCCTCGGCCAGGGTGTCGACGTACGCATCCTCGACGAGGCGGGCAACGAGCTTGCGCAGGGTCAGGAGGGCGAGATCTGTATCCGTGGTGAAAACGTTACCAAGGGCTATCTCAACAATGAGAGCGCTAACGCCTCGTCCTACACCAAGAGCGGTTTCTTCCGCACAGGCGACCAGGGCAAGAAGGATGAGGACGGCTACATCGTTATCACGGGCCGCATCAAGGAGCTCATCAACAAGGGTGGCGAGAAGATCAGCCCCATCGAGCTTGACAATGTCCTCACACGTAACCCAGCCGTATCCGAAGCCGTCAGCTTCGCCATTCCTGACGACATGTATGGCCAGGACATTGGTGTGGCTGTCGTGCTCAAGCCCGGACAGCAGCTAAAAGCCGAAGACTTGAAGAAATGGGTATCGGAGAAGCTAGCCAAGTTCAAGGTTCCCAAGAAGGTGAGTGTTACCTTGTTTGTGTTGTGATATATACTAACCAAGGGCTTCAGATTTACTTCACCGAGAATATGCCCAAGACGGCCACTGGCAAGATCCAGCGCCGCATTGTTGCCGAGAAGATGCAGCAGCAAGAGGCACCCAAGGCAAAGTTGTAAATATCATCTTGGTTCCATGCCAGACTAGATCTATTCTCCTTTAATGGTTGTAAGAGAATGTAAAGTGTTCGTAGGTTTCCCAGAAGAATGGATCATATTACAACGAGAGAAGAGAGAGACTTGTTAGATACCAAGGAATAGAATAGAGAAATTTCCAATATCCATAAACGCTGTCCATCGTATCTGGGATATATACAGTGAGTCGAGACATTGTCTCGCGAAAGTCATCAAGCAAAGCCGCGTATGTCGAGCCCACAGGCTGAGTCATGAATCTTCCATCCCGCTCAACGACTCATCCGTCTGCCCAATCCTTGCGCCTACCAAACCCGCAGCGCCATGGGGGTTTACTTCCCAGACGCTAATTGAAACGAATTCTCGTTCCCGCCCGAAGCCGAACGGCATCAAATACACCCCCCACCCACTAGTCGTAGTGTCCGCCCTCGTCCTGGTCGTCATCCAGGTCCGGGTCCTCTCCCTCCTCGGCATCATACAGCTTCTTAGGCGGCTGTTGCCCTGTCGGCGAGGACCCGCCGGCCGACGCAGTCTTTGGCAAGAGGCTCTTGGGCTTGACGGCGTGCATCTCAACCCAGCACGAGGCGCCGTCGGGGGCGTCCCACCTCGCGGGGGTGACGTCGCTCCCGGCGTCCTTGCCGGCGGCCTCGACACCCTGTTCCCGCGCCAGCTTATGCACCTCGGCGTTGGCGTCCGCAAGGCCGGCGTAGGCGCCTAGGACAGTGGTCGTCGAGGCGTCGCCGTCGCCGCCGTCGCGGTAGAGGACAAGGGCAACGGCGTGCGGAAACTCTCGGCGGGCGGGCGGGAGGGCGGTGACGGAGGAGCGCTTCGCGGGAGGCGGGGTAGTCTGGACGGCGCTGGTGGCCGAGGCGTTGCGCTTGTGCGCGGATTCTTCTGTAGGGGACATTGATTTGATTGCCATTGGCTTCTGGCTGTAAAGTGTGTGCGTGTGAGTGTGTATTGATGGTCGGTATCTGGTGAGATTGTTGTGAAATTCTTGCGAAGCGATTGTGGGAGTGACTATATATGAGCCGAGATTCAGTGTGCTTGAATGCGTAGTATGCAGGTGTGAAACCTCGGTCGCCGAAGCTGATGTGCCAATCGTGTATGAATGATGCAAGGGATAATCTCGTGATCGGTAAATGGGACGATAATATAAGTAAGATCACGGGCAGTCTCTGTTTCTTAAGCCGTTCCTGATTCCTTATGTATCAGGGAAAAGAAGAAGAAGATAAAGGCTCACGCAATTTGATGAGTGATTCTATGACTGATACTAAAAGTCATTAGATACGGTCATTGATGGAGCTTCCTCGTCGTCGCCGCTACGGCTTCGCCCTTCCTCGGAGCTGTGTAAGCCAGCTCTGCGTACAAACATACACACACTACGTACCTACTGGCAGAGCTTGGTATGGCTCCGCTCTGGTCTTCTTGGGATCAGGCTCGGCTAGTCCGATGACCGGCGAAGGTTTGTTGGGCCAACAGTGGCGGCAGGGGTGTCCTGTGTGATGGCATCATACAGGGGAGGGGCAGCTGCTCGGTTTCCGCGCAAGAGGAGCTTCGGATTTGAGCTCAAAAGCGCGAAGGTGCGTGATCGCTTCATGAGCCGACTGTAGCCATCGGGGGGGGGGGGAGCGGGGGCCCCGCCGTCGGTTCATGCAGTATTGGCGCTTTAGCCGGGGGGTCCGGGGCTGATGGAAGCTCGGTTCTGGGGCTTTTTTTCTTTTCGATGCCGGTTGTAACGGGCAGATGGGACCGGGTGACTCAACAACACGGTAGTGGGCTGGTAACTTGTCTTTGATTTCTTGTGTATATGTAAATGCCGAACATTGAGGCGTAAACGGGCATCTCCTTTTGAATACTTTCCCTTCTTCTTATGCAGAGCAAGCAACTTGAGCTGATGTTTTCTTGCCTCAAGTCTAGAACGCCGTTGGCTGTCATTAAGAGCACTTCTAGATTAGCAAGAGGAGACCCTGTACTGCTTGTCTGATAGTGGTGTTCGTCGCTGTACTGTAGTTTAACTGCCAGCCTGCCTTGTCCTTATCATATCTTACAGCTGGTAGGGGAGGCAAGAAGAGCCAGGCGGCTAGCTCTGCAATCCGTCATGGAGAGCAGCTCCGGCTTCCCACCTCCCTCTGGAAACCGCACCATAGCCACCGTCTTCAACTGGCAACAATGGCCCGTAACCAGGCACAATAAGCCCAGTTCCCCTCGCAACGCGTTTCGCAGTTCGTCCGCTCGGCTCGGGGTTCTCCATACACCTCAGCCAGATGCTCATGCTCATCAATGGCACGCCGAATCAATGGCGCAGAGCCGTCCAGAGAATCTGGCGTCTGGCGTCAGGAGGATGAACGGCCCTTCCATGCGCAACTTGCCCGACCGACAACCCTCGCAACCTCGATAATTCACGGGCGCGTCGTCATAGGTGAGCGGCCGAGGGCAAAGGAGGAACACATAAGGTGCTAAAAAGGACGGTTTTGTGGAGAATGACGCCCAGCATTTCGACGGAATCGAAATGTGACTCTGTAGGTGATACAATGTACTCGTACTGAAGCATCCGAAGTCCTGATGAACTTTGAGGAAACCTCAAGTCGGGATGGAACGTCGGGGCATATTGCACTACTATCGATTGAAGTGCCATCCCATATCTTGCCGAAGCTCGAGCTCACGCTCCCCGAGTCGAGAAATCATGTCATTGGTCCATTTCGAATACACCCGAGTTTGCATTGTTCCGTTTAACCTTTCCCATTAGACTGTCATCCTGACAGTCCCAGTGGCCAGTAAGAGAACCCAAGACCGACCCGATACAACTGCTAGTCCACTTACGCCCCAAAAAATCAAAGTCGCCGCCCATCATTCTGCCCCAGCTTGCTCTTCAACAGCAACCCTGAGTTCATAGTTGAGGTCAAAACACTCGGCGAGAAGCTCGCTAACACTGCCCTGCCCTTCGGGAATATCGTTGTTGACCATGAACTTTCCGTCTTGGCGCATGTTGTCGATCGAGTGAAGCTGTTATACATATCAATCTCAACTCTTGGGTAAAGTTCTAGATTAGAGATCCATACCTTCATACTGTAGGGGTACAGTTCCCTGACAGACTGGACACCACCGCTGTTCTTGACCTCGATCAAGCATCTCTTGAGCGTTTGTAGCTGGTTGTAAATCGGTAACAGGGCCTCAGACACGGGTTCTGAGGAGATCATGAGCGAGTAGATATAGGCGTAGCTTCTCCTGATGAGGTAAAGAAGCGTCTGCCCACAGTGTCAGCTAGAATCCGGCATGAATCGGAGTAATTACTCACACGCTGGACATAGAGCTCAGCAGGTTTACCGTCCTCGTCCAGCCAATTGCCGTTCACTCTGCTTTCGTCGATCTTGTCCAACTGCCTCTGGAAGTCGTAGAGGTCTGCCTCACGTAGAGACCACGCTTTCGTAATAGAGAGCTTCTCGAGCTCGTTACGGATGCGGAAAAGAACGTCGTATATCGGCCGGAATGATTCAGGGATCACTCCTTTTCTAGAGACAAACTTAGCAGCGTGCTTCCGAATGAAGGATCGAAGTCATACCTCTCAAGCACAACGTCGGACCATTGCAGGCATTTCTCCAGTAATGCAGCCACCTCTTCACTTCCAGCAGGGACACGTCCGTCCGTAGTCATGAACTTGCCCTCCTTGTTCTGTTGGTCTATCTCTAGTAATTGGGATCGCAGCTTCTGAACCTCTGACGACGAGAACTGAACGGCGTTAGACGCACAATCGTATGCTTTGAAACAACAAACCTACCTTGGCCCGTGTGTTTGCCAGAGAAATGGATCTCAGGATAGAAATCAGCTTCTCGTACGTCTTCGGAAGGGGATCCTCGAGACGCTCCAGGCGCTTTTTTAGATTGGCCAGAGACTGTTCACAAAGCTCTAGTCTATTTGATAGTAGAGTAATGAGGTATGGCGAGTATTCATTTTCGGTGGACTTGACGTTATGCGCCAGCTTGCTGAGGGTGTGCGACAGGCTCTCGAGGTCTTTAGCAGAGTACAGGTTGACTTCGGTAAGGTGATCCAGGAGTCTCTTGATGGTGGACGTCAACGCATAGGCGGCCGGGGCTTCGTTGTTTCGACCGATCGTCATGAAGAAGAGCGACAAAAGCTGGAAACAGCTCTCTAATACTCTGTCCACTGTAGTGCGGATTAGCCGTTGACCCCGCACAGCCGCGGCGATAGTGGAATACCTCTGTTCTCCTCTCTTCGATCAGACGATCGGAACTCGTTGAGCTGGCGGACCTGCTCGATGGTATCATCGTACAGCGGTAGGACATCTTGACTGCGAATGTACGTCGTCCGATCCTGCTTCAGCAGTTGCAGACTGTCGCGGATCGCAACCAGCTTGTCCAGAATCTCCTTCTCGCGGTCGTCTCGCGGTGGGGGGCATGTAGGAGTATCCATAATGCGTGACGGAATTTACGACGGGCGTTGATTGCTGAGAGGGTTGTAGAGTGGGAATAAGGATAGCTGCCGGCTGTTCGCGATCATGGATGGCCAAAGGCATGCACCTCTTGCGCTGTATGTCAGTACCTTGTAGGTCTGCCAATGCTCCAACATTCAACGAAGCACGATGGCGGGGCTAAGAATCCCAGGTCAGTCCGAGTGTCCGCTCGTCTTCCTGCTGCGCCGGGGGCAGTTGAGTAAGGAGGAATTATATTGCTAAGACGTCTGTGACAAAATCTGTTGGCCGCGGTGCCCCCAAGTATGTATGCGTGCCAAGTATGTAATAAGGTGAGTGGTGCAAATGCGATGATGCACGCGGTTGTAAGTTAACCCAGCTGGTCCGGAATCCAATGGAATGGTGCACGTCAACTGCAGCTGCTTGTGAGAAGTAAAAGGTGGGGGTGATGAACTGGTGCTGCCACGCCTAACACTGGAGAGACAAATGGAGGTATCGATGTGGGGCATGACACAAGTGACACCGACGGCAGCGGGGAGCCTGACAGCCCTGGCAAGTTCAGCAGCCCAGGCCGTCGATCTCCCATCCTATTGGTTCGCGCCCTCGACCAATCAAAGATATCGCAGAACGGGTCCATCGGAAAGGCACTTACTTTAACCGAAAAAGCGCCGACTGCAAAATTAGGTCTTGAAAGCCCTGCCAAATTTCGACCGTGGAATGATTTCGCGATACCATATTGACTGCTCCTTCGTCAATCACACTCACCATCCGCGAAGTTAACCTGCAGTCGCAAACACCCCCCTCCAAATCAGTCACAATGTCGACCGCCGAGCTCGCTTCTTCCTACGCGGCCCTCATCCTCGCCGATGATGGCGTCGAGATCACTGTGCGTCGCCCCGAAAACACACAAACCCCGCTGCGAAAAATGACACAAGACCAAATATATTCCGACGCGAACGAAGACTAACGGTGGTGGTGTTTACTAGGCCGACAAGCTCCAGACCCTGATCAAGGCTGCCAAGATCGAGGACGTCGAGCCCATCTGGACCTCTCTGTTCGCCAAGGTACGACACGACAACTCTTCCTACCGACCGACGAGAAACTTGGAAGGCTGATTTGAGGAAAAACAGGCTCTTGAGGGCAAGGACGTCAAGGACCTGCTCTCTAACGTCGGCTCTGGTGGTGGCGCTGCCGCCCCCGCTGCCGGTGGTGCTGCCGCCGCTGGCGGTGCCGCCGAGGCTGCCGCTGAGGAGGCGCCGAAGGAGGAGGGTATGTTTCGATCCAATCCTCAACCAGGTACGCTGTATACTAACACCCGGCCACAGAGAAGGAGGAGTCCGACGACGACATGGGATTCGGTCTCTTCGACTAAGCGATTTCTTCGACGTTTTCCTTCCCTTTGTAACTTCAACTGCATGGATCCGGGGGTTCTACGATTCGCGCGATCATAAAGGATTGGGTGGAGGCACGATATCCTGCTGCCTGGACAGAGTAGCTCTCATACGATAATGTGAAGACGCTCTCTACGCGGAGTTCACTGGACATCCTCAAAAAATGAAAGTGGAATTTGGCATGCTTTGAACATACCGGGACATACGCGCGGCGCCTTTTGACAGAGGGAGTCGCGTACGTCGACATGATACACCAGCTTAGCTCGAGCATGAATGGCTTATGATTCAACACTCGGTGCCTTGCCCGTCGTGACTCGTGATCACTCTTGGTTCCTGATCTCGCAACATCGCCGGTATCAATGTTTGGCACGATTCCTATGTCATCGCGATAGCATTCGCGTCTATGAATGCAGACCACCTTGAGTGAGGGATCTATAGTCGGGTCCAAGCACGACGTGATTCGATTTGAGTCATGATGTTTGGATCAACGCATTCATGTATATCTGCTTCGAGTCAAGACCGCCTAAGAGCTTATCCTCCGCGCTCCGACTTAAGCGGTTGCCCTAGGTCAGGACAAGTCGCATTTGCCAATCAAATGGGGCTTGTTCAATGCGGAATCCCAACAAGGCCCAATCATTGCGTCTTCGCAATATTATTGATCCTCGCCATACAAGGAGCAACCAGACTCGGATCTACGAGGGATGACATTGCTAGGCACGAATGTCAATCTCGCGGGCCAAATTTGAAGCTCATGTCGATTCTTGATCCTCATGACGCGCTGCCACTGCCACGTCTTTTCTTCTAGTTTCTACATTCCCAACGCCAGTCCATGCAGCCCTTTACTTCCTGGTCGTTATTTACAAACGACGCACTCATTTGACGATGAGAACGGCGCTAGGAGTAAGGCCAGCCTCCTTCAGAGTCTTGCTCAAATCCATGTGACCCTCAAACGTCTTCCTGGGGAACGTGGTTGAGAAGCTCGTAACCTCCAAGCCATTCTCGGACTGGAGCATCTGGGCTACTTCGAAGAGGGTAGTCTCGGAGGGAAGAGTCTTCATGACGTTACCGCCCGACGTCTGCAACCTCAAGCGAGCCTCGTTATGGTTTGCGGTAGCCTTCGGTATGGAGGGTGCGGCGACGGGACCAGACTCGGGGGCTCTGCCTTCTCTTGCTGCCTTGGTCTCCTCTGCCTTGCGGCGACGCTCCTCCTTGTCGGCCTCGATCTTAGCCTTGATGCGGCGCTTCGCCTCTAGATCATCCTGCTTCTCCTGGCGCTTCCTGGCTACCTCTTTCAGCTGCTCCTTACGCTGCAACTCTTCCTTGGCTTCTTGGGTTTCCTTGGTCGCTTTCATGCGAATTTTCTCGTTGCGCCTGGCCTCTTCCTTGTCCAGAACGGCCTGTTTCGCCTTTTTCTCCTTGAGTTGCTCGCGCAGCTCGGCGAGCTTAGCCTTCTTCTGGTCGTCAGTCAAGGGAGCGATCTCCTCCGTTGACTCCGAGAAATCGGTATGGTCCCTATTATATGTCAGTGCATAAGCCTAGAATGAAGCAAGTGAACCCGTCTATAGTCACTGAGAGATGCCACGAAGCTAGAAATAGGTTTGGGGGAGAGTATACAGAGGGCGATAACGACAAGGGTAGAACGGGAGAACCTACGTCTTCGTCGCATGGTAGGAGGCAGTATCCTGCGATCTGAAGCGCTTGCCACACTCGTTGCAAACAAGCGACTTTGCGGTGGCGCCGCTCTCAAGAGCATCGATATTGGCCTGGACCTCGCCTGCGTCGTCATCCTCGTCGTCCTTGGCGGCGGCGTTGGCAGCGGCAGTAAGTTCATCGAGAGGCTTGTCCTGGTTCGCCTCAAGCCACTCAAGAGCTCCGTTCACTGTGAGGGTTATCAATGAAGCTGTTTTCAGAAAAGCGATTGGTGTCATGTAATAAGACTAACAGTTGCCTGTCTTCTTGACTGCGAGCTCAGCTCGGGCCTTCTCGAAGCCCATGTCGAGCAGCTGGTCAAGATCGGACTGGGCCATCTTCAGTGGTGGGGTTGTTGGTGGTTGCTGGTGCAGGCAGTGTCGATGCAAACCGAAGATCTAGCAAGCTCGTGAGCACAGGTGGTACGCGTGCTGAAGGATAATATGTATTGGAGTATTTATTTCCGATGTGTTCGATCGGATTCGGGTGCGTCTGTGAACAAGCGTCGGTTTATTGAAGCCAAATTCGCAGAATGTGAGGGAAGCATTGGTCTGAGTCGCTGTTTCCGTTTGCGAGACGTCATCTGCAGGTGCCTTCTCCGAACTGTGGACGGATAGAGGGGTTATTTCCATACAGTGGCTGGAGTGCGCGGGAGGGACCGACAACACGGACAATGGGCCTCTCATCCTGCTATACCAGGTACCTTGCCTCTCGTTTCTGACTAATACAAGTATACTTGGTTTTCCAGCTCTGTTATTGAGCCTTTCGCATTCTTCTAGCAGTCTGCCTCTCCGTTGTCCAGCTCTTCCAAACCTCTGTGGTCCACAGAGAAGCAGTTGTACCTACCTAATTCGGCCATTCACCCGTGTAGTCCCTGGCAGTAATCTCGTGTAGAGTACTTTTCCACCTCGGGGGCCACGAGGAAGTGGTCCCTCAAATTCCAACCTAGTGGACAAACGCACCCCCGGAGCCGGATTAACCCCCCTGTTCCTTGAGCACTTTGCTAGTGGAGGGCCCCAGCACGCAGCTCCGATTGACTGTCCGCTAGTGGCTAGAGTGTGCACCTTAATGAAACCTGGCCTGGACTACTAGGCAAGATTGCTCAGAGACCGACTGCGTGCGCATCCATCCTCCTATTCCAATCGAGTCCAGCCCGGGTCTTGCTGCAGTTGGTTACGGTGGTGCGTATTACGTCGTAGGCTTTTACGTGCAAAACACCTGCTTTAACCCTGCCTTCCTTCCTTTCTGTCCTTCCTTCCATTCGATCACTTTTCGAAACCCTGACCTTGCCTTTACCTATTTTACAAACCAGCGCCTTTTCTAATATCGCCCCGCGCGCAACCGTCCTTCGACACTTTTGTCCCCTCACACTCCGCTCGCAAAATCTCTTTTCCCTTCTGCTTAGGCCGAGGCCTGCGTTGAATGCGCCGAGATCGTCTTGTCTCTTTACCTGTAGCCTAAGATCTCGTATCGCCCTCCTAAGCCCCCCCTCTCCACAACTTCCACCATGTCTGTCGATATCGAGCCCGCCGAGCTGAGCTTCCGACGTGAGTTTGCCCTTTGCGCGATCACCTTTACTGCCTCGTGCTCACACTTTCTCCTCTTTTAGGGCCCTTCACTGTCGAAGTAGCTCAGATTCTCCGAATCAAGAACCCAAACCAGTCCCCTATCGCTTTCAAGGTACGTCACCTCCCAGTTCCTCTGGCGTCACGTCACTCTCCGCTCACCAGGCATGCGACCAGGTTAAAACCACCGCTCCGAAGCAGTACGATCCCCTGCATTCCGTGCGCCTCCTCGTAAGCGACTGACGGCATCTCAGGTACTGCGTTCGCCCCAACTCGGGTCGTGTCGAGCCTGGACAAGATGTGGAGGTTACCGGTATGCAGCTCGCAATTGCCAGGTGGTCACATGCAACTGACCGCAACAAGTTCTCCTTCAGGCCATGAAGCAGGAGCCGCCTCTCGACACCAAGTGCCGCGACAAGTTCCTCGTCCAGTCCGTTCCCATCACCGCGGACAAGGAGTTCGCGAGTATTGCCAACATTGTGAGAGCATACCCCATGGCAATGTCCGAAATAGTGACGCATAGGCTAATCAAGCCCGGTAAATAGCTCGATATTAAGACAAGTCTGCCGTCATTGAGAGAAAGATCCGCGTCAATTGGCTTACCGCCGAGGACCAGTCCAGTGCCTCCGGTTTGGCCTCCACCCCGAACCGGCACTCCGTCGTGAACGGCGTATGTCTCGTCTTCTCCGATCAATGGTACATACCTATACTAATAATTATAGGACCACACTCCCGATGTCTCGCACGTCTATTCATCCCCCGGTCCAGAGGCCGATGGTTCCGGTAGTCCCGGTGCTTCGGCTGCACGCCCCTCGACTTCCGATGCAAAGGACGATAGCGTTTCCGAGAAGGCTCAGTCAACGGTTAGCGCCGCGAGCCACGTTGTCGCCAACACCGCCCAGGCCACCTACGACGAGCTGAAGCAGAAACTTTCCCAGGCCGAGGCCAAAATCGCCAGCCTGCAGGACAACAGCGGGTTGCGTCAACGTGTCAAGACAGAGAGCGAGAAGCTTCCCAGCACTCAAGAAGCTGCCGCGGCGATAAGACAGGGAGTTGACGGAGTCTCAGTGCAGATGGTTGCCATCCTGTGTCTCCTCAGCTTCTTGCTTGCCTACTTCTTCTTTTGATTTTGGAATTCCCTGACAATTCCCCTTTCTACGAGATTTCTACCGGAGGATTTATGAAGGAAAGCTGTCTGGCACAGGTGTACGGCATTGCTGCCATCACTCTGTATGCTAACAGAGAACAGCATAGTGAGCGGGTATTTTGATGGTGATGTTTATGGCGGATGGAGAGCATCCATCAACAATAGCATCGATTTGACATGGGATGGAGTTGCAATCACACATGTAACCATACGGATTCTATTCTCTTTGTCGTAACGGTCCGGCGTCCTGGACGCGAAGTAGTTGATTTCAGAAACTGATCTCATAATTTTGCCCTATCTCTCTGATTTTGGTCTAGGCCCGTGCTGAGTTGCATGTTTCTTGGCCTGATTCATATTTATTCATATTCCGGATGAGCCAACATCCAATTCCACATCCACCACGTATTCATTCGATGATGCAAGCTCCATTATGGTATCTCTTTCGGTGCAGAAGAGATGCGCGCACAGCGAGACCTGAACTTTTTACCTGCGCCGTCACACACATCACATTGGAGGTTTCTGGACACTCGACGCAGCAGTGTCAAGCCTTACGCAACTTGATGTCCAACAAGTACTCCAATTCTATATTTGTTCGTAATTTGCGGCAGCCGGGTATCCGGAGAACCCCCCCTCTCGACAAGGGCACGCCATGTAAGGTCTTGCCTATCGCGTCCCCGAAGTATTATTACAAAGTTCCCATGTTAACTTGTTCCATATCAACAGGGCTATGTCGTCAAGAACATCCGTTCATGAAAACTGGAGAGGGAGAAAAAAAAACTATAATAAAAACAGCATTACTTTTCATGCAGATGCCACTCGTTTTCTTTGACACTCAAACCTCCCACTTTCTTTTGGTCTTTTGATCGTGCCAAAAAGAAAAAAGAAACCCCCATTCAAATTCAAACCAAACCCAAACCGTTTGCCAACTTCAGGCCTCGATTTCTTCGCGCGTCCACTTCGTGCTACCGCCGACGATGCGCCCGCCCTGCTTTCTCTTGACACGAGAGGTGATGCCGACATTCTTGTCGAGGATGAAGCGCCAGATGACGTAGGTCCAGCTCTCGTGACGGGGCAGGTCCTCGTAGAACTCCTTTGCAACCTCGTGCAGCTTGGGCAGCCGGGTCCAGGGGACGGCGGGGAAGTCGTGGTGCTCGTTGTGCAGGCCGACGTTGTAAGTGAGGAAGTTGAGGGGGCCGTAATAGGAGAAGGTCTCAGGGACGGGAATATTGTTAGCAGCGTCTCGGGCGCCGGCGGGGACGGTCTCGTAGACGTAGTGCTCGGCGATGAAGTGGCCAGCTAGCGGGTGCAGGGAGCCGGCGAGGAAGGAGGAAAGGAGGAGGTAGAGAACGGCATTGCTGCCGAGGATGGTGAACAGGGCGTAGTCGAAGACGAGCTGGACGGCGATGTTTATGTAGTGAACCCAGGTGAAGGCGACGCTGTAGACGAGGGTCGGGCGAATGGCGTAGAAGAAGATCTGAAAGGTGCAGAAGAAGGCCTTGCCAAGGATTGAATCGAAGAGGACAACCTCGATGGCGGTGGGGAGGTCGGTGTCGAGGCCGTCAACGCCGAGAGACTTGTGGTGGGTGAGGTGGTAGGGGCGGAAGGAGGCGCTGTACGGGATAGCGATGGGGAGATTGGCGAAGATGGCGAAGAGACGATTGGCGAGTGGGGAGCGGAAAGCGAGGTTGTGGGAGATTTCGTGGATGGCGAGGAAGAGGTTCTGGTTGGCTGTGGCGCCGAAGACGTAGGCGACGAGCCAAAACTTCCAAGAGAAGAAGGACGTCTCGCTAAGATACCAGGCCCAGAACATCTGCATCGCAACGACACCGGCGACAACGTACTTCGTTAGGGGCTCGGGACCGCAGAGCTTTGTGACCTGTCGGAGGGGTGGGTTTATTAGTCGTCTGTGGATGCTGCGACGAGCCATTGGCCTCGAGGGGAGCTGCTGCGGGAAAGGGGTTTATGAGCAGACGTACCTCGGGGTGAGCCTTGATGATGGCCAGACGGCGAGTCCGGTGCGGCTCCTCGGTGTAGGTCCAGAAAAAGTCCTTCTCGGCGGACGGCGCATCGGTCGTCAGCTTACCGGCAGCAACGCCATCGGCGGAAGGCGTGGCGGCGGCGGACTTGCGCTTGGACGGCTTCGTCACGGTCGCGGCGGCGGATGAAGCCATTGTTGCGGGTTCCTCTTTTTGAGGAGGGAGTAGTCGTCTGTGACTGTCTTCGTGCGCGTGTTCCTGTGGCGCGCGTTTGGGACAGATAGAAAGAGACGGCGCTTTTAGTTCCCAATAAAAGGAGGAAATATATCTGTCCTGACTAAGAGTGGACCGAAGGGACGAAGGTCAAACGAAGGTCATTCAGCTGCTCTGGGTCGTTGTTATATGCAAAGACGACAATCAAACGGGAAACGAGTGTCCACAGAAGAAATGAGAGATTTGAACCTGAGCGCCTTTTCTGCAGATAGGATTGTTGTGTATTTCCACTTCGGCACGCGCAAACGAATCGAGTGTTGTCGGGAGGAAGATCATGCCTCGAGAATGGCAAATCTCCTGATTGCGGGCTGTTTAGGGGTCGGGGGGTTGAGGTGGCACCAGGACGACGGGGTTTTGACACTAAAAGCGGTGTAAAGGTGCCTTCTTTTCACACTATAGAGGTTCGCAGCCTGTGGCGCAGCGGGTATTAGTGGGTAATTTGCGTTTCTGGTCACACTGAGATAGGTGAACTAGGTAGCCAGGGATGATGATTTTGGTGCAAAAACTTTCTGGGCTGGTTTTTTATTTCTTGGAATAATGGGAGGGGGAAGGAATCGGGGAAGTTCTAGGATCCCCCACTCTCTCCCCCGATCCAGCGTTGCATGCTTCGCATCAAGCTTCTCACTCGACCTGAGCTTGCGCGACCTACCTAACACCTCGACGCGCAGGGCATACGCAAGATGGAGCACGGCTCGTCCTATGATAATATACATACATACATATGTATGCATATATGTACATGTACATGTACATCGCAAAGGCTCTCTTGGGTATTACTGCGTGCCAATCATCGTTTTCGTCGTCACAGGGTGACAACGCAGGCCGTAGTCTGACGGGCCCTGGACTCGAACATTGCGTGTCGGAGCTAGAGCAGCTCTGAGGTTTGCGAGGGCATTGGGATGGCAATGGCGTCTCCGGGTTTTTTAGGCTCCATGCATCCTTTCTTCCGTACCTTGCGTGATTTCGTTTTGCGTCCGGCCAGGTACATCGTAAATCATTTACGTGCAACGCCTTTTGGATTTTCCCCACGCGTGATCTGAGGGTATTGGCCATTGTGAAAGGCCGCGTTTAGTAGGATATCGTCATCCTCGTGCCGACTTCCGTACTTCTTCATCCCGGTTTGCTGCGTCCAGGACGGGTATGTGAGGGCGGGCCGTTAGAGACATATTGCACTTTAATGTGCGCGTCGTCACGTTGTGGCAACGGATTGGACAGCGAATTTACCCGCCATATTGTTCTACCGCAACCACAATATATAGAAGAAGCTTTCGGAAGGCTATGGGCCGCAAAAAGGAGACTTTGTCGCTGTCAGAGGTGGTTCAGGAAGTGCTATATCAACGAGCGATTCCCCATGAGCTCCAGTACCTAGATACTTTGTGGTTGGCTTCTGTACTTTGCCTTTACCCTCAACGCAACGTTTCAGCATGCGCGTTCTCATCTTGCTCCCGGCCTTCCTGACCTCTTTGGCAGGCACCGCGTTGGCCAAGCCCGAACTGATCAGGAGCGTGAGCAGCCCCATATACCACCTGTACCTCCAGTCGTACCCCAAGGACACGTCGATCCCTGTCCTGGGCCCCGAGGCGTCAGCAGAGTACTTCAATATCGCCGGGACTATCCAGAGCGCCAACTCGAGTTTGTACCTGGGTATCAAGAGCGATGCGACGTCGTACAAGTCGCTCCTGTTCAGCAAGGACTCTGTCGATGCGTGGGGGCTTGAGGGGGACACCATTATGACCAAGCAGGGCAGCAGCTGGGGGCGCCGTATGTGACCCGTCCATAGCGTCATGTCAATAGCGCAAATATGCTGACGACCATAAGCAGAGCTCAACTTCCTGGCCTGTGAGTTGGAGAACACGAGCTACTGGCAACTGTATCTCCAGACGGGGAGCGACATGCCCACCGGCAGGAATTGCAGCAACTACCAGACGATCCATCTGCCATGCCTCTGCTAGATGGCGCACAGCCGAGGTCACCTGCTGCCGGGAAGAAGACCATCTGGACGGGCATTGGCCTGCTTGTAATGGTTGACGACGTTGCATCCGTATGCATCGAATCAACTACCTATGTATATTGTGACTGGAAGTGATAATGATATGCGCCATTAAACATCATGCTTCTTGCGATTACTCCCTGCATCCAAATACTCGCTCCTTTAGGGGTCTAGGAGGATACCTGGTTTGAGATCTGCGAAATCGGAGCAAGTTCCGGCGACACTCCGGACTGCTCTGGCTTTCCTGCTATTCCTGATGGAAATCGTGGGCGTCAGAAGAGCATCTTCAGTGCATTGAAGGTAGCCCGACCCGAACAAGTTTCTGGTCCCTATACTCAATCTTGGAAAGACTTTGGCCCGGAACATTCCCAGTTAAGGATCTTTTGCGCACACAAAAGAGACCTTTGGCGCCATTATCAAAACACCCGCATTTGCCGTCGACTTTTGAACGCGGCGTGCAGAGGGGTTTCAAGATGTCCAGGTGACCTGCGGTGGCTGTTCAATCGTCATGTCCAAGGAGGGTTAGGTGAGGTTGAAGCAGAGACTATGTATGGGGAGGTCCCATGATTGGCTGTCACATGCAGACAACTTGGAGAGAGCCCAACCCGTTAAATGGAGAAGCAGGGATGATATCAGATGGGCCCATGGAGTACGTACCTAGTAGAATTGCACCAACACCGCGAGAAGTGGAGGCCGTAGTTTAGCTGCAGCCTGCAGGGACGCCTGAGAGACTGCAACGCTGCAATAGCGGGCTATAATGATTCCATCCAGGCGTTGCCGCCATTTGACAAGACCAGATCCCATCGATGGATCCCCGAGCTCGATCTGTTGGTAAACTAGCCTGGAATTCGGGCATGAGGAGACTGCGATGGGGGCACGCGACCTCATAGCTATTCTCCTCGCCCACCGAATTCAATTGCAGTTTTCAAATTTCCTTATTCCTTCTGCCTGTTCTGAATCTGCATGTAAGTTGCATGCAGCCCGGGTATGGCCTTATTATGTGTCGCAGATCCCGGTCACTTGTTCCCTATGTATCAAGGCAGTACAGCGCAGTAGTACCTCGAGGATTCGTCGCTTGTTCTCATTGTCTGTGAGGACCAAAGAAAGAAAGCAAGAGAGGAAACGGGGGGGGATGAAGCTTTGACATCACGTTGGCCCGAGAGCTGCAGCTTCACCGCTCACAAGCCCAAACAACAGTGCTCACATAGGCATCTCCTCCCTTGGGGGATCTTTGTCCTTTAGCAGCCGCGCCACGTGAAGATAAGACCTAGGCGAGCAACCGCCTCGAACGATAAGCCTAAGCTCCAGTCCCTGGGCCCGCTTCCTGCCACCTCGCCCAAAAACCTCCCAGTTGAATTTAATCGCCTGGGCCTCGCTCTCCCGACCGCCGCACCTGGATCTGACCTGGACCGTACCTACGCTCTTTCTTCTCACCCTCGCCAGTTCCTGGCATTCTTACACGAGAGCCATCTCTTCTACAACTTCTGCGTCGTATTCGCCTCGACATCGACAACCTCGGCCGCCATTCTCGGCCGAGAAAATCAGTCCATCTGCCTTGCCCTGGGAGCAACCTTCAACACTCGGCCCTCTCGCTCACCATCGGCTTTCGCCTGTTCTTCCTCCCTCCACCTCCAACTCTGCCCGACCCTCTCGTGGACTGCGATAACTCCACGCCCAAACATTCGTCGCTTTCTTCGAACGACCTCCACCAAGCCGCCTCGCCGTCCAAGGTGGCCGGTCATCGCCAGAAACAAACCCCTCTGTCGGCGCGGCTCCAGCAAGCCAGGTCGTCGCGCCGATGTGGTGGTTCCTCCGAATCGTCGCCAGTGCCATCTTCCTGCTGAGCATAGTGCTTTCCATACCCGTAGCCTTCGATGTCGGCGGCAGGGATAGTGGCCTGGCCTACAGTCTCGCCCTTTGCGTCTTCTACTTTGTCTACTCGGCCATCGCCGTCGTCACCCCCGCCGAATCGCGCGTCCGCTGGGCCATCTCCGTCATCCTTCGTCTCTCGCAGTGGGTCGTCATCCCGGGCCTGCTAATCTGGGCCCTCGGCCGCTTCGCCGTCGACGCCGGCGCTACCAACTGGGTCGAGCGGACGCTGCAAGGTCTCACGTCCTCCAAGTCGACGTCATGGGGCGAGTGGATGTTTGGCGAGGGCGGTGTTGTCGAGACCATTACCTTGGGTGGCTGGGATAAGACTCTGAGGTACTCAAGTCCTGTCTTCCAGCTTCTCGAGGGTTTCTGCACTCTGCTTGTCATCCAGGCCGCTGGACAAATCACAAAGTGGCTGGTCAACAGAGGACGAAGTGACACTTGGATCGTACGTCGAATCCCCTCCCTGCTCCTGACCCTTGTAAGACCCGAGCTGTCACCAACGACTTGGTGATGCCAGGGCTGCGCGAGGTTTATTCCTACGCACTCGTCCCAGAGACTTGCTAACCAACATTACAGATCATCCTGCTCGTTATTTCCGGCAGCGTGCTTGCGAGTGCCGTCTACTTCCTCTGGCGTGTCGCTCACTTCCCTTACATTAACAACTCAGATGCGATTCTGATCGGCATCACCATGACTTCGGCCTTCTTCCTCTGCGCATACGGAATAGGCAGTGGTCGAGGAAATCCTGTCGAATCGTCCCTTCTCTTCGCATACGTTGTCCTTTGCGTCTACCAAATCTTCACCGACTACCTACCCTCCGAGTCCACCGAGGCGGACCAACACCAGTCGTCTCAGCCTGACTTCCCGCCTCTGCCACCCATCATCATGGCGTCGTACTCGACCCTGCTTCACATGCTCGGTTCCCTTCCTCACGCTGTTCACTCGTCTCTCAGTCTTCTCTACGCCGCTTTTCAGACCATCACCCCGTCCGTCATCATCTCGCTTGCTTTCCGACTCCTAGTCTTTTACTGCGCTACCCGCATCATCCCTGCGGTCCGCGAATCTGGAGCCAGGGCTCTTATGGATGAGCCGTCCCTTGAGGAGTCGGACGCAGCCAACTGGCTAATCGGAGTGATCACCTACTTTTCGCCATCCATCCTCATCGCCATGTACACCAGCCTGCTCTTACAACATTTCTCTACCAACGATGGACCGGATGGTTGGACACTGAGAGGAGGTGATCCTGGTGGCAATGTCTGGCGCTGGACGAACGTGGCGGCCACAATGTCCCTGTACGCGGTTGAGCTCTACCTGGGCAACGAGGACCACGATGGTGGTCTGACAAATCATTGGAAGATGGATTAAGGCTGAGTTCATACAGGAGCGGTCGCAGATCTGCATCGCGAGGGCGTGGGCGATAAGATCACCCTGCGCCCCAGTGAAATTTAATGAGTGTATTCTGTTCAAGCAGGCCAACTAAAAACCGATTGATCAACGTACATAGGTCTTAATGACACGGGCTACGGGCACGGAAGGGGGGTAGGAAAGGCACAGAAACATGGCGTTTGGGAGGGAAGTCTGCATGCTCGGATGGCGACTCTTTACTGCGAATTCTGCTGGAGGTACTCAAGGGACTTTGACGAAGGCAGATCGAGATAGCTGCCACTGTCTGGGATTTTCCATATCACACTAGGAAACCCGTCCTTTAAATCGATGACCTTGGAAACCATTTCTCTCTGCGTTCCCCGTGCTGAAGTTTCTCTGCATAGCCAGTCCGCTAGGGTGATGCTTCAACTAGCTTATTTGAAACGGCTCAAAATCCAGTGCGCCTCTCCAGGTTGCTTTGAGCTTCTTCACATTTAGGACGATCTCGGACTTCGGACGGTCTCTGAGTTGCTCGGTTATAAACGCCGCTCGCACCCACATTGACGGCACTCGAAATCTGACGCAGCTCTGTCTTTTCTGGGGCTCTAGGCAACTTTGGACCCGCAACTCACTTATACTCCGCTATCACTCACCCACTACCACGTTCCCCAAGCCAAGGTTATTAACCATCATCACTAGCTGCGTAACTCCTATTTAAGATCATAGAATCACGGCAGATCACGCAACCCTTGTTATTCTATTATACTAGAATTGGGGAGTATAACACGTACTCAATATGGCGTCGACAAACAACCCAATGGGCACATCCACCCCGCCCCCAGACGTCTCTAAGACAACACTCCCCATGTCGGGCCTCCTCTGCGACGTCTACGGCCTCGAGGAGCTCGTCAAGCGCCGGGCGTCGACAGTCTCGTGTCTGTGGCTGCATCACCCACGCCTGCGCGCCAAGGAGGATATGGGAGACTTCGCGAGCCGGGTTATCGCGCGGTGGGAAGAGACATCGTCGTCGTCGTCCGCGGCCGGGAACGGTGCCGGGGGTGGTGGTAGCAGCAGGGCGCTCATCGCCGTGGCTTTTGACCAGCAGAACCACGGCACCAGGACCGTGAGCCCGAAGGCGAGCGACTCGTGGCGCGAGGGCAACGCAACGCACGCACTTGACATGTGGGCAATGGTGTCGGGAATGGCGGGCGACACGACGGCGCTGATCGACATCGTCGAGGGCTACTTGAAGCTGGAGCTCGCGCGGCGGGGCGCCGACGAGGAGTGGAAGATGGACCAGCACCTCGTGATGGGCGTGAGCCTGGGCGGGCACAGTGCGTGGCAGACGATGTTTAGGGAGGACAGGGTGTCGGCCGGGGTCATCATCATCGGATGTCCCGATTACATGGGTGAGTGCTGCATTTCCCGCGATCGACCGACGATGAGATGTGTTTGATGTGTGTGTGTGTGTGAGAGAGAGAGAGAGAGAGGCGAAAGCTGACAAGGCTCGACGGACAAAGCACTTCTATCAGACCGCGCAAAGAAGTCCAACCTGACGACCTTCTCCGCCGAGGACGACGGCACATCGTTCCTCGGCAGCAGGGACTTCCCGCCCGGCCTGGTGGCGTCGTGTCTCCGGCACGACCCCAAAGGCATGCTCTTCGGCACCGGCGCCGTCCCCGCGACCGCGGAGAGCGTTCCGGAGGACGAGAGGCGGCGCCTCCGCGGCGTGCTCAACCGCCTGCGTGTCGGCGGCAAAAAGTTCCTTGTGTGCTCCGGCGCCGAGGACAAGCTGGTGCCGTACAAGATGTCGGAGCCGTTCATCGAATTCTTCGCGGGCGCGGCGGGGTCGTGGTACGCCGACGAGGGCACCACGATCAACAACAACGTGTACGGGGGCGTCGGGCACGCATTCAGCGAGATGATGGTGGAGGACTCGCTAACGTTCCTTGTTGACGCCGTCGCCGAGAAGGATGGTGGCCGCGGCGGTGAGGAGAGGAGGGCGAGGATTTGAGACGTCGCTGGTGACAGGCGTCATGGTTGAGGGGACCAACTGCGACATCCTGAAGGGGTTTGGAGGGTTTACTCGTGTTATATGTAGTCCATTCCTAGAAACATCCTAAGCCCACGGCCTCTTCGCATCGTCAACCAACGCCTCGTGCCCAGCCACGATCCTCGTGACAACACCGCTCCCCGCCCTCTCCTCTTCGCTCGCGAATAACCTATCGTCCAGTCCCCAGGGGTTCCTCGCCCTCCTCTTCCCGGCCAGGGTCGTCCCGATGCCATGCGGATCCTGCGCCCACTCGTCGACGGCGCGCTGCACGCCGGCGATGGCCCCCGCCTTGTCTCCGTCGCTTGCGCCAGTGTTTTTCTTGTCGTCTTCGTCGTCGTTGGCAGCAGCAGCAGCAGTAGTACTAGCAGCCTGCATACAAGGCGGGTCGATCCCGACGAAGCGCACCCTCTCGAGAGGGAAGCCGATGGCGGCGCAGTGGCCGTCGACGATGCGCGGCTTCTTGAAGGCGTGGCTGACGATCGTCAGGTTCCGCGGCCAAGAGGCGTGGAGGCGGCGGAAGAGCAGAAGGGAATGCAAGACGTTGTGGTACGAGTCCAGGGCCAGGGCGTCCGTATGGATGCGGGACGTGAACAAGGTGGTGTCCGGGGAGGAGGGGAAGATACCAAAATAGGCGTTGGCGGAGGCGAGATTGGCGTAGCTTTCCGCCTCCGAAAGGCGCGTCTCTTTACGTGTTGGTCCTCTGCGTGGCGGGGGCTGTCAGTGTGAACTATTTCTTGTTAAAAGCATACATGATTTGGGAATCCTGCTGAAGCGACGTGGAACGGCAACGTGATGAACCAGTGTGAGATGAGAGGAGCGATTTCAAGCAGGAAAGCTTTAATAGCACAAGCCTGCCGGAGAGGCTCGGACTTACCCCGAAAACACGAGCACAGAAGCCGGGTCGTCCTGTAGCGCCGCCAGGCCGGCCTTGATGTGGTCGATGAACGTTGGGGTCTCGCCGGCTTGGAAGCCGGCGATGAGCCACTCCGACTCGGCGCGGCCGTTTGTGGGACCGCCGATCCAGATGCCGTGGCAGCACACGATTATGAGGTGCGTGGGGGCTGTCATGGCGCAGTTCTATTGACGGCACGATCAAGGCTTTTTGAATGAATTTGTAGCAGTGTGCCCTTGGAAACCCGGATGACTGCTGCGTATTAGACGGGCTATTGTGGATCATGTGATGCTATGGCGGTGAGGAGGTGGTGTACTCCATCCATATCCTAGGTAGAAGGTGTCCCGAATAGTTGATGAGCCATCAAGAGTGGCGAGAGCAACCAATTTACTACATGTATCATGCTTGAAACTACTGATATGGTATGGTCGCAACAATTTGGAGGGTCGCAACTCTCACAGAACGATGGAGCGCTGAGCTCTGCCTGGATAATCGTTGGTTTGGAGATGTCTCATGATAAAACCCTGTAGGCGTCGCCAACGAGATAAAGACTGCCAGTCAGGACAATGGGCCCATCTCCGGCGATGTCGACAGCCCATTGCGTGGCCGCCTCGAGACCCCCTTCGGCCAAGAATATATCCTTCGCGCCTGCGTTGGACGCCATCTCCCTCAATGTGTCGAGCGGCAAGGGTTCAACCCAGGGCATAGTCTCTCGCTTGGAGAAGGGCACGCAAGTGATACTATCGCCGGGTCTTAGCAGAGTGCGAAGCATGCCTCCAGCGTCTTTTCCGTCCTGTTTGGAGACCGACACCACCCAAGTGACGGGCTTGTCTGCATCCCGGACACGTCGCTCGATGAAGGCGGACAGTGTCTCTGCCGACTGTGGGTTGTGAGCACCGTCAATGAGAATAGGCTTCCCTTTTCGTGACGGGTACTTCTCGCCAACCTCTAACCAGGAGAGTCTGCCGAGATGTGTGACGTCCTTCAAGATCGGCAGAGCCTTCTCCACGGAGAGGTTCAGGTGCGGGTAAGCAATTTGGAAGGCCGTGATGGCACATGCCATATTCTGGGCCTGGTGCGGCATCAACTCGGACTGGTACAGAGTCTCCAGGAGACCATTCTGATATGTAGTGAGGTGCAGCGGCGCTGAGACGCTTACGGCATGCTGCCGGAAGACTTCGAGGACCTCGGGCGGGTTGCTGCCGTCGACAACGCACGGCACACCAGCCATCATGATGCCGGCCTTCTCCTTGGCGATTTCGGGCAGTGTGTTGCCAAGGAATGCCTGGTGGTCAAGGCCGATCTTGGTGATGACGGTAACCCTTTTCCGTCTGAGGGCGTTCGTCGAGTCAAGTCGCCCGCCAAGGCCAACTTCGACGAGACCCATCTGCACATCGGCGCGGCTAAAGACGCCGAAGGCGATGAGGGTGGTTACCTCGAAGATGGTGAGGGCCTCCTGCGATGCATCTTGTGCTAGCCGGGTCTGTTCGTCGTCAAGAATCTTGCGTCGAACGTCGCTGTAGACGTCTTGCTGGACGGGCACGCCGTTGATTTTGATGGCGTCACGCGGCTCGACCAGGTAAGGCGAGGTGAAGAGGCCGTTGGATATGCCAAAGGACCTGCAGAGGGCCGCCAGGTATGTGCAGGTAGTGCCCTTGCCGTTAGTTCCGGCGACGTGGATGGCATCCCACTTCTGCGGAACGCCCTCGAGGGCCCTGGATATGCGGTGCAGGCCCAGACTGATGCCCTTCATCGCCATGCTGAAGTTTGCCGGGGGGTTGGGGGTGTCTGGTGCAACGCGTGCGGCTGCGGATGGGGTGTTAGGCATAGGGTACTGTTCCTCGGCTTGGGAGCCGTGGCCCGGCAACGGATGGGAGATGCCTAAGAAAGTGGTCCCTATGGTGGGAGTGAGTCACTGGGAGTCGCTGGTATTGATCAGGTCTTGGATTTTCAGGGTCCCGAATGTCGCGTCCGGCGCTGGAAGCTGCTGGCGAATAGGTTTTACCATAGTACGCATTCCAGACCTTCCACCCAACCTAAACCGTTGATACCTACCTACGTATAGGTAGGCAGGTAGGTTGAGTCCATGGTGAGAGGAAGGCAGATAAGGTACGTACCTACCTACCTGCGGTAGTCCGCTTAGCCATGCGTGTCGCGGAAACAGCGACTGGACGCGAGCGCAGTTGCATCAGAGTGCCGCTTCAGCCACACGTGAAAAGGCTCCCCCAACCAACTTCTCCATTTTTTGCCATGCGCCGAAGAGCCCTCGCGATTGGCCAGATACACGTATGACTTGCTTCTCGAAGCCAGCGCCACAGGGGAGGGTGCCCGGGACCAGCAACAAGGGGTAAGATGGGTATGGCCAGCCACTCAAAGAAAAGAAGTAAAGCGGCTATTCCCCAAAGACAGGCGCCTTTCCCATTTTCCCTCCTGTTCCCTTTTCTTGACCCCGTTCCCCGTATCTGCTTGGTTGTTTTTCCCTCGTCCTTGACTGACAGACAATCTACGCCCAGTCCCCGTGCCCCGTTCCCGTCACTGACCCCATCCTTTCCTCTTTTCCCGCCCGCCCCACGAAAGAGCTATATTGGCTTCGCGCAATCGCGAATCCATCGCGAAACACGGAATCGCGACCCCGTCCCTATCACGACGACGACCGAGCCCACCTCGCGATCCATTCGATATTCCCAGTCGACCTTCATCCATTCATCACGCGCGCGAGACAACCCTGTCAAGATGGGACTCCCGTAAGTTTCTTCTCACTCCCTGCGCTTTCACCGTCTGCGCTGCAACTGCCTTTGCGCTGTGCCTGGTCGAACCGCTGGCTCAATCTCAGCCCGCCCAGTTGCGCTACCGCTGCCACTCAATGCCTCATTCCTATCCGTCTCGCCCCCGTCCGTTCAATACAAGCCGCCGTCCCTTTTCATGCAAACGAATTGCGCGCCGTCTTCGATGCCCGTCTCAATTACGTAGATGTCGAACTGCGTCGCAACCGCTGTTAATGTCGGCGGCCTCGCTACGCCTCACCCTCGCACCCCCTGCTAACTCTCATTCGCCTATCTGCAGTCTGTTCGTCGCCCCCGTCGAGTCGGACATTCCTCCTCAGATCGGCGACAAGTCTGACTCCGCACGCCATGCGCGCTCCTCTATTCGCCGCGCACGCCGCAACCTGGATTCCCGCCCCTTCCGACGTCGCGCCGCATTGCTCCGCGATAACTTCCCCACTCCCGGACCTGAACCCGTCCCGCGCGCTCGCTACCCGTGGATTGAGTCTGGCCATCTGCCGCCGCCTGAGGCTTACCATGCCGCCCCCCCACGGACGATGCCGCCTGCAGAACCGGATCGGGGTGCTCCTACTCCCGAGAGCACCGAACTGCGTGATGCACTGCGTGAGATGAGGAGTCGGGCTGGGGAAAGAGGACCTGAAGCTAGCCAGGCTCGGTTGATCTCCCTCTTGGGAGAACGCTGGGCCTTGGAGCACTCGCCTCAGCCCTCCCGGACCAACGCCACTCCTGCGGTTGGTGAAGAGCAACCCAGCTGGCAGGAACCGGAAAGGCCTCAGGTAGACGGTATTGCTCTCTATCCTTACATTCCATCTGGTCGACGGCTCCGTCGTGCGCAGATTGATCGCATGTCGATGGTAGGCTCTTATTACCTGTTCGCCCAAATAGACCTGCAGAACTGACGTGCAAAGTAGCCCGCCCCGCCAGTTGCGGCCCGTTTCGACCGCAGCCCCGAGCACTCGGTTTCCGCCAGGTTTTCTGGGGGACGACCGCGTGTGGAGGCACGAACACTACCCCCGACCTTGCATCAGCGCATCCGTCGGATACGCCCTTCTGGACAATCGAATGAGTCGTCCTTGACCGACGGCCTCGGCGACCGCGACCGAAGCATCAGCCCCGACGAAGATGGCGTGTGGGACACGCTGCTAACTACTTTGACGCCTGACCCGCAGCCACCGAGCGCTGGATCGTCATTTGCATCGGCGTCGGCTTCCGCATCGGCCTCTACATCGCAATCACAGAGTGCCGCAGCATCATCGCGCACTTCTCTCACGGGGCCTGAGATGGCGGAAGAAGCTCTTGAGCAGCCCTGTGAATCTGGCCTCGATAATTCGGACGACGAAGGCCGGGAAGACTTGCGCATGGCCCGGGGCTGGCCGGATCACTGGACCATGAACTATCCTTCAAGACACCGTCGCTTCGTTGCTGATCTGGACGCGAACGATCCGAGCCGACTGTCGTACATGCGAGACGATTCATCGCACAGGCGTGCAGACAGAGCTCCCGCTGCCCGTAATGCGCAAGACGACGAAGAAATGCGAACTCGCCGACGACTTGAGCTCCTTCGACATTATCGGATTGCCACTCGCGACCCCACCCCGCTCCCAGAGCTGCTGGGCCACATTGTACGGGACTCGAGCGAAGAGGCAGGAGGTACGGGTGGTCAGGGTGATACCAACGGTGACGACGACGACGATACCCCCTCAAGCCACAACCACACATCCAACGACAATGCTTTGCATGGAATGCAGATGATTGTTCGAAACCTCGCACGGCGGGAAGACATTCCCGATGAGTGGTGGGCTGGTGCCGGGCTTAGCCGGACTTTGCCCGAGGAGTCATGAAAAGATGCTCCGGGCGAAGCATTGTCACACATATGAAGGCGTTAGTAACGAGAAGCGTTAAGTTGACGACGAAAAAAAAAGAGGCCTTTGAGAAGGCATCGTACTTGGACAGAGGAAATTGGCGTTAAAGGGGATATACGCCTGCTATGGATAGGGCGTTGAATTATTTGGGTTGGCGGGCGTCATGCAGCAACACGAGCAGTTTGTATAATACGCGTAGTCGAGGGGCGGGCCGACTTCAGTCTGCGACTACGAAGGATAGGGGTTTCTTGCGCATGAAGTCTACGGGACTTCCTGTGAGCGGGCCAGAGTCTCCGATATTATGGAAAAGACGGGGGCGAGCATGAAATGGAGTGGCCACTGGCCGTTTTCACTCTCACCGAGCATTTGTTTATTTATTGTTTGATTGTTGTGAAGTCAAGGCATGTCGTCAGTGAGAACGTGATCAGGTTCCAGTGACCGTATGTCTCAGTTGAAGTGGTGAGACCTGGACAAGCTTACGACTGAGATGCTGTCCCACGACTTTGACTTGGCATCTTGGGACGTACATGGGGTTGATGCCCTTGATAGGTAGTCGGAGGAATGCGGATCAGGCAACCACGTGGAAGCGGCATTTCATGTTGTTGATTTGGCCGTCCGTCTCGTTATGGAATGAAGGAGGTGATGTGACCCATGACGCCAAAACCGACCGGTACTCGACGAAGACAACAATAGGAAGGGGGGTTAAATGAAGATGGTTGTTTCCGCTTGTTGCAGACGCCCGCGCGGTTTCTTTGGGCTGCTGCAGGTCGCCGGGCTGGCCACTGACATGTCACGGATGCGGAAGGGTCCTACAGTAGTGTATGTCGTTCCTGCGCAGGTAGCGGCGGCGTCTTCTTCTTTGCTCTGGGCTACCGGCCGCCTGTCCTTGTTGCTTGTCGTCGGGTTGGCGACTCTCAGGTGCTCGAGACAGACAGACAGCCGGAAGATCGGAAGAGAGTGATAGACGCCACGAGAGGGGGTCTCGGTGGCCCTGTCTTTGACAAGGGGGGATGATAAACTGGGGGCAGAGTGAAGGGAGGGGGAGGAGCTGAGGTAGGGGTAGGTATCCGTAACGGGCAAGCCAGGGTTTTTGTTGATCTCTTTAGACGAGACACTGTCACGTCGTTACCATAGTGAAGTACGGTTCGCGCAACAGTGGATGATTAGCAGGGGCGAGTTGATGGACTAGCCATGTTCCAAACATTCGAGAGACCGTAACGGTGGAATGTATCTTGGAAAGACCGGCGCTTGGGCGTAACGTGGCTCCTGTCCAAGCTGTGGCCCCAGTCAAGAACGTCTGGGGAAGACCAAGAGGTTCGGAACGCGTTTGAGCGAGACCAAGGGACGGTAGGCGTGTTTATTTCGCATTGACTTTTTTTATCTTTATTTATTTTCAGTCCTTTTCACCGTTGCTGGGAATTCAATACAGATATGGTGCGATGAATCAGCTATAGGGAGCCGAATAATTGGATCCGACGTTCCGCGATGTACGTAGTTGACGCCCATTCTTTGTGTCTCCGGTTCAGGCCGGGTGCCTTTTAGCGCGCCGGTGGAGCAGCCTGGGAGAGCTTCTAGCGTGGCTAGCATGAATCCTCGGCGTTTGTTCAGCAACTCTAGCATCGTGCGAGAGCCCATCACGCAGCCCCACTCTCGCCCCTCATCGGTGGTCACAGCCAGCCCCAGTTGGCATGAGTCTTCACTGTGACAATGCAACCAACGATCAAGGGTTCCGAGTGATGGCGATGAACTATAGTACGTGTACACGGGAAATGGGGACGGACCAGGGGCATTGGTGGTGAGGGACATTCGCTGGGGAAAGAAAGAAAAAAAAAAAGGCCAAGTCCCATCCAGTCGGCTTCAGCGGTCAGCCCAGTCAGTGGTCAGGTAGCTGGCTAGCTATATCCGTACATAGGTACGGATACGCAGGGCAGTAATGATAACGAACGAGGCACCTACCACCTCATCTTACGATCCGCTCCAAGATGCAGTAGATCGCACGCGTCAGCAGCACCGAGTCTCGTTGTAAATCGCCTCTGCACAACACAGAAAAGAAAAGAAAAAAAAGGGGAAAAGGGAGAAAAAAGCCATTATCCTTCTTCGAGGGGTTCAGTCGCAGTCTGGATTTATAGTCCTACTTCTGGTTCTCATCCCTTCTTCCTTTCACTTTCCCTTCTTGATTTTGTTTTCTGTCTGGCACCCCTAGCTTGCCCTTACGCCATCATTGCACCTTTCCCCACCGAACAACACCCCCGTTCCGCTCATTTTGCTTGGACTCGAACCCCTCCACTGCCCAACCGGTAATATCGACCAGACCAAACCAGAACGTCGTTTGACGACAAAATAAGATACCGTAAATCACACCCCCTCGGAATAGAGGAACGCCGTACCTCCTCTTCATTTGTTTCTGCCCACGAATTCTGAACACGGCAAAAGACGCCAGCCCATCCGCGAACTGGAAGCATATTTTGCCTGCTGGATGTCTTTGTGTACTCTGTGTGTACTCTCTCTCTCTCTCTGTGTGTGTTGGCATATTTCAATATTTGGGAGTGGTCCTGCCGCCGATTCGCGCGCCCTACATACGTCCCTCACTCGTCCTTCGTCCTGGTTTATTCTCATCCTCTTTCCGATGCCCGCCGAGATTACCGCGGACTAAACTACTTCGTCTGCAAAATCACGACGACAATCCGAACGACCGAACGCACGCACGCCCCCGAACTACGACTCGACTGGGATGCCGTCCTGCCGCCGGGCAATGTGCAGCGTGCCCTCCACACCATTGCCGTAATCACTGCCTGCTTGTGGTCTCACGACAATTTCCCACTCGGCTGTTCCTTTGTCGACTTCGGCGCCACCCAATCCCTCCCTCGGAACGGTTTCCGCCCTACAAGGGCTGTCGCGACAAATCCCAAACCCGATTGAGAGAGACACCGAGAGAGAGAGAGAAAGGGACGAGCTGGGTCCTGCACCAGGCTGCCTCCTTCGTCGCCAGCCATGCCCAACCTGTCGCCACCCTCATCGACGTCCTCCTCCGTCGAGCGCCAGTACCATGTAAACGGCAGGGCGGCCGTGGTCGCCTCCCGTGAGAGAGGCCAGAGCACACCGCGAAAAGAGAAACAGGGACCTAGAGAGAGCTCTGCGTTGCAGGATCCGGGCCTGAAGGACTACGTGCGTATATACGACCGTCAAGCAATCCTTGAGGATCTGGACGGCCACCCTTCGCAAGGAGTGCATGGCTGACGGTTCTTACAATGCAGCGATTAGGAGAGTGCCTAGGAAAGGGGGCCTTCGGGTCTGTCTACAAGGCCTTCAATTGGGGAACCGGCGAGGCCGTCGCGGTCAAGCAGATCAAGCTCGCTGACCTGCCCAAGAGCGAGTTGCGCATGATTGAGGTACATTTCAGGTCCTAGGACATGTGCTCAACTGCCGCCCAGTCAGAACTGACTCTTTCTAGTCTGAAATCGATCTTTTGAAGAATTTACATGTGGGTGCTTTGACCCTGACAATTTGCGAGGCTTCAGCTGACCGTGTGCTTAGCACGACAACATTGTCAAGTACATTGGCTTCGTTAAGTCGGCCGATTGTCTCAACATCATTCTAGAGTAGGCCAAGCCCTCATTCCTTGTCTTCATTGCTTCATTGCTAACCACGGCCTAGGTACTGCGAAAACGGCTCTCTTCACTCGATATGCAAGTCATATGGAAAGTTCCCCGAGAACTTGGTCGGTGTCTACACGACCCAGGTCCTGCAAGGCCTGCAGTATCTTCACGACCAGGGTGTTATTCACCGGGATATCAAGGGCGCAAACATCCTCACAACCAAGGACGGAAAGGTCAAGCTTGCAGACTTTGGAGTCTCGACAAGCACACTCGCCGGAGGTCAGGACAAAGAGGCACAGGTCGTTGGCACACCTTACTGGATGGCACCTGAAATCATACAACTTTCTGGCGCTAGCCCTGCGTCTGATATCTGGAGTGTGGGCTGCACCGTTATCGAGCTGCTGCAGGGCAAACCGCCGTATCACAACCTTGCCGCCATGCCCGCGCTCTTCGCCATTGTCAATGACGACCACCCGCCGTTGCCTGAGGGCATCTCACCAGTGGGTACCCCGTTTTCATGTGTGAGAAGTAAATATCACTAATATCTCCTAGGCATCTCGGGATTTCCTGATGCAATGTTTCCAGAAGGACCCTAATCTAAGAGTGACGGCAAGAAAATTGTTACGGCATGCGTGGATCATTGGGTGCCGAAGAAGCGACGCCCCCGTTTCCAAGGCCCCAGCAAATTTCAGCCAAGCGGTGGAAGAGGTGAAACAGTGGAATAAAGCCCTCAAGTCCTCCGAGAGCTCGCTCAGGGCGTCTGCCGGTTCCGAAAGTGGTTTTGCCGGGATGCAAGGCCATCATCCCGGCTTGAGGTTCAGCGCCAACGAACCACTCCGGCCGAGTTCGATCACCCAGCCCAAGGGACCTTTGGCCCTTGCAAAATCGAGAAGGACCCCCGAGGCATTCAGATCCCCTGAGCTAGCTAGTAAGTATTTGCCCAACGCCCAGGGCCGCTGAGGAGACGCGCGTTGACATGCCGTTAGATGACGACAACTGGGACAACGACTTCGCGACGGCCATTTCACCGAGTGCATTGCACTTGCCTCATCTGAAGCCTCAGGATAATTTTGGTGGTTTATTGTCTGCCGATAAACTCAAAGCATTCGCTTCGATTACAGACTCTCGGAATGATTCCGAGAGCTACGACGACGACTTTGAGGGGGAGTTGATGACGATCAAAGGACCCCGCCATTTTACCGACTTCGAGTTTCAGGAACACACCATTCGTCCAGTGTCCCGTAAGAAGAGCGACAAGTACGCAGAGCCCGTGAAGCAGCAGCAGCAGCAACAACAACCTCCAAAGTCCAGCCCACGGAAGACAGTTCATGCCAGAAGCTCTTCCCGTCCCAGGTCTCCCGGCAAGCCGCAGTTTGGCCCCAGCAAGTTTGAGATCCCTGCTCCTGTGGACCTGGCGTTCAGAGAGCAGAACACCGAAGACTATTCAGATCTTTTTCTAGAAAACGACGGTTATTTCAATGACAATGGACTGAACCCGTTCGTCAAAAAGGTATGTTGACGACTTGGTCCAGTCTCGGTGCCCCCCTTGCTAAATGGAATCAGGTTGAATCTCCTCAACTATTCCATCCTTCCGATCTCACGAGCTTGCCGCGTTCAACACAGTCGCCCGTGACAGGGGTCTCAAGACAGCCGCCTAGCGCAAAGCTGCGCCCTTCCGTGTTACCAGACCGCCCGATGCGAAGAACCAGGTCATCCATTGAGATCCAGAAATTTGCCGAAAATGAAGGCGACGAAGACTTCTCCGATATCTTCGGACCCGAGGATGCGGTTACCGAGAGGGAAGAGAGTGACAGAGGATCAGAGGACGGCGGCCTGATGGTGCTATCCAAATACTCAAATAATTCGTGGCTGGGTGATGACGAGGATGAAGATGACCCTTTCGCCTCCATGGACCCTGGATGGGACGAAATGGATTTGGAAGCAAACATTGCTAGGGACCGGCACGCAAGATTGGCAGGCAAGGTCGAAGAACTTGTTCGCTCTCTGAAGACGTCAGAGGGCGAAGAGAAACTTTGCGAACTGGCCGAAGACCTGGTGAGGCTGATCCCATACATTTTGTGTATCAGTAGCTAACGGATCCAGCTTGCCTTGCTATGGGAAAACACCGAGATCAAAGATTTGATTATCAGTGCTCATGGTCTGCTGCCCATTCTGGAAATTCTCGAGCCTTGCACAGTTAAGAGTAGGCAACAGATGATCCTGTCACTTTTGAAGGTCGTCAACACTGTAAGTCGAGTCCCTGATGCCGGATCACATCTAGACGCGGCAGGACGCTAATATTTGGCAGATCATTCTGGACGATGTCGAGATCCAGGAGAATCTTTGTTTCGTGGGTGGTATTCCAATCATCACCAAATTCTCGGCCCGCCAATACTCGAATGAAATCAGGCTGGAAGCAGCCGCATTTGTTCGGCAGATGTACCAGACTTCAACATTGACCCTGCAGATGTTTGTCAGTGCCGGTGGTTTGAATGTTCTTGTCGAGTTTTTGGACGAAGACTTTGACGATGCCCGGGATCTCGTCCTGATCGGCGTTAATGGCATCTGGAACGTCTTTGAGCTCCAGGGGCCCACTCCAAAGAACGATTTCTGCCGCATCTTCTCGAGAAGCAAAATTTTGTACCCGCTGGCTTTGGTGCTTCATAGAGTGCTCGACGAGGAGGGCGAAGACGATCTTTCTGAGCTCATCGAGGGCCGGATTGTCAACATCTTCTACCTCTTCTCCCAGGCTGAGAATTATGTCAAGGAGGTTGTTGCTGACAGGCAGGTGTTGAAGAGTCAGTTAGCCCCCACCCATAATACTCTTTTTGCTTGCTAACAGATGGTCAGGCGTTTTGAAAGACTTGCGACGGATGACGCCAAACCACCAGATCACGATGCTGAAGTTCATCAAAAACCTCTCGATGCTGTCGACAACGATAGAAACGCTCCATACAGCTGACGCTATCGAGTTCCTCATCGACGTGCTTGGCTACAGCATGAAGAAGGGCCACAATCATTTCCGAGAGATTTCCAACCAGGTTTTGAATACATTATTCAACCTGTGTCGCTTGAGCAAGGAGAGACAAGAAGATGCCGCTGTTGGCGGCATCATCCCTTTACTCATGAAGATTATGCAAACCGATCGCCCGCCAAAGGAATTTGCTTTGCCTATACTGTGTGATATGGCGCATTCGGGAAGCAAAGGCCGCAGATATCTGTGGCAGAACAAGGGACTGGACTTTTACGTTTCGCTCCTGGCGGACCAATACTGGCAAGTCACGGCCCTGGACGCCATCTTTATCTGGCTTCAGGAGGAGACGGCAAAAGTTGAGAGCCATCTTCTGGATGGGCAATTCACAGACGCGATTGTCGCTTGTTTCCACACAAACAAACTCAACTCTTTCGACGCCAACCTTTTGGAGCCTCTGCTGAAGCTCCTGAGGTTAAGCCCTTCAATCTCAGGGTCGCTTGCGAAACCCGAGATGTTTGCTGGCATTGGGCAGAGACTGTGCCACAAGAAGGCTGTCGTCAGACTCAACCTTCTTCGTCTGGTGCGCAACATCCTGGACGCTTGCGACGCAGAGATGTTGGGCATGGGCAACGGCAGCAGCTCTTTGAACGTCCGGCAAGTCCGGTCTCTATTCGATACTATCCAAATGCTGGCAGAGAAGGACACTGCCGTACTCGTTCGCAACCTCGCGTCGGAGCTGGTCAAGTCACACAACGAGAGCGAGCTGTACGATACGGCTTCGGAAAGGAATGGGTCTTCTGGGTCGGTGGCATCTCGACGCTCAGGGTCGGGGCCGAGGCGTAAATCCTCCTTTACTCCGCCAGGACTTCACCACGCGATGTCGATGCCTGCCACGCCCACACAAACCCGCCACCGTCGGTTATCTCAGGCACCACCAGGCTCCGGCGGCGCGTTTATTGAGGTGGCCGCAAGTCCACGGCGAACGGTTGTCCAGGAGCGGGAAGCCATTCTCTACCGTCCACGAAGCAGAGACGGCGCTACGAGCATCCCCAGGCGGGTGAGCGGCGAAATTTCGTCAAGTATGCCTTCCAGTTCATCGGGAAAGAGCAGATTACCTCGCCACTCGTTTGCAAGACCCAGCAGTTCGTCCGGGCAGCCTCCATTGGTGAGATCTGAGAGTTCTTTGTCAAATAAAGAGAACGTAAGCAGGAACGCGTCGGCCGTATCAGCACCTGCCGCATCGCCAGTTCTTCCGACGAGCATGGCCAATAAGCGGCGGAGCAGGGGCCCAAGTTCGGACGTCAAGTGGTCATCATAAATGAACGACAGAGCGACTACAGCGAAACAGCCTCTAGGCTGAAATCTCCTTTGTCTTTTGCATGCGCGAGAAGACGTCTCGCGCGGTTGGGAAACTTTGCCCCGTGGGCCTATATATAGCCTTCGTAGCTCCCACCACATCCTGGATGTGACAGAAGGCTTATTCATATGGAGTTAGCCGGGGCTGGGGTGGGTCTCAGAAGGGAGGGTCACGGGTACGATTTGATCACGTTGCACGTTTTGCTATGAAATGAGGTGACGATGACTTGTACTCTTGTTGGGAGAGGGGGGTCAAGGGAATACAATGAGCGAAAAGCATAACTAGCCTCTTTTTTGTGCTTTTTCTTTCTTCCTCTTTTTTCTTCTGGTCACTGTTGGCATTACGAGAGTTAGAGTCAAGGGGAATGAAGAGCAGCCAAAGCTGCTCAGAACACGAGACGTTTGTCTGATATTGACGCAAGACAGCCCGAGAGGCATTAGAAACACCGTATAGCAAGCAATTGCACATTTTGTTTTGGACGACATGCGCCTCTTTTCTTCCATCAGTCAGCGTTTCTATTTTTGATAAAGCGATGGCATGCCTGTCTATACAGGCCAACATGTGTAGTCGCTCTCTTGTCCCAGCCAAAAGTGTGCGTGTAAGAAACTGCCATAGGTGGTGATCCCCCCACCGACGGAGAGGACGAGCAAGCTGCGTTGTGTTCACGACAGCCAGGCGTCCCCTCGGAGAACCTCACTCCAGGCCCGGCCCTCAGGCCTGGTGAAGCCGCGGGCGTCGGCGACGTCGGCGGCGCCAAAGTTGCGCCCGTACAGGTGCGGGAAGCAGCCGGCCCCGGCGGGGAGTTCGTCCCAACGGATTTGCGCCTCCAGGACGGCGTAGGGGAGCTTGAGGAGCCAGAGGCCGGTGGCGCCGGAGAAGAAGCGATCCGCCGTGCCTAGGACCTGGTCGGGGGGAGTTTTTCACTGCCGTCAGTGTCGTTTTCTTTTACTTTTTTCTTGCTCCTTTTCTGGGCTTGGGAGGGGGGGGTTGGAAAGATCATCAGACGGGGGCTAGAGCGAGAAGGGGAAGCATGTGAGATGCGGAGAGGGAGGGGAAGGGGGCAGTTTACGTTCGACCGGCGCAGGCCGTGAGTGCGTGCAGCGGATGGAGTGGCGCAACTCACCTGCTCGGCGGTGCTCAAGTGGATGAAGCCGTCGTTCCGATCGAGGTCCGAGAGGGGGTACTCGGCCGGTAGCGGCGACGGCGGCGCCTCGGGGACGATCTTATAGAGATACTGCGGCATCTGCGTAGGGGCGGGCATCGTGTGGTCGACCGGAGTCTTGGCGGTGCAGTGCGGTGTGTGTGTGAGTGTTTATGTGGGCGTGCTGTCTCTTGTCTTTTTTTTTTTTCCTTCTTGCCTTTTCTTTCTTCTTTTCCAAAAAGCTTACCTTTTTTTGATTGATAGGATACGGCGAGGGGGGGGGGGCCTTGTGGTGAGCACTGGGGTTGAGAGGTTTTGTGCCATTCTCTCTCCTCTTCGGACGGGTCCCACTTTCCGTTCCGTTCGGAACACACAACGGCGTGTCTCCCGCCCCTCTCACGTCATCTCAACGGAGCCACACAGATTCGTCATCAATGGTTTTTATATTTACAGGGACGACACTTCAGTCATTGTCTCTTTTCATTGACTCTTCATCACCCACCTTACCCATTCCCTCACTTCGGCCCATCCGTCCTCATAATTCTAGCCGATCGCCCGGACACACCCAACAAGCTATGCTCTCCTCCCCAAACCACCCCAACTGTGTCCCTGCCCTCCTCTGCGCACCTCTCAATTTTTTTTGAACCATCGCCAGTCCAGACAACCATAAGAAAGCCTCCACGACATTCTGCAGATGAGTCTGACAATTTTTGCTTGCCACTCTCGCCGGAATGTTGAAAATAAAATCCTTCCAACCGAAACCGCCGTAAATATGCATAGTCGAACGTAGATAGAAGAACGTGGCGATACCATAACGGAACCCCTCTATCCCTCTGCTGTCGCTGCTCTGTACATTTCAATCTCTTTTGGCGGTATGGCCGTTGTTCCGCGCCTCTACAGATTGAAGCGCCGCCCCTCACACTTGTCCATCCCCACGCGCCGTTGACCCGCTTTTTATGTTTGTCCTTTGACCCCAAACCCCCTGGTCCTCAGATTCGCTGGTAGAATAGCAGGTAGGCGACCTTGTTGTCCTTGATGTTGTCCTTGACGGCCTTACCCTTGGGGGCAGAACCGTTGCCATTGGCGACCGCGCTCCATTTCTTCTCGCCGCTCTTGTCTCCGCCTTTGGCCGAGGTCGTGACCTCCTTCCAGCCCTCTCCCTCGTCCTCGTCGGCCATGGCACCGAACCGGTTGGTCGAGGCGTCCCGGGACGCAGGGCCGGATCGGCCTGCCTCCTTGACATCTTCCTCAGCGCCTCCTTCGGCCACGTCTTCACTGCGAACTCGTCGAATGACCGTATCATCCAGCCGGATCCACTCGTTATCGTCTTGCCGTCGCACATCCACCGTGTAGTGGCCGCCGTTGGCTTGCTTACCGTGGTGGTAGACGACACCGATGAGCCTGTACTTGGGCATAGGCGCACCCTCGGCAACAAGCGCATTGCGTCGTCTCTTCGAGAGCACCTCCGCAGGAAGCTGCAGGTCGAGCGGGTAGCCAACCTTCTTTGCGATCTTCGTGGTTCCCTCAGTGTCGAACTTGAAGCGCTTGAGGTGGAGGATGAGAATCGGTGGCAGTGTCTCGATTAGCGTTTGCTTCGTCATAGGTGCAGCATCGCCTTGAAGTCTCTCTGGCACAGTCAGGCCCTTGATGGCATCCACAACATTGTGAATGTGAGGAGCGCCGATGTCCAGCTGCAGCGACTGGAAAGGCTCCGTGGTGACCGAGTCCTTGACGCCAGGGCGACGAAGCTCTGACCGGTATTGCCCACTGAACAGTCGAGTTATGGGCGTCGTCGAACTGGCCCCAGAAGAGCGAGTTTCGACGGCTCGCTGTCTAGATCCAACTTCGAACCATCCGTCCGCGCCGTCATTGGACTCGACAACGCTGGCAGCAGATGATGTCGGCCTTGCTTCGGCAAGTCCGTTTGAGACGCCACCCGCAGACATGACCTGGGCGCACTCCTCGTCGATGGCGTTCAGAATCAGGCCGAGGAACTCTTGAGCATCTTGCTGGTGACCACGCTGCAAAGACATTAGCTGGCAACTTTGCTGGAAGGAAGGTAGCAACGTACTCTCATGCTCGCAAACGCCGGGAGAGGCTGAATGGCTTTGTAGACAAACTCCGGGATGAACGATTCTCCATACTGCTCCAGCTGCTCACTCTTGAGCTTGCGGCGAAGTTTCTCTACTGAATCGGTGGCGTCTATGACCCGGAATTCCCTCATGAACATGATCCTTGTCCCCGGGTTAGTCGTCAGGCCTTCCTCTCTGCAGACACTACAACTTACATGGCGTCGATGACGGGCGTGTCGCTCTTGAACTTGTGGACGGCCCTCTTGCTGACCTGATCCAAAAAGTTGTAGAAAGGTGCACAGAAGAGAAGAACTTGCAAAACCTGAGCTTGTTAGCATTATAGGCGGCCATACGGACAGAGGGAACCCACTGAATTCATATAACACATGTTGCCAGTGTTGATCAGGCCTCTCGGCTCGATGAACTGGACCTTGGCCGGGTTACCAACGCGGAAGTCCTGGATAGCAGCGACCAAGGAGTTGGCGTTTCCTGTAGAAAAGCTGGAAGCACTACCATTGACCGAACCGTCCCCATTGATAGCAGCACCGTTGGTCGCCGCCGGAGTACCAGAGCCGTTGGCATTGAGCTGAGCCTTGGCAGCAGCCGCAGCCGCAGCAGAGAAGAGACCGCTCCACGTCTTTGGGGCCGCCTTGATAGGAGCTGCTTGTTGGGCATCGGTTTTCTCCTGCCCAACAGCAGCGGCATCCGTCGTCTCGGTCGTCTCCGCGGACTTTACGTCTTGGGCGGCGGGCTGCTTCGGCTCTTCACTGGGCTTGCTTTCCTTGGGACTGCTCTTGGGGAGAACGGGAACGACAGGGATAACGGGAACAGCAGGACGAGAGGCGGAAATGTTGGAGGAGCTCGTCGTGGGTCTCGCGCTGGGAGTCTCGGACACATTCGCCTTGGGGCTGCCTGCGTTTGACACACTGGTCGCCGATCTGTCACTCTCCTTAGGAGTTTCGGACGCCAAGGAATCAGCCCTGAGAGTCGCGCTCTCCGAGTCGGTGTCTTTGGGGTTCCAGAAGACCGTCTTTTTGGAATCGGCCTTCGGTGCTGAGCCATCTATCGCATCGCGCGCCTCCGTCGCGCCCGCTTTAGCGGACAGTTCACCGACGGTAGCGTTAGACTCCAAAGCGCCCTCGTGTTGCTCCACAGGCAGTGTCAGATCTTGCGCATTTGCGCTCATCAATCTTCTCCGCCGTCTTGACTTGGGAGCTCTCCTCGGGAAAGGAGCCTGGCCCGGTGGTGTCCACGGAAGCTTTGGCCGTTTAGCAATATGATTCACCTGGTGGGGTATATCGATAAACTTACCGGTGCCCGGAAATCCTTATCCTGTTTGGGAAGCTCTGGGCTCTGCGGAACAGAGACAGGTGCAGGGGTTGCAGTTACTGAAGCATAGAACGGCTCGGCAAAAGGCGTGACGGCTGAAGAAGAAACGACCGAGGAGGCTACGACGGGAGGCGTGATGACGGGAGGCTCAGGAGTCGGCTCAATAGGCTGGGGCGGAGGAGGCGGCGGAGGCGGCGACTGGACAGGCATGGCAGTAGGGACGGGAGGCGGTTGGTAAGGCGTTGAAAGAGCAGGAGACGGCTGAGGCGGTTGGGTGTAGGGCTGAAGAACGCTGACGCCAGCCATGGGAACATACTGAGGCATCGCCTGTGGTGACCGAACATAGGGCTGCTGCTGTTGCTGGTAGTGCATGTAGCCAGAGGGAATACCACCATTCTGGTATTGGTGTGGCAGCTGGTGGTAGTAGGGCGCCGCGGCGTAGGGGTTCATGTAGTTCGGATACATGGGCATGTGCTGTTGGTATTGCTGTTGCTGGTATTGCGCGTACGTCGGCTGTTGCTGCATCCTCCGTCTGTTACCTCCTCCGGGTCCGCCACCCATATCGACTCCTCCGGCGCCTACTGGCCCTCCACCTCCCGGCATGGCTTGCCCAGCCGGCAGATGACGATTGTTCATCCTGCCGGCTTGGGAGTCGTGTATGTGCAGTGATCGTCCACGGCTGGAACTATCACTGCCTTGTAGCTTCAGCTTTCTTCGAAGCGGTCGTCGGCGCGGTCGCGATGAAGCGTCGACAGGGGAAACGGTAGTCGATTCGTAGCTCGATTGTTAAGTTGTTTGGCCGCGTAGGATGCGCGAGGGCAATGTATCCAAACGCTCGCAGGTCGTGTGCCACCCTCTCGTGGTTTGCGGGGGGGGGGGGCGGCAGAAGGGAAGGACCCTACTCAAACACCAGACGGGCGCAACAGTGTCGGTCGTCGACAGTGTTTCACCGGACAGAGGTGAGGAAGACAGGCTTCGAAGGAGGAGGCGATGGCGAAGGGTGGTTGACTGGGACAGGGCGACAGGTGATGAGCTGTGCGGTTGCTTCCAACAGAGATGACAAAAAATTAAGCCGCGCGCGGGAAAGGCCCAGCTGGAGCTAACGGGTAGCGGGCTCCGGCTTTGTTGGCGCAATACAACTGCCTGCCTCAGTGAGCCGCAAGCCTCGCGCACTGGCCGCAATTTGGTCACCGCGGCATGTTCTTCCGTGATTTGCCCGAAATCGGCCCCACCAGTAGTAGTCTCAACGGGAATGTCTCTGAGGTGAGCTCACTCAAGCTCTTGACACCCAGGTACCTACCTATCAAGACGACGAATGGGATTCGTTTGCTCAGCTCCTATCCTGATATACTGGGTCTAAACTTCGTGACAGAGCAATTAAATGGTGTCCTCGATGTTGTTAGTCTTTGAATGGCCGTAATATTCAGCCCTATCGTTTTCGGCCTCGTCGCTCAAGACCAAGACATCAGTTAAGACAACGTGCGTGTTTCCGCGCTCAGGTGGAATGTCCTGTGGCAATTGGCATCTCGTCATTTGTCTGCGCTCAACCCTTTGCTTTTGGGGTCTAATGGCTTGAAGCATCATCCATCAGGGGGTTTCATAAGCTTCTGCCTTCGAGATCTGTATTTACTTGGAGGACATAGTTTGCCATCCAGAGCCCAGCAACAATATGCTCTTCCACCGTGCGACCAGAGACAATGACAGATGAGTATTTTGTCCATGAGAAAAATAGGTCGGAAGGGAAATAAGGGAGACTCCTGCACCATTCGCTTGGACCAAGTTGTAATGCCTCAATCAAGAAGTTATGCCATCACAAAATACACCGTAAACTATCGGCTCTAGCTATTTGAACATCGATTGGCGGTTTTCGGACACAGTTTCATTCGTCCCTGAATATCCACCGTCCTCCGCCCCTCATCGCCTCACGGTACCTCTCCTGGATCAACTGCCTCTCCCTTTTCTCGGCTTCAGACTTCTCATCTTCCACCTCTTGTGTGGTAGGAAAATCCGCGTTCCAGAAGCCTGGGGGAGACGGTCTTCGGGCATATCGGTGACGGTGCTTGCCCAGCTCGTTGGCAAGCTGCCATGTCTTGGCTTCGACCCACAACTCGTCTTTTTCTGCTTTGGACATCCCCAAAGTGATTGAGACCCTGTCACCCAGGTAGTCTTCGAAGAGCTTAGTGTCTGACGCCGATGTGCGTTCGACGTTGTTTCTCTGGGCGAGTGCCATGGCACGGAATTGTTTCCCGCAGCAATTCATGTCGGTACAGCCAGGTAAGCAAGCCCTATCGTCTTTGCTTCTGACTACCTCCGAATATGCGTAGTCTGAACCATCATTGAACTTCGGGTTCACCTTGAAATCCTCAAGACGCATGTTAGCCATGGGCTTTGCTCGTAATGATCCTCTAACTGCGGGTGATGGCGTGTGAGCCCCGCTACGGTTCCGAGCAAGTGCGCGTGGGGTGCCATGTTCTACAGTCTCGCCGAGCTCATTTTGAATAGCAGTGGTTTCTTTCGATCTCTCCCGACGCTCCTTGCTGAACGGCAGCTCCCGGCGCTCAGGAAATTGAGGCCCATCGTCTGCCAACGCCCATTGCGTGCCACGAAGCCGCGGTGCTGACCGTACTATGGCAGGAGCCTGCTCCGGGGATGGCATGTTCAACAGCGTGCTTAAGCGACCAGTGGGCTGTGGTGTGCGAAGCTGTGCTTCGGCCGGCACCCCACGGCCTGACTTCTTATAGGCAAGTCCGTCCTCAGCAAGGCTTTCTATGCCTTGGGAGAGCCCTTTTTTGATCGGCTTTTCCACAGTCTTAAGTTCGTATGGCCGCACCGGACGAGCATTAGGGTTGACAGGCGTCAGAACTGCTGATGAGTCAAGGCTTCTTGCTGTCGGCGTACCCATGTTGTCAGGTCTGACAAACAAGGGAGCAGTTGTCTTCGCTCTTCCAGTATCCATCCTTTCTGATTCGACGACAGTAGTGGGTAATATTCTGTTCTTTCTCGGCGTACTAAGTTTCTGGCCAACCTCGTCTAGGTCCATACTTTCTTGTTGAAGTTGGCTGGTGGAAGGGCCTCCGGTAATATTCGAGCTCTCAACCTTGATTCGACGTCGTCCTTGTTGCTCGGTGGAGCAGTCATCCAGATGTTTTCTCTTGCCAACAAAGCGCTCCGACACAACAACCGGACCATCAGAGGAAGGTTCTGGTTTGATGCGAATATCAGAATCGGTTTTGGGAGGTTGTCTCAGAGGTGGAAGGGTAATAATATCTTCATCCTTGCTGCCATCTGTTGCTTCCCCTTCCGTCGATTCTCCTGGCGTTGGATCCCGGGTTGTGCCCTTTCCTGGAGGAATAATGGCGGTGATGGCTGTAGAAGTGGTTGTAGCAGGAACGGGTTCAAGAGGAATATGCCTTGTAGATTCCGCAGTCCAACGCGTCGATGCTGGCCCATCTCCGGGATCTGAAGCGTAACCTGAGGTCAAGACAGCCTGAGGTCTAGTAGGTTCTGGTAACGCTTCTGTTGAATGCGTGTTCTCATCTAGCTCCCTTCGCGACTGCTTAAAGGGTTTTATCTTGGCTTCCAAACTCGTTGCGTATTCCTCCCATTTCTTGTTCTCATTCCTCCTTTTGTTGAACTCTAACTTGAGAATCTTAAAGTTCTGGTCCAGTGCATTGTATTTTCTGCGGAGCTTCTGACTCTCGCGCAAGACTTGTTCCAGTTCACTGCCTTTTTCAAAAGTGGCTATTGACATGGGGTCTGTATTGGTACCTTGGTCGCGGGAGACATAGTTCGGGCGGGGGCTGTCACTCGATGACTCGGTAGATCGGGTTTGTTGATGGAATTGCAGCAGTTTCGTCCGGAGTTTTCGATTTTCTTCTTCCAAGCGATCCACCTCGGCGGAGCGGGACCTCAGGATTTCGAGCTCATCGGTAAGAAGCGCGCGTGTTCGGCTGTCTTCTTTCAAACGATGCTCGACCTCTTTTCAACAAGCTAGTATCGCATGCCATTACGTCAGGACGTGTTGTTGCACGTACCGTTCTGGGCCTCTTTGCTAATAGTTTCACGCAATGCATTGAAAGCAATCTGGACTGCCGCCCTGCTCTCTGGTGACCAGCTCTCCATGACGCCTGACCAGAGTTGTCGTCAAGGATGCATGCGAGGCTGAAATTTTGGTGTTCGGTGTTGTTGTGTTCGACACAAACGCGACTTCCCTTCAGCGCGTCATGTCCAGAGCTCGGAGCATTCGCCACAGCCAAGTGGGAGCATGTGTCAGCAGCTGTTGTGGGGCTCAAGCGTCCGCCGAAGCCACAGCTGCCAAACAAGCTACAGCTACAACAATGGTTGCGATGTCACCATGGATCTCCTTCAGAGCAACTCCGAGTGACTACACCCTTTCTTGCACTTCCATCTCGGACAGTACATTATGCGACAAATCGTTTCGGAATTGGAGATCTTGCCCTTCTTCCCTTGAGGCCACGAATATTCGAGGTTGGAAATGTGCCCACGGATGATCCTCCAGAGAAGGTCTGATTCCCCTCACACGTTTCCCACTTGTCAAACAGTGAATGAGTGCATCGGAGCCATTTCCGCAATTGACAGTGGACCTCTTACGGCTACTCCGAGAAAAGTCGGGATTGAAAACACTCTGGCTAGTGGTGGGCCATACCCTTGACGGGTCCACGGATTGCGGTCTTCCGGCTCGGCAGGTCTTTAACAGGCAACAATCCTGGCGACCGATCGTCGTGGAACAGAGTAGGTACGGCATGGGTTCGTTTATCTATCAAAATACTCTGCTCTCCAGCTCTTTGACGCAACCCGTCAGTTGTCATCTAGAATGATCATGGGCCGTGGGATTATCCAACCGTCCGAATCTCCAAGGCCCAGGTCAGAGCTAGAACTGCTCTTGCAAGCATTCGGCAATACTTCTAGACATGATGATTCCAAAACCAGAATTGGCTTTGGTTAGAGTTATGGCAGAAATGTTGACAAGAGCACATTCTACTTCATACCTAATCTATAGCCCGGCCCTACAATATATTGAAGTTTCATTCCGTCTGGAATGGCAGTGGTTGACCGGTATCAGGCTGCCACTCAATGGCACGTCTTCGCTCGGAGATCGTTCAGTAGGCTTTCCAGTTGACGAATGCTGATGTCCAGTGGCAGCGCTCACGCTGTTGGTCCCCTTTTCATTACTCGCGAGGGTTTTCTACATGTGACTGAAGTGGTTTTGTGGTTACATGCCGCCCTAGTGCCCTGCGCCGCAGGCACGGCCTTGAAGAGGTGAGTGATCCGGTATATTCCCCACCGCCAGAGTCTCATTCGGAGGTGATGGTGGCTACCTGTTTTTATAGATGCATTGATACCGTCGTACTATCCCAGCGTCTCCAACGGCAGCTCCTTCGGGCAGGTCGCCATCACCGCCGCTTCATTCTAAGGTCCATGAGCTATTCGTTTAAACGGTGCTGACACGAGACGCACCCGTCACCTATCTAGGTTAGCCTGTAAGAGATGGATTTAAGCAGCACATTGAACCCTGCCCTTGCATGTGTGTTCCAGAAACGCTAGGCAAGCGAAGGAACGTTGGACGGAACATCGCCGTCAGCCAACAACTTAGTGCACCAAGAGAGTAACGTATTTGAGAAAGGAACTGATCTCCAGGCCTTGTTTGTAGATGATTGGAATTGCCGGCACACAGTAACGAGTGGCCGTCGGTTAAAATGGATGGCCAGGTTCATCCGGTCTCCTCTCCAAGAGCGTTTGGGGGGGAAAGCTTAGCTCCAACCTGAAATGGAAGACTGGCCGAGATTGAGCATAGCAGATCTGACCGGTCCGGAGCTACATCCTAATGGAACGAACCAACCAATCTTCGGGCAGAATTCGTTTGCACGGTGTGGCTCACCAGGTTTATGAAACCCAAGTGAGTGAAATGAAACTCTTGGGGATTTGTGAGTTAATTCCTCCAGTGATGTAGGTATCGTAGGTTCGGTTCGAGGCAGGAAGGAAGGTTGAGCTGACAGTCAAGTCTTTCATGCGGGTTTGATGTCGGGGGCGTCGCCGATCTGGAGGGTCGATCCAAAACCTACTTTAATGTGTTCCATGTGTCCAAACTCGACAAGACAGACTCTCGGTATTAGCTGGGGAGTTTCGGACTGCTTCCCTGACTAAGGCGGAATCTGCCTGGATACGGATAACACTGACACGGCAAGTCTCCCTCTTTGTCCAAGTATCCAAGTTTGGACGCGTTATCCTGGATGAGGGGTCTAGACCCAAAAGCTTCCTCGACCCGGCTTCTCTCCGGCATACGTACGTAGTAGAGGAAGGGCCACATAGAGGCATGTGCCACAGGGGTCGCGGGGTATCAGGCCATGTATCCGTACTCCGTACCTATACTACGTAGTGTACTCCGTACGTAGTACAGATACGGGTTCAGTCCAGGTATCTACTATCTGCTATCTAGGCACGGCTCGGGTGAGCCCACCAGGTGCGTGGCATTGAGTCGAATGGGCGTTTGCACAGTGTGAGCCAGAGTTCCTCTCTGGCAGAGATTTCCTTCTGCATGAGAAAGACTTATCGGAGCCCACTTTTGAACTGGGGAACGTCGGGGACGAGTGCGAAGAGGAGCGAGCGTGTGATGAGGGGTGCTCAGGGCAGGGAGCGATGCAAGGGACGGGCGCACAGTGGCGCGAAATCCAAGATTTATGACCCCTCATTGGATTTTGGGGAGGGGCATCGCATTTCACAGCGCCTGGGCCGGGTCTGGCCTGTCATTTTGCCTGCTATGTCGGCGATTTATAGATTCTTGCACAGGGGGTACCCCACCTGCCTGTTTTCGGGATGCTGAATTTTCTGATGGGCTGGGTATTTTTCGTAATCCCCATGGCATTGAAAAAAAAAAAAACCGTGAAAAAAATGGAGTCGGCCAAATAATCATGGAGGGGCAAAAGGAGAACGGCGAGAGACGAGGACTGGCTTCACAGCGACGCGACGCAACGCGACGCAATGTAGAGTGGGAGGGGAAAAGGAGAGGAAGGCGAATAACGACCAACCTGGTCTAGAGTACACAGCGCTGGGGATTTGAATTTGTAAAGTCGCCTGCCTTTGAGTTCGAGTCCCGGGTGTCTGCGGAAAAGCATGAATTTGTTTCCTCCTTTTCGGGATCTTGAAAGCCAGGAAACATGCGTTCCTGCCCGCATTCATTCATTATACCCCCTAAGGGAGTGAGTGCTACAGACGTCAAAATTCAGGTTGCTCCCCGAGGCTGCATTGGACAGCCCGCGTCATCCACTGAGGCAACGGGGCGACATGTACCGTGCCAGCGTAGAAGCATGAAGTAGAAGCACAATCACACGTATAATGTGCATATAGTATGGCGTTGGAGGCGCTCCTCGGGCTACGGGGGGCGGCCCAACGCTAGGCTTGGCCAGCCACAGACGTGCCAGAACAGCATGCTGTCATGATCAGATCAAGTGGCGATATGAAATGGCTATCGCCTCTCATAAGGAAGCGAGCCGCAAGATACCGGCGGCGTCTCAGCAACAACGTTATCAACGGCATCACCAAGATTGGCACAACACTCACTGGCCGATTAGGGTTACTCGGTAGGTAGAGCAGAGACGCATATCCAAGGGAGCCCGGAGCCGAAGTCTCCATGTTCGCCTTCAACATCCGCCTACTCAACCATGGGTAACAATGCCTGCGTGCGTGTGCCTGCCTGGCTGCCTACCTACCTACCTATCTAGGTACTTGCTCAAGCAGTAGGGGAAGGTACAGTACCATGTAGAGATATGGGTAAAAACCAAAGTGTGTGTGTGTGTGTGTGTCAGTGTGAGAGAAAAAGAGAGAGACAGAGAGACAGAGGGAGTGTGTGTGTGTGTGACAGACGCAGAGACTTGCACTTCCCCGACGGCAATGGACTTGTCTCTTTGATTGGTGCTCCGCGCCTCCCATTCTACCAGATTTTCTTTGGCTCCACAAGGCGGTCTGACATGCGAATTGGCTGCTTTTTCTTTTTTAACCTTGACCACTCCCTGCCGCAACCGCCGCTCTCCTCCCCATCTCTCCCACAACACAAACCACCACTATTGAAAAACCTCACCAAACCCCCTCCTTCTTGTGTTTTTGAGCAGAGATTTCTCCCGGCCCGACATCACTCCTTCATTTGTAAGTACTGGTGTTCTTCTCGTTCCTCCCATACCACAAACCACGTCCTTCCGGGATCGTTATACGGGGGGTGTCTTCAATCAGCCTCTGCCATCACCGCCAGCACGTCGGGAACCGGCAGCGCACACAGCTGGGGCGGGCACCCACCCCCCATTCACCTTCTGCCTATCTTACGAAGGCAGTGCGCACACGCACCACTTCCATCTCCAACTACTCCACATCGCCGCAGACATGCCACTTGCCCCTCCCTACCTCGATTACATTACATCGCAGCAAACCACAAACCACGTCCCTCCCTTCGCCTCCTAGACCTTTCTTTTTTGCTTTCCCCACGAAA